CTTTTTAGTTTGCTATTTTGCTGCATTGTTGTTTTTACATTGTGGGAAAATGTACTGAAACTAAGCTGGAAGTGGATCATTTTTGAAACACAATATTCTGATTTTGAATATTTTTTTTTTGGGGGGGGGGGACAAACAAGAGCACACCTGACAGTGTCAGGTTTTTGCTAAGAGCAGTTACTTTTCCTTGTTGGCTGATTAGAATAGAATAGTAACGTAACCTGATCCTAAAACAAGACGTGATTAAGCATCGGAATAGGGCCATCCTGAATCCAAAACTAAATTGGATTCCCGCTGCTTCAGGCAACTCACCGTTAGTTAGTTTTTAACCCGAATGATCGAGGCCAATGGAGACCACCCCGCGAAACCCTCGGCTCTGGTGAACCGAAACAAAGCAGAATAATGAAATACCCCTGAGGCTTTTCCTCAAATGACAACGAAAATGAGATTTTTCCTCCCTTTTTGGGGGGGTTGGAAAACTGATAATCGCTGTGGTTCAGACGTTGACACGCGAAGCTCTTGTGTGTCAGCGCTAAAAGCAAACAGAAAACATGGTGCATGTTGCAGCTCGATAGCAGCCCTGTTGTTACAGGGGACACACTGCCAGCAGGGTTTCTTGCCCGTGAGCCCCGCGTGGCAGCAGACTCACACCTCCCTCTATCCGTCATGGGTAATAATATTTAGAATAGCCCCGGGGCCGGGCTGACGCAGTTTTTCAGTCGTTCGTTGCACAGAGGGAGCACAATAGTAAGCCAGTGTAAAGGGTCTTGTGGGGATGATGCATAGTGCATCATTCGATGTTGCGGCCTCACTCGAGAGGGATGTCTGATGTTGTGACGGGCCCATGGTCGGACACAATTGCGTCAACCCTAACACATGTGCACAAGTAGGCCTATTGTATACAAATTTAACTCCATTGTAACAGTCTGATATAATAATGAAAACCTCAAGCTTGGAGTCAACGAGAGCATTATCTCAAGGTACAGGTTCCATGTTTGTAAATTGTTATTGTTCAAGTTGTGCATGCATGCATTGTTCATTAAGATCAGATACACGTAAATTTGCATGAAAAGCAAAAGCAAGTGTGTGTAAATATATAAGTGATTTTAATGTATACATGTGCACATTTACATATTAAATGTACATCAATAGGTATTTCGAAATGTACATCATGTGATTTATTAACCTAATTTCATGCGTCAACATGTGTACCAAATTAATGTACCGGTACATGTGTACGTGTACCGGTAGGTCTGTAATTTATTTATCCAACAGTTTGGCATAACAAGTGGTACGACATCATGGAATATTTACAAAAACATGTATTGATGTTCACTGTTTCTTTTGATGTGATTAGTAAATTCACTGAATATTTTCATGACTCGTGTCAATAGTGCATGTTTCTCAGAAAATTGTAGGTTGTACATATGTACATTGTACATGTACATCATGTGAGTACATGAATATGAAAAATAAATACATACATGTACATACATGTATGTACATTTTACATGTACACGTATGTATACATGTTGTACAACTTGATGACAAAGATTCTATAAAACTGTCCCAATTGATTATTTACATGTACGGGCACTGTACATATATTTAGATGTACATGTATGTACAGTGAATTTATATACAAATGTATACATGTACATTGTACATGTATGTGTACAGCATACTGGTACGTCTTGGCTGTATCTGTGTTGGCATGAAAAGAAACCTGCACAATAAAATGTACTGGTATTCAATATGGGTCAAATGTTTTATAAATTTGGGGCCCACTTTTTTCCCTGTCCAGCTGACATAGCTAGATGATTTTTTAAAATTCCGATGCACTTTTTAAAGGTGCATTACGGCCTGAAATCCCTGAAAATTGTATGTTTGGATTGTTTTCTTTTCCTATTCCAAAGTTCTGGTGAAAGGCAACTGACCTTAGAATGTCTTACCGTTCCTGAGAAAAGACGATGATTATGGTTGTGTGGACGTTTATATCCTACTTTGAAACGCTCTTTCCAATTAACTTCATTTCGTTTAACACGCGTTTGTAGCTTAATTGGGTGCATTTCCAGGACCCTTAATATCCCCTTAAAGGGAATATACAACATTTGCAAACATCGAAAAATAAAACTACCAAGTTTTTGCGAAATACCTTAATAGGATGTTGGTAAATGACAGTCTAAAGCATCCTGTAAAATTATGGCACCTGGTATACTGTCATTTTCAAGAAAAGTGGTATTTTTGTATCAATTTCCAACGCTGATCGGCCGATCAGCGTTGGAAACAACTGGCTTTTTTTCAAATACTGGCCCCAATTGACCATTGCACTTGTTTGCATTCGATTACAAACCCATGAACGGGTACGAGCCAGCTAGACTGGTTCCCTGACCTTACAATTCCCCAATGTATGTTAACTGCTCTGTTTCTTCTTATATGGAGTCAGGGAACCAGACTACAGGAAAATGATCGTTTTTCTTGGTTTTAGTAGCATTTTCAAACCCAAAACCTCCAAAAAGTCAGTGTAACTATATTTGCTTTATATTTCCAACCCCCCAATTCCATCCATATCTGAAAATTACAGCAAAAGCAAATGATGTATATTCCCTTTAATAATGCAGTCGTTCCTCAAGAGTTATTATGAATAGAAAATTATCTACCCAACAAGGAAAATTGTTTGAAGTCATTCTTAATGATTTACTTGAATGGCAAATTGCAAAGTACAGAGAAATATGCCACAATTTGGCCCCTAAAATTATAGAATGACCCATGTTCATGTACATTGTACAACCTAATGGGCCTTATTCACAAGTTGGCCATTTTTGTCATGTTCCCTGAATGTATTTCATTAATTGTTAACTGTTCAATGGGATGGTGCCAGACTATTTATGCAGGCACAATGCAGCCTTATTTTGCTGTCATTTTTTGGTAATTAAATATGACTTTAAACATTAGGGAATGTTTAATTAAAAATTAAAAATTATTCATTGAAGCAGACTGGAATTTATTATAAATTAACTTAGGCCCCTACTTTCATTTCTCTTTGCAAAGTTCCAAATATTAACATGTAACTTTCAACTCAATATGGCCAACTCGTGAATAATTGCCCATGGATTAGATTCTCAGAAGAACTATCCACATTGTTTATGTATATAATGTGCAGGTACTGGTACATTTGACACATTATTTACCTGTGTTGACTTGAAACGAAACATGCACAGTACACTTTCGCATACATGTAATGAAAATGTACATGTACAGTATTCTGTACAAATATGACAGTCTGCAGCAAATGTAATTTGACATGAAACAAAGACCAAATTCCCTTCAATGCAATACCTAGTGACGACAAATAGACTGATTGGCCAATCGGCCAATCCACCAATCCGTCAACACTCACTTGTCGCTATAAAGTGAACTCTCCCAGCTCGTTGCTCCGCAGGGAACACGTTTCTCCACTACTGCCATTACACACTTCATTAGGAGCCAGTGTTTATTGATAAAATAAGAGGGCCGAAAGATTTGGTTACAAATTTTGTGCAAGAGAATTTGCGTGGTATTTATAGAATTTGTAAATCATTTTTGTAGCATGCACAGTGGGTGAGTGAGTTAGCTTGTAATGCTTGTATTGCCTTTTTTGGGAAGCAGATGGGAGTTGTACATGTACTTTGCAGTATTAAAGATCATTACAATAACAAATTATTTTTGTCATTCGGTCGGACTCTTAGGACAGTGCAAAAAATAAACATTTTTTTTCCATTTGATGTGCTGCGCAGGCCACTTCATTTTATTTTATAGTAAACAGGTTTTAGGTTCCTGTTAAGCAGATTGTTTTTAAGCACCATTGTCCATAAGTAGCAGTATTCATGTTTTCCACCAAGCTTCCAAAATTATTCAGAAGTCAAGGAGGTTACTTGGTTTTGTTTGTCGTTTACATGTACTGGTATGTCTTTTAACAGTCATTTCTAAACAGAAAAATTGAATAAACTGATATCCGCGGACACTTGACAGAATTACCAGTGGCTTTGTTGCTGAAAAGTAGTGCTGCCCCCCAAATATTTAGAAAGGGTGACAACGCAACCTCATTTCCATGGGTACCATGTTGCTGCGCCATGTTGGTTCCCATCATGCCTTGCGCGATCTTAGCCCATGGAATTGTGTAAGTTAAATGTGTCAAATATTGGCACATTTAAATTAGGACTGCAGTCGATGTATCTAACGCGCGACGCAGTGCTTAAAATATTGAAAGATATTTTTTTTGGGGGGGGGGGGGTAGAATCAATGCTTTTAAACATGAGATTTCGACGTTGCGTTATTTAGCAATGATTTATATTAAATGAACACCTCTGTCGTCCTTTATTTACAACACAAGATACTGGTTTTGGGGAGTGAAAAAAATGAGGCTTCCATAATCCATTTCGTAGGCATCGCGCAGTCTTGAAAAAAAATTGTGGATGTGATGTGACGTGCAGGAGATAATGGGCGAACGCATAGGATGTGCAGTCTTCAAAATACTTGCGCAGTACGCTCTGAATAGCCGGTCAGCGTCGTTTATGTATTTCTCATGGCCAGGGGTTAGTGAAGGAACATGCACGCGCCCATGGAGTCGAGGCTGGTGCCCACATTATTACTTCCAAGAACACCTTTCAAAGTGTAAATCTAGAAAATGCATTATTATTTTGCAGTTGTTCACATTTCCTCCTGTGTTTGTGTGTGATATCACAAACATAATTGCTACATTTTGGAAGTTTTGTGAATACACTCATCATACATGTAATAACAAATTTTGAACTTGTATTTTTCCTGTCAGGAAAAAAAGAAGAGAAATCTGCCGGCTCAATGTGCAAAAGAATACCTTGTGTACATGCGTCAACGTTTATTGCCAAAAAAAGGGCCTCTTTTCGATAATCACATGGTGATGTACGGCATCCAGAGTCGCTCACAATATTTTTGATTGTGAAAGAATTAATTACTTAATGAAAGGTTGGTCTTTTCTGCAGATATTCGTCAGCGACTGACAGACCAACTGAAATGTCTGGACAACCGTTACGACGCCCAACGGGAGCAGCTGGGGGACCTGCAGGAGTACATGAAGCTACGGGCGGAGGTAGAGATGGAATACGCCAAGAACCTTGAGAGATTACATGAACGCCTGACCAGAAGGCAAAAAGCTGTCCAGTAAGTTGCGTTGCTTACATGTACCTTCCAATTTGTATCATCTTTCTCAAAATTTAACCCATATTTCCTAGGCCATTTTGGGTGCTAGGAATTAGGGCATCCCTTTTACCGGTATATTCTTTGGTTCACATCAGAGCTACCCATTTTGGGGCTCTTGACCCGCCCCCCAAAAACCTGAAACTGATGTACATGTACATCAGATTCGAACCAGCCAACCAATCCCGTTAGCTTTGTGGTCGAGTGGTAAGATGTCTGCACTAGAAAGCAGGAGGTCGTGGGTTCGAGTCCCACCCGAGTGATTTTTTTCCCAACTTTCACTCGGGAGGTAACACACTGAGTATGTAGTGTTTATACGTCGGTGAAGGGCAAAACCTGTAATTCGACTGTACATAATGTTAAACATTTTCAGGAATGTCATACATGAGGAGAGAATTTCTTCCCACCTACACAAAAATCAGTTTTACATGTACTCATTAACATTTGGAGACGGTCTCTGCCAGCAGTGCAAAAAATGCTGACATTTAACAAACTGACTACACATGTTTCTCATATATCCCACTAAGGCCTATTGGTATTATTAGCCGTATAAGGGATTTCTTGTGGAAATTGGTGAGCATTGCCTGGCTTAGAAAAGTATGCGCTGATTGGCAGTTCATTGGCAGCACTTGGCCTTTCTCAGCAGTCAAGCATTTCTCAGCGTGCTCTTAAACTCCTTTTGTATCTTGGCGGTTTATGAATCTGTCCACCTCTGAAAGGTTAGAAAGTTGGCAGGCAAATCCTCAAATCCTGTCAGAATGGATAGGTTACATACTTGTTCCTTATCAGAAATTCTACTCTTCAGCCCAATTTCCTCTTTTGTGACTTTCCATCACTGTTTTTGTTCCCTTCTAAATTCCACTAAACGAGGCTCGTTAGGAGATTCTATTTTTAATCTTTGTTGTTTCTAAAAGTTGTGTTACTGCATTATTCGGAAATCAATTCTTTATTTCCTGATGTTCTGTTATTATGTTTCCTCTTGCTTGTGCGTCTATGTTTTGGGATTGTATTTTTTTGATCGTTTGCTATCTTAGCCCTAACCCTGCTAAATGCAACAGAAAGCAAAAGTTGTTGAATACTGTTGCATTTAGCAGCCAACTCAAGTCTCCGTGCTTTATTGCATCTTGTTGCATTTAGCAGGGTAATTGCTCATAGTGCTGGACAATACAACAGAATCCACTCTTGCATTTGGTTGCTTCATTCAGGGTACCTGCTTGGTGCCAAGGCTGGTATGCACTGGGTTCACTGCACAATGCAACATAATCCACTGTTGCAATTTGTTGCATTTAGCAGGGTTCTCATTTCAGCCAAGTTGCATTTTGTTGCATTTGGCAGGGTGCCTAGAGAAAAGCTGTTGGGGGTTAGGGCTAATTAGGGCTATTGGGAGGGGGGGGGGTTGTGAGTTGGGTAGGCAGGGGTCAAGGTCAGGGGAGGACATGGTCATTGCCCCCCTCCCCCACACACATTTTTAAAACTTTATGAGCTCCCCATCCTGTAGAGAGTGCCACAGATGGATTCATTTAAAATTCCTTTCCCCCATTCAAAAATGTTCTGTTGTCACCAGTGTATTGAATGATTGGCAGACAAACATGATACGTCATGTACACGCATTCTTGCTTCGTAACTTGTGGGGACTACGCACAAGTTTTCCCATGGCTCTATGGGGACCGAAGATGCTATGGGGACCGAAGATGTCTATGGGGACTGCAAATGAATCTCTTGTATTGGTACACATGTATAATCCTCTGTGTTTTTGTTGACAGGAAAGACCGAGAGGGTGGCATCCCATCAACCACAGCATGCTGGAACATGCTGGTGGATATGACCAAAAGTCAGTACAAGCAACACTCTACACTCAGCCAGTGTCTAAACTACAATCTCACCAACAACTTTGGGACCATCCGGGATGGCCTGGATAATGTCTACAAAAAGGTGGGTTTACGCCTGACCCCAGCCTGACCCACCCTGAACCTGACCTAAGTAAAGCCAACCCAACCGAACTCAAGCCATCTCAAATTAACTCAACTCATTCCTACCCAACCCAAACCAATTCAATCTAACCCATCCCCGCAAAATGCAACCCATGCCAACACAACCCAACCCACCCATACCAAACAAAACCCAGCTCAGTGCAACCCAGCCAATTCCAATTCAACTTGGCTTAGCCCAGCCTACCGGTACAATGAACATGTGCCCCATCTCACCGTACATGTACATGTAACATAGTCCATCCCAACTCAACCCTAACACAACCCAGCCCAGCCCAGCCCAGCCCAGCCCATCCCAGCCCAACCTAGCCAAGCCCAAGCCAAGCCCAGCCCAACACAACCCAGCCAAGCCCAGCCCAGATGTGCCCCATCTCAACGTACATGTACATGTAACATAGTCCATCCCAACTCAACCCTAACACAACCCAGCACAGCCCAGCCCAGCCCAACCCAACCCAGCCCAGCCCGGCCCCGCCCACTCCGGCCCACCCCGGCCTGCCCCGCCCCGCCCCATCCCACCCCGCCCCGCCCCGCCCCATCCCACCCCAACCCAGTCCTGCCCAACCAAACTCAGCCCAGCCTGACTACCGTACAGAAAGTAACCGAACCCCAACCCACTGCACCTACATGTGTAGCCCAAAATAATAAATCTCCCTGAGAGTCTAAAATGCTAAGCACAAAGTGCAGCCCCTTGACTTCATACCACAGCTTGCTATGCCCTTTAGTCAGTGCGTTGCCATTGTTGCATCCACCTACACGATTTCCTTACAGCCTGAGGTATATCCTGTTTCTGCCCAGTATATAATTCATGCTGTATACTTAAAATCCAAGTAGAAGGGGGAGAAACATTTTCATTTCCATCTTCAGGGTGCATTCATTGTTTTCCTCTGTGGTTTTCAATCTTTTGACTCATTCTGGATTCTACGTGATGTAACTCAGTAAATACATGTAACCCCAGGAACTGTTGCATCATAGAATGCCTTCAGATATTTTCATTTAATTTCTGACTTTGGTTGTATCGATGAGAAAGTATTCAGGAATAACAGGGTTTTATAAATAATTGCAAAGGGCTTAACAGGCAAATGCTTAAAGATAATAATTTTTGAAGGTGCTTTCCCCGTGCTATTTTCTAGTGTCTCAGTGAAAAAAGAAATGAACATTCCTTTGTTGCTATTTTTCTAGCAATACAAAAGTTATTTAATTCAGAATGAGACATCAAACAAAACATCAGCCCATGTTTAGTCTTGGAATAAGTACTTTCCAAATCATTTTTCGGCTGCACAATAAACAATCATTCAGGCAGACCGTTTTGTACGTGAGAGGTACAAACTGAACCAGAAATTAAAGCCTTTTATAGAGTTGCAGGGGCTCAAAATAAAAAACATAATTTTTGTTAAAAAGAGCATACAATTGAAAATTTGTTACATGTAGGAGAAACATAATCTATTTTGTTAAAAAGCATTGAGGAGGGCATCATTACTTTTTTATGTTAAGTGACTTGAGTAGCAGGTGTCATAAAGGAATTATTCTAAAGTTGCGATTCAAGCGAAAACGTGTTAAATAATCAAAAAAGATTTAATTACTACTTTTGTCTTTATTATTTGTATACTTCAGTTCTAAACATAAAATCACCCACCCAAACCTGTTGAATCGAGCACGTCATAATTACTTTTGACAAGCGGCATTCCCCCGTAAACGAGCGTCCTGATGACGACGTGGCACCATCGTAATGCAGTGGGAAAAAACACCTGAAATGACTCAGTTGTATATAAAAAGACCATGCGTAATGCACGGGCAGGCCAGTTTGCCAGAATGACTCATCCAGCATTGCCTAGCTACTGTTTGTAATCAAAGTGCATTCAGAATTGCGGATACTGGTCATTTTGTTCTGTTTTGTTTTAAATTACGAGACCCAGACTCTTAAATTTTTGAATGACCCCTGGCGCCGTATACTCATCGCCGCCGGCCCGGCTTGAGTTAGGGAAAGCGTGGATTCGGGGCAGGGTTTTAAAATTGATGGATGTTTGAATGAATGGAGGTTGAAATTTTGTAAAATTGGGGCATCATTGCTGTTGTCGTTAGTGGGCTATGCAGGCTTTGCTGTTTATGTATTTTCTTTTTTTGGTGATACTCTAAGAAAAAAAAAGGCAGTTTTAATTTTGGGTAGGGTTGGGTCCATTTGAACTTAATCTTTACAGTTAAGCAGGAAAAAGCAAGAAAAAGGGTTATTTTTTTTTGCTTATCAGATCAGTCTTGTCCAATTTAATTTTTTTTTTTTAAATTGAAACGTTTTGAAGGGTTTAATTTAGAGATATTATGGTGCTGGAAATTTTTGATAGTGACAAAATGCAAGTTTGATTTTATTTGTGCTATTAGCAGCAAAAAGATGCATATTAAAGCAACTGTTGTGATTATTTTTGAAGACATAATTTGCAAATTTAACGCAGTTTTGCAGATCAAAGCATGCAAGTGTTTTTGAAAAAGTACATGCATGCACCACAGTACATGTTTACATATATGTACGTGTACACCATTACATATATTATATGGTGTAATGTTCATGTTTTTAATAGATACATGCAGTTACCGTGATAGCCACTGAGGAAGAAATAAGGAAACTGCATCCGTACACAAATTATAACAGTTATGGAATTTTTCCAAAAATGCTCTCACAAACTTCCAATTTCCAATAGCAATAACAGTGACAGTGTCTGTACCATATAAATTCTCCATCATTAATTAAGATACATGTTTATTAGGAAAACAGTGTAGCATTGTGGTCACATGGTACCGGTACGTGAAGGTTGTCTTTTTCAAGTGACATTGAGGATTTATCTACATGTAGGGAATTCTGATCATTCTGAGGAGAACTTTTGTCTCAGTAAATTTCCTTGTTGTGACAGAACCGTTTCCTAGTATAGCTGCCCAGCTTGTGAATCCCCATTTTGTTTGTCTTTCACTATAAGACATTGCCTAAGCAGGAAGGAATTGTTTCTGGAAGGCTGCCTTGTGGCTGAGGGTTTTCCCATGCCAGCTACTAGAATGTCATTGTTATTGAAGTTAATCATGCGTAACGAAACAATTCATCTGTTGTATACTAGAGTCAGAGGCGGATCCAAGGAGTGTGGAGGGGGTGCCCCCACCCACAGTGACCAAAATATCTCAAATAAGGCCTTTTTTTTAAAACTTGATTCAGCCCTTCTTCCCTCCCCCTTCCCCCTGCACACCCTCTGCCCCTCCCGGCAGTAACCGCTTTGAATCCACCCTGGAGAGTCCCCAATTTGCTTGCATAATGCAGTGTTCACAACTACTTGTGTACACATACAATTTTGAGTGTATGCTTCCTTTAAAGGGAATATACATGTACATCATTGGCTTTTGCTGTAATTTTCAGAAATGAACCATTTGAGGGGTTAGTATAATAGATCAAATATTGTTACACTGACATGTTTGAAGTTTTGTGTTCGAAAATGCTGGAAAAACCAGGAAAAACACAAATGTTCCAGTAGTCTTGTTCCCTGACTCCACTAAAGATGAAAAGGATCAATTAAGTAAGGTAAGGATCAAAATTGTAAGGTAAGGGAACCAGTCTAGCTGGCCTGCACCCATTCATGAACATGTAACCGACAGCAAACAAAATTTGGACTGAAAAAAATTTGGTAAATTTGGAGCAGTAGTTGAAAAATAGTTAGGTTTTTCCAACAGTGGTCAGCCGACCACCGTTGGAAATGTATACAAAAATACCATTTTCTTGAAAATGACTTCACACCAGGTGCCATAATTTTACAGGGTGCTTTAGACAGTCATTTACCAACATCCTAGTAAGATGTTTTGTAAAAACATGGTGGTTTTATTTTGCAATGTTTGCAAATGTGGTATATTCCCTTTAATTGTAACCTGTTAAACAGTGGACAGTATTAAACATGCACATTTATCAATACCTGAGACAGTTTATCAATTCCCATTGGTCGAGAGCCTGTCACGCGGTGGGTTTTACACGTTTTTTTACCAATTTTATTGCTTTTTAAAGGCCTGGTCGCTAATAATAGCCCTCACCTTCGGCTCGGGGCATTATTGGCGGTCAGGCCCTGAACCGGTTTCAAACCCCAATGTTTATAAAGTTCTCCATCACACTATAATTTTCTTATTCAAAATGCACATTTACCTCTTAGTAAATGGACCTTTTTTCCAAAGGCTGCGATGCACTGCATGGCAATCTACAGCCAATTGAATGGATTCTGACATACATGTACATGTAATAGCTCACTGAGGTTTATGGCTTGCAAATGTACATTAAAAACACCCCACTTGTTGGGCTGGGTTCAGTATCGGATCCATTTGTTTTTTTTGCGTGTGAGTCATAAATTTTGGGGCCCAAGGTTTGTTTCTGTCCTAGGTTACCGGTTATTCTGGATGCACTTCTTAATGTATTCTTCCTCCAAGAGTAGGCCTACTGTAGGCCTATGTGAAGCAAATGACCTACCCAACAAATAAAAATTAGCTTAAAGCCAGAGTCCATCATTTGCAGCTATCCAAAAAATAACTGGCGTGTTTATAGTTGAAAAACATACTTGGTTGAAAGATAGTAAGGGGACTAAACTCCCTGTGAAATTATTCTTTCTGGCAAGCTGTCATTTTGAAGAAATCAGCGAAAGAAGGCCTTTCCAACGGTGTCTCTTAAGAAGCACCGTTGGAAATTTCCGTTAGTAGTTCGTTTTTTTCAATAGGCGAAGTGCGCGCAAGCGTTGGCATGACACACATGCGCGTGCGGTTGCTATAATTCGTCGGATCGGTGCGCGACATCACCTAGCTGCAATCGGCTTAGTGAGAGCGTGTCTCGGATGCTGAATTCAGGCCCAATTCAAAACATGATACTGCAACTTTTGATTTGAAATCGAGATCCTAGAATGTTGTTTTTCTCGAAATATACAGCTGAAGCTGAGCTGAAACTTCATCAGGTTAGTTGCTCAGTATCCTTCATTAGAGTTTGAACTCTTTTGTTGCTTCAAACGAACAAAATGCACAAATTACAAATGATGGACTGTAGCTTTAATGTATTCTTCCTCCAAGAGTAGGCCTACTGTAGGCCTATGTGAAGCAAATGACCTACCCAACAAATAAAAATTAGCTTAAAGTCATTTAAAAAAAAATGATATTTGAATTAATAGCAGAAATAGTTCAGATCGAGGTAACTAGGGACAGGAAAAATATCACAATTTGGACCTTAAATTTCATCTTGTACGTGTGTGAACAATCCATTCTTTCGATATCTTGTCAGAAAAAAAAAATCTAACGTAAAACAATTTGACGGTTAACAAATTTCAACAGGAAGACTGAAACTAAATTGTTTATTATCATTTACAATTTGGATGAACATGTATCCACTTCACCTAGCCGAAAGCATTGCACATGTAAACATCATGTACTAGTATATGTACAATATACATGTAGTATAAAATAAATAATAACTACATGTACAGTTCAAATAAAGTCGACCAGGAAGTAAATATGCAGGTAAAAATTGCACAAAACAAGATTTTTGTTTGTGTAAAGGCAGTGCACACGTTCACTTAAATGTGCAGTAATGCACGACCAAAAGAAGACCCGGAAAAATAATGGGTCTTTAAAAAAACATTAGTTGTACTCGTACTCGTAGTTGTAGTCAGGCCACTCACCTGCATGCATAATGTCACGGAAAATGCTATCCATTGTATTTGGAAGGAAAACAAATTTATAATATGGATTTCCCTGCTTTAGGCCCAAAAAAAAAGTCGCCGGTTTCTGGTATGGAGCTTGCCCAAAAAGTGGTGCGGCGACGCGGCTTTTTTTTTTTTTTACCTGATTTTTTTGCTTCAAATGTCGGCTGATGACTGCAAATGGTGCCCGACGAAACTTAGTGCAAATATATGGGAGTCCAGAGAGGCCACATAAAGCTTATTCTCGACCATAACCCAATCTAATAACACGTTAAAATTGTGCAGCAGCAGAATTCCAGTCAAACCAGTGAGTTTGGCGGTTTTGAGACATCATCTTTCATTGAAAAAAAAACTTTTTCATTTTGCCGACGCACATGGCTACGGCGACGCGGGCGCATACCAGAAACCGGAGACTTTTTTTTTTGGCCTTAAAAAAAGTTTTTACATAATACACATAATGTAGGATTTCCCAAAATATGCAATGCTTTGTTGTGCTTTTTTTTTAATGAGAAACGTGTATATTGTCAATGCTTTGAAAAAAAGTGTTAGAAGTTACATGTAACTTTCCACTTTTTTTTTTATTGACCTTAAACATGTTATATTCATTGATTTTACATTGATCAATGACTCTGTACATAATGTACCAAATAAATACGTGTACATGTATGTATAAACTACATAGTGGGAGGCTTTAAAAAGTTGATTTTTTTTTATTATAATAATCCAGAGAAGGAGTAAAGAAGACTATTTAATATAAGAGTAAATACATTTTCTCCTGTGCCACGATCCATCATCAATTATGAGTGACTTGAACCCAGACTACATACCAATAACATGGCGGCACTCACGTGTTGTACATGTACATGTATCTCTTTATGCATGGTTAGAGCTGTAGCAAGATCTGGTTTTCTCATCAGCTGAGGCCGGCCAGACTGCCGGGCAGCTCAGTTGACAATTTGTCTGGCTGAAATAGTCTGGTAATTTGCATAAATTGCACATGTATTTTTCCAGTCAGCTCTTCATATGGATGTTCAAGTACACGTGTAATTAAATGCATTCATAGGCACTTCTTTGTGGATTTGTGGTCACAGTGTTTCCTCAAACTCGAAAACCATAGAATTACAGTGTTGAGTGCAATTAAAGGGAATATACATCATTTGCTTTTGCTGTAATTTTCAGAAATGGATGGAATTGGGGGGTTGGAAATATATATTGGGGCCAGTATTTGAAAAAAAGCCAGTTTTTTCCAACGCTGGTCGGCCGATCAGCGTTGGAAATTCATACAAAAATACCACTTTTCTTGAAAATGACAGTATACCAGGTCCCATGATTTTACAGAATGCTTTTCATTCACTAACAGTCCAGCAAGGTATTTCAAAATGATTTGGTAGTTTTATTTTTTGATGTTTGCAAATGTTGTATTTTCCCTTTAAGCTAGTACAGAAAGTTGCAGACAGACATGTACATTTGTGCATGTATACTGAACAAAAAATTATATCTGTACTGGTAGTATGGGCATTGCCTGTTGCACACATGTCAAAGACTAAAGAATTGCTTTTTACCAGTTGGGAAATATTTACTTTTGTTCTTTTTTGAATTCATTGCACTATAGACCAGAAATGCAATGTACAAGTTTCTACATAGAGTATGAATGATGTACAGTACTGTACATGTACATGTACATCACACCATTTACCATACCGGTATTTGTTTTTGTATGATTCTTTACTTACATGTACATTACCATATAAAATGTTATCAGACATTCTTGATTTATGAAATTGTTAAAGAAGTCCAGTACATTTACGTACAGTACATGTATACAGATTTCACAACATTAAAGGTACAACTTTCCTGTTAAGTTGCCATATTCTTCCAAGTGCTTAACATACACTCAGGTTATGTTAAGGGATAATTTTTTCTAAATACCTTATTTATTCATTTATACATATGTACAATACAACTATAATCCAGTGCCAAAGATCTGGCAATTAAATTAAGTGTTGCAGGACATATGTGCGTAGGTTTGCAATGTGGGGGTGTTGTTAAATTTGAACCAAAAGAAGTGCGAACATGTGTTCTTCAATTCACAAGGATTTGGGGAGGGTGGGCCGTCCAGTGCCACAGTTATGATGACCAGTGGTTCAACGCGAAGGTGTGAGTACAACTTTGACATCTGGAAAGATCAACCATTTGGGTTCTTGAAAGGTCTTTGTCTGAGGTCCTGAAAGAGCACCAGCTGTTGAGGTGTTGTACATGTACTTGTAATCAAGTCCATCACAAGATAGGTGACAAGTAAATCACATGTCAATCACAAGTCGGGTCACAAGTAAATCACAAGTCTGGTCACAAGTACATCACATGTCTGATCTCAAGTAAAGCACAATTAAGTCTGGTCACAAGTAAATCACAAGATCAGTCGCAAGTAAATCACAAGTCCATCACCAGTCTGGTCACAAGTAAAGCACAAGTCTGGTCACAAGTAAGTCACAAGTCCATCACAAGATCAGTCGCAAGTAAATCACAAATCCATCACAAGATTAGTCACAAGACTGGTCACAAGTGTGGTCACAATTAAGTCTGGTCACAAGATCAGTCGCAAGTCAATCACACGTCAATCACAAGTCTGGTCACAAGTAAATCACAAGCTCAGTCACAAGTAAATCACAAGTCTGGTAACAAGTAAATCACAAGTCTGGTCACAAGTAAATCACAAGTCCATCACAATATCAGTCGCAAGTGAATCACAAGTCCATCACAAGATCAGTCACAAGTAAATCACAAGTCTGGTCACAAGTAAATCACAAGTCTGGTCAGAAGTAAATCACAAGTCTGGTCACAAGTAACAGGGTATGAACAATAAACCAAGGAATGCCTTTTGTCAAAGGTCATTTGAATAGCTTGTGACTTGAATTGGGACTGGATGACTTGTGATATCCAGACTGGTGTTATGAGGACTTGTGTCGGACTTGACTACGAGACTGTGCTTATGTTTTTAGAACAGTGCTCTCCGAGAAGTTTTGTTAATATGAATATTCTCTTTCAGTGTAATAATTTAAACCTTGTTGTTTTGTAATTTTCTGTTTTGCAGAGCCGAGAGATGATGGCGGAAGTGCACACGGAGCTCCTTAGAGTTATGAACGAGCTATATGCGGTGAGTCAAGGTTTCCGTTGTTTTTCAACTATCTTGTTATTATGCAACAAATGATTGGACAAGGGACTCTGTTAACCGTCCCGTTCACCCAACACCGACCCCGCCCCTTTTTCAATTTTCTGATTACCAAACGTCATCAAAGTGGATAAAACTTTAACTTTTCAACCAACACATTTATGGTAACTGTGCCTTTGGGAACTCAATGCACAGTTTGCATTAACCCTTAAACCTTCCAAACTCCATCAAAATCCATCCCCCCCCCCCCATTTGGGGGGATTTTGGCAGACAAGCCATGTGTACCAAGTCCATCGAAATCCACCTATAGCAGAGGTGTAAATTTGTGGTGGATTTCAGCGGAGTTGGTCCTGAAGCATTATGTGAAGCAGATCGAGTCAGTAATGGATTTTGGCGGACTTACTGTTCTATAGTAAAACCCAGTGGGGAGTTAGGGTTAACGAAACAACATTCTAGTCTACAAATTAGTCAGAAACATTTAGAGTCTGAGATCGGTGGGCGCATCGTTGGCCGATTTACCTGTGATGTAGGGTCAACATAATTGAAATATTTACAACCATACATGTTGTAGGGTCTGAGCACCTCATGATGTGAAGCTTGCTAGAGAAGTTGGCCATTTAGGTACATATGTAAGGTGGCATTTTTAAGGCACAAAGCAACCATTAGAATTTCAGAATCACTTTGGGTGTCCTCATATATACACATGTGATGTAAGGTCAAGCCCCTAGTCCATTCAAAAACCCCAAAACTCAAAAGCCCTGAACAAGGAATCTTATTTGTTTGAGCAGGATATCAAGTCGTACCACAATGCGCACAGTGATGAGAAAGTTAACGAGGCTAAATTCAGACAGGCAGAGAACGAGAAACTCAAGATGGAGGAGAAGGGATCCCACAAACGGAGCAAGACTGTGGACAAACACTTTGAGAAGGTGAGATCAGTTATATAGTTTAGAAAGAAAATTCAATGGAGATAGATGCTTAACCTGCTGAAGGCAACAAAAAACAACGGTGGATAGAAGTTGTTGTATATATTGTTGGATTTAACATTCAACATAAGCATGAGAGTCAGTGTTATTGCATAGTGCAAAGGCGTGATGCAACACAATCCATTGTTGTATTGGTTGCGTTTGTTGCATTCTCCAGGTTTTCAGTCTGAGCTGTGTTGGATTCTGTTGCACTTAATTAGCAGGGTTCTCATTTCAGCTATGTTGGCTGTTGTTGCGTTCAGTTGGCTCTCTTATTAAGTTATTTTAGCTGTGTTGGATTCTGTTGCATTTAGTAGGGTTCTCATTTCAGCTATGTTGGATGTTGTTGCATTTTGTTTGCTCCCGTTTTAGCTGTGTTGGATTCTGTTGCATTTAGCAGGGTTCTCATTTCAGCTATGTTGGATGTTGTTGCATTCAGATGACTCCCACTTTAGCTGTGTTGGAATTTGTTGTATTTTACAGGGTTCTCATTTTAGCTATGTTGGATTTTGTTGCACAGAGTAGAGTTCCCATTTTAGTTATGTGGGATGGCATTGCATTTGGTTCTCATTTAGCTTTATTGGTTGTTAATGCATTCAGCAGGGGCTCGCATTTTAGCTATATTGAATTATGTTGCATTTAACAGGGTTCTCATTTCAGCTACATGTATGTTGGCAGGCGCGGTTCTAGAGTCAATATTTTGGGGGGGCTAGCAAGGTGGATCCAGAATTTTTTCAGGGAGGCGTGCTGAAATGTAGACAGGTTATTTTCTACTGACACTAAGGCCTCTAAAAATCATTAGGCGGGGGACGGGGGCTCGTACCAATATTTTCAATGGGGAGCGCTGATAAAATCCTACAATCAGGCACACTATGTTAACTAAAAGTGTACAAATGCACCCTTCTCATTTAGGGGAGACCGTTCCCATGTACGTCAAATTCTTACATTTTGCTAGTGCATTTTTTTTAATGATTTTTTTTGGGGGGTGGGGGGGGGCTAGACAAAATTTGGGGGGGGGGGCTGACAAAAAAATGACCCTGACAATTTTGAACATGTTCAAATTTGTCGGGGCGCTTCCTGATCTTTCACGATCTTTCACCGAACTAACAGAATCATCTCGAGGCAGCCAAGAACCATCCCCGATTTACTCAAGAATTGCTGTTCGTGGCGATTCGGCTTAAAAATTGGGAATGTGTGAACCTAGCATTTGCCAAGTTGGATACTTTTGCATGTAGCATGGTTTCCAATATCAAGAGTGTACTTGTACACGTACCGTACATGTAGATGTTGCTAGTTTTGCATCCACAGATACATGTACATGTATGTATGGACCAACACTCAATCCATTTGTCGGACTAGCTGGGACTTGAACCCAGGTCACAGGGGCGGAAGATGAGGAAAGTAGCACCACTCCAACTTGACCCCTGTTAAATTTTTACTCTCGAAATGCATTTTCTAAGCAATACTTTTTGACTGGCAGCCCCTTCAACACTGACCCCTCTCTAAAGGATTCTGCTTCTTTGGATTACCCCATTCACTAGTGAATAGTGACTGACTTGAGTGTCTGTTAATGAAATATGAGAGAGTGTAACTCTAGGATTGTTAATTCCAGCATTGACAGCTTGATTCATATTGACTGCACAGGATACTCTCTCCGTGCTGTGAAAATTAAAGTGTCAATTTCAACAGATGAAGCTGTGCAGTCATAAATTATACATACTGATATTTAAGCATCTTTTCAGTTTTTACGAGTTAAAAAGAAAATTGGGGTCCAATCCACTGTGGGCTGGATGTGTGATGCCTCTTGAAGTTGGATGTTACAGAATACATGTTCATTGCGTTCCTGTGTAATAGTTGGTTTTGGGGGATCCAGATAAATTTACAGCAAGAGGGAGTAACATGTAAGGGTAGAGTATATCATTTGTCTTTTGTACATTTTTTTCATTTAAAGCAACAAAAGTGTTCAAATCTAAAGAAGGGTGCTTAACAACTAACCTGATGACGTTTTAGCTCAGTGATTGCTGTATATTCCGAAAACACAATATTTTTAGGATCTCGATTTCAAATCTAAAGTTGTCGAGTCTTTGGGAATGTTGTCGAGTCAGTTTCAATAAAAAATTGCCGAGTCATGTTTTGAATTGCACCCAAAATCAGTGTCCGGGACACGTCCTCATTCAGCTGATAATGATTGCAGCTACACGATGCCACACACTGGACCGACAAATTATAGCAACCGCTCGCGTGTGCATCGTGTCAAGGCTTGCACGCACCCATTCACGGCTTTGCCGAATTTGAAAACGGACTACTAACGGAAATCTCCAAAGACGCATCTTTGGAAATGACTGTCTTTTATTGTTTTCTTCAAAATGACAGCATGCCAGAAAGAATAATTTCACAGGTACACGTACATGTAGTTTAGTGCCATACTATCTATAAACCAAGTATGCTTTTCAACGATAATTTCGTCAGTTACTTTTTGGAAGCTGCAAATGATGTACACCACCTTTAATAGAGTCCTTTAGCTGTTTAATGTTTTCTTTGTACATCTGCACGTAATGCTTTCATTGATTTCAGTATTTTAAAATGAAATAAGACTGTAAGTAAAATTTATATGCATGACATGACAGACCAAACAATTCTTAAAGTTACTTGCTGCACATTATGTGCGTGTTGTACCTATTGTACAATGTACAGGTGTATATGGGTCTTTCTTTAAATTTAAGGTCCAAAGTGTGACATTTTTCCTGTCCCTGTTGCCTTGATACTTGGTAATCTAGCTGCCATTCAAGTATAAGACTGACCCAACAATTTTTGTTTTTTAGTACATGTACAATGTAGGGGTTGCTCTTCAAAATCACTTTTGGAGGATGGCTATATAATTAAAGGAGTGCATTCAGAATTATGCAATCATAGATGTCAGATGTAACAGGGACAGGAAAAAAAGTGGACCCCAAATTTATAGAATGACCCATATAGCCCGACAGACTTTGTATTAAGTTTGTAATGCAAGAAACAATATATGGAAGACAATGTTTATGGATTTTTTTATCACACAAGTATGGCCTCATGCTGAGTGAAAAATCATCACAGGAAGGAACACCCATTTCCCCTACGCAGCAGGATAATAATGGATTAGCTCATTGAATTACATATTTAGCAATCCAAAACAATTGCTCATCTGAGTATCACATGACAATCACCTGACCAAGGCCATTCACGGCATTGTGTACAAATTATCCATGTGTATGGTATGAATTATTCATGATGAAAAAGGATATCTTTCAGATAGTGTGTATAAGTGGATTCTATGTATCCACACTCTGCAATGTCGAGTGTGATAGAAAGGTGGCCGGTGAAATGGGAATTTGGGAATTTCACAGAATATGTGGAATTTCCCATCTGAAAAGAAGATATGCCTTTGAAGAAAATGTACACGTGTGTAGTGGTTTCTACAACAGAGATGCAAATTACAAAACATCCAAATTGAAATAAATTCTGTACAAAGCTTCATCCAAAGCACAATTTGTAATTTTTAAAAAATTGACAGCGGAATTGTTTGACACACATTTGTTCAGTTAATTTTAAAGTAAATATCTACTTCATCAAGCCGTGCACATTATAAAAACCACTGTTTTGAGGGTTTTGATTGGAAAAGAGGATAATAGGAAATTTGACATGTCTGAAAAAATGTAGGCCGTGGGTATTTTATAATTAGAAATAACCAATTTACATTACAGTAATACATGGTTAACCTGGGTATGGGAATTTCTCTACACCCTTTTTTTTCCTCCCAGAGAATTCATTTTCATTTCACAAAGTATGGAAACTTCCCCCCTTTTGGGGAAACCATTTTCACACCTGTTCACACACGTGGGAAACAGTTTTCGCAGTGTACCTTCAATTGCAATGTACTACATGTAGGTTAGGTAACTCCTGAAACAAGACAATTCAATCCTAGTAAAGCTAGTACTAGAGCACACAATATTCTACTCAGTTTATTCAAAATGGCTGTTAATTCACTGGAAGTCTTTTCACTCATGTGGCTTGCACTGTGGGTCAGATTTAGCCCATTTAGTGGCATTACAGGGTATCCGCTTTCAAACGTTCGGGCCATTGTGGGCTTTTAAGCAAGTCTGCTTCACAAGTGACAGTCAGTCAGTCAGTGGGTCGGTAAGGCAGGTACAAAGAGGACTATGGGCTCCGTGCGCCAACAAAAGAGGGCGCTTTTTTACCACTTTGTGAGCTCCGGTGACAGGATACAGAGTGTGTGCGTACCGTACTGCACTGGTTTGTGCAAGTATGCAAGACTTCCTAAAATGTGCCAAAGCCATTAGCCACAGCGTCTTCACGTGAACGCCAGGCGTCATCGGCGCGCGAATACGTTTGAATTTAATTTGCGGTGGTTTCCCAGACTATAATCCCCGCCCCCAATAACTTAGGATCATTCGAAATACGCAGTGGATGGACCGGGAACCAGTCTAGGTCACCCCCAACTCTCCGTTTCTGGCTGTTGAAGGGGTACTTGTGCACGGAGCCCGTAGGTTGGCCCCTCTGGGATTAGAAAAAAATTGCTGACATTTGAAGTGAGTTTGAAGCGATGTTTAAAGAGAATATACAACATTTGCAAACATCAAAAAACAAAACTACCAAATTATTATGAAATGCCTTACTGGACTGTTAGTGAGTAACCTCTAAATCATCCTGTAAAATCATGGCACCTGGTGTGCTGACATTTTCAAGAAAAGTGGTATTTTTGTATCATTTTCCAACGCTGGTCAGCTGACCAGCGTTGGAAAAAATACTGGCTTTTTTCAAATACTGTCCCAATTTACCATAATAGTTAGTCTGAATTTTGTTTGCAATCGATTACACATCTCTGAATGTGTACAAGCCTTCTAGACTGGTTCCCTGACATTATAATTCCCTGATTGCATTTCATGAAAAAAAATTGGAAAATATTTTGGAAATATTTTAGAAAATGTCTTCTTTTTAAAAAAAATCTAGTAATGGTCAAGAGGATTACAGACTAGGAGTTTTGGATCATTTCTCTGAATCATTAATTAGAAACCATGCTTAACAACTGTCTCTGTCACAGACATTACACTCCCTTTCGTAACGCTGGAATTGCCCTACTTTAGAATCTTTTTTTGTTTGTTCTTTCTCCATGTGCAGTGTTCACTCAAGCACCATGAGAGTTCAGTCAGAGCAACCAAGGCCAGGAATGATTACATCATCGCCGTCGGAGCAGCCAACGCAAGCGTTGACAAGTTCTTCCAGACGGACTTGGATAAGATCGTAGACGTGAGTAATTTCAATACATTTCATAGGTTGAGAAAACAAGAAAAAGGAAAAATGCTACAAACGATTATGAAAATATTCATGAAATGTGAGGTATAAAGAGTTGACTAATTTTTCTGTTTTAACAGTAATTTTCCGAGACTGGGAATGAAAGCAAATCTGTCTCAGTGGCCTTACCCCAAAAATCCACTCGATTATTTCTGTGATGCTTTTGACAGAATTGCAGAGTTTCCCCTCCTGATGTCTAGAGCCGCAAACAGAACTCATCGTGTTTGTGTCTGCATATGCAGGCAAGGTGCTTTGAAGGCATCACAGAAAGAAAGTGTTTTTTTCTGTCTCTTGTATTTTGGGCATCTACAAACCTGAAAAAAAAGCTTTTATTTTGCACAGTGAGTAAGTTTCATACTGCTGGATTAGAGCAGTTTAAAAAAGAAATCTGTTTCGGGTTGAAAATTGGAAAAATACTTGACAGTACATCTTTAATAACTCCCCCCCCCCCTCCATCAGTGTCTTGATCTGAGGTACATCCAGCTTGTCCGTAAGGCTCTAAAGGCCTTCCAGACGTCCGAGGTTCAAGTCCAGACCATACAGCAAGACGAGCTACGTCGGCTGGAGCTCTGCATGCGTAAACTCAACTCCGAGGACGACAAGAAGCTCTTTCTTCAGGTCAACTTCCAACCGTTTGTCGGGCCGACGTCATTCCAGTTTCAGCCGCACTCTGGGGACAAGGTAAAAGATTGTTTGGTGTTTTTTATTATTTTTTTTTTCATTTTTTTTTCCAGCACTTTCATTCATATTCATTCAGGTGAACATTCCAAAATTGGAAGTTGAACAGCTGACTTTTTAAAAGATGGAATTTGTGTCGGGGAGATTCATGTAAAATTCTGTAATCTATCACCACTGTTTGCATAGAAGGTCCCAACTCAGCTTGATTTTTCTTCAAATTGCATTTTTTTTATTGGACAGACACGTTCACTAACAGCCCAGCACCAACTACAGAGTGATTTAGAGCACCGCTATGAGCTTCTGTACCGCACAATTGCAGCTCTCAAGATCGAAACGGATGAGGTAAAGTTTCTTGTTAATTTGGTGGTATCCAGGGCATGGTAGGTAACATATCGGGGGAAAAAGTAGTTTGTGATCAATTTTGTTATTTTGTTTATTTAATTTGGTTAATGAAGCTCAGTATTCCGAAGGCAATGTTGCTCGCATTGGTTAAGGAACCTATTGAGAGAAGACAATGAGAAGAAATTTTAGTTTTAAAGATATGTTACAGGTATCTTAGAGGTTGTTCATTGTTATTTAAAAAGTAACAATGAATGCATAAACATTTACCCATGCCAATCCAAGCGCTAGAAGGCCATTGCCCTCTGTAAACTTGGCCTTAACACATAGGGCCTATTCTGGGAACAACTGATGGAATCAGGTAGGGACTGAAAAACCCAATCCACAAGTGGACCAGGGCAGGAATCGAACCTGGACCACAGAGGTGGAAGGCGAGTAAAGAACCACAGCGGGAACCTGACTCCCTGAGTTGTTTCCACTCCAGATCCAGAAGACTCTGAAGGAAGTGGAGCGTAACTGGGTGGAGGACGAGAGCAACCCCAGCGAAGATGAGATCATGACCCAGCTGAGATCGGTCCGCAGGATGGCGGAATCCCTATCCACCCCGGACCTCAACCGGGTCCCTTCCATGAAGAGACAGAGGGTTCTAAAGCAGGAAACCGAGATGTACTATCTGGATGTAAGTCATCCTTCGTTTCATTCTGCTGGTCTTTTATGACTATTCATAATGCCTGAGACAGTTTACCTATTCAATTCCTATTGATCGATTGCCCGTAGGTGGTCTTAAATCGCTGTTTAAACACCGCTGAGAAGTGTTCAGAAGTGGCCAGTAATAAATGGTGGCCCCTGAACTAGGACAATAAATTTATGCTTCATTCTTTGTACTTTATAATTAATGAAAGAGAAAATTGATTCTTGAAAGTTTGTAGGTTTTGAAGTTCAGAAAACATTTTGTTTTTGAGAAAGCAATTAATTTTATAGTGCTTTTACTTCGTCTTTTAAATGGAGAAACAAAACATGGCTTAAGTCTCAGACTAAAAATTTGCACTAAAAATTTCGTCTGCTCGCCATCACTCACACATTATCCCATGTATGTATGAACATAAGTGTAACTAAGCCTACGCAAGAGCAGTGCAATTTAGCTGTGTACCCCTACACATACTGTACAATGATGAACGTTTTGTGTACACACGCTACGCAAAGTCACAAACACATGTACGCATACACAGGCAGCTTGTCTTCTTGCCATTGTAATTAAAACTTTGACAAGCATGAGGTGATGATTTGTTTTCCTCCTACAGAAACAAAGAGAGTATCTACAGAAGAGCAACAGATTAGTTCGCATGAAAGCCAGGCATGACCTGATACAGAAGGGCCTTGGACTGAGTGAGTTGTCCCTTTTTTATCTTCTTGTATTGTAGTTGGTACACAATCATAGAGCTATATTAAATTACTAGAGTGCTAACTCAGAATCTCAGAATCTCAGAAAGTTGACTGGATATCACCGCTAGGCATCATCATCCAGTTTGACTTCACTCGATGTACAAAGTAATGCCTGATGGGCACATCCATGTTTGTGCACAAACCTGTGGGAAAACTTGAAATTTTGTACGGCTTTTGTACGGCTATTTGCATATCTGCGTTTGTATTCCGTACCGGTGCATCATCGAAGCCGATACGCCCAAAACCGAAATGCACGATCACCAAATGAGCGTTTCATTTTGCTCTACGCAAACAGGGCAACGTGGGTGCGTCCCTCCGCTGCAGATGTTTTTCGCCGTGACGTTTTTTGAACCGTCATGACGCGCTTAAGTTGTTTGCGTATCTTCTACTTGCGCGTTGCATTTAGAGTACACTTTTGAAATTCAATCCATTCATTTTGATTGTGTTCTACAAACACGCACATAAATTCAAAATGTCTGCGCCCAGAGTGGCTTCAAAGCGTCTCCGCGCGCAAGAATGAGGAGTTAGCGCTCTAGTAATTTAATATAACTCTATGTACAAAATATTCTTCAGTTTCTCTCGTTTCTCAAGGGAGTAATCTTGTAGTTCCAGAGAGCTAGTCGAGTTGCGATTTTGTTTTGATCTCAGTTTCAAATGTCTTTCTGTACTACTTTCCCTCATCTTTGATGTGTGAATGGTTAACTTAACTTTTTGAACTGTCACTCGGGAGGTAACACACTGAGTATACAGTGTTTATATGTCGGTGAAGGGCAAAACCTAACATTGAATTTACATCACCCCGACGCAAATTCCGTCTTATGAATGGTTTCATTGCGGTACCCGCTGCTACATGTACATCAGATTCGAACCAGCCAACCGATCCCGTTAGCTCGGTGGTCAAGTGCTAAGACGTCTGTACTAGAAAGCAGGAGGTTGTGGGTTTGAGTCCCACCCGAGTGATTTTTTTTCCAACTTTTACTCGGGAAGGTAACACTCGGAGCATACAGTGTTTATATGTTGGTGAAGGGCAAAACTTAATAATGATAACTTACTCCAGTTCTGGAAACAAAGTTGTTTGGGTCAAAATAACTAGTTCAGATGTGCACGCGTGGTTGTTTAATCTTAATTTGAAATCGTGTAAAATTAACCCTATTGTATTGATTGCAAAAATAATATGAACTTTTGCCTTTTTTTTTTTTTTTGCAGGCAATTCCAATTCAGAGAAGCGGAGGTAAGAGTTAGATGTTATGCTAAGGGTTTTGGCTGGGAGGGGGGGGGGGGAGGGGGAGCATGAGGTACCACATTTAATTATCCCCCCCCCCCCAATCGTTATTGTTTTTTTGGGAAAAATATTGTGTTGGCAAAATGGTGTATTTGTCGTCGTATAATACTGCAACGAATAATGCCACCTATGGTCTCACATGAAATTGACCACACTGAACATCATATACATGTAGGGTCGGCATTTTTGCTGCCTCAACCCCCTATTCAAATTGATCTGGGCAATCCCCATGGCTAAGCTTCTGTGGCATGTCATATGATGTGTAATGGTATTAAGTAGTTGTAGTCGGCATAGTCAGTTTTCGAAAAAAGTTAGAGGGAGAATTCCTGAACATAAAAAATAGGTTGGTGTCGAACGATTTCAGTGTGTGTTATTAGCGTAATTAGTGTGTTGGAATTAGGGTGTTTCACAATGCAGTGCGCCACCAAGAGTTTGCTATGGAGAGTCCATTTCTCAAGTTTACGGTCGACAAAACATGGCCCATTCGAATGAGTGTCAGTTGACAACTTGAGCTAATTTGTTATAGATTGGGGCATATAGCATTCTCCCGCTTTATAAAAACACCATATTGATAATAATAGCAAAGGAAAGGGCAAACATACTCGAATCATACGCTTACGAAACTCCTGACCGGAAAAACGAACAATTTCAAATGTCCCGGGCTGCGAATTTGTCGACCATTGCCCACAATGCATTGGGAAAAATGAACTCTCCGTGGCAAAATCTTGGTGGCACACCTGCATTGTGAATCGCCCAAATTGACCTGTGAAATTGACCCCAAATTTCACTTGCACTGTTTTTTTGTGTGTGGATTACAGCTATCCGGCCACCACTCTACAAAGGAAGCAGAAGCCGCCTCGGCCCAAGTCAGTACACAGTGCCCGTCTGTTTGGAGGCAACTTGCAAGAATACCTGGAAGTAAGTGGTCTAGGCCTAATCTCTTCTTCCATTTGAAAAGCGATTACGTTACCTTTTAATATAGGATGGAATTTGGGTTGGGGAGATTTGTAAATTCAATATTGTTATTTTATTCATTCACTGACGTATTTTATGAACACTGTATACTGAGGGTTTTCTGAGGGTTTGCGAGAGAAAAATAAATTCACAAGCTTTACTCGAGTGGGACTCAAACCCACAACCTCCTGCTTTACTAGTGCAGACGTCTTACCACTCGACCACCGAGCTTGCCGGGTCGGCTTGCTGGTTTGATGGAATTTTTGGGCCGGGGTGATACAAATCAAATTAGGTTTTGATTTGTATCACCCCGGCGCAAAAATTCCATCTTATAATAGTCGATGCGGTACCCGCTGCTATGTACAGCAGATTCGAACCAGCCAATTGATCCCGTAGCTCGGTGGTCGAGTGGTAAGACATCTGCACTAGAAAGCAGGAGGTCGTGGGTTCGAGTCCCACCCGAGTGATTTTTTCCAACTTTCACTCGGGAGGTAACACACTGAGTATACAGTGTTTAAACGTTGGTGAAGGGCAAAACCTAATTGGATTTGCTGGTGTGAGTCGGATGTAGTTCATGCTGTGGTCGAGTGATAAGACATCTGCACTAGTAAAGCAGGAGTTTCGAGCCCCACCTAAGTAAGCTTGTGAATTTTTCTAGCACTCCCTCGGACAACACTGAGTAAACAGTGTTTATAAAATGCGTCAGTGAAGGACAAAACCAAATATTTCAAATTTGAAGTTGTCATGGATTCCATTGAGTGATTTTGTGTTAGTAAATGCCAAAGTTCTTTCGGATGTTTTGGCAGCCAAATTTTTTTAATTCCCAGGCGCCCCTTCTATTTAATTGTAATTGTAGGTGGATTATCTGTAATACTAAGTTTTGTTTCGTGATTTCTGTATCAGCTACATGTTTGGTTGACATTAATCGTTTGCTATTTGATCCCAACAGTTGTAAGATTGCAAAAGTTAAAGAGCTGAATTATTTATTTATGTTTTTTCTTTTCATTTTAGATTACCGGGCGTGACATTCCAACTGTTGTACAAAGCTGTGTTGAGTGTGTTTCCCTGTATGGTAAGTTCTTGTCAAACCTCCTTAAGGCCCCAAAAAAAAAGGCTCCGGTTTCTAGTATGCACGCCCGTCGCCGTAGCCATGTGCGTCGGCAAAATGAAAAAAGTTTTTTTTCAATGAAAGATGATGTCTCAAAAGCTCCAAACTCACTGGTTTGACTGGAATCCTGCTGCTGCACAATTTTAACGTGTTTTCAGATTGGGTTATGGTCGAGAATAAGCTTTATGTGGCCTCTCTGGACTCGCATATATTTGCACTAAGTTAGTCGGGCACCATTTGCAGTCATCAGCCGACATTTGAAGCAAAAAAATCAGGTAAAAAAAAAAAAGCCGCGTCGCCGCACCACTTTTTGGGCAAGCTCCATACCAGAAACCGGAGACTTTTTTGGGGGGGCCTTAGGGTTCAGTTTTTTTTTATAGTCATTTAGGGCTGAAAAAAATTGGAAAAAGTTAATGTTGGGGTTAATATGTGATCTCATTTCAAGCTCATAAATAGCAGTCTTCCCCTTTTTTTAATGACACATTTTGAATGTGAACCTTATATTTATTAACGATGCCATATTCTGGTGTGAAATGTATTGCTTTAAGTGAAATTTTTCCTGCCTTCAGAAATTCCAGTTTCGTTATGAGTTGGACCCAATTTCACAGCGCTGCTTAACAGCCGATTTTGTGCCAACTGAGCCTCCGTCTGTTCATAGAGACCGTAAGCAGTAAGCACAGCAAAAGCACGCTTAACCCCAGAGGAAAAATGCTTAAGATATCTCCATGCCCACGAGCGCTTACACGCTAGGAAATAATGTTTAAGCAGCAGCATGAATTGTGTGTCGCCTACACGAAGTTTTGGGAGCCACCAACCAGTCCTACATGGAAATTCAGTATGACCGTAGGACTGTAGACCTGTATGACCTTAGCCCCGTATGTATGCGAAATTTTCAGTTCAGTTTTTGAAAAAAAATGTATAACTTCTATATGCTTTCATGGATTTTGATGAAACTTGGATGCAGTGACCCTTGGGTGGAAAGACACAATTCTTAATCCGACTAATGAGGTCAAAGGTCATGTAGGGGTCGCCAGAAGTCATTGTTCAAGTATGCTTCAAAAGTTCCTTTGTCCACAGAATTGTATGGACTTTAACGTCAGTTACATGGAGTGATCCTTGGGTGGGGTTCGTCACAAGTCTTCTGAAATTGAAGGTCAAAGGTCATCTAAGGGTCAATTGAGGTCATTTAAAAATGCACAAAACTTGACTTTTTTTTAAGAACACAAAACAGGGATCGACCGCGAAAAGAGGCGACACAAGCGATCACTTGTTCGCTACAGTAAGCACAACTTTTCTGCTAGCTGTTAAGCAGCGCTATGAAATTGGGCCCTGCTAGCAAAGTTAGATGGTTATTATAAACTAATCCCTTTTTGTGCTTACATCTTCTCCGACAGGTTTACATCACATGGGTATCTTTAGGATGCCCGGAGCCCATCAAGAAATCGCTGAAATGAGGGAGGCTTTTGAAAAAGGTAAGGACAAAACTCACAAAACTTGGCAAGTAAATTCTTCACGTGCAAAATTGTTTGATGAGCTAATGGAAAACAGCCTGGATATTGCCTTAGGCCAAACAAAAAAATTAGTCGGTTTCTGGTCAGACCAAAGTTCCGAAATTGATGCGGCGATGCGGGTTTTTTTTTTTTTTTTCAAGCGGTTTTTTTTTTTTTCCAAGCGTGGATTGTACTGACAAGGTGGGTACTATTTTGCTTTTTTGTGTCCTCATAAACCTTGGTGTCCTACATCATTCGCCTTGCTTGGTTCCCTCCATCATTTGTAATTTGTCTCTTTTGACCATTTGACAGGAGAGGACCCATTTGAGAGTCTGGATGAGAAGGCTGATATCAACCTGGTAGCCAGCGTTCTCAAGTTGTACTTCAGAGAGCTTCCCGAACCGCTCTTCCCGACCACGTTTTTCCCCCAGTTCATGGAGTGCGCCAGTAAGTTTTGAATTTCTTAGTCATAATTCATAGGGCTGTGCCTCAGAGATGTGGTTTGAGTAGCTGCACCATAATGGGTTGGGATTATAGTTAATAGTAACGAGGTCTTTGTTGGACCAATATAGCTCATTGGGCTGGATTTTATCTCTAGTGTCCTTGGCATGAAGTGACAGAGAATATTTCTATCCCCTCTGGATGGGATGCGAGTCCATGACGGGCTACTCGCTTGCTAATTGTGGTACCTGTTAACACTGATTGGTGTAAAGAGGATTGCTCAAGGACACAGTGCCTTGCCAGCATCTGGATTAGGGTGTATCTATATCTGTATGGGTACGTTGCAGTAACCTATTCAGGCATTAAGGCAAAGGAGAGAGAGGGTGTATGCTGGGATGTTACACTGGCCGAGCTCTTGACCGAGTCGGCTTGAACAAGGTTTTCGTCAAGATGGTTCCAGTCTATAACTGATTTGTTAAAGAATGAGTTTTTAAGTTGATCTGTGTTGCACCAGGATACTTTGAAGCACTTGGAGTTTATGGCGATGGAGCTTGCTATGGTATCCGATGAGGATGTACCGTCAATCTGTCTTGGCCGAATTTTTCTGCCTTGTTTTCTGGGTGTAAGGTATAGATGTGAGGGGATGGCCGGTACCAGCCCTGCAACTACCTTGTACAGGAGTATCAGGCATAGTTGCTTTCGTCTTTCCTGAAGGGATGGTAATTTCAGGGTTTGCAGCATTTTAGTAATACATCCTGTTTGCCGTGATGTATAGTCGCCAGTGATGAAGGGTGGCATGGGTGGCTAGTGCATACAGCGCTTGCCTCTCACCACTGCTTGCCTCTCACCACTGGTTCGATACCCGGCTGCCTGGACCATATTTGAGCAGAGTTGTTCGTTGATTCTCTCCTGCGCCACAAGGGTTTTTCTCCGGGCTCTCTGGTTTTCCTCCCTCCTCAAAAATTAACACTTATGATCTCTGGCTGTGCTTCGTGGTCAGACATGGGTTGTATGGTGGCAGCCTAAGGCGCCTTTAATTGCCTTCGGCTTGATCACGTTGTAGCTGCGTCCTTTGCAATTCGGCTTCTGCTGCGAGAAAGGATGATAAGGGTCCCTCCCAAAAAAATTATTATTATTTGAACCTTGCCTTCCCAAATATGGTGGGAAAGTAATGAGAGTGCTCTTTTATATGTAATTCTATTTTGTCTCTCAATATACTAACAAAAAATCCAATTGTTTTCCAACCCAGAAAATTACCGGGACGCAGACAGAATACCCGAGTTGAACAGACTAGTGAACGAGCTACCCATCAGCGTCATGATTGTAATGCGCTACCTCTTCGCATTCCTCAAAAGGTAGGATCAAAACAAAAACCACCCCCAAAACACAAACAAAATCAAGACAAAACAAAACATTTACCGGTAAATTTCTATGAATCACTGGAAGCCATTCCTCCGCCAGTGGTCAAGTTGTTATAACATGTGATTTTGATCTTTTACAAAATTGTAGATTGTATTCTAGTGATTGAGAAATTTATCAAGTAGGCACAGGAAGTACTAGACATACTGACCATCAGACTTTCATATGTACGTATAAAAACAAAGTGTTTGTTTTTCTTATATACCGGTACTTCTACTGATTAGCCTAGCCAGAGAGGTAAATTTTGGTGAAATAATCTTGTTCAAATAGACAGGAAAAGAAATGTAATGCTGTTTATACATTTAAGGATAAACCTGTGACATTTATTCTGAATTCATGAATACCTGAGACAGTTTACCCATTCCTATTGGACGAGAGCTCATCTCGTGGGTGGTTTCAAACCGCCTGTAAAACACCGCTGCGTTCTGCACCGCGGTACCCACTGCGCGGGCTCACCAATCTCCATATAAGGAGATATTTAGCACTAAGCGCGCGAGGCACATACCATAGACATGGCCAGAGGGATGTTTCACAACACATGGAAAAAATTTGTTGAACAATATCGTTGGGATTTTGTCCATTTTTGATATATTTTTACTTTTGACCCTAGCCTTTCGGCTCAGGCCATTGTTGATTCCCTTTTTATAACTATCTTTTGGAGGTGTGTCAAGCTGGTTGGGATTTGAATCACAATGATCACAAGCATTTGCAAAAATTAGTTAGTTAGCATAAATATTAAAAAGAGAGCAAGACTATGCTTGCCTTGTCGAGCTGGACTTAAGCGTCTCAGTTTAGGATCAAATTTATTCTTGGTTACTGTCAGGCAGGCAGTCAGTCAGACAGTCATTTGAGTGCGTTTGATTACTTCCCCCAGCTTACTCGTGCCTCGCTCCTCGCGTGATGACAGACATGCGCAGTGGAGCTAAATAAACGAACGGTTTCGGGTAAAGTTTCGTGCAAGAGCTGGAAAGTTGAACTTTTACATGACACTGAGGCTGCATCCGAATCAACTGTCTAGAGCTAGGTCTAGGTCCGCGCCCATTGGAAATATGCGGGGACGCGCTGACAATAGACGTAGCCCTTGCTCTGGAAGCCCGTTTCGGACACGGCCTGAGGCGCCCGCTGGACGTCATGTTGGCAGCCTTGTTTATTGCATGGCCTTAAGGGATACTTACCCAAGTAACCGGCTCGGCGAGTCGGTTACTTGGGCCAGGCTCGAGTAAGCGCGAGAAGTCATGTGAGAGGTAAATCGAACGCTGTCGCGCTTGCACGAGTAAGCGCGGGGGAAGTAATCGAACGCACACAATGACAGAGTCAGTCAGAAAAGCTAGCCCCGTGATTCAGTCAGTCGGAGGACAATAAATTCTGTGACTCTCGTTTTTTCCTCAAGTTTCTTCATTTTTTTCCTTCTCCAGACTGGCCCAGTACAGCGACGAGAACATGATGGATTCCCACAACCTGGCTGTCTGCTTTGGCCCGACCCTGATCCAGCAGCCGGAGTCCGACGAAGACATTCTGATGTGGCAGTCGCACATCAACGACCTGGTCCAGACTATGATTGTCTTTCAGGAAGATATCTTCCCTCAGGAGCCGGGGACCCTATATGAGGACCCATCTATCGTCGATCTAAGGTGAAGACCTGGGCAGTTGGGGAGGGGGGGGGGGGTTATAACCCACCTTTGCTACTACAGTTGTGGCTTCAGGCCTCAGTGTCGTGCTTTCTGGCAGTGTTGTAGTCAAGTCCATCACAAGTCCATCACAAGTCCATCACGAGTCCTCACAAGTCCTCACAAGTCCATCACAAGTCCATCCCAAGTCCATCCCAAGTCCTTCCCAAGTCCTTCACAAGTCCTTCCCAAGTCCTTCACAAGTCCTTCACAAGTCCTTCACAAGTCCCTCACAAGTCCATCACAAGTCCATCACAAGTCCTTCACAAGTCCTTCACAAGTCCATCACAAGTTCATCACAAGTCCATCACAAGTCCATCACAAGTCCTCACAAGTCCATCACAAGTTCATCACAAGTCCATCACAAGTCCATCACAAGTCCATCACAAGTCCTCACAGGTCCATCACAAGTCCATCACAAGTCCATCACAAGTCCATCACAAGTCTATCACAAGTCCATCACAAGTCCTTCACAAGTCCTCACAAGTCCTCACAAGTCCATCACAAGTCCATCACAAGTCCATCACAAGTCCATCACAAGTCCATCACAAGTCCATCACAAGTCCTTCACAAGTCCTTCACAAGTCCTCACAAGTCCTCACAAGTCCTCACAAGTCCATCACAAGTCCTCACAAGTCCACTGGTGGTTTACTATTGACCGGGCGTGTGATGGACTTGTGATGGATTTGACGCAAAACTGATTTCAGCTGTGGCGCATGCTGTGGCATGTTGAATTTTTTTTCTCCTAGTTACGATTAGGTTTTTAATTTTTGTTTTTGTTTTTTCAGCCCCAGTCCGAGTGGTAGCCTAGAGACTATACCTGAAGGAACTACAGATGATGATTCCAACAGTGGTGAGATATTGGAATTGAATGTTATTTTTTTTTTTAAGATACGATTTGAGTGATTGCACCATGTGACTTGAATTCTCTTTTGTGTGAGTTTGTGCGATTCTGAAAGAACTGGAAACACTCAACATTTTAGAGAGTATACTTCACCCGTCATTGTGATGGTTGAGGCATCCAGCTTCAGGCCATGTCATAAGCTATTCATCTGCCATTGTTGCGAACAAGAAAGGGTGCTTGTTTTACCACTTTAGAGAACCCCGTTGACGGGACATACCACAGTGGAGGGATGACCATTGCCTCAATCCTTCAAAATCTTCCAACAATCCCTGCTAATGGGCTGAGGCAGTGCCGGTGACGTTCTGGATGATATATCCTCAGTGTGGATGACATCAAGCATAATGCAAGGCTCAATTGTTCATGGCTGAACATAAACAATGCTGGGTACAGCCTACGAACTCGACACAATGCATCCCCAAAAATCATCCTACATGTTCAGACATTCAGCTTGAATCCTCCAAAATCCTCCAGGCAGTTTTGCCCGGAGGATTTTGGAGGATTGAGGAGGGTTAGGATTTTAAACGTTATTCACACTCTGTTCGTTGTGACCTGACTTGTGAATTGACTTATGATTGACTTGACTGCAATGCCACTTTTCTGTGTTTTCTTTTTTTGGTTGTCTGTGGTTCAAGGTTTCCTAGCGACAGCCAAGGCAGACTACATCGGTAAGTCAGGCAGTGAGTTGACCTTCAGCAAAGGGGACCAAATCCGCCTCCTGAACAAAATGGACGAGTACTGGTGGATGGGTGTGGTGGGGGACCACAAGGGTTACGTGCCCATCCAGTACGTGGACGCACCGGAAAAGTAAGTAGGCTTGATTGTTAGATATTTATGTTCTTGTCTTGGAAGTGAAGGGTTTTTAAAAATACCAATGAATTTTAAAACACGCTTGCTAAAAAGTGGTAGCAGACTTTTTCTTTTTGTACAGATGCATTCCCCTTGCTATTTTGGAGGTTCACCCTGAAAAATGGATTCCTTTTCTCAATTGCCCTTTTTTTTTTCTTCTAGAAACACAAAAGTTATGAGACGTCGACCAGAAAAAAAAATAATCGGCTCACGTTTAGTTATTGAATTATTATTTTTCTTACAGTAATTCCATTCCTGTGGGCTAGGCTGGTTCCCACCCCATGATCAGTATCAATAATGTAGGGACCGGGAGCCAGTCTGCTTGCGAGGCTGATCTGTTTGTGACCAAAATTAAAACTGTTTTTCAGAGAGAGTTGCAGACGCCCAAATAAAAAGAATAAAGGACATTGGTTAGAATAAAAAGTACAACTTGAAAATGTATTAAGAGAATTTTTTTTTTTTTGGGGGGGGGGGGGAACTATGTTCAGATGGGGGGGGGGCCTTGAACTAAAATAATGCCAGCTATGTGCAGTGTTTTGTGGGAATTTGAACAAGAGAAGTTATTTGGTATTCGTGCAAGGTAAGCTTTGAACAAGAAACGTACTTCATGACTTGAAAGTACTTAAATGTACTCGTTCTACATTTGAAACATTGTTCCATTAAATTAAATTTGCATTGGCGGTCTGAAGTTGAATGACTACGAAATGATGTTCTCATCACGCATTTTGTTTTTTATTTATTTGTAGTTTTTTATTGTGTATATGTTTCGTTTTTTTTTTATTTGTATATTTTAGACTGTTTTTGTCTGCAACTCCTGTGATCTGGGTGTAGATGCTTCTTGGGGTAACATTTGGGTTTGATTGCAAAACAAAAGTGGGTTTTTTTAAACGTGTAAATCTTCTCTTATCTGACTTAAAAAGATGCAGCTATTTTTCATCGTCCATATTTTTCCATTAACATGGAGACTTTTTCCGCCGGTTTTTGATATCTTTCTATATTCTCTACCAATATTTACGTAATATTGGATGGCTTTGAATGGGATACAAGAATATATTGCACGAGCTATAATAATATTGCATGAGGTGTAATATTGTAGCAAAAAATGCCATTCAATATTATTCTTATTTACATCAGGCTGACTTGATCCGAAAGGAATAAACTGAATGACGCTGTCTCGTAATAATCGCCGTCTGCTTTCTTAACTTCACATTGACGTAAGGTCTAGTCATTAACTTTGACAAAAATCTGCAAGCTCAAGCTTTACAGCGTCTCAAAAACCATCGGTACATTCTTCTCGGCCAGAAACGCTTGCAGAATATTTATTGTCTTCTTGGTAGCTTTCAAGATATTTTGGTCTGTATTTCTCAAATGTTGTCAAATTATTCTTCACTTGAAGCTTTCAGTTTTGTTGTTGACAAACAACGGGTACGCGTGTGCTACTGTCCCTCGCGCTACGCTCTGTTGACTGGTTGACAACTGTGAGTTTCTACGCTCTAGATTGAGCAGGAACCAGCGAAATGCGCGTCTATACAACAAAACTACCTGGATGTCTATGCAGTAACAAAAACTATATTGTATAGTCATCCAGGTGCTTCTCCAAAAGTATGCGATATGCTGATTTATGTTCAACACTTGCATGCCTGATATAAATAATAATGATGTATATGTCTTTCTGATTCCTGATAACATACACATTTCTTTTAAGTTGGTATCTTATCAAAAATGTCAAGCTTTGATCCTTTGGGCCTGAGGATAAGAGTTCATGCCTTGCATCTGAAACAAACATTACAACCACTATACGTGTTGGAATGTGGGGTAAGGTGGACATTCGAGTACATGTATAAGGAACATTATTTGAGGAATGGTCCTGCAGGAATCTACACAGTATTGAAGGTGGTAGGGAACATTTGCATAATATCCTAAGTTTATAGAATAGGCTGAATTAGGGGCCAGTAATTTATAGCAGATATCATTTTACCAACATGTTCAATGTTTTGTGTCCGTTGGTCGCAGAAAAAAAAAATCAAGGAATATTTTGTTTTTCCTCTGACCGTCGAAGTGTAGCTCGCTGAACGCGTCTTGCATAAAGCCTGTAGGTCACAGGCTGTGCCCGAGTGGGAAGAATTCATTCATGTACATGCGTAACTGAGCGTATGCACAACGTCAATAGTTTGCTTGCGCCCATTATTAAATGGATGTAGTATTTGAAAAAGCCGTTTCTCCAACGATCGTTCGACTGAGCAGTCATTTGAAAATGAAAAAAATATAAGAGATCATACATGTACCAGGCAATACAAATAACAGGATGCTTGTTACTAATACTTACATTGTACAAGCAAGTAAGCTATTTCATAGTAATTTGACAATTTCATTTTTGTTTTTGTGCAAATGTTACCCACTGCCTTTAATACAGAAGTATTACACCTGACCAAGTTTAAACGATTCCTGTCCAATGTAATTGCATGCAGTGCTGTGCACACGTATGCACACTGCATGTACTCAGTATTCTCATGCTTCCAAGTTATTGCATACCTCCTATGCATCATGCTTCTTATACATACATGTATAAGCAACATCTGTTCTTCATGAACCCAGTCAACTTGTTCAGCATGTTCAAACTGCTTATATGCCAATTTCTTCACCATCTCTAAGAACTACAAGTCAACAGACACAAGTACCTTCTTGCTCTACTGAAGAATATCAAAATTTCACATTTGACTCTTTGACTCTTTACTCTTATTTTTATGTCAAATAACCGCAAATTCTTCTTTAAGTGGCATGATGGTATCTGCCCATATCGCTGCAGGGGGTGTAGTCTATGGAATAGCTGCTTGCACACAAGGGTCTATGATATTGGCGCAGATTCAGCGATTTATTATGCAAAACAAGACTGCGTCTTTACCTCTAGTTTTGTACCATTTGGCGGGCGCCTTTTATCGGGTCTTCGGTAACACTCTTTGTATTACATAAACATTGCAGCCAAATTGACCAGTCAACAGCTTAGTCCACATTTCTGATTGAAACGAAGTCACAATTTTTAAAGTCGACTCCGATTGGCTGGCGCGCGGGGCGGGGTCTCATAAAATTTGCAGCTCGGATATATCAGATGATCGCAGTGTGGCTCCCCACACCGTGAATGTCAGATCTTCAGACTACAGGGGGTGTGGCTGGGAACAAAACCTGCTTGAATTCAAGTCTAATTGTGTGGCAGCGTGTGCCATTCTATGTCTGAAGTAGACTCCCAAGAGACGTAAGGAGACTGAAATTGTTTATGATTCACATGTTCTTATATCTAGCTGGAAACCTCGTTCCTCCACAGACCTAACAACTGACATACTGTCACACTTGACTTCCCACTTTGGCTGGAAGGATGCTGCAAAGTTTACTCCAGCAAAGCCAGAATCGGGCCAAAACGGTTGAAAAGCCCATCTGGCCTTCGGTCATATATAATGGACTGTGTAGAGTAATAAATGTAGTAATGGAAAGTGTACAAGTAAACATGGATTGATATTAGTGAAAGTAGAGTTTCCTAAAATTAGCAGTTTAATGGATGTATCACAAGCACATTCCGTTTTTTTTTTCATGACAGTATTTCATTACTATTGTAAGATAAGATTTGAAGCTTTGAATGGTGAAGTCCCCGATAAGGGGCAAGTTTACGGTTGCACCGAGCGACTTGAAATATCCTTTTGTGGGTTTGCGAGTTTCTGCAAAAAAGAACTGGTGGCTACTCAACTGTCTCCTGACAATGGACTGAGCATGCTGTCTGAAAGGTTGACTTTCCACCGGTCCTTATCACTACACAAACTCACAAAAGAGATTTCATGTTATAACTCCTTGAGTCATACAGTTTTTGATACACATAGCTAATACATGAAAAATCCCATAAACAAATCAAAGATTACTTTATATTTTGTGTTCCATCTTTATTTTGAAAAACCCAAACCACCTTTTTTTTTCTACATTGGGTGTTGCTTTCACCAACCTGAATTTCCATCATCAGATGGCTTTTTTTTCACATTCTTTTTCTTAGTTTCTTCGCTGCTTTTTTTCCATGATCATATGCTGCAAATTGCATTTCTGTTTGACATTTGCAGCTCTGCAAAAATAGAAAATATTAGGGATTTTGTACTTTTCTTTGTTAGAGTTTACGTTTCTTATTTCAGGGGTGAGATTTGAGGAAAATGGAAAATCCACGAAACATTGAGATGAGAGTTTTGGGGGCAGCACCGCGGCGGCCAACGCGTACCTGAGGTTATTTGCCGAAGTTATAGGCACAGCTAACAGGAGCCTAGGGAACAAAGCCACGGACAGGCCCGGTTTCATTATACTGGGGGCAAATATACAATAAAAGTTACTGCAAAAGAGCCTAGGCCTGGGAATATATTTTGCATATTTTTTTGACAATTTCTGCAATTTTTGCAATCTGTTGATCCAGTCAAGAAAAAAATATGAAGAAAAGCATTTTTTTTTTCTGTGTTCGATTTTATTGCTGCAGAGAGAAACGAATCACAAAAAATATTAACAACGTTACTTAGTAAAATGTCTTACTTAATAAACTCCCTGGCTTCCAACATGCCTTTTGTAGTGGCTATTTTTTCAAAGCACTAATGCAGCTCAAACTGATGTCCATCCACAGTGACACTTTATTTCAGCCAATTCTTCCGACCATACTCTTAATTCCTTGATCAAAATCTCGCACTGAAGGGTTTTCTCATGGCAAAAGTGACACTGATATGTTGGCTCACGGATCCTCACTACACAGGCTAGCCTGCCGAGTACACGCACAATGCACACACGAGGTGCACACACCATTGAAAATTATTTGAAGTCTGGTCCTCAAGTACTCCACTGTGCACACGGCATTGATTTCTATCAGGTACTAGACCGCATGGATTATTAGACCTGTTATCAGTCCATCCAGTTTTGTAAATAGGGCCTACATTTCGCCGGAAGTCTCACTGAGCGCTGAATACATAGCACATTATTTTGGAAACAGAAAACGCTGGAAATCCGGAATCCCGAAGACGTCTCACCAAAAATCTGGAAATCCAGAAAAAAAAATCCGGAGAAATCTCACCCCTGCTTATTTAGTTTCCTGCCTAGTGTGTACAATGCTTGCTTTTTTCCAATTTCCCTCTAGTGAGAACGGCGTAGTCAGCCATCCCGTCAAACGACAGGTCAGCCGGACAGACAGCGCCGATATGCTAGTCCGCGACATCGACACTAGGATGGCGAGCGTGGCCCAAGCCCTGACCAGCATTAGTACTGTTGATACCACCCCGGCCTCGACCCCGGATGTAATCAAGGATATCTGGACGTCTGTCACACCCTCCTCCCCTGGGTTGAGCACACCCAAGTCCAAAAACCCCCCACCGGCTGTCAAGCCCAGGCCATCCGCCAGACCCACTCGACCCATGCCTTCCTCCTCACGCAAGCCACAGTCCCCTATGAGCTCCTCGCAAACTTTATGAGGACACAATTCACAAATTCCTTTTTTTAGTTTGTATGCCTCCAATCAATAGTTTGTCATTATTGTGGCCAAAAACTTGGGCACACCATATCTTTCTTTTTTTTAGGTTTGTATATTTTGCAGCAACACCACAATTTATTGCAATAACTGCAAAATGTGGGAAACAGTAAAAAAATAAAAAAATTAAAAGAGTTGAAACTGCTTTTGTTTTAAAGCAATCGTTGTTACTATTTTTGTTCATATTGGATTGCAAAGTAAATACATGGCAACGCAGAAGTCAGGCTCAACAAGTAATAACAAACAGCGTAGAAATAGAACAGCATTTTCTGTGGATGAACATGAAACTTTTTCCTCCAGCCCAACAGTGAAAATGGTGACAGACTCGCTAACAGGCTGTGACCTAATATACAAGAAATAATATTACTTTATACATTGGCTTGGTTAAACAGTGGAATATTCTTCTTGAGCGGTGCAATGCTCATGCACAAAGTTCCTGTTTTCTTTTTTTTTAATAGCTTGAACAAATTTTATACCTGCAAATACCATGGGTGCTCGATGCAAAATTCCACCAGATGCTTTTTTTTTATTTCCTGTATATAAGGGCCTTTTTGCAGGCCAAGTTTTTTATTTGCAAAAAACTGTAGTATAGATTTTCCCGGCTATTGTAAAACGTTCATCATTGGAATTCACAGTTTCTAATATTGAAATTCATCCATCACCATCGATAAAGTGTACTTCCAATGTTTAATTTTGTCTTTTGTCAGATGATTTTAAATTCAGTTCAAGCAAATTCAAACAATGAGCACACGTTTTCGTCCCGGAGTATTCAAATTTGTCTCATTGATTTAAAGATGAATTTGATCACTGAATGGTGCCATTCAGCAACAGCTTAGACGAATTTGATCGGTAATGACAAATATTCTCGACCCGGTGACTAAAGAGGGTGACCAAACTTTGAAATTGAACATTGGTCTTTGTAAAAGCGTGTGAAATTTTCCATAGATGAAATAGAATGTTAAGAGTTGTTGAATTTGAATGAAAATCTTTTAAAATAGCTGAGAAAACCTATATCAAATGTTGAATTCCTCATGAAAACTAAAACAAGTTAGCTTTTCCCATCCTGCAATTAATTTATTGTAATACCTTGCTTCATCTTAACACTTCACAGGTGGAAAACGTGATCATTTGTTGATTTATCAAACAGAATAGGAAGCCATTACTGAAGAGGAACTGTGCCTGCGCGTACATGGGAACATTTGCCTTATGTGCATTTGTTTTATTCATTGCAAAATGTTTCTATGTGCCTTTAAAGTAGAGGTGCACAAGCACAAGGTAATATACGACATTTGCTTTTGGTGTAATTTTCAGAAATGGATGGATTTGGGTGATAGTATTCCATAGCAAATATTGTTACACTGACTTGTTTGAAGTTTGGTGTTCATAGATGCTAAAAAAAAACAAGGAAAAAAATGCTGTTGGTCTGGTTGCCTGACCCTACTTCAAATGAAATGGAGCAATTTTAAGACTTGGGGGAATTGTCAGGTCAAGGAACTAGCTAGCTTGCACCTGTTCATGGATATGTAAAATGATTGCAAACAAATTGTGGACTAACCAAATTTGGTAAATTGGGGGCAGTATTATAAAAAAGTCTTCTTTTTTTTCGGCGATGGTCGGCTGACCATCGTTGGAAATTGATACAGACTTCAACTTTCCTTGAAAATGGCATCACAGCAGGTGCCATGATTTCACAGGATGCTTGAGACTATTATTCACTTGCAGTCAAGTAAGGTACTTCACAATAATTTGGTAGTACTGCATTTAGATGTTTGCAAATGTTGCATATTACCTTTAACTCTATTGGTCAATGGAGCACGGATTGCATACACACCAACAGCGCTCGAGCGTGTCTTTATGTAGAGAGATCAGTGGTTCCACTTCAATAATGTCTGCTTGTCGAATTACACATATCCTACCGGTAGCAATCGTATTTAGAGCAGTTCTCTCAACAGTGTCATGTTACACAAAGTCATATTTGTTGTTGATTTTTTTTTACATTCAAGAGCTTCAAATGTTGCAACAAGTTATCAACTTCCATTTTGTTTAGTATTGATGTGATCAAAAATTGTCATTGCTGTAAATGAATGTTCAAATAAGTATCCAAACCAAAGCTTTCAGTGTTAAAACCATTGTAGGACCAGTGTTGGAGTCGAGTCCATCACAAGTCCCTGCAAGTCCATCACAAGTCCCTGCAAGTCCATCACAAGTCCATCGCAAGTCCATCACAAGTTCTCTAGTCTCAAGTCAAGTCACTAGCTATTCAAAAGAACTGTAACCAAAAGCATTCCTTTGTCGTTGTTCATCCTGTTACTTGTGACTGGACTTATGAAAGGACTTGAGATGGACTGGACTACAACACAGTGTAGGACATCAGAGACCTTCTCTTTTTCCATTGTGTACAAAGGGGTACATTTGTACTTGGAGGACCGAGGTTGTTGGTGCTAATATGAAAATCATCTGTGCTTGGTGTTTTTCATTATAAATTAAACTGTGGTGTACTGTTACTTATGAAGTTATTAAGTACAACATTTAGTCCATCAATTTGAACAAATCTTCCTAATACAATTGCACTTATCTTGCAAGATTCTTATGTTGTTTAGGATACACACAGCATCCCTAAAAACAGGGGAGAAATTGCAATGGGCATACAAAAACTGGAGTTGAAATATATAAGACCTTATATCATATGAAATTGTAATAGTTGACAGTACCCATGCAAACTTTTTTGTTAATTTACTGATTGTGTATGTGAGGCGTTCTTAGTGTCAAGTCCACGTGAAAGTTTTGAATATTTTTTTTTAAAACATCTTTTATAAAAGTTGAAAGTTGACAAATATTTATGAACAGTCACCAGTGGCCATTTTAAAATGTACAATGTAAAGTGTAATGGGATTTTTATTCTGAATCTGATTCGTAACTTTGGCAAGGCATCCAATCGGAAATAGCATTAACTTTTTGCATGTGGAGCCTGACTTACCCATATATTTCTGAGGCGTTCTGGCAAAATGAGACAGAACTGGGCAGAGGTCGAAAGACTGAGTGTTGCAGTTCAATCGGACATTCCGTTGACAAGTTATGGGTGTTTAAAGTTCGCATTTAAGGACATGTCCAAATTTTATTATCAATATTTTATGTCAAAATTTGCAGCCACTTATGATAAATCTGTTTATTGAAGCACTGCAGCAGTTAAATGAATGTTGACTGAGATGTGTTCAGAATTCAGATGTGAATGAAAATTCCATTGTGTGGCCAAATTTGGCTGGGTAAATGCAAAGCAAGCCATGGCACTGGCCACATAGAGGCCAGTGGTAGCCGCAGTAGAAGGGATCTGTATGAAAAATGGAAGCCACAGTAAGGCCGTGTCCGAATTACTTGGCTACGGCTTGAAATTACACGCGAGTCTATGGGAAGTGGCTGCAGCCGCTACCATAGACACGTGTGCAACCATGCATGTGCTACCATAGACACGTGTGCAACCACACGTGTGCTACCATAGACATGTGTGCAAAGCACGTGTGCAACCGCACGTGTGCAACCACACGTGTGCTACCATAGACATGTGTGCAACCGCACGTGTTGCTATCACACGTGTTGCAACCACACGTGTTGCTACCACACGTGTTGCTACCACACGTGTTGCTACCACACGTGTTGCTACCACACGTGTTGCTACCACACATGTGCAATTTCTAGCCATAGCCTGTAATTTGGACATGGCCTAAATTTGGTTGTTTCCGGTGCTTTTCCAAGTTTCCTCATTTTTTCTTTGTTCTTCCTGAGAACAGTTCTCAACATAATTTACTTCCATCTTGTAATTCGATATTTTCCCCCTTTTTGTGAAAGTGGGCAGAGGGGTTGCTATATTTGTAATCTATTTTCCTCTCTAGATTTGTCTTTTTAATTTTTTTAACTCCCGTCTTGAGATTAAAAATTCCAATGAAAATTTTTTAACAATTAAGTTAGTTATCCTGCGAGCGCGAGTGGAATACAGAATAATTTAGTGCTCTGTGTTCTTCGACCGAGTGGGACGTAGACGCACGACATTATCCGTGCTCCATGAACGCGAGTGGAATAACAAATTTATGTTCAAGCAAACTTGACGCACAGTGAAGTTGGAACATGCACGTTTTGCACGAATCTTTTAAGCGGTTATCCTGCGCATCAGCTGGAATGGCGCACGCACCTTGGAAAGCGCGATACGGGGAGTGCGATATGGAGCGTGGTATTAGGTATAATACAGCATGGTTTGTTGCCATGGATCCACCAATCAGGATCGAGGATTGGATCAACCAATCACGATCAAGGATTCAAGTTTGCTTGAAGACTTTATGGACAATCTGTAATTGACATTGCACTTGGGAATATATTGTCCCCCTTATGATTTTTTTTAAAGAAAAATGTTTTTTTAAAACCTGTACATGCAAATTTATTCTGCCTTAGCTTAATGAATGAAATAGTACTCTGCTTGGTGTTTTATTAAATAATAAATATTTACCGGTGCCTCAGTGGATGGATGGAATAGTGTACATAGAAACAAATAATTGCAATGACATAACATTTTCATATGCTTTTAATGGTAGGGAATAAAAGTTTTAAAACAGGCCATTTTTATCTTTCATTTTTTTTGGGGGGGGGGGGGTATTTTGAATATAAATGACCAAGATGTTGGGAAGAGTCTATGCATTTTTTTAAAACCTGTTTTTATGATGTCATATTGATTGTGGATGAAATTATTGGGGGTTTTTTTGGCTACTGGAAGACATACAGTTACCAGGGAAAGTTGGCTGTGTTTGCATTTTCTCTGTCAGCTGTAAATCTCCCATCCCCTGTTTTTGAACGAGGGATTGCTACTGTTTGAAAAGGAGGGGGCACTAGTCCCTAGTCTTAGTCCCAGATGTGCGAGGCAGCCAGTAGAGGGCGCTGTCAACATGATCCACTCAAGCCAGGGGCAAGATTTATGGAGCTGCTAAGCACAGACATTTGCTAAACTAAGGCTACCAGCCAAAGTGCTATACATTGTATATTACCTGTGACTGGTTTACCAGCTAATTTTTGCTAAGCGCATAAATTAGCTCGGCAACATTTTCTGCTTGGCAGCCCTGAAACTGAATCCACTAGGCCAGCTTTAAGCAGCACGGCATTTGAATGCTTTTTGTAGCTAGTCTCCTCACGTGAGTGGATCAAGTAAGTGGCATCCTCTACTGGTGGCCTTTGCAGGGACCAGCATACATCAGGACAGCAAAATCTTAGCAGTGCATCTTGAGCCAAGACTAGCAAGTCTTATTTCCACTCATTTCAAAACGTCTTGAGTTTCTTTTTTGTGAAATACCTCTCTAGCAGACTGGAAAAGACAACTTCTTTGTGTTACAAGCTCAAAGTTATTGAAATAGGTGATAGGTCGTCTAATGTTACAGTTATGCATGGGCCTTATTGGTGGATATTTGTAATAGGGAAGGGAGGGTCATCTATGGACAAATATTTGTAATGTGTTAACATCCCTGATGTGTACTGTATCAGTCTGCGTGTATTTTTATTCTTTTAAAGTTTGTATATTCCCAGTTTTTGTTTAGCTGTGGAACACCCCCCCCACACAGTATTCTTTTGTTATGCAGAAGCCTTTTTGTATAACTGCAGTTATATTTTAAGCAGCTAGGTAAGATAATGAGAAATGGTACAATATGTTTTTGCGGGTTTGTCAAATTTTGGTTATGCCCCGAGCTTTGGCTCCATCAACAACTCGAGTACCATAATGGAAGGTTTTAATGTTGGAACCAAATGAAGAGACTCCTAACATATGGAGCCTGAAGCTGAAGCCAAGAATTGAAAAATGGCTGTAGATCTCATGAATTAGAATTAAGTGTAAACGTACATTCATAAATGTGTTAAATAAGATGGAACTGCAGAAAAAAAGAGAGGTGCAAACTACATGTACGTTAACATCGTGTAGCGTTCACCAATTTTGCAGTACAATGTATTAAATATTAAAATAAGCATACCTAATTATACCAATTATTATAAGCGTGTGTGATTTCCATAGGCTTGTTTGTAAAGTGAAACCATTTGAACTTGGAAAGCCTCGGTCAAGTAAAAGATGGACATTTTTTTTGTAAGGCTTTTTTCTATAATTTGTGTAAGATGCACTGTATATCGGGAGGGTGTTTTTTATATATCATTTTTTTAAAGAATTGACTGATTTGAGTATACCGAGGGATTTTAAATGGAATTCTACTTTAATATGCCTTTCTTGCAGAGACTGTTTTTTTCCTGCATTACTATTTCATTTTATCTGTTGCAGTAACGTAAGTTATGGTGATGGGTTTTCAGAAAGTGTGTACAAAGTTTTTAAGATAATTATGCTCGAAATCACGGATATGACTGCAATGTGTTGTTCAAAAATTTTGGGGAAAAAAAAAATGTAAACATTTTGGGGGCTTTTTATACCGTAGTGCTGTACAATCGATTATTACTTTCCATGCGGTAAATTGTCTACAAGTGCATACGGTAAATATGGTAAACATTGTATTATTCGGGCCTTATTAAAATGCAACCTACATGTATAAAATAAATATATCCCGGTGTTTGTGCCACGGCAGTTTCTACCAGGGGAAAAAAAACCACTGTGTGGAGATGAGTTAAAAGTATATACATACTGAGACATGTAATAAATACCAACAAAAACTGTACAGATTAAAAAAAAAACACCTTGCTTTTCGTTGTTTTGTTTTTTTGGTTGTTGCCACTGAAAAAAGACAGTTTTGTGGACATGAATTATTTCGTACAACTTGTTATACTGATTTGGCTTAAAGATATAGTCCATCATTTGTAATTTGTGCATTTTGTTCGTTTGAAGCAACAAAAGTGTTCAAAATCTAATGAAGGATGCTGAACAACTAACCTGATGAAGTTTCAGCTCAGCTTCAGCTGTATATTCCGAGAAAAACAGCATTCTAGGATCTCAATTTCAAATCAAAAGTTGCTGAATTATGTTTTGAATTGTTTTGAATTGCAGCTATACGCGATGTCGCGCGCTGCGCCAAATAACAAAACGAACTACTAATTTAAATGTTCCTACGGTGCGTCTTAAGACGCACCGTTGGAAAGGCCTTCTTTCGTTAATTACTTCAAAATGATAGCTTGCCAGAAAGAATAATTTCACAGGGAGTTTAGTCCACTTACCATCTTTCAACCAAGTATGTTTTTCAACAATAATACGCCAGTTACTTTTTCGGATGGCTGCAAATGATGGACTATAGCTTTAAAGTCATTGCAATCACATTTGCTTTGCGTGCTTTAAGTATGTGCTGGGATAAAATAAGGGCCATGTCCGAAATGGGCATTAAGAGGTATGGCTATGTCTAGTGTCAGCATGTTCCCACATAGGCGCAATGAATGAGGACTTAGATAATAGCCCTTGACGAGATTCGGATTCGGCTTTACTGCCAGTCCTTACAGGGGCCAATTTCACAGCGCTGCTAACCACAAAAATTTGCTTAGCAAAAGTCTGGCTTATAAAAGCTGGTTATCAGCAAAAACTCCATGTGATTTTCATGCTAAGCCAACAACAACTGAATACTAATCACGAGCAACATACATCACATGGAGTTTCGGCCGGTAACTTGCTGGTAACCTGCTTTTTCAAGCCAGACTTTCTTTGTGCTAAGGAAATTTGTGTGCTTAGCGCTGTGAGATTGACCCCTGGTAGATTGTTTCAGTTACTGAGGCCAGCATTGTTTTATGTATTGGATTACGAACATATAACATGAACTTTGGCAGGGTTGAATGCTGGATAAAAATAAAAATAGAATTTGCTCAGCACTCCTACGTGTTTGCGATTGGGTGGGATACCAGGAACGTCAGCGTTATGGGCTAAGTTTTGCTTATGACTTGAAAAACAAAAAAGGGAAAAAAAGTCAGTCTTTTTTCCCCCCAATTTACTCCAAATACTGTGTCGGGATGGAGGGGAATAGATTACAGTTTTGGGTTTTTTTCAGAAATAAACAATCCTGCGTCAGGAAAAATATTACCGAATTTTTCTCATTCCGTTTTTTCCCGAAATTGTATTCCCCCCCCCAAATTCGTTTCCCAAATACTGTGTCAGGAGGGGGGGGGGGGAATAGATTACAATTTTGTTCTTTCACATATAAACAATCCTGCGTCAGGAAAAAAATAATCGAATTTTTCTCATTCTATTTTTTCCTCGAAATTGTCAAATTCAGAGTCGGCGGGTTTGTAATCCAACAAATTAAAAACATGTTGGCCTAATACAAACAAAGGCAATCCAATTGCAATTACACTTGTTTCATTCAAATATTTAACAATAACACTTCCCTTGAATAGTCCGTAACAATAAATAATCTGAATTAACCCAGTAAATTCACACGTCAACATCTGTCATAAAAACGGCAAGAGTTATTAACATCAATTTCAACTGATCTGGGGTTTTTTTTCAAGAAAGTGCAGGTCATTACAATCAATGGTATCACTTGTTCACTTAGCTGACTGCAGTACTCCGTCACTCCTCAGATACTGCCTGGAGTTCCTTCAGGTAATGTGCCTTGAGGTTGGCGAGGTAGGACCTAAGGCTGGGCTCGTCTAGTCTGGAGTTGCGCGCTGCCTGCATCAGCCTCCTGGCCAGTCGGTAGACCACTCGCTGGTCCTGGTCATCGTGGTCTGCTGCGTGCTGTTGCTGTGGGTACGGGGAATAAATAATAATAACAACGGATTCTTATACAGCGCTTTTAACCCCATGCGCACGGGAAGCGGTCATGGCCGCGGCCGCTAATCCTCATTGGAATGCAGTTGCCAGCTGTGGTATGCCGTGGCACAAGGCTAGTGGGTAGTTCCACAGCTGCTACTTTTGTGCAGTCCCGCTACCACACAAAGGCTGTGCAGTCATGCGGGCCACTTGCTCTATGTGTGGAGGAATGTCCCCATAATAACCCGTCCTTAAGGGGTTAACTAAGAGCAAAGCGCTTTACATTATTATTATTATTACCCCTGATCATTGGGCCAATGAAACATTCCAAATACCATCTCGGCTCTCTGGGGAGTATACAGCTTGATGCAGCCATTTCTGCGCAAGGCAGCTAGAATCAATCACAATAAACCATCTCTGCCCTCACAGGTACCCATTTTACCCCTGGGTGGGGAGAAGCAACAAGTGACAAAGTGCCTTGCCCAAGGGCACACGCACCATGGCCGCAGGCTGGACTCGAACCCACAACCTGCAGAATTACCCGCAGACCACAAATTCAATGATCTAGACCACGAGGCCACGGCACTCCAATAGAATAAAAAAGGCAAATACTTGACAACAAACGCGGACAAAATCAAAGTACAACCATATTTGAGCTATCACATGCAGTGTTGAATTTCTTGACTGACTTAAAAGTAACTTACAGTACCACATTTGACTGAGAACATCCACTTTTGTTTGGACAAATATGGCAAAAATGATCGGAAAATGTTTGTCTGACTGTTACTTCACCCACTGAAATGTGATTTTAAGGAATAGGATAGTTTGCTTTTCATGCATTTTATTCTATTTTTAAACCGACACCACTTAAAATCCAAAGAAGAATGTTCCAACACAACCTGTTGAAGTTTCAGCTACATGTAGGTGGATATATACACTCTTCGAGAAAACAGTGACAAATTGTGCACAACCTTTCGATCACGAAACATAATTTCGTCAATGGCACTGTTAAGGCCAAAAGTCAGTCAATTGACTAATCGTTGGTAATAACCTACATTTCTTGATTTCTTCTAAATAGACAGTAAGCCAGACGGAATAATTTCACAGGGTATTTAATATCAGTAAGCTTTTGGGTAATAATTTGGTAGATTAGTTTTGGGATAAATGCAATTAATGATCCTATATGCCTTTATAAGGTTTTCTTTTGTCTCTGGAGGGATTTCATATTCCTACGACATTCGCAGTAAAATTGTTTGGCTTACTGTGGACTATAATTTCCAAATCATTTGCTACAGTTGCAGTCTGAATGGGAAAGTACATGAAGTGTGTACTTACCCTTTTCTGCTTAGACAATGTTTCACACATTTGTTTGGCGTCAGTCACCACAGACTCTGGTAGGTTGGAGATCTCTGCAAGCTTGATTCCTATGGTCATATGGACAAAAATGTACATGGGTTTATGCCAGCATTCGAACCCCGGACTGCCTGAATATGGGTTCTGCTCTTTAATTTAAAGTCACCATAGTGATTTTCATCTTTTCATATTTTGAGCAGCAGATGGGTGTATGCCAGCATTCGAACCCCAAACTGCGTGAATATAGATTCTGCTATTTAACTAAAGTTACCATAGTGTTTTTCATCCGTGCGTCCTTTGGACAGTACATGCGTGTACGCCAATCTCTTATTTCCTCTGGGGGTTGACCCTTCATGCTCCACTTCAAAATGGTAACTACAAGAAATGGAATCAAAATGATCAAAAATAGTTTGAGCTGTTTGATACACTAAATTTATGCAAAATGAAGAAGTGCTCCGCAACAAACCCTATTCATTAGATGCTAAGATCAATTTATGCAGTAATTCAAGATCAGCGCAATGTGTTTTCTCCCCCCCCCCCCCACAGATACCCACTTAACAGACAATTGTGGTAAAGCGTCTTGCCCAAGAACACAAGCACCGAGATCCTTGTCAGGCCTCAAACAACTGAATCATGGCTTGTTACCTTATGGACTTTATCGGATTGTACAGTAAATCCCGTCAATACTACATGTATAAAAAAAAAAAATGCTTTTAACAAATTTCAGTGCAACAGAAAAACTGAAAACGAATTGAAAAAGAATTGCACAAAATACGTACAGCTGCAAAGCAAGAAATCTATTGAAAGCAGACTGAAATCTCTCTGATATATGCTTTTTTGTCACTTACTAGTAGTGCTCAGATAGATACGGTAATCTTACTTTTCCACATTTGGGTAGAGCACGTCCAAATTGGCCACCTCCATGAAGTGAGTGGCAAAGATGCTGAAGGCTTTCACACTGAGGAGGTATTCACAGATGGCGTGGCAGATGCCTATGCCTTCCTCACTGTTGGTACCTGAAGGAAAACAAATCATCACAACATAAATGAAGATAACATGGGAGGGGTGGACATGCAACATGGGAACTGACTAACTCAATGGGCTCCGTACGCAAACAAGAGAGGGCGCTTTTGACTACTTTTGAGATCGCCAGTGTGGGGACACACCGCTTGCGGGTACTGGAGGTAGGCACAATTAATTCGGGCGATTCACAATGCAGAGCGCCACCAATAGTTTGCCACGGAGAGTTCAGTTTTTCCAGCGCATTGTGGGAGATGGTCGACAAATTCGCAGCGCGGGACATTTGAAATTGTGCGTGTTTTTTCCGGTCAGTAGTTGCGTAAGCATATGATTCAAGTATATGTTTGCCCCTTTTATTTTCTTTGTATCAATATGGTGATTTTTTGTAAGGCGGCAGAATGCTATGCCCCTATCTATAACATAATAGCTCAAGTTGTCTACTGACACTCATTCAAATGGGCCATATTTTGTCGACTGTTAACTTAAAGAGTTGACTCTCCATGGCAAACTCTTGGTGGCGCACTGCATTGTGAATTGCCTGAATTCATTAGGAATGTACCCAAAGTCATGGCGTCTTTGCTTGAGCAATCAGGCGTCGGCATTAACGCATTTGAATGTCTCTCCCAGTGATCTTTGCCAACTCTCCCTTTCGTACCGTTGAGGGGGTACTTGTGAACAGCCCATAAGGCAAGTTTAGTTTGGAGAGGCACATTGGCATAACTAGTAGGGTCTATGTGGGCATGGGGTTATGTCATTTTCAGGAGTGGATTCAGTGGAACACTTGGTGAGTTCGGTCTAAGTTCAAACAACACAAAGCTTGTTTTGATTTGTTTTCTCCAAATTCTGAGAAGGGATTGGGGGCAGAGGGAAGGAGTTAACTCTGACAATCACGAGGAGAGCATCCAGCCTAAAAACAACAAATGAATACCTCCTGTTCAGCATTCTAATTTAGAGCTTTGTCATGTCACACAGGGTGTCTGTAAACTTGCATTTTCTACCGTGCAAAGCCTGAAATAGCATGTATTCTGGGACGAGTTTAAAAGGAAGGGGCATTACTTTGGGGGTGTAACAAGAGGTAATGCAGAGGAGGGAATGTTCAGAAGTATGTCTGCCCAACTAAGAATTGTGTGTGTCACGCCCCAACTTGGTCATCGGTCCTAACATATGTTGGGCCTGTCCCAGCTTGTGCAATCAAGTTGGGCAGGCCCAACATGGGCAGCAACCTCAGCGGCGCCCAACCCAAGTTAGGCCTGCCCAACTTGAATAATCTACTTTGACCCAAGCTGGGACAGACCCAAGATATGTTGGGACCGACGACCAAGTTGGCTGTAACAGGTGCATCATAGGATGCCCAAATTATAACGACTTTAAGAAGATCACTCTTTACAGTCTGCAAGTACACAACTGCCTGTGTGTTAATTTCCATTGTGTAATGAGGCTAATGAAAGATTTAATTACGAATGGCGTAAAATGCTATTTCACGTGGACTTGAGCTGGCAAGCCGGCGGTGGAGTGGTAAGATATCTGCACTAGTAAGCAGGAGGCTGTGGGTTCAAGTCCCACCCGAGTAAAGCTTGTGAAGTTTTCTTGCAAGCCCGCAGACTACACAAATACGTCGGCCAAGGTAAAACCCCATATATAAAATTCATATTTGACTGGTTGTAAAAGTTTAAAATTTGAAAGGCCAAAGGTAGAGTTAAGGTGATACATATTGCCACCAACCTCTGCCAAGTTCATCAATAATGATAAGCGACTTGTTGGTACAATTCTGCACGATGTAGTTGATTTCTCTCATCTGAAAAACAAAGAAAGAAAGAAACAAACAAACACATATTAAAAACAACAAGCAGGACAATACTTGAATTGGTGATGGTCTTTTAAGAATCTAAACATAACTCTTACATAAAAGAATATCTCAATGTTTGTATTTTTTTTATGTTAAGAAAAAGATGTTTTGTTTTGAGGGCTCAAAATAGAGTAAGCCATGTAGTACATATTCCAGGCTTGGCTGACGACTTGGTTTGAGAAAAAATTGAAATTAATCCCAAAAAAAACAACGGCCCAAAGCTAGTTTCAAGTTTGCTCTTTGAACATGCCCAGTGCAATGTAATTTTTCCATTAAACTTTGTTAACAGAGTTTCTTCTAAACAATATCCTTATTTGCCAGGCTTGAGATGGGACAAATCACAATAAAAAAAATGTTAGATTTCAAATGTACACAAAGATGGATAAGTTTGGAAGAAAACAAAATGTCAGAAAAAACTGATTTCATGAAGTCCAGTCCCCAATTCTGATGTTGAGGTTTTATGAGGGCCCACTATGCAATGTATTTTTGTTTTTAATGCAATCCTTGAAATGCACCTTTGTGTCCCATTTAACCCTATTTTCAATTTTCTTTTTGCCATTCCAATTTTCATATTCATGAACAAAAGTGTGATGTCATTTCATGCAGAAACTTCAACGTTGCAGCTATTTCAGCACCAAAAGTTGCCAGGATTTTGGATATTTTGCTGTCGTAAATTTGTATCTGCTTTGGTGATTCGTTGTGTCAGAATATGGCAGTGAGCAAATGAACAAACTTTTCTCAGGAATGTTTTCAATGAGCAAATTTTTGGGTTCACAATTTAACCAGAAAACTTCTAAACTGAACAGTCTTTCCTGAATGACATTACATCAACAGCGCCCTCAGTTGTTTGGAAAAGCATGGAATTAAAAAAATGTTTAAAGAAGTGCACTTTTCAATAAAATTAACCAAAAAGGGATGTCAAATAGTTTTGGTACACTTCAGAGAAGTAGAAAGTTACAGAAACTGAGTTACAAAAAAATAAATGTCATCTCATGGACCCTCTAATGTTTGCTGAAGACAATTACCTAAAAAAATTACAACCAAGCAGTGGTACAAAATTGCAGGGAGCATCTTTGTGGTACATGTGATTTGCACCAGACAATTGCACTTCTACAATTTTTTTGTCATTTTTGCAGGACCCAAAGGGCTGCTATAAACTGTCTGACTGACTGAGTCACTGACTGAGCCACTGAGTATAAAAATGTTCTGAACTGAAAATGAAATCTTATTTGTTACTTCGAGCATGAAGGTGGATGCATTGGTCTCGATATCATCGTCGCAGCCGATACGTGAGAAGATCTGGTCGCAGACTCGGAAGAAAGAGCACTCGGCAGGCACAAAGCTGCCGATCTGAGCCATGACTTGAAGCAGGGCCAACTGCTTGAGGTAGGTGGACTTGCCACTCTGGGGAGCCAAAACAAATGGGACACAAAATGTCAATGGCACAGCAACTTTGCATACTAGCACTTGTATTACATTGTGTTACATTGTATTACATTGTATTATACACTGTATTTTGTCACTGATGAATGCATGAAACCACACAGTGCTGCGATGGCTTGGGCAAAATAGAGGCATGTGCGGTCTAGCGGTAGGGCACAGGATTCATGATTGTGAGATTGTGGGATTGAGCCCCGCCGTTGCCATGCGTGTTGTGCCCTTGAGTAAGGTGCTTTACATCAATTACTCCTCTCAATCCAGGTGTTAAATGGGTACCGGCATTATTCAATGCTGGGAAGGTAACAGATTCGCTGTGGAGGAGGTGTGGCGATCCCCCACAGCAGCATTTCATGGACTTGAGTCTGGCCCAATCGCTTCGAAAGAGAGATGGGCACTCCGTTCCTGTGAACACAGGTTCGTCCCCAGTAAATGTCAATGGCACACCAACTTTGTGTACTAGCAACAATACATTAATTGTAATACACTGTATTTACTGATGGATCCATGAAACCATACAGAGCTGGGATGGCTTTGGGCAAAAAAGGGAGTAACAGGCAGGGTAATCTGGGCATTACATATCACATAGGATCATTGTATTTATCTCAAAAGTAATATGGAGTCCAATTGGAGGTGGATTAAAAACGTACTGGTACTAAATCAAATTAGGTTTTGCCCTTCACCGACGTTTTAAACACTGTATACTCAGTGCGTTACCTCCCGAGTGAAAGTTGGAAAAAAATCACTCGGGTATAGGACTCGAACCCATGACCTCCTGCTTTCTAGTGCAGATGTCTTACCACTCGACCACCGAGCTAACGGGATCGGTTGGCCAGTTCAAATCTGATGTACATAGCAGCGGGTACCGCATAAACTATTATAAGATGGAATTTTTGCGCCGGGGTATCGGTGAAGGGCAAAACCTACGTCAGTGAAGGGCAAAACCTAATTTGATTTATATCACCCTGGCGCAAAAATTCCATCTTATAATAGTACTGGTACTAAACACCCCCTTGAAATTTTTCCACCTAACTTGCTGTCATTTAGAAGAACTCAAGAAATGTAGGTGATTTCCAACGACCAGTCAACTGACTGATGTTGGGAACTAAAGAGTGCTATACAGGGCGTCCTGAAAAAAATTGTGCATGTAAACCCCTCCATTTTTGCTAATTTACAACCAAAAATTTTTGCGGATGTTTACACCATCCGCAAGGTAATAAATTTAGCTTGAGAATACCGTTTGTTTCATTGAGATTGCTTTTGTAAATCCAAAAATATGTTTGAATAACGGCAAAGCCAAGAAACCCATTTAATGCCACTTTCTGTGAAGCAGTTAAAATCAGTATAGTCCTAGTCTAAAACCAAATCACTTTACTGTTAGTGATTTTAACATTTTTAAGCAGAGTGTGCAATATTCATTTATATTCAATTGAACTCTTTCATTGAAGTTTTAAAGAAGTGAACCTGTCTGTACTATTAAATTGTTTCAACGTAAGAACAAAACCCTATATTGTTGTGTGAATGGAATGTTTGTCTTACACCCATAGGGATAATCTTATCAAATGAGCCATACTGACATTGTCTGATCTTTGAAGCACTCGCTTCCTAAAAGTGGCACAGAATTCTTTTGGGGGGCTTTGCGGTTATTCAAACATATCTCCGGATTTACAAAAGCAATCTTAATTAAACACACCGTATTCTCATGCTAAATCTGTAACCTTGAAGATCGTGTAAACATTTGCAGTAGTTTCCGGTTGTAAATCGGCGAGAATGGCGGGGTTTACATACACCATTATTTTCAGGACACCCTGTAGAAGAAATCGTGTTTTGTGATCCAAAGGTTGGCCATGGTTTTTCATTGTTTCCTCGAAAAGCGTAATATCCACTGAGCTGAAACTTCAACAGGCTACGAATATTTTCCAAATGCAGCAAGGTTTTGCTGAGCAAAAAGAAGTCTATCAGCCATGTGACGCATGTTGCTTGTAAATTGTTCTTGGCTGATCCATGCTTAAAATAGAAATATGCTAAGCACTATTTCTGGCTTTACAATATGTCCCCCATATGTTTTGTTTTTCACTTGCGCATGGTGTCCATATTTTGCTGGGTAGGCCTTTGCTCTTTATTTTTTTTAGAAAAATCCCCCTTAACACTTATCCTGGTCTTACATTATTTGAGGATTGATGAACTTACCATGTTGGGACCAGTAATGATGACAAAGTTGCTCTCTTCATTGACATACTGCAAGAAAGAAGCTTACAATGAGTGAATTTGATCGCTAAACTCAATTTTAATTCAATATCATTATGAATTCATATTTCTTATAAAAGATCCCCCGATTCCTTTAACGCACCCATGACACTATAACGTGCAGGACTGGATAACACCTATGGATGAGAAACTGGCGAAATCTTCAGTTTAACCAGCTCATGCCGGATGAAGTGTATACATGCAAAGGTTTTGCGGTAGGCCTATTCGGAACGAATAACGGATAAAACACACAGTGAGTGAGGCCAGAATTATCTGCCAGCTGCCCGAGGGTGATGGCTTCAACCCGCCTGGCATTGAGGTCGAGTGAAAAGTAATCCTGCGCCTCGTTCCGTTCTTGTCAAAGCATTACCGGTGTGAACTGGTTAAAAGATAACGCCATTGGATCAAGTAGGGACAGAAAACCTAATCTGCATTGGCCTGGATGGGATTCAACTGGTACCATTGAGGTGGAAAACGGTGACAAGTAGTATAGGCCCGAACTGGTGTTGACCAGTTAAACCAGTTTCAACAAGTTCCTAACCAGTCACAAATTTCCAGTTGAATTGGTTTGAAATAGAATTTTTTACCTGGAGCCAAGTTCGGGCAAGGACCATTAGTCGACTAGTGGTTGATTTGTGACGTACCTTATGCCTGCGCACTAATAGCAACGTGCAAACGTCTCTAGTCGAACGCTGGTCAAAATGTCAACGCAAAACTTCTGGATCCTGGCTCTCTGCTAGCGTTATGAATGCGCGCGGCTAATGGTTACCAGCGAAGCAACCAACAGCAGTAGGCTGGTTCCAAATAGTCGACTAGCGTAGTCAACCACCGTCGACTAGACAGAGTTCGGGCAAACGTTAGTTAACCATTGGTCAACTATAGTCCTTGCGCAAACTTGGCCACAGTTGAACTCAGGTGGAAGGCAAGGAAAGTACCACTGCACCGCCCTAACTCCTCGAAAGATAAAGGGCAAGTGAGCTGTGTTTCCTGGGTAGATTACTTACAGTGTTGTTGGCTACATGCGGCTCATAGGATATCTTGTCTAGGATGGGGTGCTTTCCATTCTTGATGGCCAGCGTGTCTGTGAATTCAGGTCTCACTATAAAAGATCGAGAATAAATCCCTAAACATTGTGATCCAATTTGGTCAAGTTAAATACCTACAAGACTTACTGCAATAACAAAAGCATTAACATTAACTTGGTTTGGCCAGGCAATGCTAAACAAAATTCCATTTTATGATTCCCTGCCTGGAAGAAAATTATTATTAAATAAAAAAAACCTGACTACACTCCATTTGGTCTTCCAAAAATCTTTATTTCATTTTGTGCTATGCACACGTGTTGATAGGAATAAGTAGTGGAATACTATAAGGCAAAAAACAAAACAAAAATTACTTCTGCTTCCAATTACATGGCATTCGGAAATGGAGCAGGTAATTTTTTTTCTTTGGCCAATTTTTTTTGTGTACGATCATATGGAGGCGTCTGCGTGTAAGGGTAAAAGGTAGAAATTGATAGTTTTCGGTGTTTTTTTTTCTCATTTTTCCCATAAAAAAATTAGGGTAGGGACTGTCAGAATAGGGTAGGTAGGGAAACCGGATGCAGAACTATTATTATATTTGGCCTACTTCAAATGTTTAAATTGATTTCATCTGTTGTTGGGTGTCAGAGCAGAAGGGGGGGGGGTGGTTTGCATTATTTTTAATGAATTTCTATGAAAAAAAACATTTTTGACAGGGCTGGGTTTTTATTTGGGACCCCCAATCCCCCCACCCCGGATTCGCACCTGAATTGGGCATTCTCCTTACCATACTCTGACAAGGTGCAAGTGTGTGCAAACGCCACCAGCATGTCCAATGTAGAGACACACTCAGCGAGTTTATACAGGCAACCAACATGCTCACGGATCTCATTCAACAGCTCGCTCACAACTCTGTTCAAAATTGCAACTGAAACTTGATGTCACGCAAATCTACAAAAGATTTCTTAATTTATGGAACTGGGGAAGAATGTCTCCCAATATCTTAGAAAAAATGATGGAAAATTTAAATGTTTCCGTGTTAAAGAAAATACCCCCATTAATAAAAAAATACCCCCATTCATAAAAAAAGGTTGTCGTTCAAGCAACTTCTTTTTGTTCTGAAAGATTTCATCCGAGTAAATTAAATTATATTTTATTAGACTGAATAACTTTATTGTCACAAGGTTGGGCAAATCATCAAACACACGAACAAAAAAGCAATTTATCCTGATATTTTGCCGAGTTTATGATACCACGCAGGGTAACTCATATGCCAGTTGTGTACGTAAGGCCTGTGAAATGAATAATAATGATAAGAATGATAATAAACTTACACAGTCCGTGCAATAGTTTTCTAGGAGGGTGAAATGTGTTTGAATTGTATTTGTTTACTCACATGTTTGTCATCAAGTAGATCTCATTCAGCGATTCTCGAATTCGGTCTGAAATATACGATGAAAACAGGGGAGAATATTGTTATCACTTTTCTCCCCTCTGATTTAAATCAATATAAATACAAGCTAAGTTTTTGAAAATAAACAAAACAAAACAAACTGCTTACTGACTGGATTGACCAGAAACATACAAATCAAAGAGAGCTTGGTCCTAACAGAATCTTTGTCAAAGGCAAACTTTTTTTTTATTAAGACACCTCATTTCAGTGTGAGCATCCAACCCCCATTTATGATGACTGACATTCAAGAATTATGCTGAACATTTGAATTAAGCACATGAAACGTTTGATGTTTGATACAGCTAGAAGTGAAGTTGATTGGAACAATTCCAGAATCTTGTCAATGGAAATTTACACATAAAATTTGCCTGTCTGAACCTAAAATCTATTTAGGTCAACCAGAGTCGTTCCTAATACTACAAGTATTTAGTTTGAGATGACTTTGGAATACTCATCTGAAGCAAGTCCTATGTTTTTTCCACAAATATTAATTACCCCTACTCTGTGTTTTACTGTATTACTCACCATTCAACTTTATCTGTAGTAAAGGAAAACAAATATAAAAGAAAATGGGATGAGTTCATTCAGTACTGCTTGGAATAAAACACACATTCTGAGGATAAAGTAGAGATGGTTGACTATAGACTAGTTCAAGTTTGACATTATTGGGTTAGAGACAGGGAAAGCCTTTTTTTGTTTTAAATGTGACAAATAAAAACTGAATCTTGAATTGACATTTAAAGCAATAGCTGCATCAATGTAGTTTCTCATATTTAATACCTATCAGGACCAGCTTTTATGCCTTGAAAATCATCACCCCCAATATTTTAAATGCAATAGCTTTTTGAACTGTAGGTTTTTTTTCTTTCAGTGAGATAAGGAAATATAAACGCCAGTCAATGCATATAGTTGCATTAAAAAGTCAGCAAGTCGTGAGTACGTGCTTTATGGATGTCCCTTAAATAAATTGCAGGATGCAGATGCAAATTGAACAGATTTAAATTGAAATTTTGAACAGCAACAGCAAGAGCAGACTAGCAGCTGTAGTGCAACAACAGGATAACAGTTGCCACAGTGGGAGTTGTAACATCTGAAGCAGCAATGGCAGCAGCAACAACTGCATACAAAGTGCAGCAACATCAAGAAAGAAGTTGCGACAGTGGCAATACTGTTAAGTAGTAGTTGCAAACAGTAACATGAGAAGGATAAATTTGCAACAACAGCGGCAACAACAGCGGCAACAACAGCGGCAACAGCAGCGGCGGGGCAGCAGCAATGGCAGCATAGCATGCTGTACTTACCAGATCTGCTGTGGTGCAGCTGATAGTGTTCCTAGACTTCACCACCTTGATGAATATGGGAGGCATGGAGTCAGTCGAGATGGGGTTCTTGTTGCCACAGTAGAGTTGAATGAAGAAACCCCGGTTGCTACTGTAGCTGGTCCTCAAGGGAAGACTGTACTGCTCTCCCAACTGACTGATCAAGTCTTAAGTACATGTGAAACAAAAATGAGAACCGTCGTCGACATCTAAATCCATGAATGAAGATCTTTATGATTACCTTCCCTTTGTAATGAGCAGTGTTGCAGTGTCCAAACCAACTCTGAGACCTTTCTGAAACGCGAATGAGGAAATGCTTTCAATGCTCTGACTTTGTAGATTAAAAAAAAACCACAGGATTGTTTAATGTTAAAATAGGATTTAATACTAAAATAGGATTTATAATTAACATTGAAATGGGATGAATCACTAAACGGTTTTGCAAAAGTGTCAGCAAGATTGTTTACTCTTAAATGTTCTCTGATCAGTTTTCTTTACTGAAATAAATGAAATCCTATGGACAAGTTCTTTGGCTTGTTATTTTCTTGAAAATTTACATAATTGACTGCAACATTGGTTTGGAGCAAACACTCAGTAAAATTTGTTTTACCATAGCTACCTATAACCAAAACGAAAAGTTAAAAAAAGAGTGGAATTGTACCTGAAATATCATCCACAATCTCTGTGTATGTACGTCTGGCTACATCCAGCAGTCCTATTGAAAAAGACGGGAAAAAATATGTCAGCTTTTGATCAGAAAAGTCTGAAGATATGTACAATGCACCTACTGGTCATGCGGCCACAAAATGATAGATTGTATTTTTACCCTCCTTTGTTTCAGCAACTTTAAAAAAAACCCACTTTTTTTCAATCTAAAAAAGCCATCTCGGAAAAGCCTGTCAATTAGACATCACTTAATGTATCTTGTTTTCTTTCATTTTTTTAATATTTGGAAAAAGAGATACAGAAAATGCCTCATTAAGGAAGTGCTCTGTGCACTTAGCACTGTTCACTGAGGCTGTGGTCATTTAAGGGTAAACACGGAACAAGATACACAGGCATTCTAAAAGCCATAATGAGATTCCAAAAATTAAATATTGAAGGCTTGAGGCAAAGGGCCAGTATACGAATACGCTGGGAGATATGATCATTTTATGAAGAGACACCAACCGTTGATATTTGGCTTGACAGCGAAGCATTTCTGGGTCCGCATGTTCAGGATGCCCTTCTGATAGCGAGTGCCGTCATTGATAACCGTGTGGATCTTCTCTAGCATTGTATTGAATCTCTCATCACCAAGTGACTACAGGATAAATAAATGTATACATGTATTTATTCTGAAGTTAATAATAATTAATATAAAAATGGTAAGTACAATAATGTGATGCATATAAAGCACTTAATACCGAAGGTCTCAAAGCGCTTCCTAATTTGTACCCCTGTTCATCAGGCCATGAGGCTATTTTTTTCTGCAGCAGCTTGAGATTAGCACCATCTGTTTTCCATCTTTACAGGTACCCATTTATACTCCTGGATGGAGAGAGGCAATTTTACTTAAGTGTCTTGCCCAAGAACACAAGCACCATGTTCATGGCACATGAGTCGAACATCATAAACCATATTTTATCTCAACTTTCGTCTTTCTTACATCTTTTCGTCTTCAGTTTTTCCTCTCATTTTTAGACAGGGTGGTACTTTACTGTAATACTAAGATTTTTTTTTTTGCTGACTTACTTTGAAGTGTAAAATAAATACAGGTTTTGAAGCAAAACAATGGACAACCAAGAGATTTTCTGTGGCTGAAGTTTTTCCAAGTTAAATTTAGAAGAGGGTTTCAAAACAAATGAGGATTGTGATTGTGGATAAACAAACAAAATAATCAGAACTTGTTACAATCGGGTATTATTACTGTTACTTTCCATAGCAATTGAGAAATGATGTGCTAACCAATTTGATTTGTATAGAGCTTAATTAATTCAGGAAATCTTTAAAGGTTGTGAAATCTCTGGAGTTCAGACCAAAACATTTGTAAAGACAGCTGTTAATATACTGTTATAATTTGGACAACTCATAAAACCTGGAATACAAAATTTCCATGATTCGTCACTTTATGATTAGCATATAGACAGAAATTATAAACAAATTCAGGAATTGTGAAATTAACAAATGCTGATTTCAGATTACTCAAAGATTTGAAATCTTACAATGCCCCTTTGAACCTCATTTGATGGATCACTACTCAAAAAAGTCATTTACTATCACCTTTTTTTTTACAAAGAGAGGACCCCCATTCACCTTGAAGTAGCAGTGCGATTAAAATCCAGATCTTTTAAAATTCGGTTTGAATTCCACTATTGGGTTGGAATTTTAGGGGAACCAGATATTTGAAACCAAATACTTTTACGCCTTCCATTATTTAAATCTAAACAATTAATGCGGCCTTCCATGTTTTAGTGACACAAGCCAAAGAAAACAACTGGAACATTCCCAAATTTGCTCCATAAATATAGTAACTGCATTCACTTTAATACTAGAGGTCTTTTTGGTTCATGAATAGGCTGCCCATTTGACTGACCCAGAGAGTTCCTGCCCATTTTTTCAGCATTATAGCTCACATGCCATCGGCCTGGGGGTTTGGTCAATATCAAATCAGGGCATAAATGATTATAGTGCGCATGCGAAAAGTATACCGCCCCTAGAGTGGTCACAAACATATTGATGGACATTTTTGAAAAAAAAGGGTGATAACACCCAAAAAAGCTGCCATTGCTGCAATGCTATCACATATTTTCCAACTCTGGAGGTGTATACCTTGCCAAAAATTTCTATGACGATTATTCCCCTCATTTGATACCGGTTGCCAAAATTTTGGACCGAGGCTGATGGCCTGTAAGCTGAATGAAAACTTCTAGCGATTTTGAAATCTCTGATTTCTCCCATTACTACCTTGAAGTAGGCTAGCAGGAGTTTATTCTTGGAGCCTTCCAGGGCCATCATGAGGGGAGGGACCAGCTCCAGGGTGTGCTTGAGGTGGATGACGTTGGTGATCTTGGCCTCGGCTGTCTTGACCGTCTCCTGCTTGGGGATCTGAACGCACAGAGACAGGAGGTGGTCCACGTCTAGGAACCGGGTCAGGACTGCATGGTGAATGAAAATTAACAAAAAATTAACATAGCAAACAAAGAAAATATATACACAAAGCGCTGGTATAACGTGATTTTGCATTTCAGACAGACAGGGTCATTTGTAGGATGTGAATTTCAATAAAGGAGGCTCAAAATCACACCCCAATTTCCAGGATTAATACCAGTCAAACAAACTGATTAAGATTAAGATTTATCATGGTATCGCTAAAGCATCATATATTTCAAATGTTCCGGGGGGGGGGGGGGGATGCCAACCGGACCCTTAGCAGGGTGTGCCTTAACTCAAAAATCAACCCCCTTCCTACAAGCTAAATCCGCCGCCAATTACACTTTGAAAACAACACTTTTACTTCCAGTTGATGTATTTTTATATATATAAGTACACATGTATAACTGATGGATTGCTTATTTTTGTTCCCAGGAAATGTTGATTCCCTGCCGTGAAACATTACCTAAAAGTGAACAATCCTACCTACCTGACTGGAGGTTATAAAACAACTCTTCGTTTTTGGTCAGTTCGGTAACAACATCCAGCCGTAGCATGATGGTATCCAAAGCTACAAAAGAAAAGAAAACACCTCAAATCCAAGAACTTATAATGCCTTCAAGTATTTGGGTGTAACAAAATAACTGGATTTGTAACTGAGTTAATCAAAAGTCAATCACAAGTCGGGTCACAAGTAAAAAGGGTGAACAATAACTAAGGAATGCCTTGTCCGTGCTTAAGCCATTGCTTTGACGTCACACTATTGTTAAAAGTGTGGATTCGGAACTACGAATCTGTTACGCTGGTCACAAAGTGTGGATTCGGAATGACGAATCTGTTACACTGGTCACAAAGTGTGGATTTGGAACTACGAATCTTTGGTAAAGTGTGGATTCGGAATTAAGAATCCACACCTTGAACATGTCGGACAATTGTTCTCCATAATCAGCATTAATAGGACCGTCTGCATGAAATCTTTCCTTCCGAAATTACCAATGCATCTTTACTGTAAGATTCTCTGCCGTCACTGCAAAAACAATTTCGAGTCAGAAAGAAATCGACGTCTAAACTATCAATGTTGACGTAAGGAACCTACACACAAAATTACTTGGTTGTATGGGTGTGGCGATACACATACTAAACACGCCACAGTGCTTGATTACGTATAAGAGCCTCGAAAAACTCCCTTGTAAATTTAATACCCTAAATGGCCATGACTCAACACGAGATATGCAAGTCTTTTCATCTCCACTCACTGGACTGTTAATGTTAATGACAATTCTTCTTTTGACGCAATGGTAAAGTCGAAGAATGCACTTGCAAGAGTGGATTCTTAACTTACAAATTCACTCGGCGCTTCGCGCATCAGGAATTCTTAAATTACGAATCCACACTTTCTCGTCTATTCTCCTTAACACAGTTCATTTGAATAGCCTGTCAGTTGACTCGAGTCTGGATGCCTTGTGATGACTTTATATGAAGTAAAGTTAGATTCTGATAACGGGATTGGGCTGGAATTGATTCAGTTTTGGGGGTCAATGGGCAGATAAACTTTCCTCACTGCGTTTTTAGTAAATATCCAAAATCAACAAAACTGTTTCAAATCTTAGTCTTACCGCACGGTGGTTGAAGTATGTTGGCTCTTAGCAGACGTGCTGTGTGAAAATGAAATGACATTAAACAAAAATATTTAATCCCTTCTCATAAAAATGTGAAAACCTTGTTTTGAGGTGCGATATGGCGCTTTTAGTGACAAAATATTTCAAAATTTTGTACAAGATTCCTAACAATGTAGTTAATCTAATTCATGAAGTAACAACTCTGACATCGCTCCTCCAAATGACTGTATATCTCCTATTCTAAAACAAACTCATGTTTGGACAGCTCAGTGGCACACCCAGGGGGGGCCCTCGGGGGGCTTGAGCCCCCCCACCCAAGAGGTTGTCAATTTTTTCTTTTTTTAGTCCCACGATTTGACCTTGGTGATATGTAAGTGGCCTTTTTTCGAGTAGTATAGGGGTGTAAGTGGCGCCACCAATGTCAAAATAGTCCACCCCCCCCCCAAAAAAAACCAATTTTTTTTCTGCGGCCGAAAATTTTGGGCCACGTTTTTAAAAAAAATTTGTAGGCCCCCCCCCCAAGCCAAATCCTGGGTGCGCCACTGGAACAGCTCTCCTAAGTTTCTCTGTAATGCTGGAATATGAACAGAAATGAGGTCTTGATTTTTATTTCCTTTTACCTCCGGCCAATGTCTTGGTGTAGTTTAAGATCCCAAAGAGCGTGTGTTGACTTTTAGGATCTTTCATATTTTGGACCAACTCCAAATTCCTTGCTGTTGTTGCATCTGAAAATAAAAGAAGAAATAATACTTTAGTGATTCCTGTTTGCTATTTCTCAGGTTTGCAGCATTACTTATGTTGCCAGCATCATGACTTTGGGCATGATCCCTGGCTACATGGCATACATGAGTGCAAGGCTTCTGACTAGCGCCCTTCAACACAGATAATGACAAACTGGGGAACTGCCAACATAGGGCTGGAAAACCAAAAAAAACACAACAAAAACAAATCAATTAAAGGAAGAACAGGAAAAAAGGAAAGAAAACTGATGCACTCAAAGATGATACTTGATTACAAATTGGAATTTAAAATCATTTTACTGATTTGGATGGAATCTGCACAAATCCAAAAATACATGATTTGCTGTAATAAATAGTGCCACAAAGCAACATGGCCAAATGTCATTAACTTACTGAGGAGAAAATACTGTTTAGATAATAAATGCCTCCAGCAAAAATTCACTAAGAACAAGTCACAGGCAATACACGCACCATTTTAGCTTGGAAGCTGCTAAGCAATTGTTTCCTACACTTTGCAATCTTTATGCGCTTAGCGGCCGTGCATGATAATGAGGTATCTGCTTACCGATCATTGTTGACTGCTCACTGCCTCTGAACACCACCTTGAGTGAGCTGGGAGCATAGACCACATTCTGAATGAACTCAACGTACTTCAGCAGGGCTGCAGCGGCAGCTAAGCAGTAGTACCTACATACAATGAAAAAAAATGGCAGCAACAAAACAACATGAACATTATCAGGGAGTCAGGTTTGCGCAGTGGTTCCTTCGTCGCCTTCAACTTCCATGGTCCGGGTTCGAATCCTGCCCTGGTCCACATGTGGACTGGGTTTTCAGCCCTTGCGCATTTTTTCTAATGTGGAATGCTTCATCATGATGTTCACGATGTGACAATCTCGTTGCCTTTTACTTTCTGTGTTTCCTTTTCTATTCGATCCACTTAACTACACCTTAAATAAATTCATGATATTGATCTTTGTTTCAAGTTCACTGTGTTTTTAATATAAATCAACTGTTTTTTTTTATTTCAACAGCTTGTTGACTCGAGTTCGCATCATTGGTTTTCCTTCAAATCGGTTGAGTTTGCCAAATCAGTCGACATGCCTTTATTTCAACACAAATAATTTCAAAACCCTTTTGAAAATCTAATCAATACTTAAAAGGAAAAAAGATTAAGATTCCATGCTTTAAATTGATATAAAAATAATGGCGGTACGTGTTTCTGGGGCGCCGCTAGAGCCTCGCAAAAAAACTTGCAGGTATTTTGGGACGCGCTGTATTCTAATGACTCTATGATAAAGCCAAAAAAAAAAAGTCTCCGGTTTCTGGTATGGAGCTTTCCCAAAAAGTGGTGCGGCGACGCGGCTTTTTGGGTATTTTTACCTGATTTTTTTGCTTCAAATGTCGGCTGATGACTGCAAATGGTGCCCGACTAAACTTAGTGCAAATTATATGGGAGTCCAGAGAGGCCACATAAAGCTTATTCTCGACCATAACCCAATCTAAAAACACGTTAAAATTGTGCAGCAGCAGGATTCCAGTCAGACCAGTGAGTTTGGCGGTTTTCAGACATCATCTTTCATTGAAAAAAAAACTTTTTCATTTTGCCGACGTACATGGCTACGGCGACGCGCGCGCATACCAGAAACCGGATACTTTTTTTTTTGGCCTAAGCTGGACAGAACAGGAATGACTAACTAAAACATAAGGATCAAAATTTCTTTTCTCAGGATTTTGTTTATTTTCCTCTATTTTTTTTTTGGTGGGGGGGGGGGCTTGGTTCAAAAGGGGATATGAACATGAGTTTGCCCATTGATTGATAAACTCACTTTGATGTTATTTCCATTTCAACAGTGATGAAGTCAGAAACGCACAGATGTTTAATGTACTGTAGACCTAACAAAACAATGAGAATCAGGAGATATAAAACAAATGAAACAGTCATTTAACTACACCATTCAATTTCAATTCAATGCAACGTTTGTTTACATTCAACCACAACCTAAACTGAAAGTTAAGTAGCAGGTATATAGAGAGAAATCAATGAAAAACGTGTATAGGAAAAGTAAAAAAACAAAACAAAAAAAACAGAAACAGATATTGTCGCTCTTTGTGCATTACAGAGTAAACCATGCTTTGTCCTTTCTGTCAATGGATATTCAATTCCGACAACTTGAAATTCAAAACTCTAAAAATTCCAAAGCTTCAAGAGAAAAGAACGTTTTACATTAAAGTTGGTTTATATGTGCTTTTTGGTTGTGACACCTTGAAAAATATATTTTACAATTGAATTGATAATTTTCTAGCATTACATTAGTTATGAGCTTTCCAATAAGAAATCACATGATAAAATCGGCCCATGACAAATTGACAAGTAATAAATTAATTAATTTACAACTTTTTCATTAAGAGCGGGATGCTCCTAATTCGTTCTGAATGGTGTGCGCAATTCTGAACTGAAGCGCACCTTGTAAAACTGCTTTTTTAAAACCGTATTAAGTCTTGCAAAAACAAAGACTCAAATTTATTTGTTACCCAGGACAATATTTTCCTTTTGTTCTGAAAAGAAAATTGAAATTCAAACAAGTCCGATGGTACCTTTTGTTTCATTGAAGTACTTCCTCTGCACAGTGGCAATGCTGGTGTTGTGGAAGTTATCAGTGATCAGCTTGAAGAGTTTGGTCATGCTGCCTTCACAAGCTGTGACTGGCATGACAATCTGATGGTAGAATAAATATCAATATCAGTAGATGAAGAAAGGTTTGCGGAAACACCATGTGCAAATAATTTCTCAACTAAGAGAATGTTCTGAAAAGAACCAGAGGTATAAACTCGACGTTCCGGTCAGTATGCTCACGGTCAGAGCATACTGACCGGAACGTCGAGTTTATACCTCTGGTTCTTTTCAGAACCATTCTCTTAGTTGAGAAATTATTCGCACATCGTGTTTCCGCAAACCTTTCTTTATTTAGTATCTTCACCATGCAAAGCCTCAAATCTTAAATATCAGTAGATTTGTATTTCATGATTGAATATGAATTATGTTCAAATGAACATGATGAATAAATCATTGTCTGCAATGATGACGATCTTTATGGATGGACGTTTAAAATTTAAAATTGTAAAAGGCGTTGTAACTTAGACATTTTTCCAAATGAGAATTTGGTACAAAATGCAGCATTTCTTACAAAATTAACTCACAATCAGTGATAAGTAGGCTAAATAAAATACCAACATCCACACCCAAAAATGAAATACTAACATCCACACCCAAAATTGAATTAAGAGAGTAATTAAAACCTACAGACATATACAGAAAAGTAGAGAATTTTCAGAACTACTTGTAGCAGGCAATTAACCTATCGTGGTAGAATCGCGTCAACGCAGCTTGTGAAATATTGTCCAATACATGATAGACAAATTTGCGGACGGCAAAAAATCTGAGACAAACAAAACTTAACGTACAAAATTCCATAGGGTTGTCTAATGGGTGTGGCTAACTCGCAAACGATGCTAAGTCAATCCAGCAAGCCAGACCTAATGAATAATGTCCTCCATACTCAAAACTGAATTAAAAAAGTAAATTGAAGTTACAGACAGTAGGCCTAATAAAGAAAAGCAGAACATTTTCACAGCTACTTGAGAAAGTTCAGATTCACCAGAATGATCTATTACATTCACATAAAAAAGCAATACAAATGTAGTGATAGACCAAAAGTTTAGACTTTAAGACCAGAATTTAATAACATATGCTTCTTTTTGAGCTAGCATTCTTGGGATGATTCCGTGATTTTGAGATGATGTCAAACCCTTAATCAAATGCAAAATATTTATAAAAAAAAACATTACTGTCTATCAAAGACATTGAATACAACAACTTTTGGCACATGGTTTCCAAAAACCAGTAAATTTTAATTACTAAGTGTACAAAATTGATTAAAATTTGGCAGTCATCTATGAAGTGTGTTGTTGTTTCATGCCGGGATTATTTTGACAAGAACGGAACAAGGCACGGGATTTTCACTCGACCTCAAGCCAGGCGGGTTGAAGCCATCACCCCCGGGCAGCATATCCATATTTCCGGCCTCGCTCGCTGTGAGAGCGGGTGACGCTGACAGATATTTACTGCCTCGCTCCCTGCGTATTTTTCTGTAATCCGTTCCGAGTTGCAAAACTTTTCTGTGTATACACGGCCTCTGGTGCGAACTGGTAACAATGAATGCAAAAGAGGTCTACTCATCATGGGTAGGCCTACAATGCGTTGAGTGGAAGTTTTTTTATTGTTAGGTAAATTAGAACCGAGTTATGGGGACTTTCTGCTGTCCCCACAGTGTTTCTGATACATTGTGCAGACGAGTGTATGCCCCCACAACTACGGAACAAGAATTTGTGCGCTTCCCTTTAAAACAAAAGCACACACCTCAAAGATGGCCCCAATGCAAACAATCTATACACAATTACCTCAATAGGTTGGTATATTTGAAGTTTTGTGGTGACCTTGACATAGCTCTGACTGTCTGAAAACTGAGAAAACAAATTAACTTTCAATGTACAGCAAATTCTAAAGTCAACTGATAATGTGCAATACAGAATGGTTAGAAAACAGAAAGTTAAAGGTAGAGAAGATCATTTGTCATTTGTGCATTTGTTTCGTTTGAAGCAACAAAAGTGCTCACAATCTAAGATGGGTTTTTAACAACTAGCCCAATGAGGTTTTAGCTCTGTGAATGCTGTATATTCCGAGAAAACAAGATTCCAAGATCTCGATTTCAATTCAAAAGTTGCTGAGTTATTTTTGAATTGCGGCCGAAATCAGCATCTGGAACATGTTCTCATTCAGCCGATTGCAGCTGCGAAATGTCACACACTGAACCCACGAATAATAGCAACCGCATACGTGTGTGTGTCGTGTCAATGCTTGCGGGCAGCCATTCATGGATTCACCCAATTACAAACCAATGACTAACAGAAATTTCCAAAAATGTGTCACTTGACTCATCTTTGGAAATGACCTTCTTTTATTGTTTTCTTCAAAATGACAGCATGCCGGAAGGAATCATTTTGCAGGGATTTGAATGCAATTACTATCTCTAAACCAAGGAAGCCTTTTCACAATAATTTGGTCAGTTACCTTTTGGATAGCTGCGAATGATCTACTTGTCCTTTAACTTCAGATCCAGTTAGTTGGTAAGATTCAGATAAACTGATATGTTGCTGAACAACTGACATTGGCTTGAAATCTTCTTTGAGAGTGTTTACCTGTGAAAGGATCAGCTCCGGTTGCTTCAAGTCAATACTGGCCATTCCAATCTCACCTTGCGCTAAACCTCTGCCTTCAACAATCGCTGGAGGTAGAATAAAATCATTCCTTATTTCCAAAAACAAACAGAAACCTTCACATAAATTATCAATATATCCCGCTCCTGATAATCGGAGTGACATAAGGAATCATGTCTTTCCACTAAAAGGTGGTCAGAATCACAATGCAATCACATTCAGCTGCATATCCTCTCTCTCATCTTTACCCACTAAGTTTGAAGATTGAGGTCCGGTGGCAGGCGTGTTGGAGCTTATACTGTAACCTCTATAAGACGTCTGTCGTGAACTCCTAGACCCAGGGGTTGGGCCAGTCACACTAGTTGATGTGCGCGGAGTTGAGAACCTGAAAGATAAAATGATAATGATGATGGTTTAGATTTTACAAATGCCAATAAACTGCTTACCAGCAACTGTGGAAGAGGAAAGTAATCGACAGTCTCTATATAATTCTGCGTTTGGAAGGGGTATGCATACTTCCCCATTTAAAGGTAGAATAGATCATTTGCAGCTATCCAAAAAGTAACTGAAAAGCTTACTTGGTTTAAAGATAGTAATAGCACTAAACTCCCTGTGAAATTATTCCTTCTGGCATGCTGTCGTTTTGAAGAAAACAATAAAAGAACGCCATTTCCAAAAACTTGAGAGATTTCCGTTGGTTTGTAATTTGGTGAATGGGTGCGCGCAAGTGTTGACGCGACGTACACGTGCACGCATTTGCTATTATTCGTCAATTCAGTTCGTGACATCGCTAGCTGCCATCGGCTGAATGAGAATATCTCCCGGGCGCTGATTTTGGGCGCAATTCAAACATGGCCCGGCAATTTTTAATTGAAACCGACTAATATTGTTTTTTAGGAATAATTATACAACATTCACAGAGCTAAAATCTCATCCGGTTAGTTGTTAAGCACTCATCTTTAGATTTTGAGCACTTTTGTTGCCTCAAATGAAAAATATGAAAAAATGACAAATGATCTACCCTACCGTTAGAGAAAACTAAACCACTGTGAACATGCATAGATATTTAGTCAGTGATAATTTCAGTCAATAGATTTATTAGAAAAAAAATATGTCACTGCCTATAACTTGCTTGGAGGAGGAAGCATTAAGCCGAGATGTGCCAACACTCGTCAAGACGTGGGTTGAAGGACCAGAGCTTGTTTGAGCATCTCGCAGATAACTCGCTCTCCATGGACCACTCGACCCGCTGTTTGATGTGACATCTGATAACTCAAATGCTGGAAAATGAAAAGAAAAAAATCTACTCTGTGAAAGTTAAAGGTGTGATTACTGCAGGATATATATTGGCTGTCCCAAAAGAAATATGACGTATGTCAAAGAGACATCGTCTCTGCCAGCTTGTGTGAAAAGCTATGACAAAACTTTCTACTATTTTCTTCAATTGTTTTTCTAGGTACTGTCAAGCCTCTTTGTCTTTAGGCCTCTTGCAAACAAAGTGGCTAGTTAGGTTTAGGGCAACCTCCAGTAAAGATCTCACTTGTCAGCTTTACGTTAGTTTTACATTAGAACACAAACAGACAAAGTAGGCCGAGTATGCTAGGGCTAGGCCAATTTTAGCCATATTCTATGGCCTCGCACTGGAGTAGACTGTGCTGACTGAGGCCATAGAATAGGACTAGGCCTAGTTTGTAATTAGGCTAGTCCATTGAAGTGAGGTACATTACTTCATTGTTTATCCCCTGGAATTACTTAGGCCCACTAAATGAAATTCTGCTAGGCTATATAGAATTTATAACTGCCTTCCCGTCCAACCAGAACGCTTCGGTAGCTCGATGGGTGACACGTTGAGACCACTTTACTGGGGATCCGGGTTCCAAACTGCTGCCACGCAGCTCAATTTTAAAAAAAAAGTTTTCTTTACTTTCATGTTTTTAATCAAACTCGGTCTTTATCTAGCCTACGTTAAGTAGATTTCAACTTCTTTTACTTAGGCCTATCTGTGGTTTTGGAGAAATCTGTTTGGGCTTTTTAAAAAGAAAATAAAGTCCGAGAACTATTCATTTGAACGATAGTCTGGTTCCAACAGCCAAATATCCTGATGTTGAATACTACTAAGGAGTAAGTTACTCTGGGAACCAGACAATTCCGTAACGATGGCAGTAGAAAATTGCGCTACGGCTGCCGTAACGATAGCCAAAGCACTGCATTTTTTATATTTGATGATTAATCTTAATTTTAACTGGACTATGAACGTCTTCCCCACCAAAAAATCACAGGCCTACGTAAATTGCTTTTACCATATCTTGGGTTTGTGCCCTTGCTAGTGCTTGATGATGATGCCATCAAGAAATGAGACTCTTGGCTGACCTGCTCAGCGCTGCCAGTGCCAGTGCACATAATTTATTCCTACAAAGAAAGCATTAAATTGCAAAAACAATTTAAAAATTCAGATTGTAAGTGATGAATCTTAAAAAGTTTGTCTGTCGTTTTTTAGGTGACTCAAACTTCTTAACAGTTCAGAAAATATTTAAAACTTAAAAACTTCTAACAAACTCACCAGCACAGCACCGCAGATCCGAAAGTTTGTAAACTTCTGAAGAACATGCAAATTAATTACTGTGACCAAAATAATATTTATAATGATAAAAATATTAAAATTATTTCCACATATTCAAAGATTATTTGCAATTAGAAATAAACTTGTGAATGTGACATTTTAGTTTTAAATTAATTGTACCCTTTCTCGTTTTTTATGCGACACCAATTTGTTTAGCTTTTAAATGAATGAACGAGGTTAGAAAATAAATTGTATTAAATATCGTCCATGTCGTCTCGCCCCGCGCCCAGAGCACCTTGCATGCCGCGCCTTTCCATTGCAAGATCCACGGCCGGCCGGCCGGCCCGCCACATAAACGACTCACCATTTTTGTACTAGGCCTGGCATGGATGGAGTTATTTTCGAAGTTGCATAAAAAATTCTCATCGGAAATTGAATTAATCAGAATCATTGTCTGAAGAGAAATGGAAAGAAGGCACGGAGGTGTGGTATTAAGCGGACAAAAAAATGGTGAGTGAACTGAGTAATGCCGGATTGGCATGGCAATGATTGGTTAAACGGGAAAGATTCCCATATCTGGCCATCCCATATCTGGCCATCACTAATTTTCCCTTCAGTGACCGGGCCATGGAGGAATAAAAATACTCCATGAGTGACCTATCAGCCATCAGAAAGTGATAATATGTCCTAAAAAGTCAAATTTAGCAGGAAAAATATTGAAGTATTTACTGAGAAAACACTGACTTAGAAAAATTTTCTGACCTGAGTCTCACTCTCACTCAGTCATACAATAGGTTTGTGCACAGGGGGACAGGGTGACAAGTGATGGCCAGATATGGGAATCTTTCTGTTACACGCTACCCGTTAGACAACATGCAAATGCAATATGCAACAGCATAGGCTTATCTGCTAGCCTTATGCATATATGCCCCCGCCCCCCTAGTACTAGTGCTCTCCTTATGTTGGAAACTTGAGATGCAAGAAACAGCACGGATACAATACATCGAAAACATGTTAAGTAAACATGGTAGGGCTAAACGTCTTGTTGGAACAATTGCATCTGGTCTTTATTGTGTTTAGGCCTGAAGTAAAACTTTTCTAACTTGATTTTGTAAATGTTTTTTCCCCCAGAAAAGTAAATGAAAAAACTTGGATTGAAAAAATGTACGAGCCTCCCTATACTGTAGAACCTTTGACAGAATTTACATAAAATTTGAAAGGAAAGCAAAGTCAGTTGATGTCAATAGCATGCAGAGTCCACTCCCAGTTGGAGATCCTGAAGTCTGTCCATGGAATACTTTTTTGGGGGGTTCGTTTCTAATTCATTTCTTTCTCCCCTTCTTTCTTTCTTTGTGATTCTTTCTTTGTGATTCTTTCTTTTGTGATCCTTTCAGTAACAGCAGCCATGGCAGCTGAGGTTAAAACTGACCTCAAACTTCTTTTGGAATGTCTTAAATGCCATATGGGAGATGTTGAAGTACAAAGAGGCACTCTGCTCACCACTGCTGATGTATGTTCAAGCTCAGGTACTGCATCATTGTTGGCAATTTTTTGCTTGTGTTTAAATTCCTAATGTTAGAATGTGTAGGTTAGTTGTTAGACCTGTGAATGTGGCTATATACATAGCCATGCACGCTCCGTCCATATCTCTGTGTACAGTTGACGTGCAAATGACACTTTGAAATAACAGATCCTATGCCACTGGAAGTTCTTGGATAAACTCATATGTAAATATAAGACTCACAAGGGTTTGCATGGTGGACATTATCAATGAATGGGAGGTTTGCAGTAACATGTGAATGATATCTCTTTGAGTTGTGTGGTTCTGAGAAGAACCAGTTGGTTTAACTTGATGTTTCGAACAGTGTGCTCTGCTCGTCTCCTGATGACTACTAGCAGAGCATACTGTTCAAAACCTTGAGTTAAATCAACTGGTTCTTCTCAGAACCACACAACTCACTAGGAGATATCATTCACATGGTGTTACCGCAGACCTCCATTCATTGAACTCTTATGTAAGTACTGAACATACAGTGCTCGTGAATTTCGAGATTGTAAGTGGAAGTCTCCAACCGGGATTTCGAACACGTTGAAAGCCCAGAGAATATAAACGAACAGTAGCCACGTACATGGGTCTAAGGCTAGTCATACTTGACTGAAATGTAACATTTTCATGTTGTGTCATAACTTATCAAAAAATATGCTGCCTCCATTGCCAAGTTGTACATCATGTAGGCTCTAGTTGCTGGAATATTATATGCGCATTTGTATTTTTTGTACAAGGTGATGCCCAGGAGTATTTCAGAGAGTGTGGAGGCATCAATTTTGTCTTGAACCTTCTAACGTCAACTGAAGATGTCAAGTTGAAGATTGCAGCACTGTATATGCTTGGCTGTGCATGTGAGAAAAATGGTACGTTTACGAAGAGGGGGCAGATATTGCTTTTGGGAGTTTTTTGAGAAAGTTTTTCATTCATTCTTTTTTTTCTTCTTCTTCTTTTCTTTTTTGGTACATTTACACAAAGACACAACAGAAAACAACCACATTTTGATGAAGTAACATTAGCAGGCCTAACATTTGAGGAAGTAGATGTTGACAAAGTGGGTAAAGATCAAGAAGGTTTTAACAGTGTCACATTGTATGTTTTCTAATATTGCTTCAGAGTTTCTGTGCATTACTGTCGTTTTGATTTTATTAGAGTTTGGCCAATTCTGTGTTGATAGAGGACCAAATGACTAAACAATTTGCCACACAGGTCACACATTATATGTGACATGGGTACACATAAATCAAAAAGAAAAATCTCCAGTTGTGAAAGATTTTTTAACGTGGACCTCTGAAACAAACTGCGCCTTCCTTTTTTATTTTCAAATTTTTAATGTAGTGTTTTCACAAAAGAGACTATGCACCCCGGCTGTCTTCAAGTTTCTCTACTGCCAGCTGATAAGTAAATGGGAGACAAGTGAGAACTTGAGGAGGACCTCGGCATTTCTCTTGCTGTGCTTGGTCACAAACAATGGTAAGACTGATGAAGGTGGAGCATGTAGATTGGCATTTTCGGGCCAATAGACCATGGCTCTGCCATATCCTTAATTTAAAATCTGACAAGGTTTTGTTGAGAATTTTGCAGGTTTGAGGAGAGTGGAACCCAGCCACTTGGCATATACTTTCCAATTTTGAAGTATAAAGACTTTGTCATTTGGTTGCTGCAAAGTAATGAATTTGGAGGATTCAGGATATTTCCTAGCAAATATGACATGGGATTAAGGGATAAGATACATAGAGGCTTAAAGGATCATTTGCAAAAATTCAAAAAACGAAACTGCCAAAATATGAAATATCAGTAAATAATAGGATTGAATATCCTGTGAAATCGTTGCGAATAATATGCTGTCATTTTCAAGAAAAGGGGAAAATCATCATTTCCTCAAGATGATTAAGACCTGACCGTCACGCTGTCAACACAAACCTATTCGCTTTGCATCAATAAAAATGGAGATACAGTTTTCTCAAAAAGTGTAATATCCACTGAGCCAAAATTTCAACAGGTAAGGTTTTTAACATTCCTCTTTTGATTTTGTGTGGTGTAATTATTGGAAGTGAACGAAATGCATAAACAGTAAATGATCCTATATGCCTTTAAACACATAAACACATATGGGTTTTTTTTACTTATAACAAAAAGGATTTAATTCATGTGGATCCAATTCTGCTTCTTTTAGATTTCGCAAATTTCTTATTATTTATTCACATTGAAAACAACTGTAAAAATATGATGCTGAACCTTAATATTCAGCTCACAGTAAATGGTATGGCTCATAGGAACATAGGTTAGCATAGACTTTGGCTATATGAGGTTTTATGTTTCTAAAGAATAACAGTACTTCAGGAAAACCAACGCTTATATAATGTTGTTAAAAAACTTTTTAGGAGAGGGACAGAATCTTGCCAGGACATCTCACTGTCTGGAAGCATTGCTGAAACTCTTCAGGTTTGTGCTGTTAACAATTTTTCTCCATGTATCTGTTCTATGTATAATTACCCATTGGTCTTCACAACTCACTTGAGAAAGAAATTGAGGTCCGATGAATTTTTTTGAAAATCTTCATTCTGAAAATAAAAGGTAAAGTATAACCTTTTAAAGAACAGAGAGGTTCAGAATGATTCATTTTGCCTTGTTTAATATTTTCATCATGTCCGGACCAATATATTTTTAAAAAAATTCCTTTAATACAAAAAATTAATGATGTCCAAACCTGCTTCAATTTTGTCTGTTTTTCAAATTACAAACTTTGATGTTTAAATTCAGGACCTTGTACCCTACAAATCAACCCACCTCTGGATCACCGGATGAAACTTGGATGGACTCGAATGCAGATCAAAAGAGGCTTGATCTGTGGACTACCGTGACCAGTACCCTGTGTGGCTGTGTCAATAACCCTCAAAATGGTAAACTTACATAAAGTTCCACATCTACCTTCATTTCTAGATGAAGCTATTGGTACAAATGAGCATTTAAATTATGCACATGATTGAACGATTTCAAAGGTCTGAAAGTGCAAGCACGATAGGCAGTTTGATGATATGACTGTTGTTTTCCAAGGCAAGCAGTTTCCTTAGCATGTGATCTGAACATGCAGCTACTGCGTTATTTCTTTTAACTCATTTAAGCTGCTTTTAGTTTTGTTTTCAACGCAGCAAGCTTTCAAGCATTCGTACTTTCCTACTTTCCTAGTTTTTTTTTTTTTACCTTGCTCGTACTGTTCCTCCTTTTTTTCTTGAACTTCCTACTTTTTCCTACTTTTTCCCCCTACAACTTCGAGAAATGAAATCTTATTGAATATTTTTCATGACAGTGTTACACACTGTCATATGTAACTCACACAATGAAGGGCTTGGGCTCAGGAGTACTGCAACTGTACTTCCAAGAGCTTACTAGGTGAGGATGGAGCACAAGTGTTTTGAGTACAGAACATGCCAAAAGAGACTGATGATGCTGTGGACATGAGTGAGCATCAACAAAAAACACTCCTAAAAGCCCGCAAAAGTCCTAATTTTGTCCTTTCTTATTTTGATTGTGCTGTTCTCCTACTCCTTCGGCTGGGTCTGCTTGAAAGCCTGGTACAGATATGGAAAAATTAAGATAAACATCATTTTGAAAAGGGTTGTAATAAGGTAAAGATTTACGGCAGCACCTTGTGACAAATCTCTTTTGTGAGTTTGTGAGGTTCTGAAAAGAACTGAGGGAAACTCAACGTTTTGGACATTTCTGCCAGTCATCAGGATTCGTCACATGGTGCTACCATAAATCTTTATCTTATTGCTATCCTCACCATGCAAACCTTCAAATCTTTGTAGAGTTCCATGTCCTAGTGGTCTCGGGTGTTGAATTCGTGGTCTGTGGGTAATTCTGCAAGTTGTGGGTTCGAGCCCAGCCTGGGCTATGACACTTTACGCATAGTATGGGTAGAGGCATTATTAATGCCTTGCAATGGACTAGTTACCCATCCCAACCCTATTCATACTCTGAAGAGGTTAGATTATCTTGTCTTATTTCAGTGTTGGGGCTGGTTCTTCCACACTTTCCTCAGTAGCCCACACCTTGAGTAGCCTTTGGCCTTGTGATGGGTGATTTGCATAAAAACTAAATTTTAAAAAAGGGGTTGTAATTGGCATTGATTTTTTCCATTAGAAGAAGGTTGCATAACGTCAAGTCCTACAAACAGGTCAAGCTGTTTGGAACTTGAAAAGAAATTGAATTTATTTTTCAAGGAAAGAAAACTGTTCCTCGATTTAATTTAATTTAATAATGAAGAATTAGGATCGACAGTCTATGCAACAGATAGAAACAGTTGAGTTTTGTGTTTATTCGCAGAGGAAAACCAGCTGATGTGCTCCTCAGCAGCATTTCCCGCAGCAATCAACATCATAAGCAAGACCAAGAATCCAACGGTCATACGACTGCTTTCATCCTTCCTGTCTCTAACTATTGCAAATAACGGTGAGAAAATGTAGATTGCCATCTGAACCACATGCATCATAGACCTCTGCGTGGTTTAAGTGATTGAGAAGCGTTATTTCCACATTTGGAAGCTTCTGAAAATCATGTCCAGCAGAAAAACTCGAATTTCAATTTCCCACAAAAAAAAAAAATTCAACTGAATCCTCGCCACATAGTGCAAAGACACACTGTTTTGAAATACAAAAAAATGGAATATTGACTTCTTCTCATGATGCACTGTGGGTAAAGCAAAAGTCACACCTCCAGTGTCAACTTTCAATTATTGAGAAATACTTGTAGAATTTATTTTGTTTGAGCTGTCATGCATGAATAGAGCGGAGAGAAAGAGTTCCATACCTGGATATTACTTGACACCCTGTGCATGAGACTGGTCTGAAAAATTCCAAGTGTTTTCTCTGTAAATGCTTTAATATTTTCCCTGCTAAATTTGACTTTTTAGGACATGTTATCGCTTTCTGATGGCTGATATTTCATTGCGGGGAAAAATTGGTGATATCCATGTATGGAATTCTTCCCAATCAAACACATCCAATGTGTATTTTCTCTGAGGAATTTAACGCATTCTAAAATCTGCCAGAGCTGGGGATTACTTGTCTGGTACTAATTTGTAAGATTGCGATTTCCCTTCTGAGTGATTGCTGAGTGCCATTCCCCAGGTTTGCAGCACAATATGTTTCCCACATCATGAGTTTGGGCATAATCCAGGGATGTAGTCAAGTCCATCACAAGTTCAGTCGCAAGTGATTCACGAGTCCATTCACAAAAAACAGCGGATGAACAAGAATGCCTTCGTCAAAGCTCATCTAAATAGCTTGCGATTTGAATTGGGACTGGAGGACTTTAATAGTTATGATGGACTTGCAGGGACTTGTGATGGACTCGACTCCATCCCTGGCATAATCTCTGGCCTCATGGTTTAAGGTTTCAAACTAGTAAAACTTTTTTTCCAAACTACAGCAGACCACCAACATAGTGCTGGATAGCTCAGTTGGTGGAGCACTTGGTGCAGTGTAGGCCTATCGAGTGGTGGCAGGTTCAAATCTCACTCCAGTCGACTTCTTTGTTCAACCTCATTTTGTATGTTCTCCATGATATGCAGGAAGCAATCAAGACAGGTTTGCCAAACTGGGAGGGCTGGAGATACTAGTGGACCTCCTTCACACCACCATAGAGGAACTTCTACAGCAGCCAGACCAAGATGTCATACAGGCGGCAGTGCAGCTGGCTAACGTATTTGTGTCTTGTGTCACCGATTGTGGTAAATATATAATCTCTGTATGCTCATCACATCTTCCAATGTCTGACTTATCCTATGAGTTACTTTTGTTGTTGTATAACCTTCTTGTTAACCTATTTCCTAATTGATTCTCATTCTGTTGAGCTATTCTGTTTTTGAATATGCATCTGTGAATTTCATCTTTTATGACCTTTATACACTTTCATTTCATGTATTTAGTTGTTTCAGGGTAAACAATTAGATTTCAAAGTCTACTTGATTGATTCTGGCGATCTGAGCATACACTTCACAAAAGGCACGCTGCTGTCACTGTTGGATTCAGATTTTTTTAAGGTTGTGTCATGGACTGTTGGAATTTCAGACTCGTGCTGCAAGATAGTTTAGCAAGCTAAGAATCCCCTTCAAGCTCGCAAATTAGGCAAAAATATTTGGAGAGCAATCTTTCATGGTATTTTCTTTACTTTCAGACAATTTTTTTTCCATCTTTCGAAATTTTCAATTTTCTGATTTTCAAGTCAAATAAATTCTGCAGGTCCTCATGTGAAATAAGTTCAAATTGTTTCTTTGTCCCCTTACTTAAAAAAATGTTATGGCTTTATAAGCGCCTGTTATTTCCAGGACAATATCCACACTGCCTTTGTAAGCGATTGTTTTCAATCTATTCTTCTTCCAGAGCAAAACCACTCCAGGCTTGTGGATCTGAACCTTGTCCCCATGCTGGTTCAACTTTTGTCCATGGACTTCATCGAGTCGGATGTCAGACTGAAAGTTATCATCACTTTGGGCCATCTCACTGAAAAATGTGGTCAGTATAAAACTGGTCTTGTTGCTTTGCTTTATATCTCATCGTCCAAGTGGAGCTGGCTGACTATTAGTGTTTGTTCAAAAATGCATTAACGGTGGCGTTAATTGGCCGAGAAGCATTTAAGGGGTCTCATTTTCTCGATGGGTTTTCAATGGGTTTTAAACTACTTTAACTTGTTAAAAAATCGTTCCCTTCATCAAATTTTTTATTTATTTAAAGGTAGAGTATTTTGTCATTTGTGCATTTTTGTGTGTGAAGCAAGGGTACTTAACAACTAACCTGATGAAATGTTTGCTCAGTGAATGATATATATTCCAAGAAAACTATTCTAGGATCACTTGATTTCAATCCAAAAGTTGCCAAGTCATGTTTGAATTGCACCCGAAATCAGCGTCCGGGTCACATTCTCATTCAGCCGATTGCATTATAGGGAATGGATGAATTATAGGAACCACGCACAATGCTTGCCCGCAACCACTAATGGCTTCGCCAAATTAAATACAAACTACTAATGGAAATTTCCTAAAATGCATCTTTAGACGTGTCTTTGTAAAGGACTTTCTTTTATTGTTTTCTTCAGTATGACAGCATGCCAGAAAGAATAGTTTCATAGGGAGTTTAGTGCCATTACTATCTTTAAATTAAGAATGTTTTTAAACAATAATTTGGCAGTTACTTTTTGGATAGTTGCAGATATACTCTACCTTTAAACAGGTCTTACACATCTTCACCGACACTTGTGTACATATTCATCAGTAGATCAAACTGGATGATAAAATTGAGCGTGTATATGCCCTTTTTAAGAAAACTAATAATATACCTTGGGCAGGCTAATCCTTAGGTTTAAGGAGCCCCAAGTTCAACAAACAGGAAAATCTGAGGATGAGCAGTGTGTAATGGAATATGGGTTACTTTGTAAATGATCTGCTTATTCTTTGGTTCCTTTGGAAACAGAGAGGAGCCAGCGTCAGTTGTTAGAGAGTGACGGCTTGAGTCTGTTGGTTCACATCATGGCCGACAATCAAGATGAAGAATTCAACAAAGCCGCTATGTATCTGCTTACGAGTTGTGTGGATCTCGGTGAGAAAATCTGACTTTTTAAATTGAATTTTGGCTTTCTCCGACTAATTTGGAATCTCGCTATGGTCATGAAATGGTTTTAATTTGGATGGACCATACGTCACTTTTTATTTGTTACTCAGTAAAGATGATTTGTTGTAGATTTGTTTCTATATTCATTGGTTGTCAGATGCTGTCAGTCACATGAATTGTGCCATGATACCCCAAGGATTTTATTTACTTTAAAAGTTTGTTGCATAAAGTTTAAATGAAAGAGAGCCAGGGAAAGCACGGCGATCATGCAAACATGGCTTAAACATGCCTGATCATTTGTACATTAAATGAGAAATTATTCCTGGATGTTTGCAAACATTTGCATTGTGTGCGTGAATAGATTGCACCCAGGTCATTTCAACATGATTCAAAGACTCTGTCCAAGAATTGTCTCTGTTTCTTGAGTAAAGGTTGTTGTGAGTAGGCTTTTTTTCTACCAGAAGAAATTTGATGCCAGTTGTTTACAAGTTTATAGACCACAATGCTGAAAAGTACTGCACTTGTGGTTTTTAGAAGGTGTCCAAGACTGGATTATCAGTGGCCATTGTTTACATGTGAGTCTTTCCAGGCCTCAGCCAGTAGCTGTTCACAGATTATAACTGCTTCATTTGCTGTACATTGGCAATTTCCTAATCTCTTTTAGATGATAATCCAATTAAGAGAGTGCATTGAGCCATTTAATGCCTGTAATGGGTTGACCTGGTGAGGACAACATGATATTCTGTGGCTGAGGATAACAATGGAGCTATTACCATGGATAAACAAGTGTATGCTTACAGAGTCAAAATCACAAGTCAAACCATAGTCAAACCCACTGATCTCTATAAAATCTCTTTAAGTACAGTGCACATGCATTGGTCAATAAGCTATCCAGATTTTTAAACATCAGTATCAATGGTCAAACCACAAGTTAGGTTACAATTATGAACATTAACAAGTGGATGCAGGTAATTTGAATGACTTGTCAATCGAGACTGTATGACTTGTGAGGAAACAACCAAATTCTTTGCATACTCTTTTGACAGCATTTCTTCTGTCAGACCAGGATTGGGATCCTTTATTTTGGCATTCAATTTCTGTTTTGTTGTCTGTGGTTATTTGCAATTATGAAAATAGATTATAGACTTATGTCTTTCAGCGGAATTCAAAAAAGGATGTTAATTAGATATTTAAGTGGATTATACTAAAAAAAGGACCCTCTCTCCCTGAATTCATTCGGTAAGCTTTTACCGCAGAGTTAGAATGGTTAAAAAGAGGAATTTTAGTCTGTCAGGAAAACAATTTATTCTTCGAATTTTGACTGGCATAAATTCTAAGTGTTTGAACATGTAAACAAATGTTATGCTGCACACCCTTAACACCATACTTAATGGAAAAGGGATATTAAGAAGGGTGTAATATTTATCAATAGGCATGAATGGGCTTAAAATAACATCCTCTGTCCGATAAAATGACAAGCTCTTTGGTCACTTACCTATCATTGAAAAGAATTGATGGAGTTGACAGGTTGATCTTAGATTATATTCCTCAAGTATGGGCAATAACAGCCACGTTGTTGTGATTCTTTTACCAGGACGTTCAAAAACATAAAACAGTAACAGATTCACCATAAAGTAATTGAAAACACCCCCCCCCCCAAAAAAAAAGACATGGACTTTATAAAAAGTCACCTCACAATAAAGAAACAAACACAACATTTATAAACTGAGTTGACCACACACATGCAGCTTGACAACAAACATCCGAGTACATCATATATGCCTTTCCCATTTTCATGTTAGGCCCTAAATGTAGAATTGTACAAATTTGCAAATCTTGACTTTTAAGAAACTGTCACTATTCTGCTGACTGCAGTTTCATGTATGGAAGAAGAAAGTCTAAATGCTGGTAATGGCTTAAGCACCTCAACGAAACCCAAGTCGGCAGACAAGAGGAACAAGGCACGGGCAGAGAGGGAGACTACATTGATCCAACTACGCAGGCTACAGCCAAACGCTGAAGATGTCCCAAGTGGTATTGCAGCACCAAGTGGACTGCAGGTACAAGACCTCTCTCAACATATGTGATGCGATCAAGCTACATGAGTCGTTTGTCGGGAATTTTCATTTGGAGATACAAGCCAAAAAAGGGCCACTTCATCACATCACTACATCACATCTCTTGGTGTTCCGACTTCCATAATTTTTGAACTAAAGATGGTATCGGCATGCGGTTTTCACAGCAGTAGTGCTGAAATTGTGCTTGTTTCAAATCTGTAATAAAAATTTTTTGACCGGGGTCGACAAACGACTCATTTAGCTTGATCGCATCACATATTATGCACAGAAAAATTCATACAGGTGATTCATTTGTGGAATGAATGACGGACATTCGTTTAATGAACCGAAATAACCTTCTGACAACATGGAAAAAAAGCAATTATCTTCAAACAGTAGGCCTACATGGATGCATGCATCAAAGAGTGCAGGTCTAAACATTAAACTTTCAGTAATCAAAATTCCAGTTACATTTCAATGAGTGATGCTGCAAGAAACTTTCCAAAACCATTTCCAAATCTCCCTTGCAGAACAACGAACCAGACCCACGTGCAGTTACAGAGGTGGCACCTGCAGTCACCAGCACCAATACTAACCCATCATCACTGTCCAGCCATAAGATGAGTGAGACAACTGAGGATAACGTGATTAACGAGTTACTGAGACAACTCCATGAGGTGAGATGGTTTTGGGGTGTTTTTTTTGTGGACCTCCTGGTTATTGACAGCTTCAAGGTTTTTCTTTACTTCATATCCGAAGCAACTAACAGTCATCCTTTTTTTTGGCTGGTGCCAAAGAGGGTCTGCCTAAGAGTGTGTTTACCAGTTATATTCGATATTCATAAATAGGGGGCCTACCTAAAACAGTTTTAACCCATTCCTATTGGTCTTAAATGGTTGATAAAACAATGTTGGTTGATAATAAATATGTGTTTGGATGGTATTAAACACTATGTTTAAGACCAGTTTAGAGTCCTTCAGCTCGGGTCATTATCAGTGTCCAGACTCCAAACCGGTCTTAAACATGGTGTTTAAAATCCGCCAAGCACACATTTATACCCTTGTTTTTATGCCCCGCGGCGAAGCCGAAGGGGCATACTGTTTCCGCCTTGTCCTTCCGAGGGTGGGTGGGTGGGTGGGTGGGTGAGCTTGTCTTACATACGCAGTGTGGACTTCCGAACAAAAGACGTCCACATAATGTAGGTAGCACCGACGTTGTGTGGACTTACCCCACGTCCACACAGTGTTTCCCCATTTCTGGAAAACAGGTTTAGAGGCATTTTTGGGTTAGGTTTATCTGTAGCAGAATGAAGAGAAACACTAAAGGGAATCATAGAAAAAAATTGGGTTGAAAGAGTTTTCACAGTTTGAGAAAAATGAGTTTTTTCACTGGTTTTTCTTAACTACACGAAAGCAATGGAAAGTCCACACTAGTCATGTGAAACAAGTGTGCGTGTGTGGGTGTGTGGGTGAGCTTGTCTTACATACGCAGTGTGGACTTCCGAACAAAAGACGTCCACATAATGTAGGTAGCACCGACGTTGTGTGGACTTGCCCACGTCCACACAGTGTTTCCCCATTTCTGGAAAACAGGTTTAGAGGCATTTTTGGGTTAGGTTTATCTGTAGCAGAATGAAGAGAAACACTAAAGGGAATCATAGAAAAAAAATTGGGTTGAAAGAGTTTTCACAGTTTGAGAAAAATGAGTTTTTTCACTGGTTTTTCTTAACTACACGAAAGCAATGGAAAGTCCACACTAGTCATGTGAAACAAGTGTGGGTGTGTGGGTGTGTGTGTCCGGACAAATCTTGTCAGCGCGATAACTTGAGAAATACTTTACATATGAACTTCAAATTTGGTTTGTGGATTGTCCTTGGTAATCCTAAGAAGCCTTTTGCATTTGGGGCTGAAAGGTCAAGGGTCAAGGTCACAGTGGCTGAAACAATAGAAATTTTGTCAGCGCGATAACTTGAGAAATACTTTACATATGAACTTCAAATTTGGTTTGTGGATTGTCCTTGGCAATTCTAAGAAGCCTTTTGCATTTGGGGCCAAAAGGTCAAGGGTCAAGGTCACAGTGGCTGAAACAATAGAAATTTTGTCAGCGCGATAACTTGAGAAATACTTTACATATGAACTTCAAATTTGGTTTGTGGATTGTCCTTGGTAATCCTAAGAAGCCTTTTGCATTTGGGGCCGAAAGGTCAAGGGTCAAGGTCACAGTGGCTGAAACAATAGAAATTTTGTCAGCGCGATAACTTGAGAAATACTTTACATATGAACTTCAAATTTGGTTTGTGGATTGTCCTTGGCAATTCTAAGAAGTCTTTTGCATTTGGGGCCAAAAGGTCAAGGGTCAAGGTCACAGTGGCTGAAACAATAGAAATTTTGTCAGCGCGATAACTTGAGAAATACTTTACATATGAATTTCAAATTTGGTTTGTGGATTGTCCCTGGCAATCCTAAGAAGCCTATCGCATTGGGGGTCAAAAGGTCAAGGGTCAAGGTCACAGTGGCTAAAACAATAGAAATCTTGTATTTATTCTGAGATCATAGGGATTAGGGATTAATTCATATAAAACCTACAGAAGACACTAATGCTGTCAATGAACATTCCATTTGACCAAGGTACATGTAAGTTGATGTTAGAGTGGTGTTATGTCATGGAAACAGTCACGGTTGCGGGGCATTTGTGTTTGTAAACACACCTGACTTGTTATAAGTTGCACTTGCATTGAGGAACATTTTGCCACAAAATGCCAGTGTAGTTCACACTGTGAAGCAATCTTCGTGAAAAGTAACACATAAGTTGCAGTTCTAAAGTTCTCATCTGATCTACAATAGTTTCACACCTCAATTGCATTTTTACGTTCCTCTCATCATTTGCATTTCCAGGAGAAGAGCACAAGAGAACGTCTGGAAAATGAAAAGAAAGCCTTCGAGAAACGAGAGGAGACTAGGAAGAGGAGCAAAGGGGAGGCTAAGGAGATGGCAGAGGCAATCACCTTAGAGCTTGAGAGACAGTACAAGGAACAGGAGCACCTTGAGACACCCAGAGAAAACCAGGAGCGAGACGTTGAACAGGTGCGGTAGAACAGGTGGTTTTAGATGCCAAGTCACGGGTGATAGGATAAATCTATAAGATAATTGGGCTTCTGGTGCTTTGCCAGAAAAGGGGTACGCGGCTGGATGCCACCTGATTTTTTTTGGGGGGGGAGGCAGAAGATTGCTGTTCAAACATGTATGTATGCATGTACGCACACATGAACATTTTAAATATCACATGATTATTAAGTATCAAGTGCAGAGTGTCAAATTCCTTCACTGACTGAGCATGGCTGTTTAATGCTGACAGATGTGGGTCAATCGATAAATTTAGAATCTGTGACATTTTTTTTCTACCTGTTACCTTGGTACTTTGTAATTTGCTATTCAGTTATCATTAAGAATGACCGAAACAATTTTGTTTATATTTATTGGATTGGTAGGTAGATAGCTATTCATTATCACTGTTGGAGGACGACTGCATTAAGGAGTGAATCAGAGTAATAAAATCATAAATGTCAGATGTAACAGGGACAGAAAAAAGTGGACCCTAAACTTATAGAACGACCCATATAGCATTAGGTTTGAAAATGTCTTATATTCGACTGAAATTTCCAGCTCTACATTGTACACAAGACAAAACATTTTGCTAGGATTGAAACAGTGGTTATTTTTAAAAGTTTACGCTCTTTTAAAACATTTTCACAGAAGGTTAAAAGGCCAGTTAAATTTAAATGGATTGTATTTGTAATAAAACAATTTTTGCTATTTTTTGTTTGAATAGTTTGAGTTTTGTTTGTCTTACTTTCCCAGAGACCCAAGTCTGTCTCTCCTGTAAAGCAGCTTCCCTCTCCAGCCATGAAAGAAGTGCAGCAGAGATTGGAGGCACTCGAAAAGTCCCTGAATGACATCAGCAGTATGGGTAACCAACTGGCAGAGCAGATTGCCCAAGCCAAGGAGAGAGACCAACCAACCAACAACCAAGACCGACCAAACTCGACGGCGGATAGATTCAAGACATTGTCAGATTTTCCCCCTCAGACAAATGAGGACCGGAGGGAAAATAATCCAAATCGAAATCAGAAGGTGAAATCAGAACAGTTACATGACAGAGTAAACAAATACTTGAGAAGCCTCAATGATGGAACGGAAAACGTCGACAAATCCCAAACGATGCAGACAGATGCTCCACTTAAGTCTCCAAACCAAACCAGCCTGTTCAGAGTTCCGTCATGCCCGGTAAGACGGCAGCACTTGGGAGCAGCCAGACGGATCGCGACCGACCAACAGTCCCTCCCAATACCGAATGTCATCAAGATGCGGGGATCTGAGAGTGGCTTAAGTCACGCAGAGCCTTCCGAGGAAGGCACACTCTACGAGTCTGACACTGAGAGTTGTGTGTCTGGCGTCACATCCCTGTCCGCTGTGACAGACACCGAAATGAGTATGACTGCCTCAGACATGTACCTGGTAAAGCAAGCCCAATCAACCCATCAGATGCCTTCCACCAGCAGAGAGCACAGAACAGCTTCTTCCCACCCTCATATTTTATCACCTCCGAGCAGACCAAATCGCAGCTTCCGAGTGAACTACTCCTCACAGACAGGAGCAACCTTCACACTCCCCGCATCCACACATCAGTCTGATCCCACCAAACCTGGGGTCTCTCGTCTTGGAGTTGGCAAGGACAACTCAAGAGAGTCCAAAGTTGTTTATCAATTCAAGGGATCTCAGAGTGACTTGTCAGGTAAGCAGGGGCGGATACAGAGGAGGGGTTATAAGGGATCCTTACCAACACTTGGGGGTTTTTTTGTGTTTTTTTTAATAAACTAAAGTAAAGTTTTTGGGGGAAAAAGTGGGACTTTTCCACATAAGCAAAATGTGCAATCCAGACAGCACCTTGTTAAAGGCATATTGGAAAATTTGCTGCTAATGCATTTTGTTCGTTTCCAATAATAACACTCAAAATTCAAAGAAGAATGTTCAAAACCTTAAAACCTGGAAGTTTCAGCTCAGTGGATGCTATACTTTTTAAGAAAACAGTGAAAAACCATGCACATTGCAACCTTTTGATCATGAAACATAATTTTGTCACTATATAACCAGTACGATCTTTAATCCAAGTACCGGTACATTGTTATTAGCATTTGGATAATAAGTTGGTAGGTAACTTTGTGATAAATGCAAATGATCCTACTTGTATGCCATTCAAAGACTTGGCATCCATTTTAACATCTCTGAATTTTTTTTTACTCCTAAGCATTGCAAGCATGGAAGGGCTACTTCTATCCCTGGTAAATGAGCCTTTAAAACAACCAGCACTGTGCCATATGACGCAACAATGTAATATGAACTATCAAGTGTTCACTACATGTTAGAAACCTACTGTTTGAGTACCAGTTTTTAAAAGTGAACATGAACACATTTGTGTACATGTATGTGTGTACCACTCAACACCTTGCAATAAAGTTACCGTCGTTATGACTTTAGACAGGCAAATGGAGCACTGTGAAAGTCTCTTTCGTTTCTGTTTCATTTTAAACTACAGGTATATCATCTCTTCATGGTGTACCCAAATGCCCAGGTTAGTGCTAAAACGAATCCTTATATGAAAATGGACCACTATATGTACATCAAAAGGCCTTTGCAGACTGTCCATCTTGCTGTTGGTGTTGGACGTTTCTTGAGAATGGCATATAAGCCCATCACAAGTTAACTCAACCCTAATACACCGCAACCATGTGAATGAGGGTTTTGAAAGTTTTGAAATTTTTCTTAGATAAAACTGGAAGACTTGCTAGCCTATTATGCCATGAGCTAAAAGTGTTTCTCATTATTAGTACTTTTGTGGGAGGTGGGGGAAGGAGTGGAAGAACACTTCCGTGGGCAATTCGTAAAATTGTCAATTTTTGAGGACTGAGTAAATGCCGAGTTTTTAGATGTTTTACACAATGTTACGACAATTACTGTATATATCGGCTAATTTGCAAATCTGGTAAATCTTGGTAAAATTCTCAGGACGTGATTTCTGCAGTTTCATGTTGATATATTTTTGTTATGTAACAGTGAAGTAAATCTGTATCAACAAGTTTAAGTTAAGAGTGGTTTCTCAAACTACAATAATTTTCTTATTTGTTTGACTAAAAATCTTGGGAGGGGGACGATATTATGGCCTCCCCCCTCTCATCTAGTTACATAGTGGGGTATATTCTCTTCCACCTACTGATCCAATATCCCTTGCTGTGTAGTGGAAAGAGACTTTGCAGTCCACCATTGCAAGTTCCTGACATTCCCAGCAAATTCACTCAACAAAAATAGCTCGTTTTCACCCTCCCCCTCCCCCCCCCCCAGCTAGAGGTGTAACTCTGTTTCAAGTAGTCTTTTCTCCAATCAACAGGCTGTGCCCCACCCATCAACCGCCCATTGCTCAATAGCCGTAACTTCTTGTACACGCTGGAGAGAAGTCCGCACACCTGCTCAGAGCACAGAGAACTACACAGACTCATCAAGCAAGACATACATCAGCGGAGGATGGCTAAGAGTAGTGGTAGGTATCTTCCAGAATCTTTGCATCCTGAAAAACCAAAAAAATCATGTGAAATAGGGTAGGTAGTGAGAGACATGAAAAAAACATCAGTTAAAAAGTTCTGGTTTTAGAACCCACTATTTACGAATGTAGATAGTGGGAAAATGAGATCCTGCTTGTCAGAACACTGGAAGGTTTGAGATATGCATGCACATGTACATGTGTATAAAATTTGAGGATCTCGGGGAATGTCAAAGGTGAAAACACTTTTGGTTGGGGTGGGGGGGGGGGGGTAAATGGAGTATCAATTGTGCTTTTCTTAAGATGACCATTTTGAATCTCCACTATCTCCTTCCAAAACATGGAATGCTACACTCCAAATGTATGTTCAGCAATCATGACAGGTTAAATAGTAAACATTGAACAATTTTTGTGGAACTCAAGATAGTGCAGTTACAGTGGTATTCTAATGACGTTTTAAAAACCTTTTAAAAGCTGTGGCAGTCTGAAGAACTTTGTCAATGTTTATTTCACAGATGGATAATGGATATTTCACAGAAAGATTGTAGACATTTCACAGATTGTGGGTATTTCACGGATAGAATGCGGCGAATGCTCATCTTATTAAAATTAGTCAATGTTATGCGGGAATTTCATAGGCATTTCAGCAAGAGAATTTAAAATTCGTAATTAGAGGTGAAGGATCGTTGGTGGCTTGCAGTTCTGGATGTCATCCGACTTTGATGAAAATCAGTCACTATGTTTCCCTCTTAGTGAACATCAAGGTGCAATCCAGATGCAATATTCATTTCTTTAATTTGCAGACATCTCCCCTGAATCTACGAGAAGCACAAGGTCCAATATTGTAAGAAACCTGAGCAGTGCCACAAGGAGCAGAAATAGAAGCCCTCTATCCACTGCATCTTCCTTTGCAAACAAACGGGATGGGCAGCACAGAGAGAAAACAGTAGGAAGTTCTACAACTAATCTCCTTTGCCTTCCATAAATGGTGTTGCTATAATGCCAACAATATGTGTAGCTTATTTTCAGGAGTCATTGTTTGTGGAAATGTTTCCTAGTATTTAAGCTTACTTGTTTACAAGGTCATTTTCCTGCAAAACCCAATATTCATTCTTATCCTGAACCTTTCCGAAAACATGCGCCAACAACAAAGTAAGTGTAAAGCCGGCCTCAGGTCGACCCGCAATTTGCTTGCACCACGACGGAACCGTCGGCATCAAGCAGAAAAATAATGCTCAGGTCACAAAACTGAGAAATCATGTGATTCTCTTGAACAAGCGGCATCCCGATGTAAAATAATCGCAACCATGCTCATGTCACCCTTGTTGCAATGCCGATCCACCACGATGCACGATGCCACAGCATAGACAGTCATGTGACTTCTTTACCTATAAGGGGGGAGTAAATATGTGTTTGGCCGGTTCGGCTCGAGCCATTATCAGCGCGCATTCCCCTAATACAATCTTAAATGTACTTGCGGTATTCCCATTCACAATTACCTTTGTGGCAAAAAGTCGACACAAGTCAAAAATTATACATTTCCAATGATTTTGTTGAACAGTTTTATTTAATTTTTTTTTAAACACCCCTCTAGCTATGGTAAGGAATATCCTCTCGTGAGTAGGTAAACAATCTCCATATATGGTGATTGTCGCACACGTGGTGCGTGCTGCGTGATGTTGCGCAGAACGACCTGAGCGCCAGTGTAGTGTGCTGATTGGCTAAACAATTGAAAATGATGATCTTGATGCGCACATGATCGCGATGTCGTCGTAGAAGTTGAAAGTTTTCTTCACTTGCAACTGTTGATTTTTGTAAGCGCCGACTAGTTCCGATTGCTATATCGTCGTAGTTATACTCAGGTTGCAAAAAATCGGCGACTGAAATGTTCCCGACTGTCGTAGCTCAGGCACAGCTTGATCCTGAAAAGTCAGTCGCCGACTGATGTGTGTCGTCGTAAGGTCGACCTGAGGCTGGCTTAACTCACCCCGTGAATCGATTCTGTCTGGCTTGCTGTTATTTAGACGAAATCAAGAAATGTAGGTGATTTCCAATGATCAGTCAATTGACTGATTCTTGGAATAAAGTGTTATCATGACAAAATCGTGTTTCGTGATCAAAAGGTTGTGAATGGTCTTTCTCTAGTTTCTTGAAAAGTGTAGTATCCACTGAGCTGAAATTTCCAACAGGTTTTTAGATTTTCTTCGGAATTCGAGTGGTGTTATTATTGGTAACGAACAAAATGCGTGAAAAGAAAATGATCCTATTATGCCTTTATTACTTCCTATCCTGCACACAGATGAGTTCTATCTCAAGACGGCGGCGGAGGCGGCAAGAGTTCACGCAGGAAGAGATCCACAATCTCATCAACGGAGTGGCCAAGAAGGGCAAACACTGGAACTGCATTCTCTGGGCATACACGTTTGCCCCAGGTCGGACTGCGGTGGACCTCAAAGACAAGTACAGAAGGATGCAGGTTGGTTTGGGAGCAGTAACTTACTACTAACTGAGGTCCAGTGCAAGGGCGGATCCAGGGGAGGGGGACAAACGGGGGCCATGCCCCCCCCCCCAAAAAAAACGAACCCAATTATTTATTTTTTTTAAGTGACGTCGCAATAAAGGCAGGCACTGCGTACACCACCATCTTTTTGTCAAAAAAAATTGGTCAAAGTGGTCAGAAATTGCCTAAGATCGCACCACAGATCATCTAGAATCAAAAAAATGTCCGGGCCCGGCCTTAAGTGGGCCCCGGACCCCACGCTGTAATTTTGTGGACCCACTTTTTGTGGGACCTCAAAATTGTGTTCTGGATCGGCCCCTGGTCCAGTGGTTACAATGTGCCATGGTGCGTGGGTTCAAACCCTGACGGGGAACATGATGCTTGTTTTGGGGCAAGACAGTTTACTACAATTGCCCCTCTCCACCCAGGAGTATAAATGGGTACCTGTGAGGGTAGAGACTAGAATGCGCTGATCTCGAGCTGCTGCAAAAACTGGTCTCATGGCCTGATGAACAGGGGTAATAATTATGAAGTGCTTTGAGACCTTTGGTATAAAGCGCTACATAAGCACCACACTATTATTATTATTAACCTTTTCCCTTGGGGTATGGGTATCAAATGAAAATCAAATTGCCATGACTTACCAATGGAAAATATCATTTGTATCTTCATGGAATTATCTCCACACTGTCTCTTTCCAGGTAGCATCATAAAGGTGGAGGCATGATCCCTGGCTATTTGGCATTATGCGGATGGTGCTTGAAAAAAAAATGAAACAGTGCAACCAATGTTGAACCATCATATGCTGAGTGACATTCTTGCACTGACTTAGAATGCAGTGACACTACAATATTTGACTTAATGCATTTGTGTTAGATTGGGACAAGTTGGTAAATTGTTGGATAATGACTGATTTATTTACCAAGCAGTCTGCGGCCCAGCTGCGACTTTGAAATTATATTTTATAGTTGTAGTAATTTCTACCTGAATCAATCACGAGTCATCCATTGTTGATTTAGGTGACAACATATTCAAATATCATCTTCCAAAGACGGGCATTTCTTTACTTAGACCATTAATACTTGTGATCTGACTCGTGATTCATTTTTGGCTTATGATTTGACTTGTGATTGGCTTATGATTTGACTTGTGATTGGCTTATGATTTGACTTGTGATTGGCTTATGATTTGACTTGTGATTGGCTTATGATTTGACTTGTGATTGGCTTATGATTTGACTTGTGATTGGCTTATGATTTGACTTGTGATTGGCTTATGATTTGACTTGTGATTGGCTTATGATTTGACTTGTGATTGGCTTATGATTTGACTTGTGATGGACAGGACTTCACCTGTGTGGCACTTCATTTAACAGTTTGAAAATTTCAGGCACTGAAGGTGAGGACAGTACCAAATCTGTGCAGCAACACTGGCAGTATACCATTTGTGCTCACTTTTTATTTTTTATTTTTAAAATATCCCAAGGCTCAGAATTATCCAGGTGTGCTCCCACTTAGCCCCTTTGCATCCCTCAAGAGCTTCAAGAGACGACAAACTCGCAAGATAATCGACCGCACTTGGAGACCTTAAAGCAGGTAATGAAAACATCTCCAAGAATTTCTTGGTTTTCATTGTAAAAAATCCCTCAAAGGTATATTTTATAGAGCTAAATTCTTTTCCCTTCAATTTATACAGGTTGTCCCACTAAAAAACCTAACAGTCGAAAACCAATTAATAAAGGTATATTGCATGTGGGTTTAGGAATATTTTTAAATTACCTCTTAAAGTCAGATAACCAATCTACCATACAAACTTTAGTTCATTAAAATCGATGCATTGGAAGAAACGCTATGCTTCATCGAACTCAAGGGTTGAGAATCTTCTTTCCTTGAAAGTGAGAAAGCGCACATGGTGCTACCGCAACGACTTACCTTGTCATTACCCTTCACCATGCAAACCTTCAAATTGCAGTTAGAGGAACACACAAACGAATTATTTCCTTTGTTTAAGAGTTACGTGTGACTTTATTCTACTGGCTTCGATAATAAAAAAGTGGCCCAAGTGGTTTTTCAAGTCCCGTATTGTGATTGCTGTATCTTTTGAACAAAACATCCTAATGAAACCAACTAAAAAGCATTTGGAAGACCAATTATTCTACTCGGCAATACATTAGACACGATTTTGAATACTACCCCCACTTTTCTGAAAACTTGCCCGATTCGACTGTTTTTTGTTGGACAACCTGTACAGGTTAAGTGTGCTGAGGTATATGCTGAGGAAGAACAGATCTAGATCTTAAACACAGTGGATGGTACTTTGTGACACTTTTTGCAAGCCCTATTTGGAAGAACACCATGTGTACGTATGGCTCAAAGTACACAAGACCTTACTGAAAAGGTTTAATAACCGTTATCCCCATGGTAGATAGAGTACACCTAGACCTACCTAAGCACCAAAGATGACATCCAGAAAAATGCGTTATGTATGATAAAGAAGACGCACAAAATTGGTTACACACGTTACGAAAATGTAACGTGAGTAACCGTGGAGTTGCCCATGAGCATCAGGTGCTATTGGCAATGTGCTCGAATGTCTCTTCCAGTGGTCTCCCCAAACACTTCCTTTTTCAACCATTGAGGGGACTTGTGCATTAGTCCATTACTTTTCGGAGCAAAGTCCCACTCCTAGTGATTTGTAAAGGGTCGGCATGCGAACTTCAAATTTCCAAAATGCGCCCTGTAAATCCACCAAATAGATAAAGGTAATCAAACTTCAGTAAGCCCTCAGATGTTATGACATAAATTTCTTTGTGTTTGAAGTTCTAAGTGAAGTAACTTTTCAGATTATAATGAAAATATTTTGAGGCCATTTTTGGATGAATGAAATTCAATACTAACATTTATATAGAGAAGCTACTAATTTTGTTGTGTTCATTAAATTAATTTTTGAGCCATTGCTCATTGTAAATACAAAGAAAGTCAGGGTGTACTATTTTCCGAAAGATGTATTCCAAGTTATTTTTGTCAAGGCAGGTCGCAACTTAATTTTTTTTTTTAATCAAATCAAGCCACAAGTAATGTTTTCTTCTCAACTTGAAGAAAAAACCGTCACATTACTTGGTTGAGTTACAAGAAACATAACCAGTCTGTCAGTTAGGCTTAATGTGTTCATGTTCATGAACATTACTTTCATTTGAAATTCATGTTGATTTCCAGCATAGATGTTACTCTGGGATACCACCCCAGTCCAGATTGTCTCGGATATATATATTTTTTTGGGAAACTCAAAACGAAAAGTCAACAAAACGTAACCAAAGTGCAACTTAAGTTTGAATCGCTTACTACCTACGATGTCCTGAAAGTGGCTTTGTAAATTAACAAAATTGTATTTGAAAGAGAAGTGTTGTGAATTCATTTTTTTAGAGTAAATTACTTTTTATGCGGTGAAAATAAAAACATATTTAACCATTTTCACTTGCAGTGCCAACTGATCTATAAGTATTGATGAAATGAAATGTACACCAAATGTATTCAACAACAATTTATTTGTTCATTATATTACATTATATTTAATAATTTATTGGTTTCAGTGTTTATTTAATCGTTAAATTAATGTTATTTATTTCATGGAAGTTTCATGAATAAAATACATCAATGAAGTTCGATGTTACTCATTCTTTTGATAATGTTAAATTTGGTTCTTTTGATAATGTCAAGTTTCACAAAATATCCTCAACATCGGAAATACATCTATCCTAAGGCATTGACTCGAGTTTGAACATTTGTACATTACATTTATTTTCCACATAAATTCCACTTACAAGATAATTAACCCTAACGTCCCAAGGGCTGTTTGGGGGACAAGGACCAAATACTACAGAATACTACACGTGTTGTGCACACTTGTATGGGAAGAAATGCATACTACAGGTGACTACTCAGTAGTATTTTGTAGCTTTAGGTGAGGTTACGATTAAGTACATATATGCACAGTAGGAAGCTACATAGTTTACAATTATGCCTGCTCATTACATTCTCAATTTGTGATCTTAAAGATTTTTGAGTATGTTAACACTAATACTGACTACACATTCTAACAAATGACGGCAAACTTTTGTCATGGTACAAAGGCAACATTCTATTAAAAACCAGAAATAAAAAAAAAACAGTTTCAAACCACACCAAGTGATTTTGAAAAGCAACTTGTATCGTCTGCCACACCACAAAGTGACACATCGTGTGCACAAAATTCAAAGACAAAACGTCTCTTCGTGTTGCACCCGACAATTGTAGCAATGATTTTATATAAACTGAATTTAACAAGGCCTTACTTTCTCATGCGTTTTGAGATGCACTTAAAGTACATGTGATAACAAAAAAATTGTAAACACTTTACAATGTAGAAAATGTTAATAGAAGAGTAACCAAAATTAATAGATTTCATCAACATATGTCTTCTGTTATTTAAAAAAAAAAAAGATTCTTTGCCTCAGCGCTTTGTAGGGTGGGCGAATTTGTGCCCTGGCCAGCACCAGCTTATGGGGAAATTGTGGTGGAAATTAGGACCGACTTATGGTGACTTCTGCTGTCCGCATAAGCGTCTTCGGTCCCCACAATAATTTAATATGACTATCCGCCACCAACTCGCTGTTATTAGTTAAACACGTTTGTTTTGCACTAGACAGCATGAAAAGCCCAGTCCGTCAGTCAGTCAGAGAAATCAGTCAGAGAAATCATTAAAAAATGACTGATTTCTCCTAATCTCTGAAAATCAGAAATGACTCAAAATTCCCAAAATGGTAAATATCAGTAGGTCAGCGTCATAACTTTTGAGTATGAAAGTTGGATTGCATTGAGTTTGGTATTATTACAAAGCTGATGTACCCTTTCCAAATACCCTTCGTATTTGTATTTATAAAAAAAATCCTGTGAAGGGGTGTAAGACCATTGCTGCAATTACAAAACGAACCTATACACAGAATATTTCAAGTCCAAATGTTTCTGTTTGCCGGTTTTACATCAATCTTTGGGTTTTGAAAAATCTGACATTTTCCTCACAAAATGCACCAAAAATGGAGGAACACACACCACCATAAACTGCTGGTTGTACAAATATCTAAATACATTTCAGTAGAGATTGATTTCTTCCAAAAGCAAGTATTTTTTTGGCATAGACATATTCAGTCTGAAGCCTAAATGGAAAATATTTACTACCTACTCAAACTACTTGCTCAAAGCAAAATGAATGAGAATCATAAATAAGGCTTTGCTTAATTAACTGCGAATTTAAAATTTTGTATATTTACACACGGTAAGAAATTTCCGATTTGACACACATACATTCTCTTTTACTGTACTTTAATGAAGAAAAAAAGAGACTTTTAAGTCAATGCCTTTTGACCAACCATTTCAGGTTATGCTATTTAGCCTCAAGGCACAGATACATGTAGCTCCGAGATGCTAACAGGTTTCGATGCACTGTTCAAAAGTGTTTCATACACTTCGGTAAAAATTGCTTGAAGCAATAAAGTTTGGATGCTGTGAGGGGACCTGCACATCAGGCAAATTGTATTCCCACTATTTGAATGATCCATTTAAAACACATTAGTCAATCTTGCAAAATTGGCTGCAATTGGACTTTGTTATAAAAAAAAACAAATTGCACTGAACAGAAACAAGGGGGAGGGGTGTTCCTTTTTTATCTACCTTGTGTGAAAGTCTGAATCACAGAAAAAGACACTTAACAGTAAAAGTTTGCAAGTGTAAATTTGATGTTACATTTTTACTCGGACCAAAAGCACTTGGATTTACCATGTATACGAAAACATGGCAGGCTTAGAGCAAGTTCACAATAACGAGGAAAAATGCCAATTTGATGCACTTGGTTGGCCTACTGTTGTGATTTATCTTTTTCTGCTGATGAAAAAAAAAGGTGAACAAGATGAACACTAGATGTGGAACAAGACTCAGTACTTGTCTTTGTTTTCCCACTATGGCTCACATTTTGGAGACTAATCTGTAACATTGAATATGCATAACTATACGTAGACAAAAAATGCCCTTAGTCAGACACAGCTTAAAACAGCGCAAGACTATCTGGACCTACGTTCTTCATCCATGTCATGACCTGACCAGCTTGAAGCCGTGCCCCGTGTTGATGACATAAGGGGGCAGCCATTTCATCTTCCAACGCTTCAAGCAATTCCAGCAGCGGAAGCAGTAGCTGAACAGATCCAGCGAGCTGGGAATCCTCAGGATCCTGATCAGCGGATGGGTCAGTCGAGGGAAACCCTGCTGCCAGTGCTGCTCTATGTCTTCCTCTGTAGGCCGGTGGAACTCGAACTCGCTCCACGGGCGTGAGACCGCGTAGACCGCCTTGATCTTCCGGCCTTCCTCTTTCCACGTGCCTGAGCTCTGCTCGGGCGAGCAGTTGCAGTCCACCCACTCGTGGGTGAAGTCCCCCACGGACTGACTGGCTTCAGGGTCGCTGGACTTGCCCAGGATGCAGGTCTGCATGGCGAGGACGTGGTGGTGGTTTCTGGCGATCTGTTTGAACCAGCCTGAGGTGCCGTTGGTGTCTTGGACTAAGATGAGACGAGACTGGGAGTCCTTCAGGCTGGCTTCCTCCCATAGCTCCATGAGGGCCTCGAATTTGAAGACATCATTGTCTAGGATAAGAAAACAATGACATTACATTCACAGTTAGCATTGAATAACGCGAGGAACAGAAAATATACTATTTGGTTCTGTCGTGAAAAAAAATGAGCATTAACTGAACTGAAGTGTTTTTTATTAACCCACTTGTGTTTATTTTTCTTTTAGCCAGTTAGCCAGACATGCCAATACGCTGCAAAACCCAATCAGTGCAGACTCCAAATGGAGCCAATTTGATGGTGCATCAAATGATAGCAGGACGCAACACATTTATATAGCAGATGGTTACTGTTTTTGTGACATTTCTCAGGCTGGATTGCATGACAGCTTGCTGCTGTTATAATGTGGCAGAAATAAAGTGTATGCAACAAACACATGTATGATACTTCCTCATGAATATTATTGAAGCATCTTGGAGTATCTGACGTTAAAATAATCTCTCATCTTCATTATTTTTTCATTTCCTACATTTAAACTAAATAGAAGCTGACACTATTTCTGTGTTCATTTATAAATTTAACTCAACTTGATCCAAAGCTAAAACAGGAGAGGGGAATACCTGTGTCACCAAGTTCAGCCAGAATAGATCATGAAAGTTGATGTTTTATTTTTCAAGGGCTTCCTTGGTAGAAGAGGAGGAAGGAAACTACACTTTTAAGTGGTGGGAGGAAAACCCATGGAATTCTATTCCAGGCAAAACCCACGGAATCAGGCAGGGACTGGAACAGGGATGTACATTTAAGTGGACTTCTGACATTTTTGCTTGAAATTTGAGGCATAAAGAAAAAGTGCACGTATACAACTCTTCTTGCAACAAGCCCATTTTAACCATCCCCTTCCCCAAAACCTACCAGCCAAAGCCCAGTCCCCGTTTGGCTGCACGTGGCCGCTGTAGTAGACCAGGTAGGTGTCAAACCGCGGACCGTCCGGCAGCTGCCGGGCAAAGAAGGACCGCATCTTGGTCTTGAGGGTGGCCAGGGCCAGACCGCTGGTGGAGAAATCGCAGCTGAAGACGTCAATCATGTGGTAGAGGAAGAATCGCTGCATGGTGTTCAGGAGGCCGATGGAGCGGCTGTTGACTTCTTCCATGCTGGAGGCTGGGATTAGAACCGGGGACCCGTCAGTTCTGTGTCAGGTGCAGAATGAACAAACAAAAACTTATTATCGTAAGTATCCAGAATCTATCAAATTTACAACTATAGGTTTTTGCAGCATTTGAAACATGGTGTTTTATGGTAAAGGTGTCTTTACTGTGCACGTTGGGTGTGGTATTTCCAAGCAAAAATCTTGCAAATTCTTGTACAAACTTAAACTCTTTGAACAGTTTGGGAAAACCATAACATTATTGTGAATTTCCATAACCTCTCATTTATTGGGTAGCAGGGGATAAAATTTGACTCAAAAAAACTGCTCGGACTAAATTTCGAAAAAATCGAAATAAATTTTGGGCAGTCACATGTAGTGTGTCAAAGTCTTTCACTGATAAAATGCACAATTGAACAGTTCAAATGTGACTAACACATGTTCATTATTTTTTTTGACACATTTGGTGAACAGTTCCAAGATGTCATGTCTGAACATGTAATTGTACTTGCTGGAGTGTCTTTTACTTTGTTTTGTTTGGGGGATTTTAGCTTTTTGTTTATCTGTTTCATTTTTGGCTGTTGACAAAGAAACACAAAAAGTTCAGCAAAATTTTTGTGAGTGATGAAACGAACCTGCAAAATGCTGAAGGGCCTACTACGGCATAACCAGTGCACGTTCCCCCAAGGGTACTCCCAAGCTCGTACAGTACCCCATGCAGCATGCTCTCTATGGGAAGCACCACCAGCCAGCTTGCCATGAAGGCTGCATTGTTATCCTGCCAAGACACTCCCCCCAACAGCAGCGTGGTGACAAACGTGGTCAGGACCAGATTGCGAGAGATCAGGGCGAAGTAGCGCATTCCGCGGGCAGCCATGACCATCCCTAGACTCTTGTTGGACTCCCCTTGCATTCCAAGGTAGACTTGGACACACTCGGTCAGCTTGTTGGTGAAAGTCCAACTGGTGACCACGAGGATGATATGCAGGCAGACCCACAAGAATCCAAAGATGATAAACGCTGGGACGGCAAAGTACCACTCCTTGTGGTAGACGGTGGACTCTCCAGCCAGCGCGAAGAAAACGATCTCGAAAATGAGAATCAGGAGGATGAAGATTTTACGGAACCATCGGTGGGTGCTGAAGACAACGTCCCAGCGCTCCATGGTGGACAGGCTACAAAAGTACAGATCCAAAAACGGGTCTGCGAAGAGGCGGACAGCGAAGCAAAGCAGCGCAAAAATATTGAAAGAAAGATTGACGGTGTTGAAGAAAGACACTACCGATATGACTACAAAGGTTACGAGGCAAGGCAAGGCAAGGAGTGTTTTGAGCCGAACGGTTATCAGTGTGAACGCACAGGCGAACACCATGAGCCACATGGAGTACATGGTCTTGGAGCGCAGCGTGCACGCCACGGCAAACCCCAGCAGTTCAAACATCTCCACGTGGCTCAGGAGTTGAGAGGTGTAGGTGACTAGTCCGCACACACGCTGCACCAAAGACCAGAAGACCTTGATGGTCATGCTAGTAAGCAGCATCGCCATCGTCACAGTAAAAGGCGTCTCCATTGCCTGACTGGGGTTGATACTGATGAACGATATCACTCCAAGCAGGCAGCCACACCAGAGATGCGTGAAACTGGAACTGATATCCACTAAGCCAAAGTAGTAATACAGCATCCCGCAGAAGGCGAATAGAAACAGGCCGCAGGCCCCGATCACCACCAGCATCATGTCCCCAGTTCGAATCCAGCAAGCATACAGGCCCGACGACACAGCGGCGATCAGGATCAAGTAATCCAGATAGGCCAGCATGTGTAGGGTGCATTTCAGCTTTTTGCTTTGCTCCATCGTTCTCAGCGGCAAGGCCAGAATGTGGCTGGTCATGTAGCGAAGAGAGTGCATTGATGATACTGAGTCAATAGGCTTCAGATCACAGTTGTAGCTGGATAACAAGACTTCTCATCATTTTAGCAGCTTCGGCTTAAGTGAAAATACCTGCCAAATGTTCCTGTAAAATACAAGATTGCCGAAAATTTATTTGACCACAAATTGTAATGCTTCAAACTGAAAAAGAAATACACGTGGGTTGCGATTCCAGTCGCACATGTTCCCTAGAAAACGTTTATTAAAACGTGTGTTTGTGAATATATGGGCTAATTTACATTGAAAAAGCACCCGCTACTGTTTTAGATTAATCAAATTACCACAGTTTTGTCAGTTTTTCTTATTGTGTACAAATGAGTTTACTACCGTAGCATACGCTTCCACTACTTGGGCTGCGCTGTCTGATGCATGTTACGCGATATCGCACCCGGCTGTTGTTGTATTACAAAACACTGCATTCGAATTGACCAATTAAACCATTTAGTCCTGACTTATGAATGAAATGACGTCACGATTTAGTAAAGTCGACTCCGATTGGTTGACGCGCGGCTTGTGTGTATGTTTAGACATATCGGATGTTGTACAGGAGTCTTGCTCCGTGGATAACGGGTGATACTCAGACTAACAAGAGGGTTGCAGATTTAAGGGGAGACGTCCAAAAACAATGATCAAAAGGAGCCTTTAAGGAAAGATTCCCATATCTGGCATCACTAAGTTTTCCCTTCAGTGACCTATCAGCCATCAGAAAGTGATATGTGCCAAAAAGTCAAATTTAGCAAGGAAAATATTGAAGTATTTACTGAGAAAACACTTGGAAATTTTCAGACCAGTCTAGTCATACGGTTTGTGCACAGCCACAGGGTGACAAGTGATGGCCAGAAATGGGAATCTTTCCAGGGGTTTTTTTTTGGTTGGAAACTTGAAATAAACATAGGGCCTACAAGCTGAACATTTATTGATGGAAAAAACCAATACGTTGAAGAGCACGGGAACGTAACTTTTTAAAGCTTAGCCTGTATAATTTCCCCGCCGGCATTCACCATGTTCACGGCTAGCTTCTACTTCAAAAAAGTTCAAGAACTGTATTAAGTGCAAGTTTTTTACAAACCTTACAGTTTACAGAAAGATCAATTGAAGTTGCTGTAGCAGAAAATTCTCAATTTTTTCAAACCTCCAAACTCTCCTGTCACGAAATGTTCGGCCTCAATATTTCACAAGTATTATCTTGATGTCGATAGATACCTCTCTAGGGTGGGTTGAAATCCCTCAAATGTCAAAACAAAATTGTGAAATTTACCAGAATCTTACAGATCTCTAGCTTCAATCTCATGTCAGGAACTGCAACTTTAATATCGCGGAGCCAAGCCAAGGTGTAAGTTCATGAAACACCAAGTAATTCTGAAGACCGCATTCTATTCAGTTCTTTCAGATGAAAGCACCCAAAATCAGTCAAGGCAAAATGACAGAAAATTACCCTTCTCCTACTGAATTTGGAGACTTCTTACTTCGGATGCCGTCCACAGAACGATCAGCGAGACGTATCGTTTAGCGGCAGTGCCCATCAATCACATCACAACCGCAAAAAACTTAAAATTATGATAATCTTACTTCGGGGTCACTGAGTTAATCATAAATTATGCAGTAGTTGTTTTAGAGCGCGCGATAAGGCTTCGAGTGGTTGCATGTTGCATAATTCATGAGTGACCTGCGACTCGACCTCGTGGCGCCACGAGCATAATATGGCTTCATGCATATTATAATTTTCAGTTGCAGTGGTTGTGATAAAAGTGCCGTGGGCGAGTTTTTATTTCTGGAAACTGTCTAAAAATCGACAACAGATGGCGCACTGCACTTTTGACCGCGAAAAGTGCATGAGTGGCACGCGCACCATTGGTCTTTTCTGGTCCGATCCGATCCGCGGGCTGTAGTTGTAAGTTTTGCTATTAAATTTTGTGTTTTATCCAAGATAAATGTCTCTTACTTTTTAGTCTTAGTCTCTGACTTTTAAATGAAATATAATCTATTGAAGGATATGTCTATTATTAACGTTTTTTCCTCCCATGCATGGATGGATTTAGCTGTTTATCATTTCCAGTCTCCTGTCACTTACTTAGATTAGTGTCAGTGTCACTTTCGGTGTCATGCGCCTGTGTTAGATTAGCCGGCCCCGTAGCCCAGGTTGGACGAAGTCTTCATTGCTACCCTTTCCTCCCTCCGTAACGTAGGGAGGAAAGGGAGTCCACCTGGGCTAGCCGGCCCCGTAAAGACACTGCACGGACGGTCCTGTTGCTAGGGGAGCCGAAAAGTCAATTTGAAATTGCAATTATTTTGTCACTTTATACTCACACAATGCCGTCTACAAGTGCTTTATAGAAACAAAACGTTAAATTAATGGCGATGATGTAGTGTAGGGCCCGGTTCACTATTTACAAGCTGATTTACCCGATCATAGATCGGGTAGGGCGTAGTGTTGGGGATGAAAATGTGGGGAGTTAAATGTAAATGGGGGATATAGTTGGGAGACATGCAGTTATAGTAAAGCAATTTCTGTGGTGTGATCCATAAAATTACAAACGGTCTGAATCATGGAGGAAGGTCATAATTAAGTTTCAGTATTGTTCTCTTCAACAAACGTAAACTTGAACTTCTTACAATTTGCGAGACCGTCTGGCGAGGAAAAAGTCGAGTCAAGTTTTATTCAAGTTGGTTCAACCATCTATATAAGAGCAAGTTTTACTCGGCCTCCGAGAAATGTTTGCTCCTGAAAGGATCCGAGACCGCGGCTTCACGTCCGTGGAAAAATGTGGAGGGTGTGTTCCACCGGGTCGGACACTATTTTGTCGAAACACCTAGGCCAACGCTGATCAGATCCTTTTCCGGCAGAAGAGAAGGTTAAATACTGACCTATGACACGGACAAATTCACTGGGTCCGACGTTGATGCGCTGTGCTGTGCTGCACTGCGCGATGCTGTGGCAGCTCGGACCCAAGGTGCAATTTCAGATTTTATTTGCCAAGACCAGTTTCATCTCTGCATTCGGCGGCAATTATTAGTGCCTACTTTTTATCACATCCTCTGTGGATAAAAGTGCATTGCAGTAGGTTGTGTTCTATTGAGAATGTGGTTAAATCTCTTGCCAATGTGACAGATTTGCTTTGATTAAGCCCACAACAATTTTAATTACACATGATTGTCTTGCTTTTCTTCCTAATACAAGGTGAACATCTTGTAGGATCGTGAATTGGTTTTCGTAGCCAACCAATATGGCCGACAAGTTTCTGCAGATGCAGCAGCAGCTGCGCCATGACAACGAAGATCTGCAGAGTTACCTGCGGGACCTCAAGAACTGGGAGGCCGACATCAAGCAGAAAGACGAGGCGCTGAGGCAAACGAAAGACACCCAAGATGCAGTGAGTTGTTTTTGTTTTCTCAGCATCGGCATTCCTTTTGTATTGCCTTGTTCTCAAGTCAAGGGGACTTCCACTCCGTATAAATGCATAGTCGTCAACAGGGTAGTTAGTTCGGACTTTAATTTTTTTTTGCATTTCTTTGTTTTCAAGGGATTTCGAGTCCATAGCCGTGTAGCCGGCAACTGTACAGGGTACTTGGTTTGGACTTTCATTTTGTTTTCTTCAGCGATTCAAACTGCGTAGCCGGATGTATTTCCATGGCGTGGGATATTCTGGAATTCGAATCTCGTCTGTTATTCTTCAGATATTTGTTACCTTGGTAGCCATCCCAGCAGTATCCTGCAACTTTGGAATTTACCATAATCATGTTGCGGCCATTTTATTTTTTTTCCCATTCAAATCAATGTAACCAAAGTGAGGTGGGAAGGTAAAATAGTCTGGTTCCGTTTCCCACAAAAAAAACCGTTATCGTTCAGTACTGTTATTGGATACAGGGAACGAGGCGCGGTTCTACAGGGGGGCTAGGGGGGGGGGGGCTAAAGCCCCCAAAAATTTTGTCTAGCCCCCCAAAATAATTCCGTAAAAAGAAATTGCATTAGCAAAAAGAAGGATTGTGATGTACATGCGAATGGTCTCCCCCTAAAGAAATAGTCGTGAAAAGGGTGCATTTGTAGTTAATATAGTGTGAATGATTTTAGGATTTTATTGGTGCTCCCCATTGAAAATATGGCATGAGCGCCCCCCCCCCCCCCCAAAAAAAAAAAACTATTGATTTTCGGAGGCCCAAGTGTCTGGAGAAAATAACTGGTCTACATTTCAGCACGCCTCCCTGAAAAAAATTCTTGATCCACCCTGCTAGCCCCCCCAAAATATTGGTTCTAGAACCGCACCTGCAGGGAACATGACTGAAATGGTTGCAGCATGATAAAGTTCTAAACTAGCTTGTTGAAATTATGAAAGTAAACAGTATTTCCGAATGCAAGATTCCAAATGTTTGTGCTCTTGTGTCTATATCCAAGGTTCTGCCACCGATCAGAAACCAGGGTAAACGGAAACCCAAGCAAGCCAGAAAGAAGAAGCCTAAACCCGCAACGAAGCCATCCCAATCCGAAGCTGGAGACCAGAACAGAGCTGGTACCCGGCACTCTCGGATCCGGGCCTATGACTACAGGTCCTGGGACAAATTTGACGTGGTATGTACATAGATATGGAAATGAAATCAGTCACAGATGGGTCATTGTGTAAACTAACGGTCCAAAGTGTGACATTCCTTCCTGTGCCTGTTTATACCTTGGTACTCTGTAATTTGCTATTCATATTATTGTGACACTCTTGAAATTAGGGATCGGAAGCTCTTCTGTTGTAGTACACATGCAGTGAAATTATTCTGTATATGTGAAGACAAAATGTACATGAAGTGATGTTACTTCAGTCTTCGGGAAATTACAAATGATAAAAATATGTGATGCGATCAAGCTAAATGAGTCGTTTGTCGGGAATGTTAATTTGGAGATACAGGCCAAAATAGGGCCACTTCATCGCATCACTTCATCACATCGCTTGGTGTTCCAACTTCCATAATGTATGAACTAAAGATGGTATCAGCAGGCGGCTTTCTCGGCAGTAATGCTGAGGTTGTACTCTTTTCAAATCTGTAATATAAATGTTTTTGACCAGGGTCGACAAACGACTCATGTAGCTTGATCGCATCACATGTATTTACAAAATCACTACAATTAATCAGTAAGTTTAAAGCAAGATGAATTTGAATTGCTGTCAGTTCATGAAATAGTAAGGATTCATTCAAATAATTAAACAATAGTTACGTTTTCCCGCCAAAACTTTCGCGGGGTCGGCCATATTGGGTTTCAACGTTAAGAATAAAACGTAGTTAAAAATTACGATTAAATACGGAAATAAGAAAATACAAACAGAAATGGGTAGTCAAGGAATTGTGATGTTATTGATGTAAAGATTAAGAACGAAAATAAATAGATAGTAATAATTACCTGTATAAGTGCAGACAAATGTTCATGGAGTGATGGTAATTCAGTCTTCGGGAAATAACGAATGAGCTAGCGCCCGATATCAGATGTTGGGGGCGTTAGGTTAATTTGAATTGACATGTAAATAAGGTTGAACCAAAAAATAACGGGGGTGTGTCTTTATAACCGTCACATTTTTTAGACAAAAGAAATTACTAAAGGGCAATTCCAGCGTTATGTAATGTCCATGACAGAGCCTTTAAGAGCTCAGTGAATAAACCTGAAAATGTATGTCTCTTATACATCCATCGTCTAGTACTGATCAAGGAGATTGACCCTCCTGGTAAGCAATTTCAACAAGGCCAGCCCAGCAGTCAAAATAAATCAAGTGGTTGTTTTTAACAGTTGAGTGTTCCCTGCTAGCTTAAAGCAGGATTGACTGGCTGTGATTGTTATGAAACCTGATATAGCTATATGCTTTGACTGTAGGAGATTGATAAGCCCGTTGTACCTACATTTGTACATGTACCAGTCACCTGCTTTTGTCAGTTGATGATATTTGACTAGCCACTGTGCCTATAGAAATATGACCTGACTGTTGGTGATTAGCCTGTAAAAAAAGGCATGGCAGGGGAACAGGATTGAATTGTTGACTGTCTGTGACTGATCAAACAAAGGGAGGTTTAAATGAACTAGCAGTTTTGGATCATTTCTCTGAATCATTAATTAAAACCCGAACCCTGCTGAATCCAATAGGATCCAACTATGTCATATACCCGATGGAGCCTATTGGATTGAGCAGTTAACCCCTTGTGTACATTCCTCATGCGAAATGTTGGATTCAGCAGGCAACTGAACTGCATTATAACGCCATGTTGGACTCCGTTGGATTCAGCAGACAACTGAAAATGAGGCACAGTGGATTGAACAGGAAAGTCTGGTTGGACTCTGTTGGATTTAGCAGGGTAGTCCTGAGGAAGTATTAGGGGGTTAGGGTTGAGATATCTTGGTGAATTGACTGTGTCATTGACATTACACTTTCTTCTGTGCTGTTCTAAAAAGCAAGGCATGGAACAAAAAAAAACTTCATACATTTTGGTAAAATTGTGTTACTGGCCGATTGTTTTCACCCTGCCTGATCTTTGTTCAGGACAAGGCTTGCGCGGAGGTAGACAGCGATGAAGAGGATGAAGTCCCGGCTACTCAAGGAGAGAATGGGGAGGAGATGGAGACAGACACGGACAGCGAGGAGGAGAGAGAACTGGAGAGACAGAGGAGGATACAGGAAGCCAATATGGAGAAGGATAAGGTGAGATGGAATCTTTTTTTTATACTACCTTTAAGTCGGCACTCAAAACCTTTTTGTTTTGGTCAGGCGTATAAATTGATCTTCCTCTGATTTTTAACTAATGCGTTGACTCCTTCGTTTTTAAGTCGTCACGTAAGCAGATTTCGTCCGCCAAGTTATTATTAACTGTTTAAGAACTTGCTGTGATTTTTAAAGAATTTATTGTATTTTAATTGCTTGAATGATTTTGTAATATTAATAACGATACTTTATTCGTATATAGCGCATTACATTTTGTTACATAAAATCTCAATGCGCCTATAGTTTATATATAAAATAATTAAATTTCACATTTTGAGGCAAGTTCTATAGTTGGTGTACTAAACAGATAAAAACAAAATTACTTAAGATTTTGTACAAACTTTATCTTTGTTTTCACCCTCTGTGTTCAGGGTAATGCATTATTCAAGCAAGGCAAATATGAGCCTGCCGTAGTGTGTTACACAGCGGGCATGGAAGCGGACCCAACCAACGCGATACTGCCAGCCAACAGAGCTATGGCCAATCTTAAGTTGGAAAGGTAAACATATTTTGCTACGCTGCAAAAAAGGGGGGGGGGGAGACAAGTAAGGCCGGTCTCAGCATACATAAAATCTATTCAATTGATTCAGAATTGCCTTTCACTGGAAGACTTAAATGCATGTGGTATTTACAATGGGCCAGATTTGTCCCATTCATTGGTGTTTATAGTGGGTACTACTACTAGTTGACGCTACTGTAGCATCAAGGAGCAGACTTATCCTGGGAGCAGACTAATGACCAGCCTGGCAACACACGATGTTGATGTCGCTGTATGGTCTGACCTTACCGTTTTTTCTGATTTTTGTCTTGACTATCCAAATGTTCTGAAGAGTGTTTGTGTCAGTCAAGATCGTAAGTGGGTGCAGAATTCTCAAGCCTTATGGCCTTACTGAGGTCACCTCAAGCTCCACCCTGAAGGATATTTTTGAGAGGGATCAAAGCGTCATCTGAAACATCAGCCGACATTTCAAGAAAAAAAAAGTAGGGGAAAAAAAAACTGTTGCCGCACCACTTTTGGGGCAAGCTCCATACCAGAAACCGAAGACTTTTTGTGGCCTATTAAAACAAGATCAAGAAAATTCCATGCTGCTAACAAAAAAAATTTACAAGAGTAATTCCAGTGAAATAGCGCATGTCCTGGCAGTTTCTGTTATTTTCACTACCCTAAATGTATATCTGAACTTTGTATGACCCCGTTCTGTAGATTTGAAGATGCTGAGAGAGACTGTGATAAGTCTATATCACTGGACTGTACATACATCAAGGCATATGCAAGACGGGCAGCTGCGAGATTTGGACTGGGAAAGTTAGAAGATGCCAAAAAAGGTAAGCAAAGCCTTGCCCTGTATGGCAGCCACGCCCTAGGCGCGCCCTAACCACGTCCTAACCACGCCCAAAATAGCCTGTCTGAGTACCACTGCTTTCCTTAGGCTTGTTTGTCAATAGACCTAAGACCTAATGACATCACGCTTTGTTTACATGTGCGCTTTCCTTTGAAAGCCTGGTGTGATGCCGGGTTACCGAAGACCCGATAGAAGGCGCCCGGTAAATGGTCAGAATCTTGAGGTCAAGACGCAGTCTTGTTTTGCATATTTAATTGCCGAATCTGCTTGCATATCATAAACCCTTGCCGTGTAAAGGGATATTTCATAGACTACCTTCCAAAAGTGAGTGCCTGCAATCTTTGGTGCAGGATGCTGTTACTGTTATTTCAATTTTTTTTGCAAGCACAGATTACCAACAGGTTCTCAACCTGGAGCCCAGCAACAAGCAGGCCTCCTCCGAGATCAAGAGAATAGACAGGATAGTGAAGGACAAGGAAGAGACAGAGAGGCAGAAACTAGACGGCGTGTACAATATTATACAAGCGGTCCAGAAGCCAGTCCATCTGAGGTCAAATGTGAGCAACGAGGAGTAGAAATCTGAGGGGGCCTTTGCGAAAACTTGGCTTTTGTTCACCAGCTCTGGCTTCAGTATGTTCTGCAGCCTCTAAAATGGGTCCGTGTCCTTTATCGGAAAATATTAAAGCTATTTTCCTCTTAATGCATTATGTTCGTTTCCAATAAGAACACCACTCACGATCCAAAGGAGATCATTCAAAACCTAACCTGTTGAAGTTTCAGCTCCGTGGATATGACACTTTTTGAGAAGACAGTTTAAAAACTATGCACAAATTGTCAGTGGTTCGTTCCAACCAAGGGTGGATCCAGAACCAAATATTCAGGGGGGGGGGGAGGAGGCAGGCAGGAGGGCTGGAGTTAAAAAAAAGGGAAGGGGATTAAGTATATAGTATCGTGCTCTGACCATAATTCAGTTGTTTGGCTGCGAAAGTCTTTTTATGAAATACACCATTAATAATAACTTTACTTTCTAGAAACCCCTGAAAAGGATGGTGATCGAGGAGATAGGAACAGGGAGTGGTGGGGAGGATGATGACGCTACCCAGACAACACACCCGCATAAACCCCAGCACACAACCCCTAGTGGCCGGTCAGAGGTATCCAGCCCAGCCGAGCAAAGAATAACTGGCGACTGCCATGAGGAAGACGGAACAAAAAGTTCAGAGTAAGGAGACGAATGTTGTTCTGAACAAACAGTGCTTTACCGAAAATTCATCTGTGACAAACATCTTCATTGTCCTCCAACTTTATGTACCAAAGCTTAGTGGCTGAAATTGCTCGGGAATGACAGACACCGAACAATTTTTGTGGACCCAAGTGCGTTCATTTTTTAGTAATCTTCTACTTTACCTCAATCTAGTTTCATTTTATTTTATTTGAAATATATTCGCACAGAGGAATCATGACAAGAAATTTGATGAATCTAAATTGATTAGTCTCTTAAACGTTTTACCCACGGCGGTGTGAATCACGCCGTGGGCTTTAGCTGCATATGTTGGTTGGTTGGTGAGTGGGCTAGATGGTGGGTTGGTTGGTGGACAGTTTACTAGGGGTGTATTATACTGTTCCATGCCACTCGTGCATCACAGCTTTGCCAGTGAGTTTCTATGGAATACCTACAGCTTTGTGACATTGATACGCATGCGTCATAGAGCTATATTAAATTACTAGAGCGCTAACTTCGTGTACAAAGTAATGCCTGCTGGGCGCATCCATGTTTGTGCACAAACCTATGGAGACCTAGACATTTTGTGCGGCTTTTGTACGGCTATTTGCATATCTGCGTTTGTATTCCATACCGGTGCGTTATCGAAGCCAATACGCCCAAAACTGAAACGCACGATCAGCAAATGAGCGTGTCATATTGCTCTACGCAAACGGCACAACGCGTGTGCGTATTCGCTGCAGATGCTTTTTGCAGTAACTTTTTTTGAACCGTCAATGACGCGCTTAAGTTGTTTGCGTATGTTCTACTTGCGCATTGCATGTAGAGTACACTTTCAAAATTCAATCCATCTAATTTCATTTATGTTCTACAAACACGCACATGAATTCAAAATGTCTGCGCCCAGGACGGCTTCAAAGCGTCTCTGCGCACAGAATGAGGAGTTAGCGCTCTAGTAATGTAATATAGCTCTATGGCATACGTCTAATTTGCATATTAGATAACACCCCATTGCATTGCAAAATTCGCGGTTGCACTGTTTGTGGAACCACCTTGGGTCGTACCACTTGGTACTTGTTTTATGTTTGAAGGAAATTTTGCTATTTCTGCCCCTGAAATTTGTTTTCATGTTATGTATTGCTATTGCATTACATTTTTTTTTAACTAAAGTACAATTAGCAAAATTGCTCTGCTAAACTTTGCAGGTTGTTTCTGTTGGAATTGTAGAATAATCTTAATTTCAGAAAATGAATCTCAAGTTGTAACCAATTGATTTTGCATCAGAAAATTGATCACAGGGGATTTTAATCGATCTTACACTTTTTTTCATTGGTTCTCATTGGTAGAACACCAACCCCAGTGCCATCAGAAGTCAGGGTACCAGATGCGACCCAAACTGAATTACCACCCACTGTTAGTCAGGTGCCATCCAAGCCAACTCCTCCTGTAGACATCCCCGGTATTCCGTCCTCATCCTACCAGCTGCAGTCTGACTGGAAACAGCTACAGAAATTTTCTGAGCAGCTCTTTCAATATTTTAAGGTAAAGTGTAGAATTTTCTTTTACATTATTCATTTTTGTTTAGTGCACAAACTTTAGAGCCCCCAATGGAGGGACATACAGGGCGTATTGAAAGCCTTTTCTTGGGTGACCTGCTGATTATGTACTTTAGGCCATCAGCCTCGGTCCAAAATTTTGGCCACTGGTATCAAATGGGGGGAATAATCGTCATAGCGATTTTTGGCAAGGTATACACCTCCGGAGTTGGAAAATATGTGATAGCGTTCCAACGGTGGCAGCTTTTTGGTTGTTATCACCTTTTTTTTCAATGTTTCCATCAAATGCTTGTTACCACTCTAGGGGCGGTGTACCTTGCTCATGGGCACTATAATCATTTATGCCCTGATTTGATACTGACCAAACCCCCAGGCTACTTGTTCTACATAACCCCGAGGACAGACACACAAAGGGAGAACAACAGATCCTTTCAGTCCTCGGGAGTTGGGTCTCTTGTTCAAAACGGTCATCTGTGATAGGTTTGCGTGCTTAGTCTATGAGAGAGTGTTATATTACAGTTACAAAGGAAAACAGAAAGCATTGTCCTCGGGAGTATAGTAAAACAAGAGTGGGAAAGCGTCCAAGTGCGTGTTGAGTGCAGCTGGGCGAAAATTCAAGATGGCCGTACCAGAAGGCCGAATGAATAGAAGGGAAACTGATATACAAAAAAATTCTTTGAACAGCTTTAATAAGAAATGGCAAAGACAAGACATTTTCATGTACAAGTCTGGTTTGTATCAATACTGATCATGCTCTGAAGGTTTTATGCACATGAAATTAATGCAAGTGGGGAGTGAGAATCCTGTTGGCAAACACCGTGTGTGTTGGTTCTCGTCTTTCAAAACCCTGTTCTTGTCGAATTTGAATATTTGGGATCTCCAGAAGATGAAGATAACATCTACATGGGCGTCACCAGGATTTTTCTAGAGGGGGGCAAAACAAATTTTTTTCCCAAAAAATCTTGTATTTCTTAACAAATTCTCGATTAATCAGTTTTAGAGGGGGGCAGGGACATTTCCCCCCCCCCCCCCCTCCCAACTCATGAAATTTACACCACTATGACTTGGCGCCTCTTTTTCTTTTCTTTTTTTCTCTTTTTTTTTCCCTTTTTTTTTTTTTTTAATTTTTTTTTTGCTTTTCCAGGGGGGGGACAAGCCCCCTTGCCCCCCCCCCTCGCGACGCCCATGAACATCTATGCCATTTTATTTGTACAAGTTGCGTAATGTTATTGTTTGTAAAATGCCAAATTTGTGTCGACAGTCATGATTTTAGAGCCTCCGCTAACAATATCAGCTGTTGGTTGCAGCTTCAAATCTGTCAAACATCAGCTGGTCAGCTACCTTAAAAAATATGTAGATATTAACATGATGTTCTTAATATTCTATGAAGCTCATTGTCAATTTTCGATGCCACAGGTGCATGCAGATCCAGATTAGTGTACCACTTATTTCCCGACCAGTGCATGCAATTTAGGCTGGCGCATGTAAAAACTTGATTGGCAACCCGGTGGGTTTCGAATATTGGAATGTTTGATCAAATGCACGTTTGAATATTCAAATGCTAATCGAAAGTGCACAGCCCTATGTGTGCATGCTGGCAATGTGCCTGGGGCCTACCAAACATTTGGGGCCTACGAAAAATTTGGGGCCTACAAAAAATGTGGGGGCCTGCGAAAATACCGCAGTGTGCCATAAAACACATAAATATAGGCCTACCCACACACACACACAAGTGTGTATTTGCATGCAATCGGGGACCCCTATTGTCCCTCTTTTGTTTGGTCTTTTTAAGAAGAAGACCTCCATTATGTTTGCACACCATCGCCAAATTGGGGACCCCACTTTTGAGAAGCCATTGACACCCTTGTTGCCAGCAGGCTTAGAGCTAGGACCTATACCAGTTTATCCTGACTGGATTTTGTACATTAATAGCATCACCATGGAGTTGGTGCTGGTGCCTAGGGCAGAGTAGGGCCTACAAAACACTTAAAGGGACACTAGGTCCTGGAACAGCCCAATTGGGCTACAAAATGTGCTTTGAACGAGATGATGTTAATCGGAAATAACATTTAAAAGTAGGATATAAACATCCACACAACTATCCTTTCAAGACTGGGCATTTTTGTGTTATTCCTGTATTATGCATGCGAGAACGAATTTCGGGGTCCACTTTTGCGACCTCATAAATTTGAGCTGTTTGGATGCTAGTTGTGATTTCATTCGTACGCGTAAAGTGTTTGCCTTTTGCGGACGTTGAAGAAACCCAAATATTTTTTTGCATTGGCGATTGGTCACTGCGCGCTGTTCCCGAAACACACAACGTGTATAGCGTACACTGAGAACGACACGAAAAACGTATTCGTACTCCGTCATGTCCGATGTAAACAAGCGGGGGGGGGTTTCGTCTTTTCTTGGGAACGGTAAGACATTAGGTTGGTTTCCTTTCAACCAGATGTTTGAAATAGGCTAAGTAAACAATCCAAAACGTAAAATTTTCGGGGATTTCAGGACCTAGTGCCCCTTTAATCCGGGCCTGTGGGTCACGCTTGCATGGCACAAAGTACACACGACTAATATTATTCTAGATGTGCACGAAACCATGGAATCTTCTCTACACTCCCTAATACTTGATAATTACTTGTTATTATTTTCTTAATTTTTTTTTGTTTTTAACAGAATATACCACCTCAGTCCTATAAGCAGTTATTACAAGACTCGTTGGACGCAGCACTGCTAATGAGAATACTTAATCTTCTAAAGGAGCAGTATGTAATGTAAGTACTGAAGAATAAAAAATGCACCACCTTAGCATACAGCTTCAGAAAATGCAGGAAAACCATACTTTACAAGAGTTGGAACCAAGTTAGTCACAATACAATCACAAGTCACAAGACAATCACAAGTCAGTCACAAGACAATCACAAGTCAGTCACAAGACAATCACAGGTCAGTCACAAGACAATCACAAGTCAGTCACAAGACAATCACAGGTCAGTCACAAGACAATCACAGGTTAGTCACAAGACAATCACAAGTCAGTCACAAGACAATCACAAGTCAGTCACAAGACAATCACAAGTCACTCACAAGACAATCACAAGTCAGTCACAAGACAATCACAAGTCAGTCACAAGACAATCACAAGTCAGTCACAAGACAGTCACAAGACAATCACAAGTCAGTCACAAGACAATCACAAGTCAGTCACAAGACAATCACAAGTCTGTCACAAGACAATCACACGTCAGTCACAAGCTGAATCATGCTGCATCCAAGATTGAAGGAAAGTCATGCCGTTCCGGAGTTGGAATGAAATCATTAGCAAGACATTTACAAGTCCCTTTTAAGACAATCACAAGAAGGCACAAGATGAATCATGCTGCATCCAAGATTGAAGGAAAGTCATACCGTTCCAGAGTTGGAATCAAATCATTAACACTACAATCATAAGCAGTCACAAGCTGAATCATAAGCCAATCACAAGTCTGGTCACCGGCGACACAGGATTGCCACAGTACATTTGTAAGATCATGTGACTGGATGACTTGTGACTGACTGGCAATGACTTGTGTCAGTGTTCAGACTTACTTGTGGTAACTTGACTATCCCGATGAACTCAGTAGTCTTTTAAGGCAAGGCCCGTCGACCCATGAATTGACAACAGAAGCAGCCAAATCACTACAGATTTTTCAGGATTGAGGAAGTGATTTTTCAGGATTTAAGAAGGGAGTCCTCGGCCATTGTTATTTTACATGGGGCGTGATGCCTCCTGGAGAGTACAAAGTTGTGCCGTTTGTTTCTTGCACGGCGGTTGATTTTTTTGCAGTAGTCAGAAACTTGCAAGCAAAACTGAGCAAATGATTTTCCCTTCCCTTCAATCAACAGACACAGTGAACCAGTCTACGAAACGCTTGCTGGCCTCAGCCAGGTGAAAAGATTTGAAATGAACGTCATGTTCATGTCCTCTAAGGATAAACAAGGTGGGTTCAATAATTTCAGTTTTTGCTAGAGGCTTCTAAATGTGGAATCTCCCTGCCCCCATCTTCAACCCCACCCAACTTTACCGAAACCTCCCCCAACCCCACCCCCATCCTATCCCATCCAAACCCCACCGCACCTCAACCCTATCCTATCCTTTCCCTACCCCACCCCCACCCAACCTCGATTCCACCCCCACCCAACCCCACCCCACCCACCCCCCACCCCACCCCACCCAACCTCCCACCCCACCCCACCCAACCTCGACCCCACCCCATCCTACCCCACCCAAACCCAACTCCATCCTATTGACCTCATTGTATTTCACCCCCATCCCATCTCGCCCCACCCCGCCTCCACCCCATCCCCAGCCCCCACAACTCCCATCGCAACCCCTACCCATATATCCCATCCTCTGCCCACCCAAATCCTCCACCACCATTCCCCAACCCCTGTATCTGGCAACTCACTCCTCCTTTTTTTTTAACTGCTTTGTGATTGGAAGCCTGTTGGTTGAACTTGTATAAATAGCCATGGTTCTCCTTAACAGGCACTATATATTCACTTTGTATCTTTAAAGGAAGGTTCGTGCATCTTGGGGACCAGAATTTCAGAAAACGGTGACCATGAAATCATTTGTGGTCAAAGAAATATTTTGATTAAGGGTGGGGATGGGGGGTTGAAAGTAGTTGTTGAATGCGTAATAACCTTTTTTTAATGCACAAAAATCAGTTGAGAGTGTTTTTTTTTTCACAACAGACACAGCACATTTGCAGGATTTTCTGAATTGCTTAATTAAGGTAACAGGCACCATTTGCTAAAACGTTTTGACGATTCGAGAACAACAATACAATACACCGGAAGCAAGTTGTTAAAAAAAAAAAAAAAAAGTCAGGCCGTTTATAGATAACCTACTTTGCGAGAAAAATGATAAAAATAGCGTGGTTTTCCGTTGAAAGGAAATGATGGTACTCTCCTTTCCTCAAAATTGACAGCATGCTAGGTGCAATGAGTTCACAGGATGCTTGACCTTATTATTTCCTTACAATCCAGTGGGAAGTTTCATGATATTTTGACGGTTTCACTTTTGAATGTTTGCCAATGCTGTCCAGTGCCTTTATTAAAATAACAGCTATTAGGCCAAAAAAAAATAGTCGGTCTCTGATCAGCGCAGGCGTCGATTTTAATCATGCACCTCAATCCTTTTTTACCCCAAAATTTTCCACGGTAGCTCCAACAGAAGCCTCTATCGCCGCACCTCCTCAACTGTGTGTACCAAAGAGCACCAAGGAATGGGAAATTGCACCAAGGCAAATTATGGAGGACACCAATGTACATGAGCACACCAAAAAAATGCAAAAATAGTACCCCACCATGTCTGTACAATCCAAGCTTGAAAAAAAAAGGAAAAAAAAAAAAGCCGCGTCGCCGCATCAATTCCGGAACTTTGGTCTGACCAGAGACTGAGTATTTTTATTTTTTTGGCCTTATTAAGAATATGATCCGTAAATTCTCTGAAGAAGAAAAGCTATGCAAATGCAGAACGTTATTCCGAACATCAGAGATTGGTTTGTTCAGAGAAGGCTTCTGAGTAGTTTCTTTGTTAAATGTTTCACCCATTCTTGACATATGCAGTTGTCCAAGAGCTGTTCAGCTACATGGAGAGGTCTGGCAATGTCGGGGAGCAAGAGTTGACCCAACTGAGAAAAAAGTACCAATTATGACAGGATGCAGGTTTCCGATGCTTGGAAGTGCCCTGTAGATTTGGGCAGCAAAAGTTCCCCAACTGCGGATGAAGTGCCAATTAACAGACACTAGGTCGCATCTGAAGTGACCGTTTCAAGGCAACGGTTTTGGTTTTGACACGGGCATGCCACAGTGAATATCTGTAACTTTTTACAAACAAGAGTTTGCCCAACTGTGCAAGAAGTACCAATTATGAACAGACGCGCCCCAGGTATCAGCTAGGTCATATTCAAACAGGCATTTTAGTGACAACGTTGGTTGTTCTCATAGACAAACGTTGGCTATCTTTGGCTGTAGAAAAAAAGTCATTTTGTTACAAGAGCCGGCCAATCTGAGGGATAATTCCCAAATGTGAATCGACCCGAGTCAATGAGATTTTGTGATACCCTGTGAGTTCTCATTAAAAAAACACTACTTAGAATCTCACCATAACCATCACAATCTCACATTTTCCTTGTACCGTGTTGTGATGAAGAGACAAGAGTGCAGCAAAGTGGATAGTGTTTGGGACTCGTCATCAGAGGGTCAGGGATTCAAATCCTGCTGCTGGACATATGTGTTGTGTCCTTGGGCAGGCCACTTTACCCCATTTGCCTCTCTCTCCACCAAAGAAGTAAAATCGAGTAAGGAAGAATAGAAATGTTCTCAGTCTTTCCATGCCAAAGAAACCAGAGATAAAAACTGGACCGATGAGTCATCCTGCTTGCAACAGACTTCTTGCTGTAATTTTGATGAGAAGGAAGCCTATCTCTGCAGTGCTCCATCGTTGGCTTGAAAAAGGTCTTAATTTTTGGGGGGGGTAGCTAAAGGTTTGAAAGGATGTTTGTAGAATTTCGGACCCGTCAATAAACGGAAAATAATGTCCAGATTTTGTCACAACAAAAGACATTTCATATATTTTTGTAACTTTAATTGTGGCATGGTGTCTGTGCAAATGTGTCCACCCTGTGTTTTTCAACGGAGCTAATGTTATAATAAAACTTAAAAGGGAAAAAAGGAATTTTCATTATTTGCCATCAAAAATCCTTTAAGGATTATCCCCAAAAAATTGCAGAAATAAATGTATGCAACTCCCTTACAGCAGCATGGGGGGGGAAACAAAATGAAGGAAGTCACAAAAATCACCCACAAACGGTTCTAACAATGAAGTGAGTGTTCAGTGTGTTAGCAGAGCATAGAGCAGCTCACTTAATAAATTTATTCAAATTAGCTTATAAATGGGCCGAAGGCGAAAGTGGCCCATTGAAAATATGCAGGAGTCCAAACAGTTTTGTCATGTTCTCGCAATTTCTCCAGGATTTCTCCTATTTGTGTTTTGAAAAAATCCTTGAAATCGTCATATGTATATTACTTTCTGGTCTAAGTGGGGGGGGGGGGGGGTTGGGAGGGGGGTACAAAATAAAAGAATTTATCGAGCTCGGAGTGGCCTGGCTGTTTCTCTTCATTCTATGATCTAACCCGTTTTTAAAGGAATACAAATTCCTACCTCCAGCTTTTCTGATTATTTGCTTTCATCATATTTTTCTTCCTTCTAGCTAGCCATTAAATTTGCCACGAGTGGTTTGTATAGCCTTGCTTGGGACGATTTGGCAATTTTGGGCGATTCTTCCCCCCCCCCCCCCCCCCCCAACGACGTCACTTTTTCAATTGATGTCGCAATAAAGGCAGACACTGCGTACACCACCATCTTTCCTCAAGAAATTGCCTCAGATCGCACCACAGAGCATCTGGAATTTTTGGGACCAATTTTTGGGGGACCAACATTTTTTGGCCCCCCCCCCCAAAAAAATTGTGTCCTGGGTCCGCCCTCTGCACACGTTAATGCCTGATCCCCAGATTACAAATAACCGGCCTTTAAATATCTTAATTCCTTAAAATTCTCATGCCCCGGCAATGAGCCTGGTTTTGTCCGTTGAGTTTCCGCTGAGCATGGCACTCGGTACTACAATTACAGTGGCTTGTTTGTCGCTCTTTCTCGCTTCCTCGGTACCAAGAAGTGTAATAATATTTTTCGCGAAAACTGTAGGCGTATTTGACTGCGCAAACGTCAACACACTTAAGCAGGTCATTCGTGTAATTTCCCAACATTCTTGAGGCACACACATAGTCACATAAATTTCGGCAATATAACACACGACTGTTTTCCCTTTTAAGCAATTTCTCTCATTAAAAACATTAAATCTGCCACGTTTTGCAGGCATTTTTTGCTCAAAATCCCAACAGCCGCGTCCGATGTCTGGGAATTAAGTAAGAGGCTGGGAACTTAATTGTTACGTTAAACTTGGGTTACAAAAAAAAACAAAAAAACATGCTACCGTTTCATGTAAGGTCTATCGGATATTTTTTTCCCCAAGTTTTCAGATCATTTTCGTTAATGTAAATCATATGAGAATTAGTCCGTCAAGTTGGTACAAAATAATCGAGTGGCTCATTGTATGCGCTTTGGTACGGTACTTACTTCATTAAAAAATAATTTCCAGAAATACACGCCCTTTGTTATAAATTTAGGGGTCGGACAATTTTATCTTTAGAAATATATGCGAAATACACGCGACCCTCCTTTTCTGAATTGAGGGGATCAGGCAATTTTATCCTTGGAAATACACGCGACCCCTTTTTTTTAATTTAGGGGGTCGGGCGATTTTATCATCCCCCCCCCCCCCCTTCATGAATTTAGGGAGTCGAAAACATATTCTCATAAGAAATACACGCGATCCCCTTTTCTAAATTTAGGGGTCGGACAATTATTTTATCAAAGGAATTACACGCGACCCTAAAGGGAGTATTTACGCCACTCTAGTTCATTGACTTATCAAAGTCATTTTAGTTAGTACTCTTAACTAGAAGCAGCAAATTCTCGGCTGGGAAATAAAAAATAATAACAATAATAACAGGTTTTTACATTATTATTACCCCTGATCATTGGCCCAATTAAAACAAAAGGCTGGGATTTTGGTTGAAATTGCACCTGTATCTCCAAACACACCTCTAAGCCTCTATTTTGAGATGAAATCACGATCGAGTGTAAAAAAGTTGTAAAATTTTGAGAAAGGGGGACGTGGGGGACTTGGAGAATTGCATAATGCTTCCATTTTGTTTTGGGATTTAAAAAAAGTGAAGTAGGATGGCGCGCCGCTGAAACAAAAATATTCACTGAGAAAAAGTTCAGTCTCAAGGGGTTTCAGTGGACGGATCGAGTCAGGAATCCTATCCTACCATTCCCCTATATTAAAAGATCCTACTGTATGTCGTTGGCCGATTTTGTTCGTGCGACGTCTCATTGGAAAGCTCATAATTAATGTGAATTTATGCTGGTAATCCATTTTTCAAGGTGCCGCACTCAAAAAAACACGTTTAGGCCTGCATCAGACTGAGCAGTGACAAATTTTATGAAAGGGTCTATTCAGAGAATTGCGCCACTCTTCATGGTGAAATTTCTTTTTTTTCCCCACCTGCCTTGATTGGCAACAATAGCCTTTCACAAATGACACCACGAAAACCACAATTGAAAAGTGGTGCAATTCTCTAAATAGACCATTTCATAAAATTGGTCACTGCTCAGTCAACCGTGAATATGACAATTGACATATGATCAGGGTGTCATTAAAGGATATTCAAACTTAAACAGAGGATTCTCCCTTTTATATGCTCATGTGCCCTACTTCTGTTCCAAGGGTGCATACCTATTCCCCAACACCGATGTTCCCCAAAATCCTATAACACTAACTCTAACCCTAACCCTAATCCTAAGGATTTCGGGGAACATCGGTAGTTAACATCGGTATTGGGAAACATCGGGTAGATTCCCTGTTCCAATTAGCAATGATATCTCGGTTCCTTTTTTTTTTTAAATCCAACCTGACATCACGGTATTTATCGTGGGATATCCTTTTGCCATCTGTAGCTGTATAAACACACCAAATCACGGAACGGAAGGAGCACTACACAAACACTGGCAATTCTCATGGTAGAAAATGTGTGCGTTTTTTAAATAACAGGAATTTCCTAGTATCGTCTATGCCACAGTGACCGGTGAACATAAAAACCACAGGGGGAGTTCCCAGTGGAGGAAAGAGCTTGACTTTCGATCTGCACATTTTGTTTTCCAGGATTACAACGGTACCATGAAGTACCTTCCTCGTTTTGACTACATAATATAAACTTGGGTTTCGACGGGCATTATTATTATTTTTACCAGCACTGCAGCAAGATGCACGCGCTCGCCTTGTTCTGTATCGCTCTGATCTTGACTGTGATAAGGCTGGGGTGCGCAGTCACGACCCCACCGCCGACTACACCAGGCAAGTCGTTTTTTTGTATCCAGGTTACAATACAAAAATAATCAGTGGACGGCTGCACTTGAAAAAAAACCCAGCGTGTTTAGCAATTAAGAACTTTTTCTAAACACTTTCTTGATATTTGTGAACATGTTTAAATACCGTGTGTTTTAGAGTATTGATGGGTAGTGTTTATTGAACATTGATGTTTAGGATGTTATACAAAGTGCATGATAGCATGAGTACGTTATAATTGCTCAACACATTTTAATTGCATACACAGAGTGCATGCAATATTTCTTTTGGACAATGTGGTGGAAACAATATAAACTTTCCTTTTTGGGGGTGGGGGGAGGATATGTCACTACGGGTTTGAATCTCACCCACACCGAAATAATGTGGTTTTGACTCACACCTGACTTTGTGTTCAGTTCTCTCCCTGGAAAATTACAGCCCCCCCCCCCCCCAACAACTTTCCTCCCTTCGGGGCCTGCTTAATATAGGAGACCCAAAACATTTTGTTTGATTGTTGACGCTCGGTGCCGGTGCGATATGAGGCAATTTCTGACCACTCTAACCTTTTTGTTTAGCATAAGACAGGGTTGGCTGATTTAAATCACGTTGATTCAAAACACTGATTTAAATCACGATTTAAATCAAATGATTTTTTTTACAAAAATCACTGATTTAAATCACTTTTTTGTAAAAATCTTATTTTTGGCAAAAACAATTGATTGAGGGTCATTTTAATCATTTAAATCAACTGATTCCACTTAATTACAAAGTGTAAGATGTTACATTGTCACATTCAAACACCCAGTGGCGTAGCCACCGGGGGGGCGTGGGGGGGCGACCGCCCCCCCCCATGAAACCTTGTCGCCCCCCCCCCCCCCCAGTCGCCCCCCCCCCCCCCCCCTGAGATTTTGAGATTCTAAAAAAATTATCATTGATCTACATTTCGCCATGGGCCCTATTATGTACAACAATGTATCTTTTGCTTAGAAAATATTGGTTAAATAAAGTGGTCAGAAATTGCCTCAGATAGCACCACAGAGCATTTTGAAACCAAAATTTTTCGGGGCCTTAAGCGGGCCCCGAACCCCACGCCTATAGCTCAGAATTCTGGTAGCTGATTCAATGACTCCAACCTCGAAAACAATGTTCACAAAATTTTCTTATGCCTTTAACTGAGAAAACCTCAAAAATTATGTTTAAATTATTATCTTTTGTGCTAAGATAATTATTGGTTAAAGTGGTAAGAAATTGCCTCAGATCACACCACAGAGCATCGAAAATCCAATTTTTGTCGGGGCCCTTAAGCGGGCCCCGAACCCCACGCCAATAGCTCAGTATACCGATAGCTGATTCAATGTCTCCAACCTCTAAAACAATGTTCAAATAATTATCTTTTGCCAAGAAAATATTAGTTAAAGCATGGAGGAAAGTCGTAAGAAATTGCTTCAAATCACACCACAGAACATGTAGAATCCAATTTTTTTCGGGGCCCTTAAGCGGGCCCCGAACCCCACGCCGTAAGGGCTTCGCGCTTCGCACTTGCATCAGTTATGATCAAGGTATGTCCCCCCCCCCCCCCACTTTTGAGAAGCGATTGACGCCCCTGCTTGACGCCCCCCATGAAATGTTCCAGCCCCCCCCCAGCGCCCCCCCCCCACCCACTGAAAAATTCCTGGCTACGCCACTGCAAACACCCCTACTTCATCACCATCGACTCAATTTTGGTTTTGCACAATTACACAAAATCGTTGTTTTGATTATTAAGTCAAGATCTGAGTTAGAAAGTTTTTCTTCCAGGTTTTTAATTTTATAGAGAGCACTCTCATGTTTGCTTTAATCATGGAGCTGTGTTTTATAGCTCCATGCTTTAATCATTCCTTGATCTGTTTACAGTAATATTGTGAATCAACTGTGCTCCTTTGTGATGGGTGCATGGGTAGATTTAGACACATGTTTAGCCATATCAATATTTTGAAAGTTAAAAAAAATTAAAAATCTAATTTAAATAAAAAAATCTGATTTAAATAAAATAAATCCGATTTGTTTTTATTTAATTTTTTTTTAAATTCAAAAAATCCTGGCAAAAGATCATCATTTGATTTAAACATCATTTTCGAGTTTGGATTCAAACTGCACTGCACTGACATGTACACAGGAGCACTTAGCCCCATAAATGTGGCCAATTTACTGGACTACCTCCGTAAATAAAGGCCACACTTCCACCATGTACAAAAACATGTCAAACTTTGTCAAATATTGATTTTCATATTTAGGCTTAGTTTGTAGTTTATTTTTGCTTGAGAAGCATACTCACCCACTTAATAGGCTAATCAAAAAGTGCTGCCTTTTTTAGATGTCTATTTTTTGTGAAATTTCCAGATTCGTTTTACACATTTGCGTAAATTTCACGAAAATTAGACATCTGAAAAAGGCAGCACTTTCTGATTAGCCTATAGTATAAAGAGGGTGAGTATGCTTCTAAAAGCAAAAATAAACTACAAACTAAGCCTAAATGTGAAAATCAAAATTTGACAAAGTTCGACATGTTTTTGTACATGGTGGAAGTGTGGCCTTTTATTTACGGAGGCAGCGGTATCGATGCAAGTAAAAACATCCTCACTTCTTAGAGTTGCTGGTGGGTGGTGGTGGGACACATGTCTCTCCCTGCCGGAAGGGCCACTGCCTGAAAAGCTGTAACTGATGGTGCTATTACTGCTTCCAGCGGGAGCTTGTTGCATATTGGTATGGTGCGGACGAAGAATGAGAATTTGAAAGAGTTTCTTAGTGCCTGGACTGGTTGGTGGTAAAGACGATGTTGAGATCTGCCTAATTAATGCTGGGTGAAGTTGGATACCAAGGGGCTGTGGAAAATTGACATTGACGAAGTTGTAGTGAATTTTATAGAACATGGTGCACTGGTGTAGATGTCTTCTGATAGCTAGCTGATCCAGCTTGAGTTGTTGGAGTAGTGGAGAGATGCTAGTTGTCTGGTAGACCCCACAGATGTAATGGACTGCCTGGCCTTGGGCTGATTCCAGTGAATAAATGTTTTTAGCCTACGTGGGAGGACTCGATGCAGCTGCCATGTAATCCAGACGGGGACAAACCAAGGTTTGCTTTCAACTTGATGTGTTGTGGGCACGGTCCCAGATTTCTTCTGATGATTCCTAGAGTACTGCAGTGCAGGCTTTAGATCTAATTGGCAATATGCTGGTTCCATGACAGGTCACTGGTGATGGTCACGCCAAGGTACTTGTGGCTGGATGTCCTGTCTATGACTAGCTGATCTACATTGTAGTTGAAGAGATTGGGTTTGGTCTTATGAGTGAAGGTGAGGATTTGGCACTTGGAGGCGTTGATCTGCCATGTGTCTGCCCATTTGAACACTAACGCTCCCCCAGCGCCACACTGACAGCCACAAATTTGCTTCAAAGTTGACATTCTTTTCTGCTATCATAAGCAAGATAGCATGAAACAATGAGGAATTTAGGCCTACTACACCTTCAACCATGTGCGAGTGCGTTTGAGGTTTGTGTCATTTTGAGAGCACTTTTTGAGGCTTATCCATTTTTTAAAAATCAACTATTCAAGAAAATAATAATTACATAATATTGCCAATATTCATTTTTCTCAAACAGTTGACTGCCCAGATGATATACTGGCGCATTCAGACACTGGAGCTCCAGTGACGCTGTTCTGGACACCGCCAACGGCACCGAGCGGTCTGGACATTGTGAGCAGCACAGCCGACCGAGGGGATCGCTTCCCAGTAGGACAGACACTAGTTCAGTACAACTTCACTGATAGCTTGGGATCCCGTCAGGAAACCTGCACCTTCAACGTGACAGTATTAATTGGTCAGTACGACTATGACAGATTTGTCAGTACCCAGGATTGTTGACTGCTGTGATGTGGGATATGATGTTCTCAACCATGGTGACTGATTTTAGCCGATTTTTGGCTAACTTTGACAGATTTTTTGTTAAAAAATGAGTTTGACTGAAAATTTGACAGAATTTTTTTGGGGGGGGGCAGATTTCTGGCAAAATTCTGCAAAAATTGTTATTTGACAGAAAAATATAGCAAATTTGAAAAAAAGGTACATTTCTTTAAAAAAGCTTCCATCTTTTCAAACAGACCCAAGCTTGCGTAATGGGACAGGTTGGCTGGTCTAGGTGCTGAGGTTCGGCCGTGGGAACTGCATGGACTTCGTCGTGACGCAACCGTGTTTTGCCTGAAATTTACCCAATTTCATAACAATCTTTATATAGATTATTTATTATGTAATTTGAACCTTAATTAAGGCAATACTACAACACCTGCATGTGATTTTAAGTGTTCATAGTGTATTTCGAGTAATTCTGGGAAATTTGGCAGATTTTTGATAAATCTGACAGTTTTTGAAGTGCATTGAGCAGAATTGGCTATGACCTTATGGTCACCCTGTACGCCTGAGGGGTGCTGTGTGCCCCAGGGGGGTTTAAAACGGCATATCCCACATCACAGCACTTACGATGCTTATAGGCAATATATACAACATTTACTTGTGGCTGTACGTAATTTTCAGAAATCGATGGATTTGGGGGTTAATATTTTATAGTAATTAATGTTACACCATGGTAACATTGACCTGTTTAAAAGTTTTGAATTCATAGATGCGGAAAAAACCAAGAAAAAAAATGCCGTTCAAGTGTTCTGGATCCCTGATCCTACTTCATACAAAATGCAGCACTATACAGAGTTGCTGACTCGAGTCATGTGACTTGCAAGGGCGGATCCAGGGCGGGCCAAAGGGGGCCATGGCCCCCCCCCCCCCCCCCAAAACGAAACAAATTTTTTTTTTTTTTTAATGTGACATCGCAATAAAGGCAGGCAATGAGTACACCACCATCTTTTCCTAAAAAGAAATTGGTTAAAGTGGTCAGAAATTGCCTCAGATCGCACCACAGAGCATCTAGAATCCAAAATTTTTTCGGGGCCCTTAAGCGGGCCCCGGACCCCACGCCGTAATTTTTTAGGCCCACTTTTTGGGACCCAAAAAAATGTTGGCCCCCCCAAAAATTGTGTTCTGGATCCGCCCTTGGTGACTTGGACTCGAGTCGCTATTTTTGTGACTTGTGACTTGACTTGTAAATACCAGCTTTGACTTGTGACTTGACTTGGACTTGCAAACAATGACTTGTGACTTGACTTGGGATTGCAAAAAATGACTTGTTACCAACCCAAGTCAGACGCTACTCGAGCGACCCAATACACTTTAATTAAGCTATTATACTAGCTCTATACTAGCTCCCCCATCGAACGTGTATTCAGTCATGGAGGAATAATTATGAGGCCACACAGAGCAAAGTTGAGTGATACTATGCTATCAAATCTTGTTTATTTGATGTGTAACAGTTTGTACATGAAAAAATTGATTTTTTTTTAAATTGAAGTCGCCCAACACAAGGCCCAAAAAGGCCACTCAAGGTGTTTATAAATGCAGTTTATAGATGCAGCGAGAAAGTTTCATTCCAGAAAATAGACCTCAGTGACTGAATCCAGTAAAATGAATAGTTCCCACTAGCACTAGTTTCAAAAGTTTTCAATAAGACTGTCACAACAAACTACAGTTTTCAATGACCAACTCTCTTGCTTAATGTAATGGTTGAACAAACTTTGAAAGGACCCTTTCATGAAAAGAAAGCAGGCCTTTGTCAATTGCATGTAAAATACTGGATAGCCTAACCCATTGGTAGGCGTTTAGATACATGAAAATTGAACAATATATTAGTATACTACATGTAATTGAGTGAGTGTAGTCTTTTTTTCATGTCATCTCAACATTTATTTCTACAATGTAAAGTAAATTTATTCATCATGTCGGTTTTAAGGCCGTTGTCCAGTCTGTTCTGGGTTGGCCAAATTTATTAAATTATACAAAGGGCTAATATCCGACAGATATATGATAAACTACAAGAATAGTAATTGCAACACATTGAAAAAGGGGAATTAAGGAGGCATGTTCAAAATATAAATTGTAAGTTGACACCGGGTTCTTTTAGCTTGTTACAGCTGGACAAAATAATGTGCAACTTGACGTGTTCTTGGACAAAGATACTTGTGACTTGACTTGTGTTTAGACCAAATGACTTGTGACTTGACTTGTGACCGGACCTAATTACTTGTGACTTGACTTGTGACTGGACCTAATGACTTGTGACTTGACTTGGACTTGCAAACAATGACTTGTGACTTGACTTGGACTTGCAAAAAATGACTTGCTGCCACCTCTGGCACTATATAGATGTCAAGGAATTGTCAGGTCAGGAAAGCAGACTAGCTGGCTTGTACCCATTAACTGATGTGTAATATATTGCAAACAAAATGTGGACTAACTAAATTTGGTAAATTGGGGACAGCATTTGGAAAAAAGTCAGTTTTTTCCAGCGATGGTCTGCAAACCATCATTGGAAATTGATACAAAAATTCTGCTTTTCTTGAAAATGACAGCACACCAGGTGCCATGATTTTACAGGATGCTTAAGACTGTCCTTCAGTACAGTCCAGTGAGGTATTTCATAACAATTTGGTAGTTTTCTTTTTTGATGTTTGCAAATGACTTTCATGTATATTACCTTTAATTATACATTAAATTGTTCAATGCCTTGCAAGTCAAGTTTCTCTTGAGTCAAACACAAACGGATGTTGTAATTTTTGTACACAATTTTTGTATTAAAAATTTAACTTGGAATTTTATACTTTTTCTTCATCAGGTGATGCCCCTCCAGTGATCCAGTGCCCAAACAATGTAACTGCCTTTGCTCGTGCCGGAACGCAACGGTTACAAGTTAATTGGGACGACGTCAGTGGGACACAGGCCGAGTTCAGCTTGTCCTATAGAAACTATTTTCCCGGGGATGTGTTTGTCCTTGGAGACACTGTGGTCACCTACTTGTGGGGTAGAGATTCTGAAGAAGAATTTTTCACTTGTTCTTTCACAGTAACAATTGAGACAGAAGGTAAAATACTTATATATATATTTTCTTACTATTATTGTTTAAAATCCAATCCTACTTTATATTGAAGTAGATTAAAGAAAAATTTAGATTCATGGCTCGATCTGTGGGTTTTTTTTAATGGGAACTAAAGTGCGAGAACCTTGCTTGACAACTGATGCATGGCCTGCACAAAGGTTGACTTTCGTAAAAAAAATTGCAACAGCGAGTTGTTTAACTTAACTTGAGCGCGCAACTTACATGTACATGAACTACGATGTGTATGCCGTTTAACCCAAACCCCCTAGGATATTCTGTTTAAAGGGAAGATACAACATTTGCAAACATCAAAAAAACAAAATGATCAATGTATCACGAAATATCTTACTGGATCACGAAATATCTTACTGGATTGTTAGGGAATTACAGTCCAAAGCGTCCTGTAAAATCGTGGCTCCTGGTGTGCCGACATTTTCAAGAAAAATCGCATCGTATTCATTTCTGCTATTGCAAAAGCAGAATAGCATGATAAAAAAGAGGATTTTACTACACGCTTGTCTCGACCATGTGCACCTTTCTGCAAGATCGCTTGAGGTTTCCTGCCATTTTGACAGTACCTGTTTGTTTTTAGCCTTACAGGCCTGCATTATTTTATCTAATTGTTAATACAATGTAATGATTCGTTTTGCTCTGTGCAGAGCTGCAGACAGTGGACTGCCCAAATAATATGCTGGTGCAGTCAGACACTGGGGATCCAGTTGTAATGTTCTGGACACCGCCAACTGCACCGAGCGGTCTGGACATTGTGAACAGCACACACAATCCAGGGGATAGCTTCCCAGTACAGAGAATCACAACAGTTCAGTACACCTTCACCAATAGCTTGGGATCCCGTAGGGGAACCTGCTCCTTCAACGTGATAGTAACTGGTCAGTATGACTATGACTATGACAAATGTAAATGAGGAATATAATGGTCAGTAAAAAAAATCATAATCTTGGCGATATAGTGTAGTTCCAGGCCCAGTTCAAAGAGAACAAAAATCCACTTTTAGGTATAAATTGGACTTAAGCCCCCCAAAAATAGTTCTGCGTCCGATTACATGGCATTTGAAAATAGGGTAGGTAGGTGGGAATTTTTTTTTTTTTTGTGGCATTTTTGTGTGTGTACTATCATATGAAGGAGTCTACATGTAGTCAAAGGTATTAAGGTAGTTATTCATGGTTTTCAGGTTTTTTCTGCAATTTTCCCCCCAAAAAAACTTAGGGTAGGGGCTGTCACAATAGGGTAGATGAGGTAACCGCAATTAACAACATCTCCATTAGAATATTGAAACAAACAGGTTTTTTAATACATGCGGTTCTATTGTTTTTGCAGTGCCTTGCCCGCAAGAGGTTTACCTTGAAGGAAATCTGACGTTTCCGCAAACCAGATTTGGACAGACGGCGCAATCACTGAACCTCTGCCCCCAGCTTACTGTCCGAGGTAAATACTGAAGCCTCCTTAAGGCCCCACCAAAAAAGTCTCCGGTTTCTGATATGGAGCTTGCCCAAAAAGTGGTGCGGCGACGCGGCTTTTTTTTTTTTTTACCTGATTTTTTTTGCTTCAAATGTCGGCTGATGACTGCAAATGGTGCCCGACTAAACTTAGTGCAAATATATGGGAGTCCAGAGAGGCCACACAAAGCTTATTCTCGACCATAACCCAATCTAAAAACACGTTAAAATTGTGCAGCAGCAGGATTCCAGTCAAACCAGTGAGTTTGGCAGTTTTGAGACATCATCTTTCATTGAAAAAAAAACTTTTTCATTTTGCCGACGTGCTTGGCTACGGCGACGCGCGCGCATACCAGAAACCGGAGACTATTTTTTTTGGCCTAATCGCTTGTTAGCCTGGTTAACTTGAATCTTGCTTGATGCGCAATCTGTGAGAGACCAACTCATAAAAATAAATGGAAATAGTAAAAAATAAAATTAAAAATAGTGTACTCTCTGAAGTCGGTCATTAAAATAAACAAGAGGTACAGCATTTGCTTTTAGTTACAAACACAGGCTGATCATCGGGCAGGTTATTATTTCTTTGGAAATTGCCCATTTAATATTTTATGTCCGAACAGAAAAAGAATCATGAAATTCAACCTTTTCCAGTGGAACCATTTATTTTAATTTGAAAAAATGGATCCTTTTGAGTTTGATAAATGTCATTATATGTTGTATTTACACGTATAATATGCTACTTCCGGTTTGACAATTTTATCAGTTTACAAATGTGCAAACTGAATATTGATTTGGTTCAGATAGGATTCATATTCATCGTTAAGCAAAAAAAAAATTCTGCAAATATAAAAACTACAATGACTGTAGTGTAGGCCTGTATTTGATAACACCTATCGTCCGGCGTGATGACATATAACAGCATAAGGAAGTCCAAGGTCAACACTACAGATGATATCGTTATTTGTGCTAGTCTACGAACATCTTTGTTAGACACCGATCAAATGATGGATTTGAATAATTGGTATAAAAACTTAAATTGATAATTTCCAAATTTTCCCTACAATAATTTGCGGTTTGTTGACGTCATAATCCTGAAACATCGCAAAGTCCTTTGTAGTTGTGTTCCAAGATTATCCAGGGCAATTTGAGAACATTTTGATAAATTGTTTTTAAATTTAAAGAAATTCAACTCTTTTTAGCGTGCGGATGACGCCATCATGCTGTTTCTTGTGTTTGGCATCCCTCACTAAACATTTCAATAATTTGTTCAATAATTTGATTGAAGCAATATATGTTCAATTCTCATTGCACGTCCGGTAACACTGTGGAAGTGAAATAAATGGCTATATGCCCAGAAATCCAAAGTACTGCCTGAGGCATAGAAATTCATAAAAAAATAATGCTAACTCCCCCCCCCCCTGATAATTATCTGCACCAAGAATCCAAGCGATCTTAAACAGAGTGATTAAAACCTCCAAAGCCCACATTTATTCCCTTAATAATCTATCTGATTACAAAGACTGAACATGATTGATACTTTTGTTCAAACAGTGAAAGTGAAAGAAGTTTGTCACTTTTGCTGCTAGAATTGCTTGTAATTTGATACCTGATGATGTCACCATGAGGTCAGATTAATGTGCATCCCTAGGGGTCCGGTTGATTTTGCAAAGTTTCATGTTAATTCCACATGCTGCTCAGAAAAAAAAAGTCACGGAGACTTACCGTCCAGAATAGAAAGAAAGAAAGAAAATTTGTAACAATTTTAAAAGGGTGACCGATCACCCAAGAAGTCATACAGTTTCATAATTTCAAAACTGCTAATTGAAATTGAAATACGATTATTAGCTCTGATATATTGACATGTGGCTGGTGGAAGAAATGTAAAAAAAAATGTTTTTATTTTCTTGTTTCCTTCAATAGCGGGAATGCCGCGTGCCACCAGAGACTGCGTCGGTGACTTATTTCAACCGCAGTGGAAGGAGCCGGTCATTCTCAATTGCATTGAGGGGGACGTCACTGAAAACCTTGATGAGCTTGCAAATGTAAGCGGTCTAAAATCTCCTGTAGAGGGCTGATCCATAGTGTGCGCGCTTCAGTGGAGAAGTTTATACTGCAAGATCGAGCTTTCTGGTATGGAGCTTGCCCCAAATAAGATGCGGTGACACTTTTGTTTTCCCCTACTTTTTTTTTCTTCCAATGTCAGCTGATGTTGCAGATGAGGCTTCCACCTCCTTAAAATTCTAGCTGAGGCACTGCAGGCAACATACATATGTATAGAAAGAACAAAGACCTGGTGCAGCAGTGAAGCAAGATTGGCTATATTGAGGTTATTCAGGGAACTTAAGGAAATTTTGGATTTTTTTCCCCATGATTGACTGAAACTGGATGTCGTGGGTTGTCTCAGAGGGTAGTCTTTGTTATTTTAATCAAGTAACAATGAATGCACAAAGGTTAATACTCATGCATATCCAAGCTATACAAAAAAGTATTGCCTGCTAAAAAAAACTCTGCCTTAATTTTGAGGTTAATGTAAAAATGTAAACCACCCTAGAGGCACTAGAGCAGGCTTAATAGTCATACGCAGAACAGGTTCATGTAATGGTTAAATGCATAATTATCCGGGAAACACTCATAAAAAACAACACCACTAAATTGACTTGAAAACAACTTGGACATGATAGTCCTAAAATTCATCAATTTGATTATAACCCCACAGATGACAGTGACTTCTGAGAATGCTGAGGAAGTAGCCATGGAGACAGCATCCCTGACGTCCGACGCCAGCGCCATCAGTCCCGCGGCAGTAACGTCTGTCGCTGGAATTCTGGAGAAACTGGCAGTTGCCAACAACACTTCCCCAGAGGTAAGACTGCATCAATTCGCATAATTCAATTATTTCAATATTCGAATGTTCATTCAATTAATTTTTCCTTGTTGCACAAAAAAGCATTTTGGGCAAACATGCATAGCAATCACAATGGCAGTTACAATTATGTAGAAATTTATCCTAACTCCCCAGCCTAATTTACTAGGAACCATACCCATTCTGGCAAATTCCAACACCCACATAGGAAATTGTACACACACACTGTTGGACTTAGTTTCTGGAGGTATGCCAACCCCAGTGTAAAAGACCATCAGTTTAGGGGTACTGTACCTATCCCAACAGATTTAAACACAAACCTGCTGTTGAACTTTGATGGGTTGAGTTCGGTTAGGGTTAAGCTGGCTTGAAATAAAAAAGAAATTAAGGGTACAGCAAATGTAATTCCGTTTTCAAAAAAGTTGTTCTTTTTCTCCTCTTTTGAGCTACATGTAACTGCATTTCGTTTCTTGTCATTCAAGCACATTAAAAAACTCTGTTGTATATCAAACTAATTAATGCAAACTCTCTGACAAAAGTTAATGACTGCAAAACCTGCTGACTCTTGCAAGCTTGGTGGTCGAGTGGTCAAACATCTGCACTTGTAAGAAGAATGTTTTGGGTTCACGGCTCACCTGGGCGTTAAACTTGTGTAGGTTTTTCTCGCATGTGCCAAAATGTGGTGCAGATGTTGCTAATTTTGTCGCGTAACTGTAAAAGCGATCGTTGATTTTGTGCGTATCTGTAAAAACGCGCAACATTATCGCGTGACAAAATCGCATACATGTAAATACAATTCAGGGAACTTGATCAAAAATTGCTGCCTCATAAATAAGGTCTATACTCTGGCCTAAATCAAGCATTAACAATGTATCAAGTTCCTTCTGGTGTTCAACATGGTGCATAATGCTAAAAAATGACTTGACTAATGATTCAAACTTCACAATATTTTGCTATGATAATAGTGCTTGAGTGCTTCTAAGTAAAGATATAGTCCATCATTTGTAATTTGTGCATTTTGTTCGTTTGAAGCAACAAAAGTGTTCAAAATCTAATGAAGGATAAAAAACAACTAACCTGATGAAGTTTCAGCTCAGCTTCAGCTGTATATTCCGAGAAAAACAGCATTCTAGGATCTCAATTTCAAATCAAAAGTTGCTGAATCATGTTTTGAATTGGGCCTGAATTCAGCGTCCAAGACGCGTTCTCACTGAGCCAATTGCAGCTACGCGATGTCGCGTACTGATCTGACAAATTATAGCAACCGCGCGTGCGTGTGTGTTGTGCCAATGCTTGCGCGCGCTTCGCCGAATAACAAAATGAACTACTAATTTCAATTTTCCTACGGTGCGTCTAAAGACGCACCGTTTGAAAGGCCTTCTTTCGTTGATTATTTCAAAATGACAGCTTGCCAGAAAGAATAATTTCACAGGGAGTTTAGTCCCCTTACTATCTTTCGACCAAGTATGTTTTTCAACAATAATTACGCCAGTTACTTTTCGGATAGCTGCAAATGATGGACTATAGCTTTAAACTTTGAAAATCATCTGCTTCCTCATTTTGTGGTGGCTACTTTCAGGAAAGAGCTGCTCAACCACAGCTATAGCCACTGTCCATCTGTGAATTGAAAATATTCCGAGATGATTCAACTTTTGGGTGTCTTTGTCTGGTAGGTTGCCGTGCAAATCGTCGAGATAGTCAACAACGTCCTCCAAATTGACAACGAAACCACCTTGGATGAGGCAAGCCGTGACAACTCTCCGTCTCGCATCGTGCTGGCCCTGGAGTCCTTCGTCACAGCGTTGCATAACAGCGGGGCCGGTAACTTCACCGAGGTACAGAGCAGCGTTGCCGTCCAGGCCCTCTCCCTTCCCCGTCGAGCCCTGTCCAATGGCCTGGGCTTTGCGTCTTCCCTCAACGACTCGGGAACGGACGATCTAACCGACAATCAGATCTCTGTGTTCACCGAAGAAGACCTGGAATTGGAAACGGAAGCCTCGATTTTCCTTCCAGCTGAAATCCTTGACAGTATTTCAAAAGGTACAAAAACTAAAACTGAAAACTTGCATTTTGGCATATCTGAAATGCATACAAAAGACAAAAGCAAAGTGATCATCATTGTAATTTTTTTTTAACATACAATGTATGCCAGTAGCAAAATGTGTGGGTTGGGATAGAAGCCAGATGCACACCAATGGATAAAGACTACAATTTTAGAGGATTAAAAAATATAAAACGAAACTTGCCGTCCGTGCTTGCACAGTGTTACGTTGTTCTTTGATGGGCAAAGCAAAAACAAAAAGCCACTTGCTTTAATGGATTATTAAGCCTACTCAAAGCTGAGATACACAGTGAGTGCTGGTGAATCTTGTCTGAAAAGGTGGAAAGCAGAAATGTATGCAGATGCCAATGTAAAAATGACATTCAGCCCCAAAAAACAAAGATACTTAATTAATTAAACAAGACTTACACTGCATCAAATTCTCTAATTCCTTTTGGGGGGGGGAGTGGATAACTTTGACATGATTACAAGAGAAGACAGCAGCATTTGATGATTTAAACATTCAATTATCTGCAAGCAAAATCACAGGAGCAGCAAAACTTTGCTTCGAATAAATCAATGTCAATTTCATTTCAAACAAAATCTCAGTGAATAACAAACTTGTTGAACAAAACTCTTTCTGTTTTGTACTTTTCATCAGTTTTGCGATTTTTCAAAGTCAGTGAAGTGAGTGTGGAAGTTGCCTTAATTACAATTATACTTTTTGGTTTGTTTTTGTCTTCACAAACAGGCAATTATAGTGACCAAGTTCCGATAAGTTTCTTCCTGTATCAGAATAGCAGGCTGTTTCGTTCTCCCACGTTGAACGAAGCGACGAGGCCCGAGAAGGAAGTGAGGCGGGCTGTAGGTAGCCGCATCATTGCTGCCACTGTAGAGGGCGTAAAAATCAACAACCTGCGCATGCCCGTCACAAACGTGTTCAGTCTGCTCAATGTAAGTTAACTCTTTGAATAGAGCATACAAGTTGACCTCAAAAACCTGCCAAATTTTACGAGAATACAGCACATCCGGGCACCGTGTATAGGATCTAGGACCGGTGGCGTAGCACGGTCATTTTTATTGGGGGGGGGGGGGTAAAAAGTTCGTGAAAAGGGCACTTGCACATCCGTGGTGAAATGTAGACACATTTTTTTCTCCGGACACTTGGCCTCCCTAAAAGGGGGGGGGGGCTGTTCAAAACCGACAATTATGCACACTAACGGACAATATATGGTGCTTTTTAGGGAGAAACATGTGCGTGAAATTCTTAAAAAAAGAAAACTGGATCAGCAGACGGTACACAAAAGGGCACCACTTCTTTTTAAAAAGGGCACTTGTTCAGAAAAAAAGGGCACTTCTTTAAAAAAAGGGGTTCTCTTCACAAATTATTGGAGGGGGGGGGGAGTAAGCTCTGGTGGCAAAAAGGCATTTGAATGGAAAAGGGCAGTCTTTACAAAATATTGGGGGGGGGGAATACACCCTTACCCCCTGCGTGCCAAGCCTATGTGTAACATCCTATTCGTTTGCATTTAGCTCGTGTCCTGACTAAGCCCATCCGATCAAGAGCAGTATAAAATGGGTATTTCACAAACAATAATTTGATGACTGCTTATTGATGACTGCTAATTGATGACTATTTAATATATAATTGAAAATGTTGACCTCCACTTCCATACAATCGTTCACGCAGATAACAATTAGGTAAATTCAAACACTGAAATTTGTGACTTGCATGCTTTATACAGAATTCATTGCTTTGATGGGCCATATATTTGAGAGGCACTGCAGCAAAGCTATTTTCAAGTTTGGATCTTACACAGAAAATGAACAGATGCTTAAATACATGAGGCATGTTTTCTTTCCCCGAAATCAAGATCATCTTTGCTTTATTTTTCTTGGGAATGACGTGCACAATTACTCTTTTCAGGCGAGCGGTGGAGATGAGACAGTCGACAGTGCGGAGTGCGTGTTCTGGGATTTCATTCTGAGTAACGGCAATGGCGATTGGTCCACCGAGGGATGCAGGAAGGAATCCCTGCCCAATGGCATCATCCGATGTCTGTGTGACCACCTAACCAGCTTTGCTGTTATTGTGGTAAGAATAGAAACTCAGGTGCTGCCAGAGTAATTTGCATGAGAATCTTGGACACTGTCCGGTTCGTTAGTGTGACGTCACCTCCAGCACTTTCTGCATGAGTGGAACTGGAAGTTAACGCAACTCGAGCGTTTGTAGCCACTGTGCGCTAGTCACCAATGGTGGGCGCGGGTGTATGACGTTTTTACTAACGAACCGGATAAACTTAGTCAAGAAACTGTTTCTCTGGTTACTGGCCGCCTGATGGGTGCAGACCTGTAGATAGTCTCGAAATTGCATACGCCCGCCAAATCACAATTTGCATGCTGTCATTTTCTCCGGTATTAGAGCATTTTGAGGGCCGTGAACTTGAGGAGTTGTAAAAACGAAGGGTGGAAGCCGTGCAAAGGTTCAGTTGGCTAAGATAAATGTACCTTCTATCAAGGGCGGATCCAGAACACACTTTTTGGGGGGGGGGGCCCAAAAAAATTTGGGTCCCCCAAAAAAGTGGGTCAAAAAAATTACGGCGTGGGTTAGGGGCCCATTTAAGGGCCCCGAAAATTTTTTGGATTCTAGATGCTCTGTGGTGCGATCTGAGGCAATTTCTGACCACTTTAACCAATGTTTTTTTGAGGAAAAGATGGTGGTGTACTCATTGCCTGCCTTTATTGCGATGTCACATAAAAAAAAAAAAAAAATTGGTTTCGTTTGGGGGGGGGGGGCCTTCTATCAGCATAGATGATTTCATTGTTTGCATTTCTGATTCTTGTAGAAAGCTAGGTGTCATGATGTTTGATTCATTTATGTCAATCGTCAGCAACACCACGAAGTAACACCCATGTACATACCAGTAAAAACTAGCAATCGGAGAAAACGGCATTTAAAGTTGAATGCCTTCTAAAACAACACTTTGCATTAAATTAAAACAGCAGAGTATTTTCAGTTGGGTTTCTCGTTGTGGACACTTGATGAATTGAATTTATTGAATCTGCTGTTTTTCACCCGTTTGTGTATTAAATTCATCACTGTGCTTTTAGCATCTATGATCTATTAAGATGGATCTGGCACATTATAAATGTTAATAATAATAACCTTGGATTAGACATTTGGGAGACATTCATTTAGACTTGTGCACATAAATTTTTCTTACTTAAATGTGCCCTAACCCTATATTTCCGTTATCCTTTTTCCATGAACTTTGATATTTTTACTTATTAGACCACGAGCAACAAATATAATCTAATTGCCAGATTACATTATTAGTAGTCAGATGACGTGAGATTTATTATTCAGGCGTTGTTTAATACTGTGTGCAGAAAGCACAGCAAAAAGCATGCCAACTTCAGATGCAGAATTTGTATAAAATAGTAAAGCAACAATTTCATGGCGCTGCTAAGCACATGGATTTCTGCTAACAGAGCCTCCATCTATTTCATGGAGACGGTAACCAGTAAACACAGTAAAAAGCATGCTTACCTCAGAGGAAAAAGTTGCTTAAATCAGTCATGTAAGAATATAAATCTCAATGTGCGCGCAACCATTAACACATCCGCACCATGAAATAGTGTTTAAGGTTAGCACATATTTCTGCTATAGTAAACACATGCTTGCTGCAAACTGTTAAGCAGGGCCATGAAATTGGGTCCCGGTTCAGTTTGGTATTGGCCAAAGCTGACTTGGCTGACAAGCTGAAATGATGTTCCTTTTATCTTTTCTTCTAGGACATTCATGGGCAACAGAACCACCTCTTTTTGGATGTCGTAAGCAAGATCGGCTGTGCCGTATCTGTGGTGGCTCTGATAATCACTCTGGTCACATATCTGTACAGCAAGTAAGTGCTCACAATCACAAGATCACTTATGCACGTCCTGGAGTGCAGTGATAACCACTTTGGTATAGGACAAGTCTTTGCCTCGTCTGCTTCAGTTAGCCAATTTGTGACTCCATAAACTTGAACCTTTACAAATAATATGATTGTTACCCATTGATTAATGGTGCAAGAATGAAGTTCCTATTGAAAAGCTGGAATATCCAAATCTCTTTCAAATCTGAACTGACCCCACGGGCCTCATCAGTGCTTGCTTCTGTGGTGAGAATAAAAAAAACTATCTCCAATGTCTAACAATAGCTTAAGTGTCTCAAACGGGCATCCAGAGCTATTACTAGGTCTATTATCAGCATGTTCCAATGCAGTTGTAATTGTGGAAGACCTAGACAGTAGTTCTAGATAAAAGCTTTCAGGTACGGCCCAAAAAGAACTTTGTCTGCAGTGCTGATGGTACCATCCTCTCTCTAAGACTTTAAGATGTTTTGTCCCTTTCTCAATCTCTCACAAGGAAACTTCGGACCAAGCGTCCCCAGCAGATCCTGATCAGCCTGTGCTTTGCCTTGCTGGCTCTCTACTTAATATTCTTGGTGGGTATCGAGGCTACAGCTTCCCGGGGAGGCTGCACCTTTGTGGCAGTTCTGATCCACTACTTCACCTTGGCAGCCATTGCCTGGATGGCCGTGGAAGCCACCGACATGTACCTTCTCTTTGTTCTGGTGCTCAAAGCCGAAGTTGCTCACTCCCTACTCACTCTGCTCAAGGCCTCCATCATAGCCTGGGGTAAGATTCTTTTCATTTTTTTTTTTTTACATTATTAGCTCAACAAAGAATGACTGAAGCGGGGTTTGAATCTCCAACCTCAGGGATATGCAGGTGTTTTGTTTTATTTCCATTAAGACTTTTCAAAAGAGAAGATACAAAACTAAAGTCCAAAAATGATATACATTTAGTATGAGGTATTACCACACCTCATAAATATTCATGATAAAATTGGAGCACGTCATTGGCCGATTCCGCCGCACGTCCGGGAAGTACAAATGATACGTGCCCAGATGACGTCATCGGTGAGTACCCAGCTCGCAGCCCTGCTGTATTTTTTTCTGGTCGCACCAAAAATTCCTTCTGGAACCCGCCTCGTAGACATGTGGTCTGTGGCATGAAATCTTTACATAACCAGTCTGTTGTCTTAGTCCTTGTAACACTTGGTAAGGAGATGTACATGTGCATTGCAAACTATTTCCTATTATGATTATCCTCAATAATGATAACAAATAGTGGTTGTTTAATGTGGCCAATATTATTGTCGTTTTTGTTTGCACCTGTGATTTTCAGGTCTTCCATTGGTGGTTGTCGTCATTATTCTAGCTGCTGATTACACCCAGTATGAGCACCCAGATTAGTAAGTATTTGTACTTGACCTTCATATTCTTCTGTTTGGATGCCAAACCTAGCCAAATACTTTTCTTGAAAATGACAGTATACCAGGTGCCATGGTTTTACAGGATGTTTTAGACTGTCATTCACTAACAGTCCAGCAAGGTTTTTTTCAAAATAATTTGGTAGTTTTATTTTTTGATGTTTGCAGAGGCCGTCTTTTCCCTTAAACTTCCAGTGACAAAGTCAAAACTTTTGACATGAATCTGTCCTGCACGTCACTCACCTTGTGCATAATGACCAATTAGATCACGACTTTTGGTCAGGTGACTGAAATATGTCAGAATATAGAGGGCGCTAGTCATGCTTCCAGAGAGTTCTCGAGTTGTTGTTGGACAAGAAAAGAGTAGCCGAAGTAATCGCCAAAGTTGGCGGTCATCCCGACTCTATCCACCACCCATTACAGTGACCGCGATAGTTAGGTGACCATGGTAGTCAGGTAAAAATTGGTCACAATTACTTCGAGCAATTAATGCACACAAACCAAATGTGAGCGGGGTGTATGGCCAGGTCCACAACCATCCATTGTTGACCCCCCTTTTTTCCATAGCTAAGTTTTGCAAATACTTACAAACCATTTTACTTGCCCTTTCCTTTAAGCTGCTTCCTAAAGCCTGGTAATGCCATTTACTACGGCCAGATACTTCCAATCGGCTTGGTGCTCCTCTTCAACTTTGTCATTTTTACGCTGGTGACCCGCCAGCTGAGCTGCGACCGCATGACCAACGGGAGTTCCTCGGACAAGAGCCAGCGGGAGGAGAGGATACGTCGGCTCCAGAACGCCGTGGCCATCTCGGTCCTCCTGGGCCTGACCTGGGTCTTCGGGCTTCTCTCGGTCATCCAGGCTGCCAGCTTTGCCTTCCAGGTCCTCTTCGCCATCTGCAACTCTCTACAGGGGCTGATGATCTTCGTCCTGTTCTGCGCCATGAACCAACAGGTGCACCAAGTTTGGAGGGAAATGTTCCCATGCCAGAGGGATGCCCACCGCCGTGGATTGGTGTCCGGTACCGGCCTTGACTCCGGCACCCGAGGCGGTATCCCGCTGTCCAGTAAGGGTACAAAGACCACCGATTTCAGCGAAGCAAGTCAAACTCAATCCTAGGCTTTTCCCTATTCTTTGATATACCGCAAAATTAAATCGCTGCTACATGTACATCAGATTCGAACCGGCCAACTGATCCTGCATGCTCGGTGGTCGAATGATAAGGTCAAGTAGAAAGCAGGATCACACGATCATTCGAGTCCCACCCGAGTGTTTTTTCCCCAACTTTTACTGAGTATACAGTGTTTATACGTCGCTGAAGGGCAAAACCTAATATTTGATTTACATCTCCCGACGCAAATTCATCGTATGAATACAATTTATATTTTATACGGTATATTTAGCTGTTCCCAATTTCAATTGGGAACAGCTCTTGTTTTCGTTAAAGTTTTTTTTTTTCCTTTTTTTTTTGGCTTTTTCGCAAAATTTGCGAAAAAGCCTTTCTTTTTGTTCTCATTTTTTTTTTTTTTCATCATCTTCTTTCTTCTTTTTGTCGCCTAAACCCCATAGACTTTGTGCACGTTTTTTCTGGCCTCCACTTTTTTCTGGCCTCCACTTTTGGCATTAATAGAAAAAAAAAAACTTTAACGAAAACAAGAGCTGTTCCCAATTGAAATTGGGAACAGCTCTTGTTTTCGTTAAAGTTTTTTTTTTTCCTTTTTTGGGGGGCTTTTTCGCAAAATTTGCGAAAAAGCCTTTCTTTTTGTTCTCATTGGCTTTTCCGCAAAAAAGCGGAAAAGCCTTTCTTTTTGTTCTCATTTTTTTCTTTCTTCTTCTTCTTCTTCTTCTTTTTGTCGCCTAAATCCCATAGACTTTGTACACGTTTTTTCTCATTGCCACTTTTGGTATTAATCTTCGTCTTACATCATTCAAATTAAGCATAGTCATAGTCCTTATAGCAGAGATGTGCCCCGAAGAGTGACGTCATGGTGACGTCATCGACTAATTTATTACGGATTTTTGAATATTTAATTTTTCCCATTGACTTTGTACACAGAAAATTAAAAAAAAATTGTTGCTTTTCAAAGGGCATTTTCGACTCTTTGCCAGTTATTCATTAACACCACTCTCTGTCCAAGCAAAGACCCTAATTCAAACAACATTGTGGAATGATGACGTCATGATGACGTCATCCTGTGTTTATTTATAGGCAATTAAATTGTGACACTTTTAATATTTAAAAATGCATAAGAAATCAACCGTACGCGTCCGCAGCATTCTGTGTTCTGTTTGCAAACAGACATACAGCTCTAGTTAGCTGTTCCCAATTTCAATTGGGAACAGCTCTTGTTTTCGTTAAAGGTTTTTTTTTTCCTTTTTTTTTTTTTCTTCTTTTTCTTTTTCCACTTTTCCCCATAGGTTTTGTATGGGGAAAAGTGGAAAAAGCTATATTGACAAATAATTATATTGCATTATTATTACTGTGCACTTAATTATTGTCATGTTATGACGTCATGAATATTTAATGAGGCAATCTTTACAGTCCTATAACTATAGAACCGTTTGACCGATTGATCTCAAACCTGGCAGGTATACACACTGGGAAGTGTTACAGATAAAAATTGGTATGTCCGGGTCATGTGACTTCTACTTCCGGTGTCACCGGAAGTGTTAATGTAAGACCCTAATTAGCATATCTAATGAATTAGAAATTTGATTGGGTTGACACCTTATATTAGTATTAAGCAACATTAAAGGATAAATATGTAGCATTATTATTAATGGGCAGTTTAATGTTTTTATGTTATGATGTCATGAATATTTAATGAGGCAATCTTTATAGTCCTTTAACTTTAAAACTATTCGACCGATTGATCTCAAACTTCGTAAATATATAGACAGGGAAGTGTTATGAATGAAAATGTGTATGTCAAGGTCATGTGACCCTTACTTCCGGTCTTTACTGGAAGTGCAATTATTTAAGATAATATTTTCTATTTGGAAAGTTAATTAGACAATCAAAAACAAGTTGGGAACAGCTCTGTGGTTGTTCAGTTACAACCACATCTAGTTTAAAATATGTTTATGTATTTTACACAAAATGAAATATGTAATTGAATCATTGGTGCAGGATTGGCACCTGCGACTTATTTTGTTTCGAAAATGTGATGGGGAATATGTGACAGAATACCTATAATGTTTTGTTGTTCGTGTTGTATATGCCTTTGTTTCTTTAGTGCAAAATTAGGTATGTCAAGTGCTTTGCTGTCTGGAACAGTAGTGCAGTTGTTAATCTTAATTCGCTTTGCTTTTATTATATAAACATCTATTATATTAACTAAATTAATTTTTTTTTAAATTATAGAAAGGTAAGTTACTCTTCTAATGGCAAGTATAAACTGTAAATTACTATTTGGATTTGTACTATTATGTCGCTGTTAATGACACAAACTTTGTATGTAAACTTGTTTTAACGTACGTGAATGTACAACTCTCCTGGTGCGCACCTCATTTTGGGGGTCCATGAAATAAAGTCGAGTATTGGTTGCATAAAATAGTTATGCATAAAACAAATCGGCACACTTTTGGGCCAAAAATTTGTAGTTTTTTCGCAATGAATTTTGTTGGCAATGATTTTGTAATTTCCCGCATTATTATGGCCTCTTAAGGTGTTGCTGCAATAACAATGCAATGATTTTGCATTTTGTACAGGTAGGTAAACATTTTTGATTAGCTGAATTAGCTTAATGAGCTAATTAGGCCACTTATGAATTTGAAATTTTGAGAAAATAAAGATTTCATTAACCATGGCATCCTTAAACCGCCTTTGTCAAAGTTCTTTTATAGCTTGCAACATGAATAGACCGTATGCGTTAAGGCGCAGTTAGAGGGCAATAATTTTGTATTGCGTATATATAATTATAATTAGTTAACATGTTGTGTATTCATTGTTGCTAGATTTAAAAAAAAACAGCCTCTCATGAGACACCTGCAACGCGTAAGGGATATAGGGACGTCTCTATTGTCCGAAGTACCATTGGTCCGAAGTCCCATTGGTTCGAAGTCCCATTGGTCCGAAGTCCCATTGGTCCGACGGCCCATTGCTCTATACGTTCCATTGGTATAAACGTCCCATTGGTCTGAAGTCCCATTGGTCCGACGTCTCATTGGTCCGAAGTCCCATTGGTCCCTTCCATTGGTCCAACGCCCCCATAGGATTAGGGTTAGGGTTAGGGTTAGGGTTGGGGTCAGTCAACCTGAACAAGTGGAACTACACAGTATTATGTTTCGGGACCAATGGGACTTCGGACCAATGGGACTTCGGACCAATGGGATTTCGGACCAATGGGACTTCGGTACTTCGGACTATTGAGACGTAACCAAGGGAGAAAGGGAGTGGATGACTTGTGATGGACTGGTGAGGACTTCTGACGGACTCGACTATAACACTGGTAGAATCATGTAGGCCTACCTCCATGGTAGAATCATGCTAAAACACAGTCAAACTCACACGCCAAATGAACGACGCTCGATTTCAAGTTAAGAGGTACCGACTTGTCAGACGATCCATTTAGTAAGTGACATGCCTCACAAAGAAGTAGAAGCGCTTAAATCTCGCCTGTATGGGAAATGCTGGATTGGGTTGAAAGTGCACCTGTATCACCGGTCACCAAACACCTGTAAAAAGCCTCTACATATATTTTGGCTCTATGAAAGTGCGTTCGATCGAGTGCATGTAGGCCTACACAAAATGTGATATTTTCAAGTTGTCTCAAAATAAGTAACTAAAGATTGTAAGTTATCACTTTTCACCGATGGGAAAATGTAAAATATCGAGAGAAAGTTGGCGTGGGGATCAGGAGTTTGGGACTTCATTATATTATGCTATATGAAGTAGGATGGGCGCCGCTGAAACAAAATACTCACACATAGAAAAATGTTCGGTTTTCAAGGGATTTTCGGTGGAGTTGAGAATTATGATATTAACAAGATGAAATTGCCGTTTGACCAAGGATTATTGTCCATGATTTAAAACAACACCCTACAATGCGTGGGTATGGGCTCCGTTCAAAAGGCCATTTTTTGGGGCGCATGAATTTCACTGCTCTGTTATATAGCATTTAATTAGTATGTAATCGGATTAGCTTTCTTTAACAACCGGGACGCTTATGCCTTCGCAACCACATGGCTGAATAGACCCTGGTATAGACAGGAGACTGGGCTCCATAATTAATTGGATGATATACAAATAATTCATGTTTGTGAGTGCAATGGTAAGAATAATTTCATGAGGTGACAGATGAAATGTTCCATTCTACGAGGCGAAGCCGAGTGGAATGGAATTTTCATCTGTCATCGAATGAAATTCTTCTTTCCATTGCACGAACGTGAAACATTCATTATTTGTATTATATACTCGACCGTGAAGCGCGTGGTATAATAACATGCCGGTATAAACTTTATTATACAGCTCTATGCTTGATTCCTGCAACCTCGGCCCCATTATAATTATATGCGTGTGCGTCGCTTCCAATTAATACCGACTTGAATAATCTGCAACCCTGCGTGCATATGGAAATGGAGCTTGCTACCAACATTGGACGGAGCACTCCGATTGGCTAAAAATGAGGAGGATGTGAAGTTTAATATATATATTTACATGTGCACGGAGCCCATAACATAAAAAAACCACATTTCCAGTCGTTTTAGCCAAACACAAACATGTACATGCCGTTAGACGCGTGTTTCGGACAACTGGTATGTTGCAGGATCACTTCCGCGAACAGATGGAGACTGGATCCTTTCGCCGGCTACATGTCATGATTTAACAAAACAGATTCCGGACGGAACAGCCACAAACAATGGCAATTTCGTGGAAGAACATGTTTTAATTTTTTTTACAGCTAGGAAATGTAAACCTCTGCCACAGTGACTGGTGACCGTGTAAATGAAAACTACATGAACTTCCGTACAGGAAGCCTGCGTGCTTCGATGATCTGCACATTTTCCAGGATGACAACGGTACCATGAAGTATTATCCTCATCTTGACTAGATAATAACAAGTTGGGTTTCGCTTCGACGGGCAGTATTACAATTCCCAGCGCTGCAGCAAGATGCACGCACTTTCGTTGTTCTGCTCTGCTCTCATCTTGGCTGTGATGAGGCTGGGGTGCGATGCAGTCACGACCCTGCCGCCGACTCAAACTCCGCCGACAGTCCAGTCTACACCAGGCAAGTGTAGTATATATGTTTTTTTTATGCAGGTTACAATACAAAATATCTTTCCGGACGGCTATACAGTCATTTTTTGGCAGTGGTCGAAATATTGTACAACTTTTTTTTTTAATTGAAACACTACACTACTTTTTTACGGGTTCGAATCTCACCCAGGGCGACGATGATTTTGTGGATTCGACTCGCATCACCTGACTTTGTTTATGCCTGGAATATTCAGTACTGGTTTTTGCCCTTCAACGACGTTGTTTTTATTGATTTATTTTAGTTTATTGTGTATTTAACACTGTATACTCGGAGTTATCCTGAGTGATTGTGAGAGGGGAAAAAACACACAAACGGGACTAGAACCCACGCCCTTGCTGACGTGTAATACCAGTCAACCACTGAGCTTCTATGCTGGGACCTGGCTGGTTCGAATCTGATATAGCTAGGGGTACTGAACGTCCGCAACCAAACTATTCATGAGATGGAATACCCTGAATATTTCGGTTTTTTGTGCCGCCAAAGGTAATAGTGTGACGGCGAAGGCAGGGCGGGCAAACTATGATGTGGAACATTCCTCCATTTTTGTGTGTATATGTATTCCCAATAATTTCTAACAAAATTGGTTTACAGTTGAACTTTCATTAAAATATAAATATACAAATAAATATTAACAAATAGCCTAATGTTCAATTTTTGGCGATTCGTAACTTTAACGAATATAGCACAAAACGGAGCATCGGTTTAATCAGTTGCCTTCTACTATAATTAACGTTCGACTATATTTTATTGTTATTTGCAAATGAAATTGATCGACAGCTTCATAATTTTTGTACTATTAATATTTCATAAAACACTAATGGTAATACCTGCATGCGTATAATTGTATATGCGCCATTTACGCGCCACTTTCCGGGATGTAGGACAATGATTAGGCCTACTCATGTTTGGAAAACACAACATTACGGCAAACGCACAATACGGCAAACGCACGATGTGCGCGTTTTACTGAAAAAGTGGTCTCCATGAGGCCGAGGGCTCCTTTAGTATGAACTTGACTGTTCATTTTGCTCATGATTTATGATTGAAACAAATTATTCATTTATTGAACTAAAATCACATGTAATTAATACAGTAAAACGTCACAATATGACTCGCACATCTGTATGTAACGGGGTTGATATAGCTCTATGATATTTTATTCCAAATGTACAACACGCGACACACTAGGTCAGGGCACCAAATGCGAGATGCAAGATGATCCTCTGTACATACCGGTGAGAAGAAAAACCGCTGAGAATTATTGTACTAAAAAAGAAAGAAAAGAAACCAAGAAGTTTAATATGGACCATATCCGGTGATCGGGTTGTGGAGAAGAATGGAGCAGGCCGCGCTCGGCCGGCCGGGCGCATGCAGTGGAAGTCCATTCAGCTATTATCATGCACGGAGGGTTTGCGCGGCGGATGTGTCACGTACCAATTTAACACGTGCTGCTCACATAATGAATTTTGCACGTCTACATAGCGATGGCGATAATTGCTGAATGCCCTTTAGTTTTTCCAGTCGTAGTTTTCGTTGAAGTTCGCTATTAATAGCCGTTTTTCACGTTCAGGTCATATTTATTAAGCCTTAGTGTAGCCCATAGAGCTGTATATTTAATTGTACAGCTCTATGGTGTGGCACCACTTTACCCATACTTCACGAGTGGGCCTACAATTTACGGGCAGATGCGAGTTCCGTCAAAACACAATGAAACATATTGTGTAGCATTTAACTCTGTCCTCTATTTCTACTAATTTCATACAGAGTATGTTGAGCCTATCATTGTGACAAATTGCCCAGTGGATGGTTCCAGCTTGAAGATTCCATTCATCCGACAAACGCCAGGCGACGGATTGGGGATAAGTCTTACAGCCGAGGGACCGACGACACGGGTCACACGAGTACCTGGCGATGATGAGAATTTCGATGTCGGTGTCACTCCAGTTGTGTACACATTTACTGACGAGTCCAATCCAACGAACACTGCAACATGCACTTTCAATGTCACCATAATTCCACGTGAGTATAGACCGCTTGCAGACGCGTTTGATAATCGACGCGCGAAGGCGCGCGACGCCATGTTGTGGGACAGGCGTATATCTATCCACGCACATTTTGTCCCATAACATGGCGTCGCTCACCTTAGCGCGTCAATTATCGAACGCGTCTGCAAGCGGTCTATATGGTAGATCAACTTCACTTGTGTTAAAAAGGGAATATTTGAAATCATAACAAAGATCGCATGCTGGGACAGTTTTAATTTTTGGCTATTTACTATAGGTTTCACATGTAAATGTGACACCAAATGGTGTCTCCATTACGCAATCATGCATAAGTGTTATTTTTAGTCTAATCAAGTTATTTTCACAATATTGATGCGTTATCCTAGCTGGGTAAGACAAAAATGCATTTTGAAATAAAACACACCACATTGAGCATGAATTATCACAAAAATAGCAGAACATTTATTTGGTGTCCCCTCTTTACACATGAAATGGTGAATGGGTTTTGACATTATTTTGGCATTTCTGGAGAAAAACAATGTTTGATTTTGGCTACAAAATTGAATTAGTAATGTCATGAAATATCTTATAAGTTATACTGAAAATATTAAACCCTGTCAATCAATTCTTCCATTTTGGGGTCAAAGTGTCACAAGTTGGCACCCTAATCTACGGAATAAGCTGTGTTGAAGGAGTTTCCCCCCCCCCCCCCAAATATCTTGGCAATGCCAAATCCTATGCTCGCGTGAATTCACACTAAAGCTTCATTTAAGTAAGTACTTAGCATAAGTTGTGTAATGGATTTTTTAAAGAGGATATATTTCTAGTGTTTCTACGAGACTCGGAAGCGTGGCGTTGTTATTGACGCGACGTTTACAAGTTTAACGTCTTCCCAGTTCAGTCATGTTTGATTACCTGTGGAAATACCTATTTTGATCACTTTAGGTTAAAATGTTAAAAATTAGTGACGGGAATAAGGGCTTTTATTGGCAATGCAGCTCTTTGATTGGTGGGCAGTCCTGGTTGAATTAGTTGTATTTGAATATTTCTGATATAAACTGATTTTAGAACTTGCCATATCTGTGTTCAAATTTTGAGACTGTATGCTCATTCTTTGAAAGACATGAGTAGGGGGAGGGGAGGGGAGGGGACGGAAGGAGTACAAATTCAATGTAATGTTTTGAATTTGGGCGACCCCCCCCCCCCCCCCCGTATACGCCAATAGTGCTGTCATGTATACTGTGCCCTTTTCAGGTGATTTGGTTCTGTGCATTGTACATTTGAACGAACCAATAAAATGGCTTTCTGAAAACCCTGATAGGGCTGATATTCATCTCCGAGTCACTAGTATCACCTGTTATACACCTGTTCAAATGACAGGGCGAGATTTTGCAAGATTTTTCGGTCTGGATTTTTCCTGATTTCAGGATTTTGAATGAATCCCGTTGTAAATCTGAAGTTCAGAAATCTTTCCGTAAATGTGTTCTTACCTATGAAAATGTAAAAGAAGGGGGCATTATAAGGGGGTGCCTTCAGGCAAATTTAAACATATACCACAGACCCTACGTTGCTCTGGGGCTCTTGGCGACCCGCAAACCCTGTGCCGATTATTTCAGGATATTTTCATTTTCCCCGAATCTCAGCCCTGAATGAGCATCAACCATCTTATCCCCTCATCATTCAATGCTTTTGCCTATTAATCTCTCCCGTCCAACATACAGAATGTGGCAGTTCTGGTCAGACCTTGTGCTTCGGTAGATCACTAAGTGCTGGCGATGTTTGTGTAGCAACGATGACTCTTTGCGACTCTCCAAATGGAGCGGGCTACTTAGAAAATCCTGACTACTCTGGTGACAGTTGCAGAGGTAGGACTGGACTGGATTTACGGGGGGAGGCCTTTAGACTTGTGGAAGATAATGAAATTTTGTGAGAGGAAGGCGACTTGGCTAGGTGTGAAAACAAAACCAGTAACAGACAGTGTAGTGGTCGAGTCTCCAACGTCGAGTCGGAGTCTCGAGTCACAAGCCTCGAGTCCGAGTCTCGAGTCACAAGCCTCGAGTCTGAGTTCGAGTCCGAGTCACGAGTCACTTGTTCTTAGTTGTTCACCAAACTAATCAAAATATTTTAAATAATTTCTAAGGAAAAACCTAGTGTAAACAGTGTACCTTGTATGTGTACATGTTGTTTAGACCCAAAATGTGTTTTCCTTTTAATTCTCATCCCTAAAAAACCTCTTCCGTGATACCGGACACTTTGTAGCATGAAACCGGGGCCTGATGCCCTTCATGCAGGCGCTAGGTGTGCGTGCGCGGCCCCTGGATACGATTTTCCGCGGTGCCGTGTTTTGTCTAATGAGTTAAAAAGAATGCTACGTTCGTCGCACAAATACATAACGTTATGTTTTTTCTTTTAATGAAAAAAACGTGACTCGAGTCACGAGTCACGCGTCACCTAGCCTTTCACCAAGGCCATCGTGCTTAACTTGCCCACATTCAAAGCAGCGAAAACGCGAAGCGACTGGAGATGAAGACCGCACATGCGAGTGGCAAAGCCACGAGGGCCTTTTGCAACTTGTCAAGAAATTCTTATGTTTTTCTTTATAATCTCGATTTTTGCTACCCCAAAAGGGTAGCAAAATTCCAACCAATCACCAGCCTTTTCGTGCGTGCGTGGCTACTACCCGGACGCGCGCGTCGACGCGCCCGGATGCTTGCACAAAATTTAAAAACAAAAAATACGAATCTAGTTTTCCACGAGATCATGACCGCGTAATTGTTCTTGCATTGTTTTATTTTAACTTTACTTATAAAGGTATTTCAAGAAATTATTTGAGGGTATGAACTTATTTTTCATCTGAACTTACAGTAATTTGCTCTTACGTTTTCCTTACTCACCCTTCTTTAAAAATGGAAGCGACTAGGCAAAATCCGCGTTGTGATTGGTTAACCTTCAGCACGCTTCTTATTAGCATAAAAACTATGAATAATTCAACAAAATCAAGTTGCAAAAGGCCTCGTGGCGTTGCCACTCGTGCATGCTGACTTAATCTTTGCTCAAGTCGCTTCGGATCTTCGCAACTCCGCCGCTCTAAGCCACGATGGCCTGGGCGAAAGGCTACGCGTCACCAAGCTCGAGTCCGAGTCATCATGGTCGAGCGCGAGTCTTTGTCCAATGTGACTCGATCGAGTCGAGTCCGCGTCACGAAAAATGTGACTTGAGTCCAACTCGAGTCCGAGTCCTGGACTCGAGTCCTTCAACACTGGTGAATATGCAACTTTTCCTCGGATGCGCTGATTTAATTGATTTTTTTTTACTCCTCATGACTGCCAACACAAATTGAAAAACACTGTGCAAAGTCTTGTGGTTTGTAATTTCCTCGTTTTTTCCTAAATTCCCAGTTGCATGCCTGACAGTAACAAACAAGTTGGAATTCATGAGTTTTTAAATATTCCAAGAAGCATTCTCTTCAAAAGTCATGTTCAGCGGGCCCATTCCCTTACCTCAGACTTGGGGTGGGGGATGTGCTGGAGGGGGGTGATGTGGGGGGGGGGGGGGACAGTTTCCAGAATGGATTCTGGTTGGAAACTTTGGATATGACTTGTCATGGACTTTACAAAGCTATTGCTGAAGGTTTTTTTTTCAATTTTACTTTCCAAATTACATTTGTAACTATTTTATCGGAGAAAGTTGCTAGCCATTTTTGCTTCTTTTCATTTAATTTCAAAACATTTATTTTGTCTTAATGGCAATAACTGCCCCAAACCAGTGGCACTGTATTGTTGAATGGATTCATCAAGGAGTAACAAAGGTAGTTCATGTGGTTATGGAGTAATATGATACGCCTGTCAATTGTTTCTCACACCGCTCCCATCCCCCCGGGCTGCCCCACCCAAGATGTGGGGATTGTCACTTTTGAAGTGACAAACTCCCTACCCCTCGGGCAAAATTGAAGTGACAATCCCCGACCATGCCCTGACATGCATACGTGGGGCGCACTAGTGATTGCCTTTCCCTGTAGTATACCAATGGTAACAATGTAATTTGAATGACCGAAATCCCCACCCTGGGGCATATAGAAGTTACCATATCCCGAACGTTTGATAGGCGCGTAAGGAATATAAATGCCAATACAGAACTTTTACAAGCATATAGCTTGTATACGAGGCATGATGCAGTTACAAAGGGAAACAAGTCAGGTGTGTTTACAAACACAAATGCCCCGCAACCGTGACTGTTCCCATGACATAACACACTCTTTTAACATCAACTTATGTACCTTGGTCACATGGAATGTTCATTGACAGCATAGTGTTTTCTGTAGGTTTTATATGAAATAATCTCTAATCGTTATGATCTCAGAATAAATACAAGATTTCTATTGTTTTAGCCACTGTGACCTTGACCCTTGACCTTTCGACCCCCAATGTGATAGGCCTATTTGGATTACCAAGAACGATCCACAAGCCAAATTTGAAGTTCACATGTAAAGTATTTCTCAAGTTATCGCGCTGAAAAAATTCTTTTGTTTTAGCCACTGTGACCTTGACCCTTGACCTTTTGGCCCCAAATGCAATAGGCTTCTTAGGATAACAATCCACAAACCAAATTTGAAGTTCATATGTAAAGTATTTTTCAAGTTATCGTGATGACAAAATTTCTTTTGTTTTAGTCACTGTGACCTTGACCTTTCGGCCCCAAATACAATAGGTTTCTTAGGATTTCCAAGAACAATACACAAACCAAATTTGAAGTTCATATGTGTGCGTGTTCAATAGTTGCACAATAAAAGCAGTTCGACCGAGGACTAACACAAGGCATACCATATTTCTGAGGACTTCCATGCGATCAACCTTGCGAAGACAAACGTAAGCACTATGCAAACAATTATTATTTTAAAGGATTAAAAGTATGTCTAGTAAATGAATAACAGTTTTCATGGTTTTACTAACTGTTTCAGAAGTACACATTGGAAATTCAATAACGCGTACACCGACAAATAGCCACGTTCACCGAAATCCCAATATCACCACACTCAAAACTTTGTCAAAATGGTAGAGGTTAAGTTCCGGTGTGTTTTTGGATTCGTGCCAACTTGTCAGCATGTTTCAATCTTGCGGAACGGCTGGTCTCTGTGTTGTGTATTTATGGTGGGGATAGTATTGCCTTTTAAATTCCATATCAACACTAAAATGTTTTCAAGAACATATTATCATCTTAATTTCCACGAATTGAAGTGTTTGAAACCATTTGGATTGCAATTAATTTCTTTAAATTAAATTCAGACTGTTTCATCATCTTTTAAAAGCACAAACATTTCTTTTAGCATCTTGTCAGTTCTTTTAACTTGTTTAAAAAGTCAAGTTATCCTTTATTGCATGCTTAAACATGGCTTTTGTATGCATTTCATGGCCCAGTGAGATTTCCTTTTAACTGGTGGGGCTACCCTTGTAAATAAAATGAATCAAATAAATGAATACAAAATAAACACTGCTCAAATTTAATGAAACTCTCGCAACTTTATTTAAAAAAAGAATCCTTTTTAACACCGTCCAATTCTTACATCCAATGGAAATTGCCTAGAGTCATGTCTGCCTATCGTACCAATTCACACTTTCCAAGTACGAACCCTTCACGACTTTGAGAAAGTGACCAACGCATTATGAGAAGCTGACCATGTCTTTCATAGTACGGCAGATTTGTGATGGAATTGTTCACTTTTATGATAAAGACATGGAATTTGGCACCCAGTCAGAGTACATCTATTTCATGGGAGAGATATTTGGCTACAGAGCCATGCAGATTTGTACTTTGAAAAAAATATATATATAGGATAACAAGCAATTTTCAAAATGGCTACCTTTGCTTTTTATTCTAGCTATATTTTTTCAAAGGACAAATATGCGATGGCTCTATAGCCAAATATCTCTCCCATGATACTCTGACTGTGTGCCAAGTTTCACGCCTTCACCATAAAAGTGAACAATTTCCATTAAATTGAGAATTGATCTCCCTGACTATCATGCAAACATTACACATGTACTGGTAGTCCAAAGCAATCATATTACAGACTCGTGAACCATATAAAAGCAAACGAATCATTTGCCATGTTAATTTAAAAAAAAGAAAAAAAGAGGCTACTGTATATAATATAGATACGTCATGTTGTGGCAAGATGACAGCATTTTGGCAAGGAAAAAAAAATAGATTTGCCAATATTTCAGTGCTACAAATATTCACCACCAGTTCAAATAACTAAATATTGCACATAAAATAGTCTTCAAGACTGCAGCCTCCTGAGTCATGCATGAATTGTGACAGTGTTCATTAAATATTTTCAGTGACTACGAGTACTGCTTAAGTCTGAGCAAATTAGAATAATAACGAAAAATTGCAGGGCAATTACATAAAGGTGTGTTTGTTGGAATGAAATTTGCCCTGCCTTACAACTGGCATTAACATTCAATTGTTAAATCATTTTCAAATACATTGCAATAGAGACGGCATCATTCCCTTTGGCAATTAACTTGTCAAAATACATCCCCAACATCTACATGTAACTGATCAGAGCCAACTTACATACATGTAGAGGTATTTAAAAGGTTATTCAATTGTCAACCCGGATTATATTTATTTTTCTCAGGATGTGCTCGCTCGAACTGCCAGCATTAAAAGCTGCTGTTTGAATATCAACAATTAAATGCCATCGACGTCATATAGCAATGTAAAACACAAATACATTACATTAAAGTACATGTATCTATCCACAAAACTGCTGTATTCCCTAGGCTGTGTCAATTTTGGCACAATGGATTACCACAAAAAAGTACTCAAATGTTTCTGCTATAAAGTGAACTCTTGCTGAGGACCAGCCAAATCTAAGGCTCACAAAATGATGTTTTACATTGAAGACATTTCCAACACAAACTTCTTCCATGTTAAGCCGTGTTAAATCATCCAAGTGTACAAATTCAAGCAACTTTACTTTATAATCAGTGAGGAGCATAATTCCTTTAGTGTACTTGCCACAATGAAGTTTCCCCCAACATCTTACAGATCAGAGCCCTGTTGCCTAGAGTTTTTAAATGGTTAGTTGGAGTTGTTTACATGGACAGGACCCACACTGGAGATTGCTATCTTATGATCTAAACTTTAGATCAGCTGATCAGATGCACATTGTTTCAAATCGAAATATGCTAACTGGGAAATCGGTGTTGTGGTTTGTGTTCTAAAGACGCCAGGACTCAAGTGTAGCATTCACTGAGAGACGTTTATTAACAGCCCGTAATAACATCATAGAATACGGATACGGTGGCCGCGTAATGCCACTCCATAACATCCCCTTCCTTAAGATAAGGAACAGTCTTTTGTTGTTGCTGAACTTTCACTTGAGACTGAGTGTAAACTGTGGTCTGTTGCAGTGGTAATCAAGAACGCTAAACTTTTGCGAATAACTCAGCAAACATTATGAACGCTTTAACACTAGAACGTATTTGGAACAGCTCTAAACCTTTAACACTACTTAGTAATAAGGTTAGTTTAAGAACAACTTAAGTAAAAGCAACTTTAACCAATAAACTGCATGCAAGCATAGTCTATGCCACTCCAGAACAGTTTGTGTCAACTAATTCAATTTAGAACTTGCAATGTTTCCCCAGGTGTACCCGATTAGTATGCTTTTATCCTCAAATTGTTGCCAATTTAACTGTCAGCATTAAAATATGCTGCTAAAACATCAACAATTAATAATCAACAATTAATAATCAACAACTTCAACTGTCTAAATGTACGCCTTTCTTAATATTTATGCAGACAACATACTTTAAGGGCCAAATAGAGACTATGAGCGGAACATTTTTACGATATCGGTGAAAAACTGCACTGGTCTAAAGTGTGCTGCAAAAAGTTGATTTCTCCACCAGATATCAGTTTCCATGGCAAAGACCACACGAGACAAAGGACCCCTGTTTAAGGTAGATTATAGTTTTACGGACAAATAACTATAGGATTACGACCACCGTATGCAGTCGGCAGTACAGCGGCATGGCACACAGATGTGCTTGAAAGATTGAACCAAATATCTTCACTTGATCAGTGCGCCGCACAAGTTCACGACGACACACGAAACAGCTTTGCGTCTTCACTTCAGGCTCATCTGGATGATGCTGCTTCAGATGCCGAGGCAACTTAGGAGTTGGTTCCACACAAAAATGCTTCTTGTCCCACTTTCTACCATCACAATTGTTGGTGGTTAAGACAGTAACATTAGGTAGTGATGAGGTGCTTGTGATACGGGCATCTTGCAGCTGATTGCTTGTCTCCTCATCCTCAGGACTTGTCCCGCTACATGTACTTGAACCATCCTCTGACTGAACATCACCTGGCACCGGACCAATCCCCTCAGAATTGTTGATGGCCTTGCTGTAATTGGTTGCATGCAGTCTGCAGTGCAGTGGCATGGCACACAGCTATGCATAGCTTGTTTGGGAAATCCCAGTGCCTATGCTCATTGGGAATTCAACAAAGAGGAAGGGCTACCTCTAGTTTTTGTCCAGCTGTCTGAGCATGGTAGAGGCCTTGTGATTCAGAATCAGCACAGCCAACAAAATCACATTATTTTCAGTTTTGTTCTATTTTGCTTCATAAATCATTCACAAAGCAAAGGACTGAACAGAACAAAACGGGGGGGGGGGGAACCTGAAGATTTCTTTGGCTGTCTTGATGCCAAAAAGTATGGCCTCCGCCATGCTCTGACTGCTGGACAAAAACTAGATGTGCCTCCAGCTGTATTTGTCAAATACCCACCCACGGAAGGACAAGGCGGAAACAGTATGCCCCTTCGGCTTCGCCGCGGGGCATAAAAATGGAAAATCTATATTTACAAGGTCTGCCATTTATCAATCCTCAGCACTTGGCATTTCCTCTTCTCTTTGAATCTTCATAAATAGATAAGATTTGTGGACGTGGGGATGCGAACCTTCTGCGTTCCTGCACAGACTCCCACGAGTGGGACAATGCCATGGCAACGGATTACCCAGAAGGAGCTATCAGTTTCATTTCTAGATTTGCTGTGCCAGCGATCAGTCAGGATTCAATTCATCTAACTGCGGTGAGTTTCTTTCTATTTCACTTTGATCTAGACTATCATCATCATCTTGATGACATCTGTGCGCGTGCGGTGCACAGGCGTTGCTCAGTGACTACAATCATAACGTGTTAATTGTTCTTTTCCACTGTTCTGCATTTTCAGTGGTTTGGTGTAGCTGGTTCGAGCCAATACCAGCCATCCTCAGGTCATCAGTAAGTTGTTGTTGGTCAGGTTCGCGTAAGTGCGCCACCACTACGGTACGGTTCTGTAGGTTGATTATTTTTGTCCAGGAGCAATGAGAGTGGTACACCTTTGCTGGGTTGCATGTCCAGTCAGTTGAAGCCGCTGTTTGTGCAGTGTTGTTGATGCTGGTGGGACCTTACTTCAGCGATTAAGTTTAACAACATTTGTGACGCGCTCAGGGTATCTGACATTCAGTGCGTGACGCAGCAGAGCTCGATGTGACGCGTCGATGGTTTCTCTAGACTATAAGGGCCGTTGGAATGACTTCCAGAAAAGAAATAACCCCTCCCCCTCCCCCCCCCCCCCAAATGTTTATTTTTGACAAATAATTTATAATAATGAATCAAGTACATATAAATCATGTCTGCTCTGAAAGCCTACTTATTACACATTTTTACACATTTACTAACAATGAGCAGATTCCGTGATCTCCAAGAAAAGTTCTTTGACTTTGGGCAAGCTGTTGATGGCTCAGAGATGAAACTTTTCAGATTTTAATAAAAAAAAAACCCTGACTTAACCCTAAAAGGGCTGGGGTGGGGATATTTCCAACACAAAGCAGAATTACCATTCGTTCATATGAATAATTAATTAGCCATAATTCCGAAACCCTTTTACCTAAGGTCATGACATTTCTTGGGTATGTTCATGATAAGTTGTTCTTTGCATGTACCAGGTTTCATAATTGTTCAGCACTTAATGGCCGAGATTTAAAGGGTTGGAATTCCCCCCCCCCAGCTGTGCGATGGTCAAAATAACCTGGCCCTTTTAGGGTTAAAGTGATGACAAATTTGACGTTGTTTATGTCCAACAGGTACGTGTATCATGGGGCCAGTTTGATGAGTTGTATTCACCGGAAATAACTAGCAATAAACGGGGTGCCTTGATCTTTGTGAACATATCCACACCCGTCCAAAACTCTGTAGAAACTTTTTGGGTAAGTTTTAACCATTTGTTTTAATCAACTGTATCTTTCATGCATGTAATATCGGCCAGAAGAAATGTGTTTCCTGATTTTCACAAAAAAGGGGGAAAAAATGTTTAGAAAAAAAAATAATGAACTTGATTAAGCACCATCGATATATCGCTATTACTCAATTATTCGATTATTCGATATTATTTTTACATCAATATTGCCGATAGAATTTTGTAATCATATTGAAATATCAAACATTTTGTTATTAAGATATGATATAGAAAATATATGAAATGTGTCAGATTATCGTCAAAATAAATCTATGTTTTAATGTTTGCTGTATAATGAAAAAAAAGTCGGCGGCAACTTGTGCTTGTGACTGGAAATAGATACATCGGGAAATGCAATGCTATGTGCTCTGCTTTCACTGGGATTCGTGGTCTCCCCAATGTAAAACCTCAAAAGAAACTGCCCGTTCTCAATTCTCAGTGCTGAGATTTGTTTAAAAGTTTGAGCAATATGCTCAAGATAAACACATTGTAAATTTTTTTTTTTTGCTTGAAGAAGTTCGATTTTCTATAATTTTTTCCGCATAACTTTTACATGGGATAAGCGATAGGCCTATACTGGATATTCTTGATATTGGATTTGCGATATATCGATAATTGAACATTCTGATATCGACAGTTCTTTTAGATTTATTTTACATCGGCCCAATCGACTACTTGTATGAACAGTAGATATTGTAACACCTCACCCACAGATTCCATATTTTGAATTGGCCGAGAGCGAGGCAGTCAGTCGCTAAACTTTGACTTTCTTGCTGTGCACGGCCAAAAAGACTATTCAACGTCCGAGTCAGTACTGTAGGCCATATCAATCTAGCATATCAACCAACGTAGCAATCAGTATATATGCATGTGTCCACGATATATCTCAGTGCACATATTATTCCCATGCTCTACAGAGTTGGGTTCAAACATTTCATGAATGGGTAGTTTAGAAAAGTGCAAGTAAAGTTTCAACTAATTTCATATTGAAATGGATAAGTAAGTTTCAGTTGGATTTTTGGTTAAATTAATCAACTATCTCTTAAAATTGAGTTGAGAATTGAGAATCTGAGTTGATTCGTTAAAACAAATATTTGACCGTCTCTTTTTTTAAAAACTGATTTCATATTGAAATAGAAGTACATTTTAATCGGATTTTGGTCAAATGCATCAGTTATCTCTGAAAATTAAGCAGAATCTGTTGGTGAGGTGTTATCAAACAAATATTGACTGAATTAACTCATGGTGTAGTAAAACAGGCCTCCCTCAGTGATCCAGGAAGTACGTATTCCATTTCACTCGGCTATACGCCTCGGGAAAATAGAATGATATAGTCTCGTGGAAGGCTTGTTTTACTACACCACTCGAAGCAGTCATTATTCTTTGGGGGCAAACTGTTCTTAGAGCATCTGGGGTCAGCTAACAATGGTACCCAACAAGTTATGGAAGTTCTAGTTGGAGAAGGGAACTATAGTAGGAGAGAAAAGCCATTTTAGTTGCTTTTGAGCACAGACAGATACATCCTGCATGTACAGTAGACTGGTTCTCAGTTCCTACTTTGTCAGCCAAAGTAAACCTGCACAAAGCAAACATTGTTCAGTGGCAAATAACTCATAGGTTGTAAAATTAACATTCCATAACAATTAAAATGAGGGATTTTGGGGCCGATATCAAATTGGAACACGAATAACAAAATGTATTTCTAGAAAATTGCCCCCCCCCCCAAAAAAGTACTTCTTCACGGTAAAACTAAAAACAAATGGCACACATAGCACATCTTTTTATCAATTTTGGCAGGTCTACCCCAGACTGACTACTCCAGAAACGGCAGAAGTCACACTGCAAGTCCCACTTCCCGTCCGGCAGGGAGATAATGTCGCGATAACGGTGGCTTACGCGGAGCACAGATCAAACCAGTGTTTAGATCCTCTGCCCATTCAGAGCACGTGCACTGACTGTCTGTCTGTTCAGTATAGAACCCCCGCTGCTGATTGCAAGGTGTCGGACACTTGTCACCAAGAATACCTGTCATGGAAAGGAGACGACCCTTGCGTGATTGTAAACCATGACACAGCCATAGAAGAAATCGTTAGACCTTGCTTGCGTAAGTCCTGTAAATTTATCATTTCATGGTCCTCGACAATTTTGATTAATAGAAAGCCCATTCCAAGCAAAAATTAAAACCTTCAAATCATTTTCAAATCAAGAACAAGTTTGGCGAGGCAAAAATAAATGATTTCTTTGCACACTTGAAAACTTTTATGAAGAAAGTCTGAGATTCTCAACTTTTAAATGTGTATAGTAATACATGTACAAAAAAATATCCTTACAAATTGATGTGTATCTGTATCTGCATGGTTACGTTGCAGAAACCTATTCAGGCATTATCACAACGGAGTATAGGCACTCAAGGCACTGGAAGTTATGTCTATTATTAGATGAATGAAGTACATGAGAAATATGAGACCCATTATGTAGCACCTTTTAAGGGTTTATAAGGTGCTGCGGCCACTGCCAGGACACCGGGGCGAACCCCTTCTCTTAGTGACAAGTGTTACTGGGTTCTTTAACGTGCATTATACAACACACGGGACCTACGGCTTTACGTCCCATCCGAAGGACGAAGCAAGAATGGTTAAGTGTCTTGCTTAAGGGCACAAGTGTCCGCACGCGGGCTTGAACCCACGTCACTGTTGCCTCTAGCACCAGAACATGAGTCCGGTACTCTTAACCGCTAGGCCATGACACTGATTGATTATAATTGATGTCTTAAATATCCATTTCAATTCAATTCAATTCAAGAAACATTTATTTCAACTAGTTTTCTCCAACGCTGGTCGGCTGACCAGCGTTGGAAAATTACAAATTTTCTTGACAATGTCAGCACACCAGGAGACACAATTTCACAATCCAGTTAGGTATTTCGTGATAATTTGATCATTTTGTTTTTTGATGTTTGCAAATGTTGTATCTTCCCTTTAAGTAATATTTGATTTTTAAATGGACTGGCAACCATTTTTTTTTTATTAAAAAAAAATTGAGCCTGTTTTGGTCACTGCTGAATCAGCCCACTTTGTTCTCTCTTCAGCCCTGGCCGAATTCCAATTTGTCAGTCCAAACCAGACAGCGGCTGAAGGAGAGTCAGTGTCCCTGTTCTGCTTGGGAACCGGCCTTGTTCAACCGGTAGTCGAGTGGTATGACGTTAGTGATATCGTTCAGGTCAGGGGAAATGGTTCCGCAGTACTTGAGGTTGTCGTAGACTCCACACCACAAAGGTAAAGTTGCAATGCTCCCTGTAGCTTGTTAGAAATCTTTCATGTATTTTATTGTAAATAAAATGCGTTCAGTCTTCTCATATTTTTAACACTTCTATCATTTATTTGCTCTCCCTAAAAAAACTTTCATGTGTCAGTTTTACCAAACAAAAAGTTCAAAAAATGGATTGAAAATACATCCAAAAAACATTCAGTTTAGACGGTGACATAAAGTGCAAGGGAAAAAAAGTTTATTTGTTTTTTTAGGGCAATCAATTTATGAGTCATCACATGCAGCTTCAGTAAACTTATACGCAGTAGAATATCATTACGGCAGCCGTAACGCGATTTTCAAATGCTATCGTCATGGAATATATACCAGTCAGGCGCGGTTCTAGAACCAATATTTTTGGGGGGGCTAGCACGGTGGATCCAGAATTTTTTTTTTCAAGCAGACCCTGTGGCATCTCTGTGTTGCAATGCCGTAACGATAACAGTGGAAAATTGCATAACGACTGCCATAATGATAGCCACTACGTAACATATAATGCAAAGCAGGTTTGTATTTTTCAGACAAATTGAAGAAATGGTCAGAAAATTTGAATTTTTTTCCTCATTTTTTTCTCCTGCGTTTTATAAGTTTCTGCACAACCACAAATTGTGGACTGCTGTTGTTTTTTGGGTAACCCTCTATTTTTTACGAGTTCTGTTCAAAACTGACTTTTGCAGATGACTGTCCAGTACCAAAGTGACTTTTGCAGGCTAAAGCGGTCTTTTTTTCTTCATATAAACTCATGTTAGTTGTAATTTTGAAAGCACTTTTACGGAAAATGTGACTTTCCTACCTTTTTGCAGCCAGGTGCATGTTGTAGTTCTCACAACACGAGTGAAAGCCCTACATAATGAAAGCTTGATGCTGATTGGCTGCTAAAAAAATTAATTAGATGTTTATTTTTTTATCAGCCAATCAGCATCAAGCTTTCATTGCATCGAGCTTTCATGTTTGCCATCTTGGTTTAATTTGAGTCAGTTTTCTGGTTGTCACTGTCGTCTTTTACCCCTTAATTTCCCTCATAAATCAAAGCCCTGCCCTCTTTCCACAAAATTAAACCTGCTGATATTCAAGAAGGTGTCATTGCCAATTGTTCATGGGTGTGTCAAGAAATACCAGAATGTCAATTTTGAGTGTCATTTAGTCAACTGTTTTGGTGAGTCTTTCCCTTCCTGTAGAGGAACGGGGTCCTAAAAGTAAGGATTACCGTTTTTTTTCCTGAAAGTCGTTTAACACCTTTCGGTGTCTTGCCTTCTTACTGAGTGTACTATCGAAAATCAAAAATTAATGTCATCGTCTTACATACCTTCTTTTTACCTATACAGCTTTCAATGTTTCCTTGATCGTTACACTGCGGGAGCTGTCACGCATGAGACTGTGACAACTGTTTCTTCAATCTGTAAGTATATTTCTCCTTTTTTTTGCCGGTCCTAGATGTTAAGCCTAGTGTCCTCTTTGTAGAAGCACTGACTAACTCTACCACTTGTGACTTGGACCGGTTACCCATTTCACTGCCAGACTTTCACTTGTGTCTTTAAAAGCATAACCTAAGCTTGCTCTATGGTCTTACACTGGTCTGGGAGCAGTTTTGGGTCCATTTCATTGCTCTAAGGCCACAAAAAAAAAGTCTCCGGTTTCTGGTATGCGCGCGCGTCGCCGTAGCCATGCGCGTCGGCAATATGAAAAAGTTTTTTTTCAATACAAGATGATGTTTCAAAACCGCCAAACTCACTGGTTTGACTGGAATTCTGCTGCTGCACAATTTTAACGTGTTTTTAGATGGGGTTATGATCGAGAATAAGATTTATGTGGCCTCTCTGGACTCCCATATATTTGCACAAAGTTTAGTCGGGCACCATTTGCAGTCATCAGCCGACATTTGAAGCCAAAAAAAAAAAAAAACAGGTAAAAAAAAAAAAAAAGCCGCGTCGCCGCACCACTTTTGGGGCAAGCTCCATACCAGAAACCGGAAACTTTTTTTGTGGCCTAATGGTGGAAGCGATATGGAATTTTATCAAACATCAAGTGCAGTAGTCTGGTGCCGCTTGTTTCTTGTACATTCATGATACATGCGTTGGCCACAATTCAACTGTCCATGTGTACGGCGAAAGTGGAGGTTTTATTTCCATCACAAACTACTCCAGCTTATTCATCAAACTGTTTTTGGAGCCATTCTTGTGTGCTTTAGTTGCAACCAGATTTACTATATGCTTGCCCTAGGGGTCAATTTAGGGTGCGTTGGACACTCAAGTCAAGAATTGCTTTAAGTCGGTATCTCAAAACAAAACAAAATGAAAAAAAATTCACAAGAAGTTAGTTTACATCTTTCCAGAAGTGAGACAACCTACTTAAACATGCATTCCAATTTAGTGTCGCATAATAATGTGCACACACTGTGTACAGCACGCGTATTATAAGTACATGTGTGAGTACATGTGCAGAGCATGTACTACCAGTGTTCTCCAACTTTGAAAATTAAAGGTTGGCGCTGGGGTCGGCGGGGACTCCTGCGAGTGCGAAGTGCGAAGCCCTTACGGCCTTAAGCGGGCCCCGGGAAAATTTTGGATTCTAGATGCTCTGTGGTGCAATCTGAGGCGATTCTCCAGGCCAGTTCCCCTGATTTTTTTAGCATTCAAAAATTTCCTTTTCAACCTAAAGCAGACTTCTCTCAGATCAAATGACACCTTTTTGTAATTTTGAAAAACAAAATGGGATACAAATTCCTTTTTTTTAAACGCGATTTTATGGGTGGTGCCGGTGCCGTGCGATCGTCATCTTTATTTTCATGTTGCGTTTTGTCGTTGTCATCGTCATTTTCCCCCAAATTTCCCTCTTTTTATGACCTACCTGTATGTTCTTAAATGTCGCCAACTAGTTTGGTAAGTCAAATAAATTAAAAGTGGATTTTGTTCTCTTAGGGAACCGGGCCCATACACGATAGCCATTTATAACTTTTGACAATCGGCATGATCGGAGCACCATGTGCACGCGTGTTTTGGCCTCGAGCTCGTTTGCCTCGTACAAAAACATCAATGCGCATTATATTGTGTACCGCACGTGCAAGCACTGAGAAAGAGAAAGTCGGTTGGCTGCACGTGAGATCTGCCGTACGTACTCCTGCTGGTGTGTGTGTGTACTAATACAGATATATATTTTTGCGGCGGGGTTGTCGCTACTTGAAGTATCGGCACACTCCGGAACTGGGGATTCAGTTGTCAGTGTGTGTACATCGCGCATACCTAATAGTATAGTATTGTGACGTGTCGTGCCAGCTCTCCTGCGTCAGGCTGGTTTGGTTGGTAGCGTGCCGTCCCGATGGTGTCCTATCCCTGCAGTACCAGGCCATCCCCGCTTCTCGGCTGATCGGATCAGCCAGTAGACTGGTAGTCCGGGCAATGGAGCGGGGGAATGGAAGTGGAGTAGGAATGGGGTGGAATAGGCGGAGTCGGAATGTGAGTGGAGTAGGAATGGGGCGGAATAAGCGGAGTCGGAATGTGGGCGGAGTCGGCGGAGTCGGAATGTGGGCGGAGTCGGAATGGGGTAGACCAACTTATATCCCTTGGGACTTTGCCCTTGACTTAGTCCTAAGTAGACCCTATACCCTAAGACGGACTAGTAATTGGTGAACAAAAACAGTAATCAAGTACGGTGGTCATGCCTTTAATCATCATCATTCGTCATGTCATTCCACATAATCAAGAGCCTGAACAGTTATTCTAATCATAAGAGAATCAAGCAATCAACTGACTAAATCCCTGCCCTGCAGCTCCTTTTATAGACTTTGAGCCCCATAAGCTAGTGCACAACTTCTCTTTGCCATACAACAGTGCATAAACTCAATTGACCAATCAGAAACAAGGATTCCTTATATGCAAAGTGTGGGTGACTCACAGTGTGCTAGTGTATTTAAAACATACAGTTGGTGACTTAATTCCTATTCCGTCACAGTATGTACAGTGCATGGGGAATCGCTGGTGTTTGCACGGCCGGCCGTGCGTGTGATTGATTCAACGAGATTTTAAGACAACCCCGATCGGGCTGGGATGACATCGAAATACATCGTTAATGTGTGGAAAAACAACTGAAATCAATTATTTTAGTTGTAAATGTACACTGTAGAGTCAAAAAAATTAAACCTGGCGGCAGGATTTTAAAGCTTGGCGGGGACTTCTTAAACATGGCGGGCGCCGCAGAAAGCATGGCGGGGCGCCAGGTTTGTTCTACATGTTGGAAAACACTGCACTACCATCACTACACATTACTTTGGCTTCAAGAATACGCAGATGCAGACTCAGAATACGCAGAAGGTTCAACCATAGAGCGATATCAAATTACAAGAGCGCTGACTCAATGTACCAAGTGGTGCCTGCTGGGCGCACCCATGGTTTGTGCACAAACCTATGGAAAACTCAAATTTTGTACAGCTTTTGCACGGCTATATGCATATCAGCTTTTGTTTTTTTCAACAAAAACGAACGCACATACAATACGGGTTTTAATTGCACACCTAAGCCGCGTTGAATGTGCCTCGCACAGTTACACGCGCTGCAAACAAATGTTTTGCCCATACTTTTCCAAAATCACGGTTTTATGCACACAAGTGGCAGTCTATGCATTTAAATGCCTGTGTTCCAGATCCTGATCCAGATCATATCCCCACCGCTGTGCGAAAACAAACAAAACCCCGCTCACGTGTCAAATCCATAATTGGGGAGCACAGGACTATCGTCTGTAATTCTGTAAGCAGAAAGGCTTTTGTAAGCTGAAGGGCTCTCGCCCAATAGGAATTGGTAAACTGTCGTAGGTACTTAGGAATATGGTGTCATCTCTTGAACTTTACCAAGAGTTACATTTTATCATTAGGATCCATCTTCAATTGCCATGTGTCTTATACTGGGGTCACCCGCTCATTAAAAATTAAAACAAAGAACGTTGTTTTTTGTTTGCAGCCGATGAATGCCAGAGTCTATCTGCGGAGCTTCGCCTGTTCTCGACCGATGAAGCTGGTTGCTTTTCACTCTCTCAAAGAATGGGCATTGAAGGACTTGACTTAGATAGGATCTACATAAGTAACTCCTTAACAGGTTGGACGACAGAAGTGTTCATTTACCAGATCACAGTTTCCTCATCAGTGCTGCGTGGACAACTCGTAAACCGATACGGGCAAGACGCTGTACCCATTGTCGTATCTGTTGTTTTGGAAATGAGTCCCGATTACTTTTTATCTCAACCAAGACAAACCATTGAAGAGTACAGAAGGCAGTATGACTTGATGTACGTGCCCAACGATCCTGAGACCATCCTGACATTTGACCTGACGCCCCCGCTTCAGGCCAACTCCAACTTCGGGTGGAATGTTTCTTTCGCTGTTCCCGATTTGAGACCCTCTTCTGAGATAATTGGAGGGGAGCGAATTGGTCAACCGCCACAGGCAGTGGCACTCAACTGCTCTGATACGACCAGTGTGGACTGTGCAGATCTCACAGCCCCATGGTCAAACGCACTGCAGCGCTACAACCAGGCAGGCTGCAACACCGCCCGCAGTTACCGGTCACTTCACGAAGCATACAGAATCTGCAGAAATATCTCTGTGGCTGGTAAGTCTAACAACATTTGTTTCAACAAAGTGAGTAAAGGGGGGTGGGGGACAAATGAACTTTTTCACATATGGTTTAATTCCTGTTATAAAGGTTTTCAGACCCTCGGCTATCGATGTGCATGTAGGTTTCCCACAAATGTATTTTAACCTGCGCTACCTTTAGAATGTTTAACTATAATGTGTGGAATTTCTATTGCATGTAAGTATTATTTTCCAAAAAAGTCTGAAATGTATGAAGGAATTCTGTTTTTTAAATAACATTTTTTTTACCCGTCAATTTGTTTTGTCCCCCAAAATTTTTGGCTTTCAGTTACGTTTAAAGTATTCTTTTCCTGCATTAGTAATTGATGCTGACATGATTAAAAATGTTTTTTTTTTCAAATAGATGTTTGCTGTCCTAAAGTTATATCATTTTTTTTGATAAATTGATGCTTGATGTATCAAACTTTTTATTTTTGTTCTGTTAGGCCCCCCCAAAAAGTCTCCGGTTTCTGGTATGCGTGCGCGTCGCCGTGGCCATGCGCACCGGCAAAATGAAAACGTTTTTTTTCAATGAAAGATGGTGTCTCAAAACTGCCAAACTCACTGGTTTGACTGGAATCCTGCTGCTGCACAATTTTAACGTGTTTTTAGATGGGGTTATGATCGAGAATAAGCTTTATGTGGCCTCTCTGGTCTCCCATAATATTTGCACTAAGTTTAGTCGGGCACCATTTGCAGTCATCAGCCGACATTTGAAGCAAAAAAAAACAGGTAGGGAAAAAAAAAAAAAAAGCCGTCGCTGCACCACTTTTTGGGCAAGCTCCATACCAGAAACCGGAGACTTTTTTGGGGGGCTTTATATAGTTTCAGTTAAAAAAAGAAGAATTTAAAGTTTGTTCATAAGTGGTGGCAGTTGCACTCAACTTCCCTCCATACTTTTCATTTGGGATTTTCTTACATGCTGCGGTTTATTCTTTTACACCTGTGTATTATAGAACCACAGATTGTAGTGTCTCCCTCTTCAGCCGATGTGCCAGTCTATGGGGAGGGGTCGAGCCCTGGAGTGACCTTTGACTGCTACATTGAGAATGCTGTGGAGTATCGATGGTACAAGACGGCACCAGCTCCTTCTGAGACTTTCATCCGGACCGGGAACCAGCTGGTGTTTCAGGGTGTCAGAGAAAACCAAGACCAAGGCGCGTACGTCTGTGAGGGCATCCCGGGCAAACCTTACGAGAACAAGAAAGTGCGGACGGAACTGGCAACGTTGACTCTAACAGGTCAAAATATATATTGACAAAACAGTACCGGGAGGACTTTTTTTTATCTTGTTATCTCGTTTCGTTTGTTATTTCTTGATTCAAACTTCACTGGGGAAATAAAATGCCCAGGTAGATATTTCTGATATAGTTACAAATTACAGACCACTTTGTTACGGGGATGAGAGTCCTTACTTTACAAATATTGCATTGGATACCAAACCGAACAAAATGGAATAATCTTGGTGCCAGTGGTGCACCCAGGATGAGGCTGGGGGGGGGGGCTCAAAAAATTTTCAAAAAATGTTGCCCAATTTTTTTTTGGCTGCAGAAAAAAAATTTTCTGCAGATTTTTTTTCGGGGGGCCGACTATTTTGACGTTGGTGGCGCCACTTACACCCCTATTATACTACTCGAAAAAAAAGCCACATACGTATCTCCAAGGTCAAATCATGGGACTAAAAAAACAAACAAGATTGACAACCTCTTGGGGGGGGCCTCAAGCCCCCCGAGGCCACCCCCCCCACCCCCCTTCCCCCTTGGGTGCGCCACTGCATGGTGGGGAGCTTACAAAATGTAAAAAAATAATAGTTATTTAAAAAAAAAAAAAACTCTGAACTTCTTCAAGGTGAAATTTGGAAAATAACTTCAAGTAGGTTTGTCAAGATTGCTATGCAGCTGTCGGAATATGTTAGCTCACTGTATTTAACACTTATAGATAATGCTTCAGAGGACTTCCCATTCTGCAATGTTGTTTCAAAGGACATAGTCTTTACTTTCCAATATTAATCTATCCATGCTGCAGAAGTAACAACTTTCAAGGTGACAATGAAGCTACTCAACCGTACCTACACGGAGGATTTGGCAGTTACAGACAGCGAAGACTTTGGGAACCTCCAATCGGAACTGGAACAAAGTGTACGTTCACTCATTTTGTGGGTGGCATATTTTTCTAATGAATCACTTCAGCGAAATTTGTGAATTTTATAATTAAAGAAGGCATGAGAGAATAGGTTCTACAAACATGTGATGAGGTCGAGCATGGAAGTTTGTTTCCTGTCCCATTATAATATCAATTAAATAACAGATACCTTTTTGAGACTTTGGTTACAGAGCTCGTATCAGGAGCTTGCGACACCATCACAGTGTCTCTATCCTGTCGTGTGACCAAGCTTGATCACGTGACGGGTCACGTGAGGGCCTCAACAACACCAGCTGATAAAGACACCGTGATGGTGTCGCAAGCTCCTGATACGAGCTCTGTAACCAAAGTCTCAAAAAGGTATCTTTTATTTAATGTGATGAGGTGTTCTGTCAAAAAAAAACACATCTTTTGGGCAGTTGGTCAAATTGTTTTTTTTTAATTGCCTGCTTTAAGTTTTGGAATATGCTTATCTTGAACTGACGGATTTCTCCATATCATCGAAATAAATTAACTTTTAGAGGTAAAATCGTGGTATGAAATGTTACTCTATCCTTTAGACAAATTTAGAATATCAAACACATCAGCAAAAACAGAAAATAAAAAAAAAATCACCCCACATCATTTTAGTTGCATCTTTATTATTAAAGCTTAGATCAAGAATTAAGCATCTGATTCTGAAGCAATGGGCCACAAACTCTGACCCATTTGTGTATAAAAATGAATAGCATAAATGATTGCAACATTTTTAGAATGCTCGTGCTAGGCTATTTCAATAACACCATTTAGTGACAATATTTTTTGATACCATTTACTGACAATACTACCAAACAATACCACATGATGTCAAAATACTGAAATACCAACGACCTAGGTATGGAATTTCATTTACAGCGATTTTGCCTGTTAAATAAGGCCAAGTGTGTGCAAAAGCCTATAAACAAAATATAACAACAGAAAAAAATGACAAGATCTGCACGATATGGACAATTGTTGAAATCTCTTCTGATGGTCAGAAGGATAAGGTGAAAATTGCGCTTACTATGGGCTCCATGCGCCAACAAAAGAGGGCGCGTTTTTATCACATTTGAGAGCCCCTTGAACGGGACACCACGTGTGCGCACTGTACTGGTTTGCGCACGAAGTACCCCTGACTTATTTATCCTGAATGTGCACAAAGCTAAGTCATAGCATCAGGTGTCGTCGGCGTGAATACGTTCGAATTTAACTTGCGATGGTCTCCCAGACTAATCCCTGCCCTCAATAACCTTGGGTCATTTGAAATAGGCAGTGGATGGACCGGGAACCAGTCTAGGTCTCCCCCAACTCTCCTTTTCTGGCCATTGAAGGGGTACTTGTGCACGGAGCCCATAGTCATGCAGCAGGGCCTTTGAAGTTCTGCTCATCCTGCCTATTTGCATTTTCCCACTTGTCCTACTGTATTTTGATGGCAAATAGTCCACACAGAAAAGTACCTGATAATAACGAATACCGCTATATTTTTGTGACGGTTTAATTAGGTGGACTCTCAATTTCCAATACCGCACAAAGCCAAACTTGTGCAGATTTGCATGTTACAGTATAGTTTGTTGGACATCCATGTATTCATAAAGAAGGGATATGAGCAAGGCAGATGAGAACTGATGGATTCATCATGAAATGCACATTTTAATATTAAATTAGAAGTACGAAAATGCTCAGAGTTTTTTTTTTTAAGTTTCTTGCTTGAAAATAGTACTGGAGAGTAGCTGTATTAAAGTCTAATGATTCATATGTTTACATTTCCGAACAACGCATTTTGATACCCCCTATCTTTTATGTTCACCTTTTGTACCCTCTGTTCTGTTTTTCCCCCTTCTTCACAGTTTTGGTCTTCTGTTACCAGAAACCTGGAACAGGAACTGGGCATGCGATATAATACTGAATTTGAAATGCTTGCGTTCAGAAATGGCAGCATCATCGCTGATGTTCTGGTTTTCTTTCGCCGATTGGAAGGGAATTGTGGGGGACCCTGCACTTTTGGAGATTTGGCACTCCAGGAACGGTTGATAGTAGCGATCCAGGAAAGACTACAAACGTCTGAGTTCATGGTGGAATCTGAGACCATCAATGTTGTCAATTTAGGTGGGTATAAACGTCAACAAAATAATTTGGACGTTAGCTGTATTACCTATCAAATGTAGATTGTTCACACGGAAATGATTTAGTTGGGTACACGCAGGCTTCATTCTTGAACATCAGTATTAATGACATCTCTAGAGTAAATAAACTTGTATTTTTTATACATCTGGTTCTGTTGTTCTTGCAGTGTCATGCCTGCAAGAGGTATACCTTGAAGGAAATCTGACGTTCCCACAAACCAGACTTGGACAGACGGCGCAATCGCTGAACCTCTGCCCCGGGTTCACAACCCGAGGTAGCTACTTAAACCTCCTTGATTGTCACTTGTCAGTAAGGTTTACTTGAATCTTGCTTGATGGCTAACCTACAACCATCTGTGAAAGACCAACTCCTGAAAATAAATGTAAAAAGTTTGAACAAGTCAGGGGCCATTCAGAATTTTCAATGTTTTAAAATTTCGATCTTTTTTCCAAATTGTGGGTGGGTGGGTCAAGCTAAATAATTGAAAATCGAAATTCACTTTCCATGGAAAAAGATAAAAAAAGAAAAGAAAGATAGATATTTTGACTTGCCTGAACTACGCGCAAGCGTTCCGATATCGCGATGCGTGTTTCTTTTCCAACTTCGTCCCCTGTATGTACTGTACATGTACGTCATGTGTACGTGTATATAGACCCACTGTGGCATGAGAGGGAGGTGTTTTTTTTTTCAGTAGACTTGGACGCCGGGCGTTTGTAGCGGTTAGGCCCTGCAGAGGCAGCAGGGTACCAGGTGTATTAGATCGGCTCTATAACACGCCGCGGGCGTAGATTACCAATCGCTATAAAAACTGGACTATTCAACCACTGGACTCCAAGACTACGAGAACCGCAGCCTGTGATGTGATGTCTGCCCAAACCTGATGTTTTTCTTTCGCTCGTACCCCCCACCCTGCAAACAGGGAGGGGGGGGGGGGGTACGAGCGAATGTTTTTCTCAGCTACCTCACGTGACAGGCACAACCTAATCCAGAAAATGTCATCCACCTCATCCAGAAAACGACAAAACCACGGTCATCTTTGTGGCTTCCAAAACTGCAACCTGTCATTCCCAACAGCATATCAGCTGGCAAAACACAAGAAAACTGAAGGTCACCAGTGCAAAAGAGGAAGACCGACAACTTCACGCCGTCACTGAACTAGACACACATGTACAGGGGTATACATGTTCATGTTCAAGTATATGTACATGCAAGTGCATGTACATGTACATGTACATGTTCAGTTTTTTATTAATCGAAATTAGGGGTGGGTGGGTGGGTCAAAATAATTTGGAAAAAAAGTCGAAATTTTAAAACATTGAAAATTCTGAATGGCCCCTAAGGCTGTGTACTTTCTCATATTAGTTATTAAAAATATTTCAAAACTGCATTTTAGCTCTGATATTAAATAAGAAACTTTAGGCACTTTAATTGTTGGACTGACTGTGGGAATCTTGGTTTTGATGACTTACGGCCAGTGGAACAAAAACTATGCTCCGAAGAATTTTTTTGTGTAAAATGTACTGAAATTGTTTTCATTTTCTGATTTTCTTTAGCGGGAAAGCCCCGTGCCACCAGAGACTGCGTCGGTGACTTCACATCTCAACCGCAGTGGAAACAGCCTGTCATTCTCAATTGCTTTGCGGGAGACGTCACAGAAAACCTTGATGAGCTTGCAAAAGTAAGCAGTCCTCTTACTTCTAAATCTCCTTAAATGGCTGATTCTTAGTACGTGCATTTCAGTGGCACAGTTTAGAGCAACACTCATTAACACTAGAAACACTCCTTCTTCCTAACTCCCTCAGATGAGTCAACGATCATATTCAAATAGGAGGATTCAGAGCTGTGCTCTTCAAAATATATTTGAGGTTTTAACAAATTCGTAAATGTTATTAAAATGGAAAAAGTTCCTTTTTACCTATATTAGACGTTTTTCAACCGCTGACAATACACTTTTATTTTATGTTGCTTTTGTCGGGGTTCGACTTTAGCGGTAGCCCGCTAGCCAAATACAAGTCAAAACAGCGGCGGGCTAGTCAAACTATTCCTTAAGTAGCCCGGCTGGCGAGTCAAAAATTATTGGGATACGGCTTAGATGGAAGGACAGGAAGAAATAAATAATGAAATTCAGAAAGTAAAGGTGTATCCATTTGTGTCTAATTTTATTAACTGTTTAGGGTTAAATTATTAATTAAATGCTGACACTATTTCCACAGGATACACATTTTACATGTATGCACATTGTTGTCTATGAGACACTCTATAAAAGAAAAACATGTGGGCTAGTGAAAATGCCCGCCGCTTAATTAAGAGTCTGTTTCAGTAGCCCACCTGGCTAGTGGAAGGTCGAACCCTGTTTTTGTGCCATAAAAGGAAAGGCCTGAATTATTGTCGTGCCAAAAAAATATAAAATGTATGCAATAAATATTCCATTACTGGGCAGATGTTTTTTGTCCGATGCCTCATTCAAAAATGAAAAAAATAGCAATTTAAACACAAAATCTATATAACTTTGGGAGTGGAACTCCAAACATCACAGATAACAACTTTAAAAACTCTACGCTTACTTGACTGGAATTGGATAGAAAAATCCCTAAAATTCATCAATTTGCCCATTGAACCCAACAGATGACAGTGACTTCTGAGAATGCTGAGGAAGTAGCCAGAGAGATGGCATTTCTGACATCCAACGCCAGCGCCATCAGTCCCGCGGCAGTAACGTCTGTCGCAGAAATTCTGGAAAAACTGGCAGTTGCCAACAACACTTCCCCAGAGGTAAGACTGCATCAATTCGCATAATTCAATTATTTCAATATTCGAATAAGAAAATAAATGTGTGTTTGGGAGGTGTTATAACATCATTTCGGTCCAAAAATCCAAGCAAGTCAAAAACTAGACCTTAATTGCCAACCATTTTGTTCAACAATTTTACCTCAGGTTTTATGAAACACCCCTTTTACTATAATATGGAATGTCCCTCTACAACTCCTTACCTTATAAGGAGATTGGCGTGAACGTCGCACGCACTGCGCGATGTTGCGCAAAACGCACCTGGGCTGGTGTTGTGTGAATTTCGGACTATGAAATACTGATTCACTGGTAGTATTGCGCATGCATACGTGAGGAACATGAACGTTCAACGATGACGTTTAAAGACACCGGATTTCATGGGAGTCCAAATTTTATGTGACACTGGAAAAGTGTTTAAGACCAGCTAGCCATGTCTTTATCATCCGTTTAAGACAAGCCACGTGACGGGCTCTACACCAATAGGAATGGCTAAACTGTATTAGGTATTTATGAATGTTCATTCATAAATACCTCTTGGTCGAGAGCCCGTCACGTGGCCGGTCTTAAACGGATGATAAAGACATGGCTAGCTGGTCTTAAACACATTTCCAGTGTCACATTAAATGTGGACTCCTAAAAATCAAGTGCCTCTTACCGTTTTATTGGTTGAACGTTCACAGTCCTCACGTAGGCATGCGCAACACTACCAGCGAGTCAGAATTTTATAGTTCTAAATTCAAAACGCAACACCCCAGGTGCGTTCTGCGCGACATCGTGTCCATGTCGCGCAGAACATGCTACGCGCGCGTCAATCTCCATAAAAGGGTTGTTTACATCTTACTCGCCAGCTGAACATTCCATTATTTTGCTAGAGGGATGTTTCAAAAAGCATGAAGTGAACTTGTTGAATAAAATCAGGATTTTTTGAACGAATTGTTTGATCTTTTTTTACCGAAAAGGTATTTATGAATGGGAATAAATGTGTGCTCGGTCGATATTTATCACTCTGTTTAATACCTCTTAGAGTCTGGGTGCTGATAATTACCCTTGCCTCCGGCTCAGGTAATTATCAGCACCCAGACTCTAAGTGGTATTAAACAGAGTGATAAAAACCTCCGGAGCACACATTTATTCCCTTATTAAATACATGTTTTTTTTGTTACCGGAGAAGCATTTTTGGGTAAACATGCATCACAATACATGAGGTGATTTCCCTTTAAAACATACAAGTATTTTGATGTTTCTCTTTGACTGAGCCCAGTGTAACATTATCTGGTTGGTCCCTTAAAGGCAATCCATTTCATTTTGATTTTATTCCTTGTCGAGCCCAAATATCCAGAAATGTGTGATACTCAAGATCACTCCAAACTCGTCCACGAAAAAACTTCGCTGTCAGGACCGGTAGCTCGCTTATCAGTTTTGGATGCCACAACAGATGATTGCCTTCAAATGATTGCCTTTTCGGAGCACTTTGTGCACTTTGTACACTGATAAAAAAGCTCCAAACTAAATCACAATTTTACTACAAACAGGCCGAACAAACTAAATAAGACACGATCTTAAAACGACCTTAAAACAGGCATGCAACTTTTCCTCCGATCGACTGATTTGCTCGTTTTTTTTTACTTCTCACAATTGCCATTACAAATTGGAAAATACTGTACATTGTCTTGTATGGTTTGGTGTTTCCTTGTTTTTTTCTAAATTCCCCAGTTGCATGCCTGTAATTGGCAATAATGTTTTTAAAAAAATTGTGGAGCTTTTCGGGACTGTCGAGGAAGCGATGTGCATGTAAACGAGAGAGAATAGCATGGTGTGGACAAAGTACCAACCACGCATTTGCAATGTACATGGAATCACATGGGGACCAGTGCACCGCAGGCAACAATTTTTCTTTATAACATGTGTAGTAGACACATCAAAGATTACTAATACCAATAAATCTGAAAATCTATAAAAAAAAAAACAAAAAAAAACGCGCACCCATTTGTTGCATTTTTTGGGCATTTTTTGTATATTTGAAACATTTATAACAATATTTCTGGAAAAAAGTGCAGCTGATGTCTCTTGCAAGTTGGTGGTCCAGTGGTAAAACACGTGCAAGAAAGGTTTGGGTTCAGGTCCCACCTGGGTACGCTTGTGATGGTTTTCCTTCTCATGCCAAGGTATGCTGCAGAAGAAGGTTGCTACCTTTTTTACTGACAATTTCAATCATGGCAGTACTTGGTGCTCTCATTTGAGAAAACAAATAATGGCATTTGCCAGTAAATGAAAGGTAGATACTTGTTGTTGTAGAGCAGTTAGGTTCAATATTGAGGTTGTGATGAGAGGAACATTTTGAAATTCTCCGACTGAGGGAATTTCATGAAGCTCAAAAGTGTCTTAACAACTAACTTAGCGTTGTGATCAGACCTTCGCAATAATTGTAAAAATATTGGGTATTATAATAGTTCTTTGAGTTCAACTGCATCCTCGTTTTATGGTGGATGCTCACAGGAGAGCTGCTTCACTACTGCCACAGCCAGTCTCCCGCTTTGAACCAATAATCCAAATTCTGGGTATCTTTGTGCGGTAGGTTGCCGTGCAAATTATCAGGACAGTCAACAACGTCCTCCAAATTGACAACGAAACCACCTTGGATGAGGCAAGCCGTGACAACTCTCCATCTCGCATCGTGCTGGCCCTGGAGTCCTTCGTCACAGCGTTGCATAACAGCGGGGCCGGTAACTTCACCGAGGTACAGAGCAGCGTTGCCGTCCAGGCCCTCTCCCTTCCCCGTCGAGCCCTGTCCAATGGCCTGGGCTTTGCGTCTTCCCTTGGGGACCCGGGAACTGACGATCTAACTGTCAATCAGACCTCTGTGTTCACCAAAGAAGATCCGCCAATGGAAACAGAAGCCTCGATTTTCCTTCCAGCTGAAATTCTCGAACGTATATCAGAAGGTAAAAAAAACACCCAAAATCGTGACTGTTTTGATAAAGTGACAAATATACCCACGCAGCAAAAAATTGAGTTGTTCGCATATCTTCCACTTTGTGCAATTATTCTTATCAGTAAGTGGTACAATGTAGTGTCTTGAAATTTGGCGGACTATGTAGAGGACATCATAAAATGTAAGAATATTCAAAATTCCAAAATTGCTTTAGATACTGGTTTTGAAAAAGATCCTGTATTTTTTTGAAATGGTGACAAAATAGGAAATACATTATTTGGACAAGTGGATACAGAAGATAAAAGAGAAGTGATAATAATTTTTATATTTTTACCTTTGCCAGTAATCAGGGCCTGATGAACACCAATAAGTGAAGATCAAATTTTGTATCAAAATGCAGTCTCTGCATTGGCTCCCTGTTGCTCACGGGATTCAGTACAAACTGTTACTGCTTGTTTTTCATTGCCTGCATGATTCAGCTCCTGAATACAACATAGACCTATTAACTCCATATAATCCATCCAGGCGATTGAGATCTTCTGATGCTTCTTTGCTGGTTGTCCCTCACACTCACAAATCTTGGGGTGATCGATCATTTTCTTACGCGGGTCCTCATCTTTGGAACAAACTACCCCTCGTCATTCGCAATATCTCATCGCTTTCTGAATTTAAAGTGGCCCTGAAGACCTGTTTGTTTCAGATCACTCAGAATATTCCTGTTAAGTTAAATTTTAATTGTTTTGTTATTTCTGATTTGATCAAATTTTTGTATTGCGCCATGAGCGTCATTTATGGCGGATACTGGCGCGTTATAAATTGCCATTATTATTATTATGTCAGACCACACAATATCAGATGTGCCAACTATGCTTCTACAGTATATGCAGTTCATGTATGCAGGGACAAAGCCATTCCAGTAGTCAAACTCAATGCAAGTTACTGTTTCTAACAATTAAGGGCTCCCTGTTTTACACAAAGTAGGATTGACCGGCTGTGACTGTTTATTTCAATACACGTATGCTTGGACTCTAGGAAACTGATAAGCCAGCTGTACTTACCAGTTATACCCTTGGAATTTGACTAGTCACGGATCAGTGCACGACATCGCGTAGTTGCAATCGGCTCAGTGAGAACATGTATCGGATGCTGAATTCAGGCCCAATTCAAAACATGATTCAACAACTTTCAATTTGAAATCGAGATCCTAGAATGCTATTTTTTTTTAATATACAGCTGAAGCTGAGCTGAAACTTTGTCAGGTTTGTTGTTCAGCATCCTTCTTTAGAATTTGAGCACTTTTGTTGCTTCAAATGAACAAAATGCACAAATTACAAATGATGGACTATACCTTTAAAGGCATGGCAGGGGAACAGGAATGATTTTGTTTGACTGTTCAGACAGCAGGAGGTTTATTGGATTATTGAACTCAAAAGCTGCCATAATCCATGAGCGCTGGTGAACCTTGCCTCAAAAGATGAAATTCATAAGTACCAACCCTTGAAAAACCGACTGTGAATTAAATTAAAGAAGACTACCACTTCATCAATTCTCATGTGTATAAAACATGGCAGGGAAACAGGAGTGATTTTGTTTGATGAGTCTTGCCTCAAAAGTTGGAAGGTGGAAGCTTTGTTATTTTTATCAAAGTCTGTGAAGTAATGTGAAAGTCGCCTTAATTACAACTTTACTTTTTTTCATTTTTTCTGTCTACAAAAGCAGGCGACAGTGACCAAGTTCCAATAAGTTTCTTCCTGTATCAGAACAGCAGGCTGTTTCGTTCTCCCACGTTGAACGAAGCGACGAGGCCCGAGGACGGAGTGAGGCGAGCTGTAGGTAGCCGCGTCATTGCTGCAACTGTGGAGGGCGTCAAAATTGACAACCTGCGCATGCCCGTCACAAACGTGTTCAGTCTGCTAAATGTAAGTTAACTCTACAAGTTGAATAGAGCGTACAAGTCGACCTCAAAAACCTGCGAGATTTTATGAGAATACAGCACATCTAGGCACCATATTTTTTTTTTTATCCGTAACGTGTGTAACGTCCTATATTTTTTTTGCATTTATTTTGTGTCCTGACTGGGCTCCATCCCATCGAGGGCAATAAAGGAGTATTTTGAAAGAATAGAAGGCATTATAATTTACAGTATTGTGAAAATATTGCAAAATTTGTGACTATTTTAAAATAAAAAATGTTGACCTCACTTCTGTTCACACAGACTTACACACTTATGGGGAAGACCTTTGTTTCCCTTCTTTTGTTTTCCTTTGTTCCTATTGAAATCTCAAACTCCATTTAGGGTTTCCGTTATGGGGCAGATTTATTTCTAAAGACATCCTTATGGGGTCTATTGTTCCATTGTGTTTTCTACCCCATTAGGAAACCCTGCAGAGTTGTAACAATTCACTGTTTGTTTGTGACTCAAGTCGAGTCAAGTCATTTTAAAGAAGTGACTCGAATCGAGTCAAGTCATTATAAAGAAGTGACTCGAGTCAAGTCATTTTAAAGAAGTGACTTGAGTCAAGTCATTAGGTCAAGAAGGTCGAGTCGAGCCGAGTCAAATATTTAGCTTGAGTCAATTCGAGTCAGGAATATTGGAACACTATAAGAAATAAAGACTAGAGAGAAAGTCATTTGTATCACTAACAGTTAACAAGAAGTGAAACTTCGATCTTATACAGGCTATCTGGTTTGGCTTCGAGTCTAGAATTTATGTTCGTTGATCGCTGACATCAAAACCAAAGTGCGTTATTCAAAACTAAACTGTTTCTGATTATTTAGAAGTGAGCATGTATTTATATTTAATTTTTAAAAGGACGGCATACATTTAGCCTACATTCAAATCCAGGAGCTTTATAAGAAATCGCCTAAAGCCAATGATGAAATCTGGTTCCTGGATAGTATTTTGTGCGTCCCAGAACCATGAGGTGGGAGTCTGTGACATGTTGTATGTTTATACACAACAAGCGGCCGCTGTTCCGTACTGTATTCGCAAAGTGACGTGAACATAAATTTTGCTCTGTTAAGTCATTGCAAACATTTTTTTTCACAAAGTTTTACTTTCATTTTTGGACTCAAGTCTTATTAGCCTTTGCTTGAGTTGAGTCGAGTCTTCTGATGAGAGACTCGAGTCGAGTCGAGTCATTTACCCAAAGTGACTCGTTTTTTTTTTTTTCCTCTTTTTTCGGGAACAGTAAGTCAGTAGGTTAGTTTCCTTTCAACTAGACCTTTTAAAAAGTGTAAGTAAACAATCCAAAACATGAAATTTTGGGGGATTTCAGGCCGTAATACCCCTTTAATGTTTTCAGGCGACCAGTGGAAATGAGACAGTCAGCAGTGCAGAGTGCGTGTTCTGGGATCTCACTCGGAATGACGGTTACGGCGATTGGTCCACCAAGGGATGCAGGAGCGAATCCCTGCCCAATGGCATCATCCGATGTCTGTGTGACCACCTAACCAGCTTTGCTGTTATTGTGGTAAGAATAGAAACACGGGCGTTGCCAGAATAATTTGAATCAGGGAGGGTTGGGGTGACTGGAAAATTGAAGAGAGATCATTATGGACACCAACATAGTCAACAAACTGTTTCCCTGATTACTGACTGCTGAATAATTCTAAATTGGATTGAGGCTAGACATCATATGACACCTGGGGGGGGGGGGGACGCAGTGTAGTGCAGATCGATATGGATACCATTTGACACTAGTTGACGCTGTTCGTGGATAGGCTCTTGATGACATAATTTTGGGGCACGGCAAAAAGCTCGGAGGAAATAAATTCCTTCAATTTTAAGGAAGCACATCCTTTCTGCAAACTTGGGCCAATTTCATAGAGGTGCTTAAGCACAAAATTTGCTTAAGCACAAAAAAACTCTGCTTAATATAATCAGTTTACCAGCCCAAACTCCATGCGATTGTTATGCTAAGTATTAAAACAACAGCTAAATACCAGTCACAAGCAATGTACATCGCATGGAGTTTGGCAACCTGGATTATATTGAGCAAGGTTTTTTGTGCTTAAAGCCCTGTCCGCACTGGACTTTTTTTGGTCAAACTAACCGAGACTATGGGTACTTTTCCCATTTTAAGTCCAGTGCGGACAGCCTAGAGCCCTGTCCGCACTGGACTTTTTTTGGTCAAACTAACCGAGACTATGGGTACTTTCCCATTTTAAGTCCAGTGCGGACAGCCTAGGAGGTTTTCCTCTTGGTTACTTTTCCTGAGTCCAGCGGTTACTTTTACTGGCCAACTGCTGCCCAGGAAAACTTCCCACGCGCCCAGGAAAACTGACCAGGTCACTTTTCCCGAGACGATAAGTCCAGTGCGGACAGTGCGAGTCGGTAAAAGCGGCTCAGGAAAGCGTACATCCGGCCCGAGCGCCCTGCACGTGCAGTGGCCGAACATTTTGTAGAAACACGCTGTGGTGTATCATCAAGTCCGAGCGGTAAAATCTCGTTAAAATATATATTTCAACGGACAAATACATACACAGAGAAGAGAGATCACGTTCTGAGAATTAATTTGCGGAAATTCTCTTTCTCCATCGATGTATGTTATTTGCTACGATCCAAATTCGTCCTGATACGCTACTGTAGTCATGCACGGAACATCATGGTCCGGTACCGTACGTAGGCCGTAGTCACTGGTTCCTGGCCCACATCATAGCTTCGATTCTGTAAGCATGCGATGGGAAACAACGAATACTGATGGCACTGCTGCCGCACGGAACAGCGGCATGGCTTCGACGACGTGCATCACAAATGCGTCAGAATTATAGGCCTTTTCGTCAAGATTTAGCGTGTCAAGATGAAATAATATCGTGTAAACGATTATGTTGTGCATGCAAATGGCGTGTGTAATATTACTGTGCGTATTGGCGGCTGAAAATGTGATCGGCAATTTGTTTTCTGTGTACGGTGAGTCATTATACTGACACTGTGACAGCTCGGTTACTTTTCCAAAGCGGTCTGGGTAAATTTTCCCATGTCGAAAGTCCAAGTGCGGACAGTGGTCACATTTGACCATTTCTCATTTTACCATCGTCTCGGTAAAACCTTCCAAAAAAAAAGTCCAGTGCGGACATGGCTAAAGCCATATTTTTTATTAAGCAGCTAGCTCGGCCCCGCAGCGCCATGAAATTGGGCCCCGGTTCAGTTTTATATTGGCCCAAGCTGACTTGGCTCAAGCTGAAATGGTGTTCCTTTTTTTTTCTTTTCTTCTAGGACATTCATGGGCAGCAGGACAGCGTCTTTTTGGATGTCATAAGCAAGATCGGCTGTGCCGTATCTGTGGTGGCTCTGATAATCACTCTGGTCACATATCTGTACAGCAAGTAAGTGCTCACAATCACAAATCACTCACGTCCCGGGGTGCAGTGATGTACCACTTTATTTTACAAATAAGGCTTCGCTCAGCAGAGTTGTAATAACTCGAGTCGCACAGTTTTTGGTGACTCGACTCGACTCGAGTCCCTAAGGGAAAATGACTCAACTCGACTCAAATCACTGCGAGCAAATGACTCGACTCGACTCGAGGAAGGCTAATAAGACTCGAGTCCCAAAAAAAAAGCAAAACCTTGCAGCAGAAAATATTTGCAATGGCTTACACCGGCATGGGCGTCGCAAGGGGGGCAAGGGGGGGCACTTGCCCCCCCCCCCCCCCCCCGGAAAAGCACAAAACAAAAACAAAAAAAAAGGAAGAAAAAAAAAAAGAACAAAAAGAAAAGAAAAAGAGGCGCGAAGACAAAGTGGTGTAAATTTAATGAGTTGGGGGGGGGGGCAGAATGTCCCTGCCCCCCTCTAAAACTGATAAATCGAGAATGTGTTGAGAAATACAAGCATTTTTTGGCAAAAAAAAATTTTGCCCCCCCCTCTAGAAAAAATCCTGGCGACGCCCATGTACACTGGTGCCGGTTTTTGTTCACGTCACGTTAAAAACGAATAATGTATACATATACAGACGTGGTTTGATCGGTGTCCCCATTAGTTGAATGGCGATCAGCTGGCACCCCTCTTTTTATTTTCATTAAGAGTCAAATGTGGTGTCACTACATGTTGTAGCCCGAATGTAAAATTTAAAAAAATAAAAAATGACTTTCTCTCTTGAGTTTATTTGTTGTATAGTGTTCAAATATTTGTGACTCGAATTGACTCGAGCTAAATGCTTGACTCGACTCAACTCGACCCGACTACACACTGTGACTCGAGTCACTTCTTGACACAAAATGACTCGACTCGATTCGAGTCACAAAAATCAGTGACTCGTTACAACTCTGTCGCTCCGCCCGCTTCCGTTAGCCAATTCCATAAACTTGAGCTTTTACTTATGATTATTACCCATCGATTAATGGTGCATTAAGTTGCCCTCGGGTCGACCTTGCAATGATACAGAACAGTCGGCGACTGACTTTTCAGGATCAAGCTGTGCCTCAACCACGATCGACGGGAACAAACAAGTCGCCGATTTTTTGTGACCTGAGTGTAACTGCGACGTTATTATGAGGATCGGCATCATCAAAAAATCAATAGTTGCAAGAGTAGAACAATTTCAACTTCTGCAACGTGTTCCCGACAGGCGGGAATCAATCGCATTCGTGTAGCCAATCAGTGTACGGCAAAAACAGCTGAATGAACAGGTGTGGCCGTGGAATGTCGTTTAATCGTTATCAAAATAAAGTATCCTTACTCCTTTCCTTTCCAGTTAATACCATGCAAATCAATACAGTGCAGTTTTGTTCATTCACTGTGCATCACCGCACGCTGATTTGTTAGGCGAATGGGATTGATTCCCGCCTGTCGGGAACACGTCGCAAAAGTTGAAATTGTTCTACTCTTGCGACCGTTGATTTTTTTTTAGCGCCGACTGATGCCGATCCTCATAATATGGTTGTTATAGAAGTCACATGACTGTCTATGCCTTGGAATCGTTGTTGCGTCGTGGAGGACATGGGCATGGTTGCGATTTTTTTTTCTGTCGAGATGCTGCATATTCCAAGAGAATTGCATGATTGCTCAGTGCTGTGACCTGAGCATGACTTTTCTGCTTGATGCTGACAATTCCATCGTGGCGCAAGCATATCGCAGGTCGACATGAGGGCGGCTTAAGAGATTTAAAAAATGAAGTTCCCATTGAAAAGCTGGACTATCAAAACCTCCTTCAAATCTGCACTCATGATCCAAGGGCCTCATCAGTGCTCACTGTTTGGGTGAGAATTAAAAAAATAAATAGGAAACATAATAAGATAAATAATAAGAAAATTGTCTCCAATGTCATACAATATTTTAGCAATGAGACCGGACAACCTATAGGCATCCAGAGCTAGAACTAGGTCTACTGTCAGCATGTTCCAATGCAGTTGTAATTGGTGAATACCTAGACAGTAGTTCTATAGATAAGAGATTTCAGGTACGGCCCAACAGACGTGGTTTGATCGGTGTCCCCATTAGTTGAATGGCGATCAGCTGGCACCCCTCTTTTTATTTTCATTAAGAGTCAAATGTGGTGTCACTACATGTTGTAGCCCGAATGTAAAATTTAAAAAATAAAAAATGACTTTCTCTCTTGAGTTTATTTGTTGTATAGTGTTCAAATATTTGTGACTCAAATTGACTCGAGCTAAATGCTTGACTCGACTCAACTCGACCCGACTACACACTGTGACTCGAGTCACTTCTTGACACAAAATGACTCGACTCGATTCGAGTCACAAAAATCAGTGACTCGTTACAACTCTGTCGCTCCGCCCGCTTCCGTTAGCCAATTCCATAAACTTGAGCTTTTACTTATGATTATTACCCATCGATTAATGGTGCATTAAGTTGCCCTCGGGTCGACCTTGCAATGATACAGAACAGTCGGCGACTGACTTTTCAGGATCAAGCTGTGCCTCAACCACGATCGACGGGAACAAACAAGTCGCCGATTTTTTGTGACCTGAGTGTAACGGCGACGTTATTATGAGGATCGGCATCATCAAAAAATCAATAGTTGCAAGAGTAGAACATTACGTGAAACTCCCATTTGCCAAAACCCCTGAACTGTACCTACCGATTTCACTGTGACTCTTATCAGCTGTTATCAGTAAAGTAATTATAAGATAAACACTTACCCTGGCACCCACTTCCCCAGGGCCAGTGACCATGAGCTGTGGTAATTGCCCTATCAATTACGGCATGCACATCTGGTCTGGCATGGCTGAAGTCGGACCGTTTCTTATTTGATATCTCGAGATATATTTGATCGATTTTTATGATTCAAAGTTGCTCACATAATAACTTTTGACACTTTTCCAAATACTTTACATTATAAACAAGAACCTAGTAGACGTTGGTAGATATTTTTTGTCAGTAAGCTCACAGGCACAGGCACCATACACCACCTGTTCACGGCTCGTTAACTCTTGATCAGATAAGAGAGATCGCGTTGAAAGCTGCTGAATCTGAAATCGGTAGGTACGACCCGAGTTTGTCATAGGCAAACTCGGGTCTAGCTCAAATGGGAGATTCACGTAATGACAATTTCAACTTCTGCAACGTGTTCCCGACAGGCGGGAATCAATCGCATTCGTGTAGCCAATCAGTGTACGGCAAAAACAGCTGAATGAACAGGTGTGGCCGTGGAATGTCGTTTGATTGTTATCAAAATAAAGTATCCTTACTCCTTTCCTTTCCAGTTAATACCATGCGAATCAATACAGTGCAGTTTTGTTCATTTACTGCATTATGTGCATCACCGCATTATGTGCATCACCGCACGCTGATTTGTTACGCGAATGCGATTGATTCCTGCCTGTCGGAAACACGTCACAAAAGTTGAAATTGTTGCGACCGTTGATTTTTTTGAGTGCCGACTGATGCCGATCCTCATAATATTGTTGTTATAGAAGTCACATGACTGTCTATGCCTTGGAATCGTTGTTGCGTCATGGAGGACATGTGCATGGTTGCAATTTTTTTTTCTGTCGAGATGCTGCTTATCCCAAGAGAATTGCACGATTGCTCAGTGCTGTGACCTGAGCATGACTTTCCTACGTGATGCCGACGATTCCATTGTGGCGCAAGCATATCGCAGGTCGACATGAGGGCGGCTGAAGAGATTTAAAAAATGAAGTTCCCATTGAAAAGCTGGACTATCAAATCTGCACTCATGATCCAAGGGCTTCATCAGTGCTCACTGTTGGGGTGAGAATTAAAAAAAATAATAGGAAACATAACAAGATAAATAATAAGAAAATTGTCTCCAATGTCATACAATAACTTAGCAATGAGACCGGACAACCTATAGGCATCCAGAGCTAGAACTAGGTCTACTGTCAGCATGTTCCAATGCAGTTGTAATTGGTGAATACCTAGACAGTAGTTCTATAGATAAGAGATTTCAGGTATGGCCCAATACGAAGTTTGTCTGCAGTTGCGCTGCCGATGGTGCCTTCCTCGCTAAGATAAATTGTGCCTTTCTCAATCTCTCACAAGGAAACTTCGGACTAAGCGTCCCCGGCAGATCCTGATCAGCCTGTGCTTTGCCCTGCTGGGTCTTTACTTAATATTCTTGGTGGGTATCGAGGCTACGGCTTCCCGGGGAGGCTGCACCTTTGTGGCAGTTTCGATCCACTACTTCACCTTGGCGTCCATTGCCTGGATGGCTGTGGAAGCCACCAATATGTACCTTCTCTTTGTCCGTGTGCTCAACGCCAACATCAGTCACTTCCTGCTCGTGGCCTCCATCGCAGCCTGGGGTAAGACTTGCCATTAGATTACTAGCTCAACAAAGAATAACTTGAGTGGGGTTTGAATCTCCGACTTACGGAATACCATACTAAGCTATCAAGCCGTTTGCGGTCCCATTTTGTCAACGTCAATGTCCCTTTGTCCCAAGGGCGGATCCAGGGGGGGGGGGCCAAAGGGGGCCATGGCCCCCCCCAAAACGAAACCAATTTTTTTTTTTTTAATGTGACATCGCAATAAAGGCAGGCAATGAGTACACCACCATCTTTTCCTCAAAAAACATTGGCTGAAGTGGTCAGAAATTGCCTCAGATCGCACCACAGAGCATCTAGAATCCAAAAAATTTTCGGGGCCCTAGCGGGCCCCGAACCCCACGCCGTAATTTATTGGACCCACTTTTTGGGGGGGACCAAAAATTTTTTTGGCCCCCCCCAAAATTGTGTTCTGGATCCGCCCTTGCTTTGTCCCTGTGTTTTTTGGGGTTGTTTTTAATAATGAACTATGTGATCTTGTTGTACTGGATGTTAATCAGTAAAGATCCGTGGTAAGACTTATTTTTCCTACTATGGTTATCCTTTAAGTGGTTATCTATGGTTATCCTTTGTGAACACTGTAACGTACGGCCAGCAATCATTCTCATATTTATTTATTCCATTTCTTTACCCAGGGTATGCCCAAACAGTCTAAAACTGGTTTCCACTGGGGCCCTGCATACAATAAATAATGACTACAAACATGTATAATTATACAATACATTACAAATACAATAAAATTCAATACAGTGAGATAAAACATTATTTGAATAATGCAAATATTATAAATACAATATATTTTAAAACTATTATGACTACATGTACAGTATGAATGCTTTACTATAAAGTTGATTCATTGAACATGAAAAATTTGGATCTATCTTGTAACATCAAGAAAAGAAAAAAAAATATTGCTGTAACTATATTCGCTGATTACGGGAGGGGCAAAAACCCCGCGCAAACCCTTTTGGGAGAAAACACGGGGAAATTCCCATCCGGCTCCTTATTATCTTCTTATTATTATGGCAACCAAGTTTGTTAACTCCGTAGATCAGCACATATCTAGATTTGTATAATCAGAGAGGACAGTGGCAAATAATACACAAATAATTATTTGCAGAAATATTATTACTGACTGAACGTTTTACGTAGTTCAGATTTGAATGAGGCTAGTGAAGTCATTTACAGCTCCCGAACTCTGGAACCCGGCTTCCAACTCATATCAGAAATGCCAAAACACTGGAACTGTTCAAGACTCTACTCAAAACCCATCTGCTTATCCTTTGACTTTGAACATTCATTCTCCAGCCAATCATTCTCGTCAATTTGTGTTGGTTTTTGTGTTTACATGTGCCGTGTTTTTGTGTATGATGCGTAATTTAATAAGATTTACTCTAATTGTACTCCTGTATGTTATTATGCCTGTACAGCGCATTGGGGTCTTATTGACGGAATGCGCTTTACAAGAATGGATTATTATTATTATCATTATTATTATTAAGTGTTACAAAATGTAACAGTTGTTTTATTTTTTACTTTGCCAATATTGTTTTTACACCTGTGATTTTCAGGTCTTCCATTGGTGATTGTCGTCATTATTCTAGCTGCTGATTACACCCAGTATGAGCACCAGAATTAGTAAGTATATATGTACTTGAAACCGTTTGGATGCCAAATCTAGCCCCCCCCCCCCCACCCCCCCCACCCACCCACCCACCACCCAATGAATTAAAAAAAATTGAGAGGGCTCAAAAGTTTTTGAGATAATTTTGTTTGGATAATAACAACATCACCCAATCTTTGACAAAGAAAATGTATTCAAGTGCATAGACACACTGAAATTGGTATCCTTGTGGAGACATTCCTTTGTTCTCATGTACTAAAGTTTTCGAGTTTGCAAGTACAGTTTCAAAATGCTCTGATTTTAACCAGAATTAATTTTCTTGGCTGAAATTGAGGCTTAATATCCCTTTTCTTAAACTCTACCATTTGCGACAGATCAACATACCTTAGAAATTCCTAGTTTTTGAGTAAAATCCATATACATTTCGTGAAAACCTTGTAGAGACATATTCATCTATAGAAATTGCCCTGTAGAGATGTATACAATCTTTTGCTCCCTATTGTGTGCATGTCTCCAGAGGGCACGGTGTATCAGATCAACAGAACATTGCAAAGCAGTGTCAACACACACACACACACACACACAAACTATAGAAAACCAAATTTGTGTGTGAACTTATGGGTGTTCAGTTCTCTGAACAAATTCAATCAGCTGTCAAAATCATGTTCATACATTTTGCTTGGTCAACATCCTGTGAAATGTCAAAACGTTAGACATATTAAATGGACCCTCCCTGTCTGTCAATCACGCAATACACAAGGACCAATTAGATCATGACTTTTGGTCAGGTGACCAAGATAGTCAGGTGACCATAGATTGGAAAATGTGGTCACAGGCACTTTGAGCAATGCAAACAAACCAAATGTGGGTAGGATGTATGGCCAAATCCAGAACCTTCCATTGACTTCCTTTTTTCATATCCAAGTTTTGGCAATACTTGGGTAACCTTTAACCTTCACCTTTTACCTTTAAGCTGCTTCCTAAAGCCTGGTAATGCCATTTACTACGGCCAGATACTTCCAATTGGCTTGGTGCTCCTCTTCAACTTTGTCATTTTTACGCTGGTGACCCGCAAGCTGACCTGCGCCCGCAAGACCATCGGGACTTCCTCGGACAAGAGCCAGCGGCAGGAGAGGCTGCGCCGGCTCCAGAACGCCGTGGCCATCTCAGTCCTCCTGGGCCTGACCTGGGTCTTCGGGCTTCTCTCGGTCATCCAGGCTGCCAGCTTTGCCTTCCAGGTCCTCTTCGCCATCTGCAACTCTCTACAGGGGCTGATGATTTTTGTCCTGTTCTGCGCCAGACAGAAAGAGGTGCACCAGGTCTGGAGGGAAATGTTCCCATGCAAGAGGGATGCCCACCGCCGTGGATTGGTGTCCGGTACCGGCCTTGACTCCGGCACCCAAGGCGGTCTCCCGCTGTCCAGTAAGGGCACAAAGACCACCGATTTCAGTGAAGCAAGTCAGCCTCAATCCTAGGCTTTCCCCTAGTCTTCCATATATCGCACCATTTTAACTGTCAGAGCCCACTTAACGTCCCTGTGAATTTTCTATTTCTTGAGTTCTGAATGGAAATCTTGTCACTACGGGAAAACAAACCCCATTTCTTAGAGCCATTGATGATACTCCCGTTTACAATAGATTTTGCAGTCAGTGCTGAGCAGAAATAGTAGTTGTGCTGACTGATATAATATTATGTGTAGCTGGGAGTCAAGTTTGACTGTTTCCAGTCTAATCGTACGGACGTACTACTTTCTTTAAAATCAAAGAAACCACAATTTTTTTTTTGCTTTTTCGCAAATTTGCGAAAAGAACCTTTTTTTGTTCTTAATTTTTTTTTTAGTTTCTTCTTTTTTTTCCCATGCAAAATCCCATAGACTTTGTACATGATTTAAGTACACGCCACTTTCGCCATTTATCTTTGTCATACATCATTCAATTTAAGCATATATGCATTGTCCTTATAGCAAAGTTGTGTCCCGACGAGTGACGTAAAGATTACATCATCATGGGTCACGTGACGTTATCACAAATGTGCATATATGAAGTGCTATATCTACAGAACTGTAAGCTAGTCCAGTGGCAACGGAACCAGGGGGGCACTTGCCCCCCAGTTTTACTCAAGTGCCCCTCTTGGGGACATAAATATTCCCCCGTCGAGATGAACTTGCCCTAAAATTTCAGATAATTTGTTTTCAGTATAAACCATTTCCCAAAATGGTATAGAGAGTTCTGATATGAACGAGGAATATGAAAACCAAGCCCCTAAACCCTTACAATGCGCCCTGAAAAAATAAATGCTTAGTTTGCATAATGATCGGTTTTAAGAGCGCCCCCTATTTTGGAAGATGGTAACCCCCCCCCCCCCCCCCCCCCACTATTTGATTTTACGGAGGCCAAGTTTTGGGTGAAAAAAAAGTGTTGACATTTCAACATGGATGCGCCCCCCCCCCCCCCCCCCCCCCATAAAAATGTTGGATACACTGCTGCACCGATGGGAGATGCCTTTTTTTCTGAGCAAGTGCCCCTTTTCAGTGATGCCCCGCAGTTTGAAAACTATTCCGCCACCGCTGTGTAGGCCTTTAGTCTAATTGGGTTGAAACTCGGTATGTATCTAGACTGGTATGTGTTATAAGGTAAAAATGGAGGTGACGTTGAGATGATGTCATCATGCGATTTGATAAGAATTTTTGAATTTTTGGACCTTTAAGCCATATTTCACGAACGCAAAATTCAAAATGTTTGTATTATGTTTGTTAGGTACATGTAATAGGTATATGCACACAATTTTGAAAAATGTGTGACGTCATTAAAATTGCAATTTTTTAAAACACATAAAAGGGAAAGTCCGATCGTCATGAAACTTGGTGGGTAGCTAGATAATGGTACTGGTATGCAAAGTCCGAAATGACGTCCCGATGAAGTCATCAGTTGATTTTTGTATGATTTTTTTTTAATATTTAAAATATTTCAAATATATTCTGCTTCCAAAATTGTACACTTCCTTTCATCCGATTAATTTCAAACTGGGCACATTGTACAAACCAAGACCACAATGCCAACTTTTTTACAGTTTTGAAAGAGTTTTAAGGCAGTGACTTGAGCTTGAGAGCTTTAAATCTCTTCTCTTAACAGGATTAAAAGTGTTTTGTGTGTTTTCAGGAATTGTTTTAGTTGGTCAGCAAAGCAAGGAATTACTTAGGTGGAGTTGGCACTGCAGTCTATTATACGGTGCTTATATAGAGCCTTTTAACTTGGGGAAAGCGCAATTTATATGCATTTTATAATAGAATTTATGTTTTATATAATCATTGTTATCTCCTTCACTGTAATATTTTGTAAGAAGTTTTAATTGGCTTTTTGAAAGTGATTTACTGAAGAATAACAAGGCTGTGGTGGCTCATTTTCTCGTTCACCGCTACTGTTTATTAATGTTTCATTCAATTTGCATTAATGCTTATGACAGTTTTCTAAAGACTATAAGGCCACCAAAAAAAAGTCTCCGGTTTCTGGTATGGAGCTTGCCCAAAAAGTTGTGCGGCGACGCGGCTTCTTTTTTTTTTTACCTGATTTTTTTGCTTGAAATGTCGGCTGATGACTGCAAATGGTGCCCGACTAAACTTAGTGCAAATATATGGGAGTCCAGAGAGGCCACATAAAGCTTATTCTCCACCATAACCCAATCTAAAAACTCGTTAAAATTGTGCAGCAGCAGGATTCCAGTCAAACCAGTGAGTTTGGCGGTTTTGAGAGATCATCTTTCATTGAAAAAAAACTTTTTCATTTTGCCGACGCGCATGGCTACGGCGACGCGCGCGCATATCAGAAACCGGAGACTTTTTTTTTTGGCCTAACAGAATTTTGTTCGACTTTTGGTATATTTTTGCATTACTGTATTAAAGGTGACAAAATGTTAACGCCTGCGGATCATTACCAGTAAACTAATGAAAATAATGAAAATTTGCTTTGTAATTTAAAAATATGTTTATGTAGGTTACACAAAAAGGAAATATGTAATTGAATAATTGGTGCGGGATTGGTAGCTACGACTTTTTTTTTGCTTGCTCCGAAGATGTAATGGGGAATGTGAGGGAATACTTAGATTTCGTTGTTAGTGTTGTACAAGTCTTTGTTTCTTCAGTGCAAAATTAGGTAGGGCAAGTATTGGGCACAGTGCAGTTGTTAATCTTAATTCGCTATGCTTTTATTATGTGAGTATATATAATATTATGTTGATTGTTTCTTATAGAAAATGTATTAACTCTCATATTGGCAAATGTAAACTGTAAACTACAATTTGGATTTGTATTACCGTGAAAAATGACGCAAACTTAGTGTTTGTTTATTGGTTTTAACGTACGTGAACGTATATTGGTGTACGCCTACATACATTTGGGGTCCATGAAAAATAAAGTTTAGTATTTGCTTGCAGATAATAGTTATGCATGAAACAAATCGGGCACCCTTTTGGAGCTAAAATTTGTATTTTTTTGTTAATTGAAATTTGTTGGCAATGATTTGCTAATGTCCCGCATATGTTGTTGCTGCGCGTGCAAAAACTGCCAACTTGCTTGCACGAAATTATGACATTTTAGTTTGGTGTATTTGTATACTACTCTCAATCCGTTAGTTTGTCCACTGATAGCAACCCCAGAATATGGAAAATTGGTGTCAGTTAAACTTTCTGGCACTTTCAGTTCTCTCTTTGTGCCTGTGTATTGGTGGATGGCATGCCAGATAGAGGGAAGAAAGACTTGAATCCTTGTATGGTGTTCAAAAGACGACATTTGGCGTCAATTCGTCCTGTGACAAGACTGCTCGACACAACAAATTAAACATGACGGTTCCGTTTCGTCTGGTCGTCGCGCCGTCGCGCCCTGCCCGATGACGTACTAGGCCTACATTGCACATTTTCGCGTAGTGCCCGGCAAGGCGTGGTTTGTCCGTCGTACGTCGTCGCACTAGTAACCTGGTAGGCCTACCTGCGTTTGCCGTCGCCAGGCGGCCTGACCAAAGATCCTATCTATGTCGTTCGAGTAGGTCACCCGGATCGACTTAGGTAAAGGCAGACGGGTTAGCCACAACAGCCTGGCTAATCAAACGCTAAACCTGGCCATCACGATCCTCACGTGACGCCCGTGCCCGCGTAGCAACGGCCGTCATGGCCGTAGCCACTGACAAAAACGTCCGTTTCGGATTGGGTTTTAGCTTGAGATTTACTGCTTTTCAGTCAGTTGCAACTAAAAAACGTTTGGCTGGAATTATAGCCTCAAAAGTTGCAATAAACTCAATAAAATAACGGATTCAAATAAAGTTATAATTTTTTTAGTCCACTTGAGATTTCCGCCGTCCGGCCGCCATATTTGTCCGTTTCTTGGAATGAATACCGCATGCCCCGAGAAAGACGTCGGAGCAGTCAAACGGCACAGGGCTAACCCCGGTGAGCTAAACGAACGCACCCAAAACATGCGGCGCTATCGACCCCTCGACAGTGAGTGTGTCAATTTGTATTTTTTACAATCATCAGGATCGCATACCCTGGACGAATTCGTCACTGTACGGCGACGTAATGGACCGATCCAGTAAGCTCCGCCCAGTGTGCACGTGGGCAAATAAACACGTGTTCCTCTCCAATGCTACGCTGCATTTTCCTTCCGCGCGCATCATACGCGCGTGCACGCATGTCGGACTTTAGCGCACGCACGTCGGACATAAATCATGGCTGTGATTGGTCAGAACACCATGGGGCGGTGCTTACTGGATCGGTCCATTAACGACGTCAGGGTGGTGCAACGCACTTCGCAAAGCCAGTACTTGTTTTACAACAGCAACCGACGTGCCATCGCGTGTTAAAACACGACCAACAGCACTTGCAGTGAATAAAGCCTAGCTACTCGTGTCGCTTTTTTTTGCGTTTTACCCAACAACGTAGCGCGGCTCTTCATTTATATCTTGGGGGTTTCTTCATGTGATTATCACATTTCCTATAGACATCAAGCAAGTATGGACAACGCGTCAAGCTTTGCCTCACCGACAGCGCCGAGCATGGACCCGACAGATGACGGGCCGCTAACGGCCGGGCCTGATGTCGGTATGACCATCAACGCCATTCTGAAACTCATCTTCTATGTCACCGTCATGATTCTCGGCATATCAGGCAACAGCTTGATTTTGAAAGTCTACTGGTCCAAGCCCCAGAAAACCAGTACCCACGTGTTGATCATGGGTCTGGCTTGGATTGATCTCATGGTGTGTGTCTGTCGCATCTACAGTTTGAGTTTCTTCATCTATGTCCTCCTTGGGCGGGAACTCCCGAGCGTGTTCACCGCAATCAGGATCTTTGACGTCGTCAATGTCTTTGCGTCCATTGTTGTGACAGGTGCCATCGCTCTAGAGCGATACGACTGCGTCTGTCGATCAGGCAAAAGGCTTCTGAATCACCGCTGGGCCAAGCTCATGTACCTCGGTTCGTACCTCGCTGCCACTGCTGTGTGTATTCCGATTACTATCGACTTGCTATCCCCCTCAGTGACGGCCAAAAAAGTCTCCCGGACGTTCCAGTTGCTTCTCTATCTTACCGTTGTGTTCACTGCCGTGATTTGCTACGGGAAAGTCTACCAAGCCATACGGAAACACGTCAAAGTCAATGTACTTAGCCGACATGGACCAGGGACTAGTTGGTCCACGGCTGTCACGGTTAAGGCCGAGAGCAGACGACACGATGCCTCCGTCGTCACGGGGGTTAGCATCTCGCAAGCTCTGCCCTCCTCGAGCAAAGAACCGCTGACAGCTGACCGGTCGGGACCCAGGTCCGTCTTTGTCGTCTCAGCCACTGAATTAGCCGGACCCTCGACAAATCCCCCAGATGCCCGGGGACATCTCGCCGATGCACTCCCGTCAACGGGGAACCTTGCACCGGCATCGCAGAACCACGAGGGTGACCGCGAACCGAGGTCCCCGAATCCCCAGGCCAGAGACAACCCGACCAGTGCGACGATGAAACTCCAGCAGAAGACCACACGCATGCTCTTTGTCACAAGTGTCGTGTTCCTTGTCACCTGGCTACCCTACTGGCTTTTTGTCGCCGTCTCTCTTCACAAGCTCAACGGCGGTGACGTTCACCCCAACGTGCTGTCGGTCATGTACAACTGTACGTTGTTTGTGTACATCAACAATGTCGTCAATCCTTTCATCTACGGACTCGCCAATAGGCGCTTTAGAAAAGACTGTCTTGATGTGCTCAGAAAGATGAAGCCGTGTTGAACTATTCTATATGTTTATCCCCAAAACGTTCGGGACAGAATCCTATCCCTGTACATTACTCAATTTATTTTCATAAAAATTCAAAAAATTAAGTTTCAAATGAAGTAAAACTAAAACTCAATCACGGATGAGATATGAAGGGATTGTCTTCTCAGCTGTGAAATGATAAATGACTTTCTTAGATTTGACACAATAATTATACGATGTTCTTTTACATGAGAAAGATCAATAGTCGGTGTACATTATGTTATTTTGCATCTTTTTACGTCAGACTTAAATATATACTCACGGTCGCCGTAGCAAAGGTGGCGAAATAATGCACATAATACACTTTCTTTCTTGTAAATAATCGAGTTTGTTTCATTCAACGAAAAATCAAGTTTGCTCTATTGTAAAAACACCAAATTCTTGTGAGAGAGGAGCCAGTGGATAGTCAAACAGGAGACTTTTTGTGTGATCCATGATAGGCACCACATTACCCCTGAATCATACTATTATTGTGGAAAAGATACTTCATTTTGTGTACTTTATGCTGTACTTGAGTGCTGGTTATGGCAACCAAAACATTTCCTTTCTTTTCAATCACCGCCACAAATTAAACGGGTGCATTGAATGATGTACAACTGATAATGTACCTGACCAACGGTAACGTATCACCAACCGTTAATGTCACACAAATTGACCGATAGTGTAGTAAAAATGCAGTACCCTATCAGTCTATTGTTGTTACACTATATCGTAACAAAATTGACAGATAGTGTAATATTAAACATTCACTACACTATCAGTCAACATTATCGGTTAGTGACACAGTATCGGTCGGTGATACGTTATCCGTTGGTTACTACATTATCAGTTGTAATAAAGGACTCAAATTTGCGGCTAATTTGTAATGCATGTTTCTTAATTGGCAAAATTATGAACCTTTATAATGCGCCCTTAGGTCGACCTTGCGACGACACGGATGAGTCGGTGTCTAACTTTTCAGGCTCAAGCTGCACCTAGTGAGTTACGATTGTCTGGAACAAATCAGTCGCCGATTTGTTTTTGCGACCTGAGTGTATCTGCGACGATGTTAAGACGATCGCCATCTGTCGGCGTAAATCAACAGTCACGGAGTAGACAAAATATCAACTCCTTCGACGAGTTCCCGACGGTCGTAGCAGGGGTATACCTTTGCGATAAGCTATTAAACTATAGTATTTTCAACCCCTGAAATTTCATGCGGACATTTAGACTTGATATAGATCACATCGAAGCCATCCAAGGCTCGCCTAAGGTTTGACCACAAGTGTGCAAAAAAGTATAAGGTTGCACTGCCCGAGACAAATTGAATTGTACAATTGTTATATAGCGGGATGCCGCAATTGGGTGGAGTCGTTTGTATGCTAATGTGTATTTATTTTTTATTTACCCTGGGGAAACCACTTGGTGGTACACGGTTTCCCAGATTTAAAATTACAATTACAGAAAACACTAAACTAGTAAAATGTAGGTACATAAAAACACTTTAAATATATATAGATAAAAAAAAAAATCACGGACCATCCAGTAAAAACAAACAAAAAACAGATATACACAAAGAAAAAATTGCACTGAAAAAAAAAACAAGAGCACCCATGCACTGCATAAAACTGCGTGAATAATATTAAATCTTGAGCATAAATATTGTCTGCATGATGTGCAGTTTTAAAAAAGCTGCAAGCAACCAAAACCAGAGGTCAAGCAATTTGCCCCATTATAACAGGCGCATTATCGATGGGTACTGCACTAGCACATTAAAAAATTAGCAGGTTTTTGTATGCTTTTAAAGCTGGCAAGAGTAGCAGCCAAAGGGCATTTAAGAGGTTTAGGAAGGGCGTTGAATGAATAAGCTCCACGAACCACAAATTTCCGTTTACCTGATTTAGATTTACTGAATGGGGGAACAAGGTTTCCTTGAGAACCATACCTATAGTGTTATGTGTGTGAGCATTCATGGTATGAGTGAAACAGTTGCATAGTTGTGGTGGCAATTTCGAGGGAAGTCTCTTGTAGACGAGTGTATTTAAGTGAAAAGTACGCCTTTCTTCTAAAATATTCCACCTCGGAGTCGATAAAACAGAGTCTGTTGGGGATCTCCGGGGAAGACCCAAGATGACTCGCCCAGCACTACTCTGGAGTCTGTCAAGCTTGACGAGGGACATTTTTGAAGCGTTACCCCTGCACAATATCACAATAACCAAAGTGCGGGAGAATCAGCGTTTTGTATAACAAATTTACTGTATGCTGAGGCAGGACATTTCTGACTCTCCGGAGAAGCCCCACACGCTTGTTAATTTTCTTTGACAGTTTGTCAATGTGCACATTCCATGTTACAGATGGATCTGAGTAACATTATCAATGGCAATATTATTGCTATTATCTCGACATGTAAATTGTCCTCGCTTGAATTGTCCTATATTGTATATATACGTTGATATTATTATACTCACTTTTAATTAATTATATTACTGCGTGTAACGTACCTTTTGATTACTGTATTAAAGCCTCATTGGCAAACCTTAGCCTCTCAGGTTGAGAGTCTCAGGTTGAGATGCACACGGGCCCAACACACCCACCTTACATACACACACGGTGTTAAACGAGATGATGTACACGCGTATGAGATGATTTAGATGAAAAGTAGTGCATGTAATGTATATAAAGTAGACTGGACACGTGGCCGTTCTAGAGCAATGGAAAGACACGAATCATTAAATGTAGTGATGTTACATACATGCATTTACATGTATTTTGGCCTCCATATACTGCACGAGAAAACGCATTACAAAATAGTGTTGACTCGTCATGACTCCGCACCTTTTTTAAATGCTGGTTCCCATGGCCGTCAAAGGCCAGATCTGCGATGCTCCAATAGCCACATTTAATTTTTGTTTGTATGATATTGGTCTATATGTATCTCTGTATACCACATTTGGCACTGTTGACATAAAATGCAATCGGTTTGCCATGCCGCCCAGGCCCAGTGCACTATACAGCCGATTTGAGCGATTTAGGGATATTGGGTAACTAGCAGAAGTTGCTATAGCGAGCCCAATTTTCAAGACGGAAAGATCTACCCCTCAAATGGCATCAGGCCTTTTTTTAGTTACAAAGAAAGTAAGTGTGTACCTTAAGAATACGTATGAGTTTATAACTCATTTCTATCCCCAAATAGGGCGAAGTCACGGGATGGGGGGGGGGGGGGTGTCCTCGATAGCAATACAACCCCTAGAGAACACGATTGCTGATACATTTTGGGACAACCATAATATTTTTTCTTGTTTACCCATCCAATCCAGATGGTATAAAGTGAAAACACGATGGGACCATTTTCGAGAGAGCTGTATCTCCAAAAATATTTCATCTGTTTTAGAAAATTAGCTTAAAGAAATAGCAGGGTATCTTTTGGCCGGAGCTGGAAGGCAAAAGTACCGGCTGTACATCTTAAGAGCACCATTTTTGGATGTTCCAAGGTATCATACATTAGAAAATAAGTTAAGATTAGTCATACATTATTTTTGCGATTAAATTGCCTTACCCCAGGGACTAGAAAGCAGTTTTCCAAAAAAGTAACAAATGTCTGAATATTTGTATTTGTTTTCAAATGGACGTGTTTCATCACAACAAATTGACCCACCAATTAAGTATCCATGCACTGACTTAAAATGAGTTAAGGTATAAATGATTTTCTACACAATATTACCCCTCCCCCGCACAACAGTAATGAGATGAATTCTCAGTCTCATTTGATTAAGGACACCTTGAAGGAAGGACGGAGAATAATGAGGAAAAGCAATTAGGCAACTACCTTGGCGGTTGTCTAATATGATTTTCCCCGTTATACGTCTCATACATTACCGATATTGCTACGACTAACGCAAATTCCGAACACTGTTATTATCCACTGCATGAAATGTAATAAATTTAATAAAATTAAAAAAGAGTTTTCTGATGGTTATATAATTTTGCCATATGCTGTATGTAGATGGAATTCCATAATGTTGGCATATCATATGAACACCCAAAAAGTGGATTATCAATTAGCATTTTGGGTAATAACCGGAGAGAAACCACTGAACATAATTGTGTTTGTTTTGGGTATTAAAGTTCCATTCTCATTTGCAATACAGTGGGCTTGTGGTAGCCCATAATGCAATTTCGGGTACATTCCTTGAAACTCTCGGGATCACTTAAAGATACCTCAAGGAGTTCACAACCACTTGATGCCATTTTTCTGACCCTTTTATGGGCGGGCCATGACTTTAAAAAGTGGGGGCTTCGTGTGCGGATTCAGATAAATCCAGGACGGGGGGTATAAGCGAAATGCTAGATTTGTTTACAAATTGGTGGTCACGAGTTGCCAACAGGGGCGTCAATCGCTTCTCAAAAGTGGGGGGGGGGGGGGGACATACCTTGATCAGAAATAATGCGAGCGCGAAGTGCGAAGCCACCAGCGTGGGGTTCGGGGCCCGCTTAACCCTAAAGGGGCCGGGGGCGGAATGCCCCCCTCAACATTTTGCATGATAGCTTCTAAAAAAAAAAATCGCGACCCGAGCTGTTATGACTTTTTAGCCTCGAGCTTTGCGCATCTTTTGATACCAAAAACATAAAAATCGGACCACGGGTTTCCGCGTAGCGAAAAATTTTCCGGCGCTACGCGCCGTGAAAACTGAATTTTTGCATACACGTCGTGTACAAAGAGCAGAATTGCCATTCGTACATTATGAATAATTAATTAGCCATAATTCCAAAACCCTTTGACCTATAGGCATGAAATTTCAACCTGGTTGAAGTCATTGAATAAGCTATTATATTCTAAGCTAAAGGCGTGGGGTTCGGGGCCTGAGGGCCCCGAAAATGGTCCCCCTGTCCCCCCAGGATTGACGCCCATGGTTGCTAACTTTCAACAACATGTTTTCTACTGCACTGCATGTACTGCATTATGCATCTCTTGGAATGTGATTTGTGTACAATTTGAGTGATGTCATTTCAGCACCAAATAGTTGCCAGTATGTTGATATTTCATCGTCGTAATTTTTTTCTTCGGTGATTCGCTGCTGTGTCAGTACATGGCAGTAAGCCAATGAGCAAACTTCTTCTCACAAACGTTTTCAATGAGCGACTTTTGGGCTTACAATTTGTACAGAAAACCCCTAAGGCCAAAAAAAGTTTCCGGTTTCTGGTATGCGCTTCGCCGTAGCCATGTGTGTCGGCAAAATGAAAAAGGTTTTTTTTTTCAATGTAAGATGATGTCTCAAAACCGCCAAATTATGGGCAGGGCGTAGGGAACATTGTATTGATTTCGTTTTTTTGTTGTTGTAAATTCGTGTTTTCTGTCATGATTTAATTTGCCATGATTCTAGCCACGCTTCAATAAAAAGTGCAACCCACTTAAGAGCCTTTTCTTTTTTTAGATTTTTACCAGGAATTAAATCTTGGATTTCCTATATCAAATTATGCGCAGGCCTCCAGTTGTGGCCTGGAGCAAGGTCAAATTATGTTTTCAAAGATTGCATTTTGTACCAATACGTTTCTAATTGAAACGTCGGATGCGGTTGCAACAATCCTACACGACTCCTCCAAACAGATCCAATTTGAGGACTTCCCATGTCAACAAGAAGTCCTTCGTTGGCTATTAAGCGACAGTGAATCATTGAAATGGACCTGATTCATGACATATGACATGGATTATTGAAGCAGGCAATTCCACAGAGGAATCGGCTTAAGACTAAAAAGAGGCTTATATGCACTCATTTCCAAAGCCGGCCCTCAGAACCCAGCAAATGAAGTTGAAATTCTGACAATACCAAGCCACTTTCTTTTCTGTCAAACCATTCGATATGGATTTATACACTGCCGGCATAATGTGCATTGGTGACACAATTTTAAGAACATCTTTCCCATACATTTTTACATGGATGTGATAAGAATATCACTTCCATTGTTTTCGTGTTGACAAAAGTGCCGTTCTTTAAACATTTAAAAATTTCCCATGCTTTTCCGAACAACTGCAGGGCGCTGTAGCTGTGATGTCATTTCAGAAAGACACTGTTCAGTTTAGGGGTTTTCTGTTGTGACCCAAATATTTGCTTGTTGAAAATTTTTGTGAGAACAGTTTGCTTTTTGGCTTACTGTCTTGTACTGAAACAACAAATCGCCAAAGAAAAAAATGCCGCAAATTATCTAAAATTCTGGCAACTTTTCGTGCTGAAAAACTATAACAAGGAGGTTTTTGCCTAAAATGACATCACACTTTTGCTCATGAATATGTACATTTGCATTAGCATAAAACCAAAAAAAGGCACTAAAATACCCTGGCAAATGGCAAAATGAAAATTGAAAACAAGGTTAAATTGGACACAATGGTGCATATTCAAGGATTTCAAAAAAAAATACATTGCATTGGCACTTTAATACTTAATTTGATTAACACATATAATCATTAGAGACCTGAATGTGTGGTCACATGGTGTTTCTATTTTCAACGTAGTGTGTTTGACTCATCACATTAATGTCTCGCTTGTTCTTCTAACGATACTGTACACAGAAGTTACTAATTATATAGTTTCTTGCAATAATGATAGTCGCACTGATTTCACAATGGCGTTTGCCATTTCGTCGACACGCTGAACGCAGCTTGACGGGGGTACAGGGTGTAAAATGACGAACTAATGGCTAACTATCTTCGCAGCTTGATTGTCAGTCGAATGCTCCTTGAATCATACAGACATCATTGTTGAAATAAAGCAATGCCACGACAAATTGCCATCGTTCAGAAAAATAACCATTAAATTGTGTTCGGTCCATTACAGATTTCATATACTTCACTTCACTTTATTACTGCTTAATCGCACTTTTATCCAGTAAGGTATGAAGAGGTATTGTTAATAATGTTTGTCTCGAGTGTTCACACGCGCTTTCCTGCCTCTCAAAAGAAGAAGAAGATGCAGCGTTAACGACTTCCTGAGGATTTGGATGAGGTACATTAAACACACAAGGCTAGCTCTTTTGATGTGAAAATTGGCACTCTGACAGCTTATCTTCAGTAAAAAAAGCACGAAACAATGTAAGGTGGAAAAGAGTAGGTAATATGTAGCTGGATATGAACGTCGCTAGTTTGTCGCTTTCCTCCTTAAAAAAACCCAATAATTCCGTTGTTCTCCTCGCTGAAAAAAAGTTCATTACAGCGGGTCAGGGTGGATGGTTATATTGGGCCTATATAGGGCCTAAAAAAATGCACAACAGAAAATCAGAATCCAACGCGCATAATATATTTTGGTTTTGTATACTCTGATTCTCCCTTTTTCGGTTTTCCACTGTCTCAGGTTTCGGACAAAATCCCCCCTCCCATAATAGTAATAGAGGCGAATGTTCGAGGTAGGTGGGTATGACTGGTGAAATGACGGTGTGCGTGTACGTTGATCTAGACAAAAATGGATAAAGTTCGAAAACAATTGATATTGTCCAGAAAACATTCTCAATTTTATTCGATAAAAAAAGGTTTCCACAATGTTATGCTATCCATGCTGAATTAAAATCTTGCTCTTCAAGGCTATATTGTTGTTACTGCTATAACAATTAAAACAAAGTTCTCAGGTGCCACAAAACGGAGTTTTCCATGGTAGATGACGTCTAGGCCTATGATTATGTACCCCTAGAACTATGGGTATTAGTTCTAGGGGTATGATGTAAATACTGATGATCCAGACAATGGATAGAGTTCGGATTGTATTTAAATTGGCGTACAATAAATGACTAGTCTTTGTACCGAGTCTGATTGTCACGTCAATGAAGTATAAGTAAAGAAACTTCTCCACCGTGAGGCAACATGATCCCGACGAATGAACGACATGGGTCATTCCACCGGGTTGGCAGGAAGCAGTGCACGATACATCCATATATTTGTGGTTATTATCAAAAGTATGAATGGATCAAAACCATTGCTTAACATAATATTTGTCTTAGGGCGTTTAAATATATACTTGAGAAAATTTGAAATCATTTGAAAGTACTTTGACAAAAATATGAGCAAAAATGTATTAATTCGGATGTAACATTGACACCGTGTCAAAAATTGTTACATCCAAATATCTTTTTTTGCCATTTTTTACACGTTTCAATGTAAAATATTAACCAAACTGACATTGCATGTTTACAACTGGACACCTAAGCACCAAGAAAAGCTTTTGTTTTGGTATAGTCAGGGTTCAAATACAGCAGAAACAATTCCTCAAGTGTGGATGAAAATCACGTACTCAATGGAAGTGTGACATTTGCGTTTTACACGTGTCAATGTTACAACCACGTACACAATCAAGCTATCATTTCTGCTCCATTGTGATGCCTGACTACCGTAACAAAAGGTTTTCTTATTGTGTTGCATGTATAGTAAGAAGTACGCAAAGTGAATTTGGGTAATGTTTCGCAGAATTTAAAAAAAACACCTAAGCACCAAGAAAAGCTTTTGTTTTGGTATAGTCAGGGTTCAAATACAGCAGAAACAATACCTCAAGTGTGGATGAAAATCACGTACTCAATGGAAGTGTGACATTTGCGTTTTACACGTGTCAATGTTACAACCACGTACACAATCAAGCTATCATTTCTGCTCCATTGTGATGCCTGACTACCGTAACAAAAGGTTTTCTTATTGTGTTGCATGTATAGTAAGAAGTACGCAAAGTGAATTTGGGTAATGTTTCGCAGAATTTAAAAAAAACACCTAAGCACCAAGAAAAGCTTTTGTTTTGGTATAGTCAGGGTTCAAATACAGCAGAAACAATACCTCAAGTGTGGATGAAAATCACGTACTCAATGGAAGTGTGACATTTGCGTTTTACACGTGTCAATGTTACAACCACGTACACAATCAAGCTATCATTTCTGCTCCATTGTGATGCCTGACTACCGTAACAAAAGGTTTTCTTATTGTGTTGCATGTATAGTAAGAAGTACGCAAAGTGAATTTGGGTAATGTTTCGCAGAATTTAAAAAAAGTGTCATATTTGGACATAACACTGACACGCGGTGTCAATGTTACGTTCAAATAATGACATTTTTTGCTCATATTTTTTTGGCAAAATACATTGAAATGATTTCAAACTTTCTGCAGTAGTGAAACACCCAACAACAAATATTATGTAGAGCAACGTACTGCTAGCAAGGAATTCATGCTTTTCTTAATGGTCATGTGTCACACATTGTTCCCCAACCCGGAACCCATATCCTCTTCGGAAATAACCGTCCACGCCTACTTTAGTCACGTGTACGTGCAGTCAGGTGATCATCACGAGGCTACGGGTCACGTGAAAACAACTGTCTCGCACTATCGCGCGATAGCCCAGCTGACTAGCTGCACTGCCGCCCTACCGCGCCGCATACCCTGCTGCTCGTGCAGTGCTACCAAAGATTTCTGTGTTTTTTTTTCTTCAGTCTTAGCAATGGCGATCGTGAAAGTTTTCCTTTTAGTCTTGGCGGTATTGCCCATAGTTCTGGCTGACACTCCGGCTAACTGCACTTATGATGATCTCGTGGGACGGTGGGTGTTTAAAGTGAGTGCCGGAGGGGGCGACAATACACTCAACTGCACCAGTCCAGGTACGTAGGAAAATGCACGGCGACATAATATAATCGGACATGTCGGATACCACAAGCACTAGCAGCACTGCGTTAGGCCATTAGGCCCAAGTCCATCAAACTCCATCAATATTTAGTCAGGCCAGGCCTTCTGGACCAAATCCATCCCCCCAAATCCACCAAAATATTAGGGGGATGGATTTTGATGAAGTTGGGGTGGTTATAGCTGGAGTTACCCAGCCCTGAGTTTTATCATTAAATGCCAACCCAATGATAAAACTCAGGGCTGGGTAACTCTAGACCCGTGAACGTGGCTTGTAAACTACGCCACGCTGTTGTGTATTTTCGAACCTGGCGAACGTGTCCCTCTGACTCCCTCCGTTACACACACTGGACGTTATTTTGCCCATGTAATAAGTACTCACATATGAAGCTGTCTTGAATTCTATTTGTACGTCAAAACTTGCATTTGACAAAAATTGAGGAAAATTCTGTCCCCGGTTCATGAAGTCCGTCCCCTACTGCTAGCTGCCATTTTCTCCCAACTGACGCATGCGCATTGCATTTTATATTCGTATGATTCAACGGCTGTTTACTGTCGCAGCTAAAACGGACATCGTTTTAGACAAGTTTCAAGTCCTTTCCTCTCTCACCGCACCGCACGCGGTCGAACGTGCGCCCGCGTGTGTGTGCGCACACGTACTGTACACGAGATGAGCCGAGCAGCCAATCGTCTGCAGGGTTTTTTTTCGGGGTTGCGACATGAAACAGCCGTCAATCTGTCCAAGCGACTCGGACGCGTCCGGGGTTATTTGTCAGGGTCAGGTTACAATCTAATTTCTACACGTTCGTATGGGTCTTTACTGATGGGCAAATTTCGTCGAAATTACACAGCCTAAACAATCGGACGGGCAAATTTAGATTTCTAGGTGAGTACTCAACACCCATACGGAATTATGTATGTCGGATCAATTTCGCCAGCTTCGAAATGACACAAGAACGTGGCGTTGTATACAACGCCACGTTCACGGGTCTAGGTAACTCCAGCTAGGGTGGTTAGGGTTACAAAAAAAATACATTGCATTGCCCTTTAACTTGTATGACATTCTACTTACTCCTCAATAAATCAATAAAACCATGGAGTGCAGTGTAAGGAATAAATGCCAGGGCAGTTGAGGATGCTTTGAGGGCTATTGGGTTAATTCATTGTCACTGTGAATTTCCTCCCTGTCATAGGACCGGTGGACCACATGGTCATTGTCGACCTCAAGTTTCCTGATGTCGCTCTAGATGTGACCTACGGCCATGAGGGATATTGGACCCTGATCTACAACCAAGGCTTTGAGGTGGTTCTCAACAACAAGAAATACTTTGCCTTCTCCAAGTATGTAAAAGAGGGCGAAAAATATAAGTAAGTACATTGTATCAAACTATAATATTATTAAACAAACAGGAAGGGTGATGTAGCTTAACAGTGGAAATAAATTTAAAACAGTGAATATGGTTACCAAAATTAAATACCCAATCTTTTGGACCTCCCTCGAAGTTCCTCATATCGGGAAATTTGGGACTCTCAATACTGTGTATGAGAGTCCCACAACTTAAGGTATAAAAACATGCAACACGAAAACAAGACATGTATACTGGCACCACAACTTGTTCCCTCAAGAACTAAATGTTTGCTGGCATTTTTGATCGAATTGTGAGGGGGGGGGGGGGGGGTTGGGGTTGGTCTAATGGTTTCCGTGTTCGACTCGTCTGCCGTGGTACATGGGTTCGAATCCTGACCGGGAACATGGTCCTTGTGCTCTTGAGCAAGGCACTTTACCATTATTGCTTCGACGTAAAGTAGTAGGTCCCGTGTGTTGTGTAATGCACGTAAATCAGTAACACTTATGGCTAAGAGAAGGGGTTTGCTCCTGTGTTTTACTGGCAGTGGCTGCAATATGCGGCACAGCACCTTGTATAACCTTTATAAAGGTGCTATATAATGGGTCTCATATTTCTCGTAAACTTCATTTATCTATCTTTTAAAAAATTGACATGATTACCAGTGCCTTGAGTACCTAATTGTTGGTAGATACGTGCGCTATATAAGACTCTGGTATTATTTTATTTTTCTTATCTTAGGAGCATGTGTGATGAGACTTTACCTGGCTGGTCCCACAACGTGGTGGGTACCGACTGGGCATGCTACGTCGGCACCAAGAATCAGACTAGAAATCGACCACGTTCAGAGACACTTGTGTAAGTTCAGAGTTCCTATTACTGGCAACCCCTTTGTAACAGTCACCCCTTCCCCTCCGTCCCCCTTCTCCCTCCCCTTCCCCTACCCCCTCCCCTTCCCCTACCCCCTTCCCTTCCCCTACCCCCTCCCTTTCTAGTGTTGGATCCTTATTGATACTAGACCCGGTGACTGAGGTGCGATAGAACTCTTTTTTTTCTTCGAATTTTGACTTTGGTCAGTCGCTCTAGGATAACTACCAAAGAATATTTCATCACAAGGTCCGGTGAAATAGGTTCCGAGTTTATCATCAAACCGTCTGTTCTTCTGGCACAAGGCAATTTAAAATGATTTCCTTTTAAAATTGATATTAAATAAAACTGTAAATGTTATTTGCCTATTAGTTACTTCGGTTATTTAAACAAAACAAAAGGGGGGGGGGACTTTTTAAACAAAGTAAACTCCACACAATAATCTAGGCATGAGTTTAGACTTTTGTCTGAATTCAAACTTTTTTGAATCTGAGAGAAAGACATGATCAGTATGGAAAGAAATACATCTTTCAGTCCTTTCATCCAATTTTCAGGCTTTTTTAATTTGACAATCTCATCCCTAGATTGATGCAGGCTAGAATGAAGACCCAACAATTTGGTCTTGGCAGCCATTGCATTAAGTGTCTTTCTGCAAAACAAAAAAAAGCTTTATTTTTTATCTATTTTGCAGGGATCCAATGAAGCAATTGTACAAAACAGACTACGAGCTCATCAATAACATTAACTCGGCTCAGAACTCCTGGACTGCCGGAGTTTATCCGGAATACGAGAAAATGACGGTAGAGGAGATGCTTCGCAGAAGGGGAGGCAGAGCATCAATGATGGCATCGTAAGTCTCAATTGGCAGAGAAATTCTTTACATGTTTTTTGTGTGGGCATTGTTTGTCTCAAAGCACCTGAAGTTTATGGGAGATGTCCACTTTGCAGTGTCAGAGTTGAAGGCAAATGACCCTTGCTTTTGCCAAGGGATCACTGAAGCACACATTGCCAATGTAGCATACGCTTGCGACTAATTTTCATTTGGATGTGTTCAAAAAGATCTGGTACATTTTGACTTTGGTCAGTCGTACTTGGCTACCAACCAAAGAATATTTCATTACAAGGTCCAGTAAAATATGTTCATTCATAAGATGGATTTTTTCTTCGGGTTGATGTAAATCAAATTAGGTTTTGCCCTTCACCGACGTATAAACACTAATTACCGGTATACAGTGTTGATACGTCAGTGAAGGGCAAAACCTAATTAAAAAATATGTTCAGTTTATTATCGAACCATCTTTTTCTTCTGGCTCGATTATCTAGACATGAGATTTTTCAGACTTCTGGTACATTTGCAACTTGGTGTGATTGGCGTGCACCTCAGTATCCTATTAAAAAAGTTTGGATTTAACAAAAATTGGATAGAAAAACCTGGTGTAAAGCGCTGAACCTTTTTTTTCTCTCTCAAGTATTGTATCGTTTGTAAATTGTGATCAGTGTTTATGAATCAATCTTAATGGCTTGATTGGTAAACAAGCGCGAGTGCACAATAAGCTCTGGCCGGGCTCCAGAAAGTCTTACTTCATATGCAAAATAAATGTGTATGCGCATCGATCGAGACAAAGGGGCGTGTTCCGAAAACTTTTGCCAAGAGTGCTTTACTGACGACGGCATTACATTTGGTCAGTTTTTGGTCAATTTTCCGGGGACAGACCGACCGACCTACCGACCAACCGACCAACCACGAAGTAACATGTAGAAGTTCCTGCCAGAGCTTAAAAACATGAGTGAAATTGAGATACTAGACTGGTCAAATATTAGGAAAGTTATCTTTCTGATGTTTACAGTCGTTAACATTTAAAAAACAATTAAAAAATTGTGCGTTTACAGTCACTCCCCAAAAAAATATCCAGGTGCATGTGCATGTAGGTTGGTGGAAAAATAATTTTATTGTGTAACTTTTTTTTAATGCTTGTCTGTTGGTCTATACCTACTTTGTTTACTTTAGGGTTGCTTTAACAGTATTCTGGCTCATTAACATGTTTTATTGTTTAATTATTAACACACAAAAAACCTCACGTGGGGAAGACTTTTTTATTTCCAAAACATTTTTTTGGCCAAATATGGCAATAAAAAGTTTGAGGTCTACAGTTTGGCTTAAAAAATCCAGGTAGGTTGGGTTAGGCCAAAAAAAAAAGTCTCCGGTTTCTGATATGCACGCGCGTCGCCGTAGCCTTGCGCGTCGGCAAAATGAAAAAGTATTTTTTTCAATGAAAGATGATGTCTCAAAACCGCCAAACTCACTGGTTTGACTGGAATCCTGCTGCTGCACAATTTTAACGTGTTTTTAGATGGGGTTATGATCGAGAATAAGCTTTATGTGGCCTCTATGGTCTCCCATAATATTTGCACTAAGTTTAGTTGGGCACAATTTGCAGTCATCAGCCGACATTTGAAGCAAAAAAAACAGGTAAAAAAAAAAAAAAAACGCGTCGCCGCACACATTTTGGGCAAGCTCCATACCAGAAACCGGAATTTTTTTTTTATTTGGCCTTAGCAATTTATGTGTGACGTTGCCCAGTTTGAGAAAATGTTTTGAATCTTCTTCTCCTCCTAGACAGTAGTTTGTGTATTGGTACCAGTTCTCAATAAGGATTAGTACATGTACTAATATTATTATTATTTCTGGTAATGAAACAAAGGATTCCTCAAAAGTGCCCTGTGTGCTGTAGCTGGCAAGCCTGAAGAAACCTGTAGAGAGAAGACAATGAGAAGCAATTACAGTTTTAGAGGTGGGAGGACAACCCCAGAAGAACATTATGGGGAAAACCCACAGAATCAGGCAGGGACTGAAAACCCAATCCACATTATTTGCCCAGGCGGGATTCGAACCCGGGTCACAGTGGTGGAAGGCGAGGAAAGTACCACTACGCTGACCTGACTCCCCTGGGAGATTGATATTTACATCCAAAAAATCAATATAATCAATACGTCATAAAAAATATTTTTTGGGGTTGTTGTTCAGGAAACCTAGTCCAGCTCCAGTCACAGAGAAGGTGAGAAAGCTAGCAGAAACACTTCCCCCATCCTTTGACTGGCGCACCATCAACGGCCAGAACTTTGTGTCGCCCGTAAGGAACCAGGGAGGCTGCGGTAGCTGCTATGCCTTTGGGTCTTTGGCCATGCATGAGGCTCGTCTACGCATCGCTTCCAACAACACCAAGCAGACGGTCTTTGCACCCCAGGAAGTCGTGTCATGCAGCGAGTATTCCCAAGGTAATTCTCTTTTCAATGTCAGATTGGGTTTTTTCATTTGTGGAGTTTTGTTAGTCTGGTTCCCTGACCGAACAGTTTGACTAGATGTCTCTTTATAGATGGTATGTCAGGTAGCCGTCGTATTCAAACATTAAAGAATATGACGCAGCAAATTTCCAACCCAGTCCGAGCATATGTTTGAAGCTCTAGGCTTAAATTGACATTGAGTTTTGCAAAGACTTTAAAACTAGTAACAAGCATGACAGGTACTTTGTTGGTAAGTGAAACTATTTTACACCTGGAAATGCCCGAGCTGTTCTAAATGTATCCGAGTGTCAGCAAATATGTAATCGGGAAATTTCAGACATTTCTTGAAATGGGCAAGATCCTGCACATTTTGGTTATGTACTGTGATGTTTACACGTCCAAAACTTTGTCACAAACAGTCGGTATCTGTTGGCCATGAAACCAGACTAGGGTTTGTAGAAGAACGGCTTTGTATACAAAAGGTTGAAGTGATAATGCTTTGCATGGTGGAGTCTTATCGTTACACTTTGTAATAACTTTGTACTTTTATTATTAAGTAAGTGTACTGTTTAAGAGAAGCATATTTAGAGCAAAGTACACTGCTGAGGTGTTTCTGTGGAATGAAGGATAGTTGGAATGAAAACAAAAGAAAGAAACTTTCACAGAAACTTCCCCCCAAAAAAGGAAACTTCTTTTTCTGTTTAAACACCCTATAATGTTAGGATGTGAGGGTGGATTTCCATATCTGATCGCCGGAAAGTACGCTGAAGATTTTGGTCTGGTCGAAGAGTCCTGCAGTCCCTATGTCGGAATGGACACGCCCTGCAAGAAGACCACCTGCAAGCGTTACTACGCAACCGACTACAAATACGTTGGGGGATTCTACGGTGGATGCAACGAAGAGTTGATGCGGATCAAGCTGGTCAAGAACGGACCAGTTGCTGTTTCCTTTGAGGTCTACCCTGATTTTCAGGCGTACAAGGGTGGCATTTACCATCACGTGTTTCGCGGCGATCGCACCGGCTTTGGGTTCAACCCCTTCGAGCTCACTAATCATGTCGTCTTAGTCGTCGGTTACGGCGCGGACCCTACGACCGGAGAACGGTTCTGGAGCGTCAAGAATAGCTGGGGGGAGGGTTGGGGGGAGCAGGGATATTTCCGTATCCGGCGTGGCACTGACGAATGCGCAATAGAGAGCATTGCCGTTGAGTCTTTCCCAATCTATCCCTAAGCATCTTTTTTTTAAGTCACAGACTGGACATGCCTGGACATCTCAGTAACTGCACTTACAACTGTAAAACCAATACAGTTTACTGTGATTTCAATGTTGCACCCATACACAAGTGACCAAGAGAGTAATCCAACATCTATTGCAAAACTTATAGCCTTTACACTCTGTTCTTGAATTTCTTGAAGGATGATTGCCTGCCAACCAGTAAGTAGTCTTGATCCAAATTCTATCCCCTATCCGATTTGTTAGTGTGACGTCACCTCCAGCACTTTCTGCACGATTGGAACCGGAAGTTAACGCAGCTCGAGCGTTTGTAGCCAATGGGCGCTAGTAATCAGTGGAGCGCGGGCGTGTATGACGTTTTTACTAACGAACCGGATTTGCAGACAGTCATGTGATCAAACGCAGGGAAGTTGCCATGGTGGTGGAGGTGTCTATCAACAAGATGAATCTAATCCAGTCTAGGCAATATTGGCAGCCCTACCTACGAAAGTCCGAGCATACCTCACGTGCATGCATTAAGTTGAATGCAGCGCGCGTGAGGTTGTGCTCGGAATCTCCTGGGTAGCGCTGCCAATATTGCCAGGACTGGATTTGATTCATCTTGATAGTGACCTCGCTCGCCACGGATTGGTTGTATCAGGAGAATAGAAAAACAGACTTGGACAAAGACTAACCAGTAATGTTGTCTTCAAGTTCATATGCCGATTAAGTAAAAAAAATGATCTTGTTAGCAGTGGCCCTTCAACAAAAGATAACTTTGTACTTACTAATCAAAGAGCTGATATGAAATGTCGGTCTTTCTGTAATTTGAGCAACTTTTGGATTTTTGTTTTACTTTTGCAAATTAAGCACTGTTGATATATTGATATTACTCGATTATTAGATAATATTTTGATATCGATATCGCGGATCGAAATTTTTTTAATCATATCGACATATCGAACATTTTGATATTAAGGAATGATATCGACGTGAAAGCCGTGGAAAATTGGGACTAATATTTTTTTTTTTAAATGAAAGTGTCATCTTTATGGTCTTTAACTTTTATATGGAACAATCGATAGGGACCTATATCAAATATTCTCGATATTGGTGCTTACTTGGCAGAATTTATTTCATTGTTAATTTTTCATTACTATATAAATTCAGCATTGAAGAATGCACCACTGTTTGAAATTAAGGGAATTAATTAATTAAGGGACTTCGGAATGCGTGTAGTCTACCAATACTATGGTCTTTTCCCTTTTTATGCAATGTTCATGTAAATATGAGTGCTTTGAATTTCCACAACTGAATCAAAAAATATAATTTTCTGGTAAAACTAAATGTCTTAGAAATGCCTGAAAAAAAATTGATAATTTTTGCAAAATGTGTCCAGACTGCCTACTGCCTTTCCAATTTAAATTTTAAGTATCTTTTTAAAAAATGAAATGTGCATTTCATTGTATGCAAAGTTAGAACTTTTGAAACATTTATGAATTTGAATTATTTTTGTGATAGAAATTTGTTGATGTTACAGTCGAGAATGAGATTGCGTCTTTTAGAATAAATTTTGCTAGTAATAGTTTGTAATTAGTATTACATGTACAAACATTTTATACTGTGGGAAATGACCTTAAAAATAATACAAGATTAGGTAAAATTTAATGTGTAAGTTTACAATCAATGATTTTGTATAATCAAAATAATTAAAGGGTGCTTTCATGCAAATTTGGCATACGTGTCCAATAAAGATGAAATATTAAGCTGCTTTTATTCTTGCAAAAAAACTAAGCTGCACGTTTAGTGTTCTTGCATGGAAGTACATGTAGTCTAAACCTTAAAAATAATACAAGATTAGGTAACATTTAATGTGTAAGTGAACAATCAATGAATAATTAGCAGGGTGCAAATTTTGTGCATTTGTCCAATAAAGATAACCATTTAAGTGGCACTTTTATTGTTCTAGGTTTGCACTGAAATACATGTAGTTTAAACTTGCTTTTTGCAATTTGCAACCACAAAGCTAACAAAACAGTTTTAAAAGTACTAGTCTCAAACTAGTCTTTATTTCATGAAATAGTTGAATAAAAAAAAAGTATGTACTTACTCCAGGTTATCTGTTTATTTTCCATAGTTGTGTTATTTTAAAGTTTAGGAATGAATCAAAGAGTTGTTTGATAGTTGCTGAATATTTGTGACTTGCAGGCTGAAGCAGGGTAATTCGCAAGTCAAAATCAAGAGATTTTGTTGAAAACGTCATAATTTGACAGGGATATATTCGTTCACTTTAAAAACAAAACCCCAAAATGTGATTTATTAAAAATGAAAGTCAATAGATATTTGTCCTTGTTGTTGCCGCATCTTCCACTCTTTACCTCTCCACCATGCAAAGATGCATCTTTGTTACTTTTCATTGTTTAAGCCATGCTAAGTATAGTCCTCTCGGCTGTGCTACCGTATAGCAGGGGCTCCTTCCAATTATTACGGATTATTTGATCGAGAAAATTTGGGGGAGTGTGGCCTAGTGGTAAGGGTTTGTGACACATGCTCAGAGAGCCTGGGGTTCGAATCCAGTTACTAGCCATATATTGTGTCCTTGGGCAAGCCACTTCACCCCACTTGCCTCTCTCCACCCAGGAAATGTGTACCGCTGTAGCGTGAATATCCAACTCCGTGAAATGTGGACTCGTTGGTAGTACTGCGCACGCGTGAGTACGATACTATGCTATTTTTAGAATTGTTTCGGAAGAGTGACCTGTCACGTGCGAGGGATCAACCAATAATAGGGAAATAGGGGTCCGATTTTCATAGGAGACGGATTTTCGTGTGACACCGGCATTAGCTGGGGAGTAACCTGCGATGGACTGGAATTCCATCCAGGGGGATAGAACTATTCTCAGCTGTACATGCTAATGTACATTCATAATTTTGGTTGTAACAAGGTAAAGTGGACATTTTAGCTTCCATCGCTTTGGTTCAAGTTAGTCACTTGAGAGTTCTTTTCCATTGTGCTTGAAATGTTGGCCTTGCTAAATTTATATCACTGCTTCTTCCCCCGTATCAGGCATATGTCGAAACCCAGCCTTTACGTACATGTACATTTATATGGTGGGTGGCGTTATTTACCAGGCCAGATTTTATGGGTAATTGCTATCCCCATATAATTTTGCTGGTATTCGTGTGTTTGTGTGTAAAAGCATTACTTCTTTTCACAGGTTTTCCTACACGAAAACACACATATAATGGAATTTGTATCCTTGTGGAGACATTTCTTTGTTCTCATGTACTAAAGTTTTTTAGTTTGAAAGTACAGTTTCAAAATGCTCTTATTTTAACCAGAATTAATTTCCTTGGCTGAAATTTGGACTTAATATCCCTTTTCTAAAACTGTACCATTTGCGACAAATCAACATACCTTGGAAATTCCTAGTTTTTGAGTAAAATCCATATATCTATTTCATGAAAACCTTGTGGAGACGTATTCATCTATAGAAATTGCCCTGTGGAGACGTATACAATCTTTTGTTCCCTGTTGTGTGCATGTCTCCAGAGGAATGTCCACACTATATGCAACGTAAACATGGGTGTGTGTGTGTGTTTGTTGGGGGGGGGGGGGGGGGGGGGAGGGATTGGCCGTGCCACACCTACACATTCCCTCCAGCCCCTGACAGCATCATCTATTCCACAACTAAATTTTCTTCCTTCTAGAAATTTCAAGTCCTCCCACTGTTTGCAGCCCAGGCATGAATGCATATTGAAATGGATATTTTTTTTCTTTTGTGTAATTTTTCAGGTTGTGAGGGTGGATTTCCATATCTGATCGCCGGCAAGTACGCTGAAGATTTTGGTCTGGTAGAAGAGTCCTGTAGTCCCTACGTCGGAATGGACACGCCTTGTAAGAAGACCACCTGCAAGCGTTACTACGGAACCGACTACAAATACGTTGGGGGATTCTACGGTGGATGCAACGAAGAGTTGATGCGGATGGAACTGGTCAAGAACGGACCCATCACTGTGGCCTTTGAGGTCTACCCCGACTTTGAGGCGTACAAGAGTGGGATTTATCACCACGTTTTTGCGGGTGACCGCTACGGCCACAGCTTTGACCCCTTTGAGCTGACCAATCATGCTGTGCTTGTGGTCGGTTATGGCGCAGATTCTACAACCGGGGAGAAGTTCTGGAGCGTCAAGAATAGCTGGGGGGCAGGTTGGGGGGAGAAGGGATATTTCCGTATCCGGCGTGGCACTGATGAATGCGCAATTGAGAGCATTGCTGTCGTGTCGTTCCCAATTTTCCCATAATTGGGTTACGATGCAATTGCTTGAGGCTGATTGTTAATCTCTGCATTTTCATCAATGCGAAAAAAAACCCAAATTCACTTAATTTTAGAAACTAGGCTTTTAACAGTTTGTACGGCTAGTACCATAATAGTGTACAGCAACTGCCAGCTTTGATCAGTACTCAGTCAAATTATGAATGGAAAAAAAAAAAGAACTGTGCCAATCAGCTCCGACAATTTTGTAAAAGTTAGGTCTTGAATAACGTTTGATGAAATGTGTACTATATAACTATTTTTAATTGAAACAATACTGATTGAAAGTAATATGAAATGGTGATTGGAGTATAATGACATGAATTAATTGATCATTTCATTTCGATTTTGGTTTGTAAATGTTCATATGCACTGATTATTTCACCTTCAGTCAATGGTGATCGTTCTTGTATCGTAAGTTTCTGAACTGAAATATGTGTATAATTATGATGGGAAAAACTTTTTATTATAAAGTTATTAGTACTTCAAGATATATGTAGGATCATTTGCTATTTGTGAACTTTTTTGAAGCAACAAAATAGCTCATAATAGTAAGTAGGGTGTATAACAATTAACCAGTTGAAGTTTTAGATCGGTGGTTACATTGTGAGAAAACATGCATATTTTAGAGCCTCATGACTGGATTCCATTTCTGATGCACTTTAAAAAAACACCCCATGTATCCGCTGCCACTCTTATTTGCAATCTCATTCAATGCAAGTTTTCATCCCAATGATTTCATTTCCGCCGGAATAATTTCACAAGGTATGATGTCAGTCCCATCTTCACTTTGTGCAAAGTTTTTATTTGTCATGAAATGGGTAGGATCGTTTAAAGGTAATAGCAAATGATTCTACGTGCCATAATAAAGAACTGTCAAATTCACTTAAGAATGTACTATTTCCTTGGAATTTGTGGGGACATTTAAGAAAGTTTGGGGAAAAATACTGCCAAAACGTTGTCAGTTTTGTGCTGAATTTGAAAATTTTAGAGAGCACTATTAGTCAATGTTTAGTTTGTCTCTGGTTAGTTTTTGAAAATTAAACAAACCGGTACAAAATTGTATCATTGCTTTAGCCAAAGGTTATAATTGTGTTAATGCCTAACAGCTGCTTTTTAGTTTTAGTACTTTTATACTGCACCTTTTGTTGTTTACAATAATCTGCTAACTTTTTACCAATACATGTAATGGGGGGGGGGGGCACAGACATCACTGTGGGGGCACGTGCATGTAGTTTAAAACTGTAGTTCTGGGAGATTCAATTTGGTGATTTTCCACTCAGTGTTTTTGCAATATATATGTCAACCTTCTTTTTTTCAAATTGTCCGCGGTAGCTACAACAGCTCAAAATTCTCAAATTTTTGTACCAAGGAATGGGGAAACCGCACCAAGGCAAATGATGGAGGGCACCAAGGCAAATTATGGAGGACACCAATGTATATGAGGACACAAAGAAGCAAAAAATAGTACCCACCTTGTCTGTACAATCCATGCTTAATAAAAAAAAAAAAAAGCCAAAAAAAACAAAAACGCGTCGCCGACTATTTTTTTTTTTGGCCTTAGCCTTGCATTTTTATAAAAATTAGGGAAAATTGGACTTTTTCTGAAAAAGCAACAATGTAAGGGGTTAGCCTTGCATTTTCATCAAAATTTGGGAAAATTTGACTTTTTCTGGAAATAAACAAATGTAAGGGGTAAGCCTTGCATTTTTATCAAAAATGGGCAAAATTGGACTTTTTCTGGAAATTAACAAATGTAAGGGATAAGCCTTGCATTTTTATCAAAAATTGGGCAAAATTTGACTTTCTGGAAATAAACAAATGTAAGGGGTAAGCCTTGCATTTTTATCAAAATTGAGCAAAATTTGACTTTTTCTGAAAAATCAACAATGTAAGGGGTTAGCCTTGCATTTTTATCAAAATTGGGCAAAATTTGACTTTTTCTGAAAAATCAACAATGTAAGGGGTAAGCCTTGCATTTTCATCAAAATTGGGCAAAATTTGACTTTTTCTGGAATATCAAAAATGTAAGGGGTAAGCCTTGCATTTTTATCAAAATTGGGCAAAATTGGACTTTTTCTGAAAAATCGAAAATGTAAGGAGTTAGCCTTGTATTTTTATCAAATTTGGGCACAATTTGACTTTTTCTGGAAATTAACAAATGTAAGGGGTTAGCCTTGCATTTTTATCAAAATTGAGCAAAATTTTATTTTTTTCTGAAAAAGCAACAATGTAAGGGGTAAGCCTTGCATTTTTATCAAAATTGAGCAAAATTTGGCTTTTTCTGAAAAAGCAACAATGTAAGGGGTTAGCCTTGCATTTTCATCAAAATTGGGCAAAATTTGACTTTTTCTGGAATATCAAAAATGTAAGGGGTAAGCCTTGCATTTTTATCAAAAATTGGGCAAAATGTGACTTTCTGGAAATGAACAAATGTAAGGGGTAAGCCTTGCATTTTTATCAAAAATAGGGCAAAATTGGACTTTTCTGGAAATTAACAAATGTAAGGGGTAAGCCTTGCATTTTTATCAAAATTGAGCAAAATTTTATTTTTTTTCTGAAAAAGCAACAATGTAAGGGGTAAGCCTTGCATTTTAATCAAAATTGGGCAAAATTGGACTTTTTCTGAAAAATCAACAATGTAAGGGGTAAGCCTTGCATTTTCATCAAAATTGGGCAAAATTTGACTTTTTCTGGAATATCAAAAATGTAAGGGGTAAGCCTTGCATTTTATCAAATTTGGGCAAAATTTTGCTATTTCTGAAAAATCAAAAATGTAAGGGGTTAGCCTTGCATTTACATCAAAATTGGGCAAAATTTGACTTTTCCTGAAAAATCAACAATGTAAGGGGTTAGCCTTGCATTTTCATCGAAATTGGGCAAAATTTGATTTTTCTGAAAAATCAAAAATGTAAGGGGTTAGCCTTGTATTTTTATCAAATTTGGGCAAAATTTGACTTTTTCTGGAATATCAAAAATGTAAGGGGTAAGCCTTGCATTTTTATCAAAAATAGGGCAAAATTGGACTTTTCTGGAAATTAACAAATGTAAGGGGTAAGCCTTGCATTTTTATCAAAATTGAGCAAAATTTTATTTTTTTTCTGAAAAAGCAACAATGTAAGGGGTAAGCCTTGCATTTTTATCAAAATTGGGCAAAATTGGACTTTTTCTGAAAAATCAACAATGTAAGGGGTAAGCCTTGCATTTTCATCAAAATTGGGCAAAATTTGACTTTTTCTGGAATATCAAAAATGTAAGGGGTAAGCCTTGCATTTTATCAAATTTGGGCAAAATTTGGCTATTTCTGAAAAATCAAAAATGTAAGGGGTTAGCCTTGCATTTACATCAAAATTGGGCAAAATTTGACTTTTCCTGAAAAATCAACAATGTAAGGGGTTAGCCTTGCATTTTCATCGAAATTGGGCAAAATTTGATTTTTCTGAAAAATCAAAAATGTAAGGGGTTAGCCTTGTATTTTTATCAAATTTGGGCAAAATTTGACTTTTTCTGGAATATCAAAAATGTAAGGGGTAAGCCTTGCATTTTATCAAAATTGGGCAAAATTTGACTTTTTCTGAAAATTACAAAAAGGTAAGGGGTTAGCCTTGCATTTTTATCAAATTTGAGCAAAATTTGACTTTTTCTGGAAATTAACAAATGTAAGGGGTAAGCCTTGCATTTTTATGAAAATTGGGCAAAATTTGACTTTTTCTGAAAAATCAAAAATGTAAGGGGTTAGCCTTGCATTTTTATCAAATTTGAGCAAAATTGGACTTTTTCTGGAAATTAACAAATGTAAGGGGTAAGCCTTGCATTTTTATCAAAAATAGGGCAAAATTGGACTTTTCTGGAAATTAACAAATGTAAGGGGTAAGCCTTGCATTTTCATCAAAATTGAGCAAAATTTTATTTTTTTTCTGAAAAAGCAATAATGTAAGGGGTTAGCCTTGCATTTTTATCAAAATTGGGCAAAATTGGACTTTTTCTGAAAAATCAACAATGTATTTTTATCAAAATTGGGCAAAATTTGACTTTTCCTGATAAATCAACAATGGAAGGGGTTAGCCTTGCATTTTTATCAAAATGGGGAAAAATTGGATTTTTTTCTGAAAAATCAAAAATGTAAGGAGTTAGCCTTGTATTTTTATCAAATTTGGGCAAAATTGGACTTTTTCTGGAAATTAACAAATGTAAGGGGTTAGCCTTGCATTTTTATCAAAATTGAGCAAAATTTTATTTTTTTCTGAAAAAGCAACAATGTAAGGGGTAAGCCTTGCATTTTTATCAAAATTGAGCAAAACTTGGCTTTTTCTGAAAAAGCAACAATGGAAGGGGTTAGCCTTGCATTTTCATCAAAATTGGGCAAAATTTGACTTTTTCTGGAATATCAAAAATGTAAGGGGTAAGCCTTGCATTTTTATCAAAAATTGGGCAAAATGTGACTTTCTGGAAATAAACAAATGTAAGGGGTAAGCCTTGCATTTTTATCAAAAATAGGGCAAAATTGGACTTTTCTGGAAATTAACAAATGTAAGGGGTAAGCCTTGCATTTTTATCAAAATTGGGCAAAATTGGACTTTTTCTGAAAAATCAACAATGTAAGGGGTAAGCCTTGCATTTTCATCAAAATTGGGCAAAATTTGACTTTTTCTGGAATATCAAAAATGTAAGGGGTAAGCCTTGCATTTTATCAAATTTGGGCAAAATTTTGCTATTTCTGAAAAATCAAAAATGTAAGGGGTTAGCCTTGCATTTACATCAAAATTGGGCAAAATTTGACTTTTCCTGAAAAATCAACAATGTAAGGGGTTAGCCTTGCATTTTCATCGAAATTGGGCAAAATTCGATTTTTCTGAAAAATCAAAAATGTAAGGGGTTAGCCTTGTATTTTTATCAAATTTGGGCAAAATTTGACTTTTTCTGGAATATCAAAAATGTAAGGGGTAAGCCTTGCATTTTATCAAAATTGGGCAAAATTGGACTTTTTTTGAAAATTAAAAAATGTAAGGGGTTAGCCTTGCATTTTTATCAAAATTGAGCAAAATTTGACTTTTTCTGGAAATTAACAAATGTAAGGGGTAAGCCTTGCATTTTTATCAAAATTGGGCAAAATTTGACTTTTTCTGAAAAATCACAAATGTAAGGGGTTAGCCTTGCATTTTTATCAAAAATAGGGCAAAATTGGACTTTTTCTGGAAATTAACAAATGTAAGGGGTAAGCCTTGCATTTTCATCAAAATTGAGCAAAATTTTATTTTTTTTCTGAAAAAGCAATAATGTAAGGGGTAAGCCTTGCATTTTTATCAAAATTGGACTTTTTCTGAAAAATCAACAATGTAAGGGGTAAGCCTTGCATTTTTATCAAAATTGGGCAAAATTTGACTTTTCCTGATAAATCAACAATGGAAGGGGTTAGCCTTGCATTTTCATCAAAATGGGGAAAAATTGGATTTTTTTCTGAAAAATCAAAAATGTAAGGGGTTAGCCTTGTATTTTTATCAAATTTGGGCAAAATTTGACTTTTTCTGGAAATTAACAAATGTAAGGGGTTAGCCTTGCATTTTTATCAAAATTGAGCAAAATTTTTTTTTTTTCTGAAAAAGCAACAATGTAAGGGGTAAGCCTTGCATTTTTATCAAAATTGGGCAAAATTTGACTTTTCCTGATAAAT